CCCCCCCCCCTCCCCCAAGTCTCAAACAGCCGACGGCCAGCGTCAGCTATTTTAAACACGCACAGGGAAGCAGGATACAACGGCTTGCATGCGCTATGCAAGTCGGCGCCTATTGTTGTCTGTGACCATGGTGAGTCGTTGTGGGCACAGCTCATAAGTCGCGCAGTCATGTACTGCGTTATTGTTAGGATTATAGACCGTGTTGAAAGGCAAAGGGTAAGGGGATGGGCGATAGGCAGCACGACGCTGTGCAGGAAGGGGGGCCTTATGCCTGTCTATGACACAGGCGGGCCTTCAACGGGATTAGACCCGGAGATCCTCGAAGATTGACCAGGACTGCCTCGGGGGAGGAGAGAAGACTGGGGAGACCGATGGATCGAGAGTTGGCAATCTGGGCAGCCAGATGTGTCGGTCTGCAGACACGATTCTTGCGGTAGACGAGTACCTCTGTTCGAGTAAGGTTGAGGTAGCGGGAGCGACGAGTACGCGAGTACCAACCACCATAACCTGAGGACAGTAGGGTACGATACCTTACCCTTGGCGCATCTGCTCTCTGCAGCTGGGTGCGTTACCTAAGATTTCGCCTGAGCTTGAGTCGCTGGGGTTGGGTGGTGCCTCAACGGACGGGACTTGCGGGAAGTTAAGCTGGGGTACCTTTCGTGCTCCAAACTTGCAGAGCCCGTCCTCTAGCGGGCACCCAGACCTCCAGGTACCTCCCTACCTTGTCTATATGAAGAGTGTGGGGACCGAGGCGTGATGTGTGTATGTGTACAGTATGTGGTGGTGTGTGTGTGTATGTGTGTCGAGGTGGGACAGAAAGCCCGCGTGTGTGAGATGCAAGTCCGGGCTTGACTAGCAGCGGTACGGGTCCGGTACCAGCGTATTGTACGGTGAGGTAAGGTACCCTGCGCTAGATGCCTACCTACCTACATTAGATGATGCCTTACCTGGCTGGCCTGGCATTTCTTGCCTTGCCTTACCTTATTACCATGCGTGCCTCTACCCTCTCTCCCGCTGCCCTGTCTTCAATGTTTGTCCCCCTACCTGTGATAAAACCGAGTACCCTACCACCTGAGTAGACAGAGAAGACAGACAGGCCAGAACTGATTAGCTGGATATCCGATACAACAAGGTGGTAAGGTACAGTAACGCAATACCTGACCTTACCCGTGCTATGCCCATCTACCTGGTCCTGGTACTGGTAGACCTGCTGGCGCCCACTTTCTGCTCAAGCCCGTAACGTGAGGCAAGGTAAGGTAAGGAAGCCAGCCCGCCCGCCTAGGGTCTCTCTATGCTAAGCTACCTAGCGCTGGGTAGCCCCATTAGTCGCCTAAATAATAACATGCAGCAGCGGACAGGACATTGCCTTTCCTCCTCCGCTACCTCGTCGAAGGTTCCTTTCTCCATTCTTCAACCCTCAAACCTCAACATCGAAGCCATCTTGAACCGCCCTTTTCGTCACTCTCACCCGCCTGCGCGTCGCATGGTCACTCACTGCGGGATCTGAGCCCTCTGCGTCGTCACAATGAAGGAGCTCCTCGACTCGGACAGAGTCAACTTTCTCATCTGGAGGTGCGTTCCTCACCCCATCCGTCCCTCAGTCCGGCCAAGCACGCCAGTCCTGAGGTACAACGACGATGATTGCTAACCTGGTCTTCTTTGCCCGCACCACAGATACCTACTGGAAGGAAGTATGTGCCCATGTCCTCTGCACTCATTAGTCATGATTCATCTCTGCATTCTCCTCATCATCCTTTGTACCTCCAGGCGACTGACCGCAGCTTGTTGTTTGTGTGCAGACTATCGAGAGACTGCCGCCAAATTTCAGAAGGAGTGGCACATCCAAGAACCACATCGCCATTTTGATTTCGCGCCCCACGTCAAGAATCACGCCCTCGTTTCAGTCCTGAACCGCGGCCTTCTCTATAATGACCTTGAAAGGCAGTATGTCCAGTCACAGGTATGCATTCAACTCCCTTTCTTGTCTTTTTTGGTCATATTTCACCCTCATTCATGAGCGTGCGCGCCTCTTTTCGGCATTTCAATCTCAACTTACCTGCGCCTTCGAGGCCCGCTACCCAGTCCCAGTCCCAGTCCCAGTCCCAGTCCACTCCAGCCCACTCCCCCTGGACCTGCACTAACAATTTCCTTGCAGGTGCCTCGTGATGTGCCGGCAACGGCCGAGGCGACGCAGCACGGCGTGTTTGGACCGCTGATTGCGCAGCCTCCCCACAAGGAGGAGGATTTTGAGGACGAGCCAGAGCTTGTCGAGGAGACGGAGATCTCGTCGCGGAAGCGGCAGGTGGACAGGCAGCTCAATATTGCAAACGGCTCGCCTGCAAAGCGGCAGCGCCTGAGCAATGGCTACGAAAATGGGGCGGAGACAGCCACAACCCCCATGGAAATTGACCCCCAGAACCAGCTTGCAGACAACCACGCTTATCCGTCACCCCTCGAGGGCGAGCAAGCCACAACGCCAATCACGCGTACGGACGGCCCGGAACAGGGCACCCAGATTGACAAGGTCGATGAGCTGGCACCAGAAACCATTTTTCTACGACTCGGCGCCGATGAATCCTCAGTCTCTTCCTCTTCAGCAGCAAATGCAGCGACTGCAGCAGCGACGGTGGCAGGAGCAGGAGAAGCGTCACCGTCTCGAGCTAGCCAAAACCCTATCGTGCTGCACTGCGAGTGGAACCCCAGAGAGCCATCCCTCTTGGCGGCTGCCGGATCAGATGCGCTAGCCCGTGTGTGGACCGTCTCGCGTGCAACCGCCCAGGAACTCGTGGCTGATCACGTGAATGGCGTGAGCCGCCCCTTCAATGACTTGACCGACCATGATATGCCTAAGGACTCGACCGTCACTGCTATGGCATGGAATGTCGACGGCACCGCCATCGCACTTGCTACACAGTCGGACAACAAGGCGCACCTCAATGTCTGGGATGCCGATGGCACCCACATGCAACGGTTCGACATCGCCGAGCCGCCCGTCATCAAGCTGCGTTGGAATCCGAACAACGACTCCATCCTCGGCATTGCCCCCGACAAGAAGGGCACCGTGATCACCATTTTCGCTGCCGAAATTGCCAACACAGTCTCCTACTGTCTCTTAGACCATGACCTCACTTCTGATCCCTTAGACGCATCCTGGCTGAGCGCTTCTGAGTTTGTCCTCTGTGGAGGTGACCTGCTCTTGTCGCTGCGTTATGCAGAAGGCTCCATTGTGCCACAGCGAAAGTTTGATACCGGTCCGGATGCGCGTCTCTCCCACGTTCAGTTCGATGACCGATCAAGGCTAGTCGCAACCGCAAGTGAGAAGGGTATAATTGATGTAAGTCGCAGTGTCAGCACTTTATTGCCCGTGCTTACATGATTCTTTTACTTTAGCTCTGGAACGAAGCTGGAGTACACCGCTCCATCTCCGCACATTTGGGCCCAATCACGTCGTTTGTCTGGCAGCCGTTGCAGGCTGAAGCGCGGCAAGATGAGAGGTTGCTCGCCTCCGGCGGTGAGGATGGCGCCATTGTCATCTGGAACGTTCTGGCGCCAGATAACAAACCGAAATGCTCGATGACGATGGAGCTACCCATCGTTGCGTTAGCCTTCACACCAGACGGTGCCTTCATTGCTGGTGCTACTACTGATAGAATCCTTATATGGAAGGTGGGAGAGCATGCTATTCCTAGGGCTAGCTGGAGTAGAGCGCCGCATCCAGGATGGTTAAGCCCGAGGATGAATGGAGATGTCGAGGAAGAAGATACACATTGCCTGTGCTGGGATGCCACAGGTCAGAAGCTCGCTTACGGCGCAAACAGCCGAGTAAGTCTCAATAAGCTGCCGTATCTTCTGGACATGATTCATGTAGCTGACATTTGATTTAGCTGGCTGTCATTAACTTCCGATGATCAGATGCAATAAGTCGAGAACGGATCAAAACAGCTACAGCGACTTGAGGTATTCATAGCCTTTTGGCTGCAAGCAGTTGACTTGTAGCATGAACCAACTCGACAGTCGTTACAGATCTTGGTCCCGAGACTTGAGAGCCATCTGAGGATTTTCAGCATAGGGATATCCATGGGAAAGACAGCGTCGGTCCTTACCTACATACACTTTGACCTACAGACACTCAGTGGCTACCTGAGCAAGACAGCCAGGATATGACACTCACGGGGTCCATTTCTTTTGTGAAAAGGCACTGTACAATAGATGCCCGCGCAGTATAACTCCACTATACATGCGGTTGATGACTACATGAAAACATTGGATACGGTCAGGCTCGGGCGGCGTGACCGACTTTGTACAAAATAGCTGGACAACACATCAGTTTCAGGGGGTTGTTTTTTGCGCTAAGATATCACGGGAAGATCCGGTGGTGGCGAGAATTGTTTAAATAGATGTTCACAAAGGGCCAAGGATTGTCTGTCCAATATAAATCAGATTCAAGCAAGACTAGTCCTACTCGTTGTCAAATGTGTATCTTCAAACGTAAAGATCTCATGAACATTGACAAAATGTTGAGCCTTCTTTCAAGGTATACTCGGTAAGCAACGCCAGGAGGTTCGGTAGTCAACACCAAGAGAGCAGTCTCTCGCAGGAAGTGTCATGGTGTATAGGCAGTCAACGATATGTAATCACCATGGTAGTCGACAGCAGGTGGGTAGTGAACGGTAGATAGGTAATTCATGGTCAGTAGGTAGTCAACTGTAAGCACAACGAATGAAAGGTAGTCAACGGTAGATTGGTAGTCAATAGTAGGTGGGCGGTTAATGGTACGTGAGTAGTCAATGAGAGGTATTCAACGGTAGACAGGTAGTTCATGGTCAGTAGGTAGTCAACAGTAGGGAGGTAGTCAATGGTAAGTATGTAGGTAGTTAACAATAAGTTCGGAGTCACCAGCAGGTAATAACCATGGTAGACAACACCGCGATAATGGTGACAGGAATGTCTGATGGAGTTTCTGGGGTGCCCAAGTATAGCCTGGTCACTTCGCGCAGTGCCAATGCTGTGAGGCTCTTGCTGGCAGGTGCTAGCACCTGCCAGCACCTGTCGGCACCGCCATGAACAGCCGCCCCCTTTCCCCCTATATAACACGCCAAGCGACGTAACCCACCGGCTTACACCTCGTCGGCAGGATGCTCGTCGTGGCCAGTGGTTCCAATGTGGCCCTTCTCGCGGAGCTCTGCGGCGCGTCTCTCGACGTCGGCGGCGAGGTTGGCCGTGTACTTAGACTTGTCCGAGCCCGGAACGATCCAGGGGGCATTGGTGAAGAGGTAGTTCATCTCTTCAAGAGGCAGCTTACGAGTCTCGGGCAACAGGAGGTAGAAGAAGACGGCGTTGGTGAAATTGCAGAGCACAAATAGCAGGTAGTAATGCCAGCCGGTGTTCTTGATCGCCTTGTCCGTAACCTGCCCGATCATGGTGTTGAAGGCAAAGGACATCATTGTAGCGATAGATACGCCCTTGCTACGCGTGTGAGTGTCGAAAATCTCCGCTGGAACGATCCACTGCTCCGAATTTAGCATTCTGGGACTTCTGGGGCTTCATAAGGGGTGAAGAAGTTCATATATCGCCCATACGGGTCTGTACAGAGAGCCAAGGCAACATTGCAAGAGTACAACTTGTGACGATGCGAACGGAGTCAAGGATGACTTACACTGAGAGGTCCGCAGGTTGCAGAGAAGGAGATATTGTAGAGCCAGGTGCTGTTGTGTTGATATTAGGAAGTAGTTTGGACACATCTGGTGGACCTCCACTTACACGATGATGAAGCCCCACCCAGCACTGCCATGCTTACCTGTCTCTGGCGGGAATTTGGCTAAGTGGACATTGTTAGAATATGAATGATAACCTGCTCTTGTGCCGTTCAGCTGGACGTACCAATAAGAATGGTTGCGATCATGAACATCAGGCAGTTGACGAGGTTGCCAACGATGAGAGGCTTGCGGCGGCCTAGCCTATCAACGAACAAGATACACATGGCCTGGGCGATCAGGGCCAAGATATTGTTGATTGCCTGGTATTTGAGCGTGTCCTGCCCATTGATACCAACTTGTCCGTAGATGGTGATGGAGAAGTATTGGATTGCAGAGACACCGGTCATCTGAACAGAGGCCTGGAGAGCAACCGCAAGAAACAAGCGGCGGAACGAGGATCTACACAGTGAAGTCAGTCAGCAATTCAAGTCCGTGCCAATTGACTAGCGTTTATTACCGATTTCTGAAGAGTTCGAGGTAGCTCTTTGCCTCATGCTCGTGCTCATACGTGATTGACTCCTGTCATGCTATCAGTGAGAGCACTAAACGGTGATAAACGTAGTAATTGTTAATAACAGGCACAAACCTGAATTTGAGCGTACTCAGCTCTGACCCAAGCGTCCTCGGTGTCGCCATGTGCGTGTAGCTTGGCTAGGATCCTGAGACCTTCTTGCTCCTTGTTATGGTCGATAAGCCAGCGAGGGCTCTCGGGGAAGAACAAGATCAGCGCAGCCAGGAAGACGGCAGGGACAATTTGGATTCCCAAGGGAATGCGCCACTCCTTTGATCCACCGATGGAGAAGGTTCCGTAGCCAATCCAGCCAGCAATGAAAGCACCAATGCCCAGCATGAACTGTTGGAGCGCAGTGATTCTTCCTCGGATGGATGGATGGGCAATTTCACCCTGATAAACGGCTACAGTTTAAAGATATCAGTCGAATTCGAACGGTCATTGATTACTGCTTATTACTAGCAGCATATCTCGGGGAGCAATGTTGGAGAGTTGCTTACTGCGTTCAAGTTAGACCCATTATTGCTCTTTCAGTTGCAAGGGATCTGCACGTACCGGATAATCATGACAAGGAAACCAACACCCAGGCCAGCAATAGCCCGACCAGCCCAAAGGTATTTGATGGTCTGTGCAGCAGTCTGGAGACAGCCGCCGAGGATAAAAATGAGGGCGCCTAGCAAGATAGTATACCTTCGGCCGAGATAATCACCAGCGGGACCAGCGAAACCGGCACCGAAGAAGGCACCTCCGGTGAAGAGACTGACAACAACACCACTGAATGAAGAGGCTTGTAAGCGTACATGCGGGAGAAGATTTAATAACCAATCGGGGCAAGATCTTACGTCTCGTCGCTTGTGGGCGTGAACATCGTCTGATACGAGTCACAGCCGACAACCTCAGCAATAACACCAAGATCATAGCCGTAGAGGGCCGAGCCCAGAGAGGCGAACACGCCTACGAGAAACTGATGGCATGGATCTTAGTCAAGGAGGCTCCTGATATCTTGTAACAAGTGAGTTTACCTGGTAGGTCCTTGGTTGGAGCAACATGATTGCAGTTTTACAGAGCAAGGAGACAAATACAGAGAGAGTTGTAAAGAACTAGGAGCGTTCTTCACCTTGCAGAGATCGTCGTTCAAGAGGAACAGGTCACCTATATAGCTATATATACGTCCCGAATCCCCGGTCAACCAGAGCATGGACGCGTCGGCCCCGTGGCAACCCAAGGGAGGGCGCACTTGAGTCCAGGCGCCTAGCTACTAAAGTGCTCAGTGCAACCATCTCAGGAACATGCGATACAATACCCCAAGATCCATCTCGCCTGGGGCTGGCAATGCGGGGGAGGTACTGCTTGGGGTGAGCAGGCCGTTATTGATTGCACCAACCAGCAGAGGGACGGCACTAGCGCTCGCGCCTCTCGGCATATCAATTGTCCAACTCATCACTCTGAGCCCCCGGATTTCTTCCGTCGGTCAGGAGAGGCAAGGCGGGCCGTGAGGCCTCTGAGGCTCGATGAGTGGCTCCGGCGCTTCTCAAAGAGCACATAATGGCCGAGTGAAGGCTTGAGGGAGCTTCCCTGGTTTGCTGTCCTTGGGCAAACGTGTGGGGTGGACTAGGATCTCTCCACTGCCGCACCAACGGCATACGTGATATCCGCACCAATCACCACTTTCTGATCCGGACAGCAGACCCCTCGGGGCAGTCGGTTCAAAGTTACCCAGGAGGCACAGGCACATGATCGCGTGTAAGTGAGTTTGTAAGTCCGTGGCCGGAATTGACTTCACAGGAGTTCATGTCGCGCCTCTAGTTCTGTATCGTTGTGTCAGTCACTGGTCTGAAACAGGCCGAGGATCCAAAGACAAATTGCCACTTTAGACGGAGTTCTCCTTGCAATTGAGGGCTTTGTTGACTGCTGTGGGAAAAGAAGCCAATTCTGGGCACCTCAGACATTCTTCTGTCACGGATCACAGAGTTGGCTTTCACGATTATTACCTCCCGTTGACTACCTCATTATCTGCTTACTGTTGACTACCTACCCACTAATGACCACCTTTATTGCGTCCTATTAAATACTCAGGTATTTTCCACTCGTTGGCTACACTACCTCCTAGTGTTGCTTACCATTATACCAGGCCAGAACTTGCAGCCTAGAAGCTTTTTAAATATGACGACGTTTACGAGGGCCCCAGATGAGGACGTGCCGACTATCGAGGTCGATGCCGAGAAGAGGCTCTCGGCAATAGATCCCATGACCTATGGAGGGTTTACAGAGTACGTGCAGCTTCGAAAAGGCACACTGAGATATCCTACCTTGCTACTTGAACCTCGGCTCTATGCTTGATATCTAGACTAACCACAACACAGACATATGGGCCGTTGCATATACGGCGGCATCTACGAACCTGGAAGCCCTCTCTCGGACGCCAATGGCTTCCGGACGGATGTCATATCAGCCCTGAAGGACCTGGACATCCCAGTCATTCGCTATCCAGGCGGCAACTTCGTGGCTACTTACCACTGGCAAGACGGCATTGGGCCGCGAGAGAACAGACCCTCTCGCCCAGAACTTGCCTGGCTCGGCGTCGAGACCAACCAGTTTGGCACCGACGAGTTCATGCAGTGGCTCGACGTGCTTAGCGAGGGCCGCGACAAGCGCGTGGAGCCTTACCTCTGCCTGAACATGGGCACGGGGACGCTCGACGAGGCGCTCGCGTGGGTCGAGTACTGCAACGGCACCAAGGACACGTACTACGCGAACCTGCGGCGCAAGAACGGGCACCCGGAGCCGTACAACGTCAAGTACTGGGCGCTGGGCAACGAGATCTGGGGCCCGTGGCAGGTCGAGCAGCAGACCAAGGAGGACTACGCGAAGAAGGCGGCGCAGTGGGCCAAGGCGCTGCGGCTGCTGGACCCGAGCCTGTGCCTGATCCTGTGCGGCCAGGAGGGCTACAACTCGTGGGACCACCACGTGCTCAAGGAGTGCGTCTCCGTCGTCGACATGCACAGCATCCACATCTACACCCGCAGCGACAAGCACCTGCCCAACGTCACGGCGCCGCTGTCCGCCGAGCGCGCCATCCAGACTGCCGCGGCGCTGATTGACGTCGCGCGCATCGAGAACAACGTGCCGCCCTCGAAGCCGCCGACCAAGATCTGCTTTGACGAGTGGAACGTCTGGGACCCGGTGCGTGCGCCGGGTGAGCAAGGCGCTGAGGAGAAGTACACACTGTCAGACGCACTCGCAGTCGCCGTATGGCTGAACGTGTTTGTCCGGCAGAGCCGGTGGATCGGGATGGCGAATATTGCGCAGACGGTCAATGTCATCAGCCCGCTGATGACCACCAAGGAGGGCATTGTCAAGCAGACAACGTGGTGGCCACTTCTGTTGTTCAGCAAGTACATGCGCGGTTGGACGGTGGCCTCGCATGTCAAGTGCGGGAGCTACAAAGGCGAGACTGCACCGCCATGGCTGCAGGGCACACTTGAAGATGGAGCACCATGGCTTGATGTCAGTGCGGCAATTGATGGAAAAGGAGTCGTCAGTCTCGTTGTGGTGAACATTAGCGACAGCCAGGACTTTGAGACAGTGGTCAAGGGCGCCGGCAGCGATGTCGAAGTATACAAGGTGACTGGCGCCGAGATCAGCTCAGTCAATGTAGGAGGCAAGGAGGAGGTGGCAATCAAGGAAGACAAGTGGGATGGAAAGGGCAAGTTTATCTTCACGAAACATTCCATGACGATGTTGCGCTGGAAGCAGTGAGTAACTGGGCGTCTCGAGCCCGGCCGCCGCGAAACTGGACCAATGATCGGGGATTTGAGTCAACCACCGAATCATGGCTGAAAAGAGGAATATCAGATCTCAAAAACGCGAGTTACACTGATGGCGCACAGCCATTATCATCTAGACAAAGAAGATACCCCTGCTGGACTCGATGCAGGCCTATCCAGGTAGACAAAGACAGGTGTCGGAGCGGCCCGCTGTTCGAGATGCAACCCCACAAAGCCATTGTCTCGTCTCGAGTCGTGCATGCATGCATATTCGCCACGTTCGGGGCTTCGGAGAGTAAAGAAGAAGAGAATGAATGGCAAGATCTGTAGAATCTGTGTTTGTGGCGGTGTGCACCGGAGTTTGCGTCTTGGATTGGATGACATGCGTGTTGTGTGTGTTGTCGACGTACAGTCCCAGCCAGTCACTCAGTCCGTCCTTCATCCCGTAGTACACCTATCTTAGGTGTGTATGCCGGGCGCCGACTGTGGATGTTGGATGACTGACAAGACAGACGGTGTAAGTTTGCTAAACCGAGTTTAGTATCGACCTCGTAGTTTTTTAAGGTGATACAACCGCCGCCGTCTTGGTCCATCCGTCATGTGATGGCGTAGACCCTTTCCAAAGGCATTTCTTGCTGCCTTCGACGTCTGTATGACCTCAGCCCAAGTTCATCTCATCTTGCTCGACAAAAGCTGAGAGACAAGACCCCAAGTTTGCCCTCATCCCACCTGCCGTACGTCCGCTCTTCAAGGTGTGCGTGTCTGTCTCTGAGCTCTCCGCAAAAGACGTTTCTCACCTTACATACCATATTTTCTCGCCCACCACTCTTTCTCAGGGCTTACCAAAACCCCCCTCTGCCGTAGGCCCCGCCTGAGTGAATGTAACATGTCGGCCGGCCCCTCCAGTAGCACCTCCGCCTTCCGGCCAGCGGGGCAGCCCGGCAGCCTCAAGAGCTGGACAATGTCGTCGGCGACACACATGGCAAGCGCCGAACCATCCTTCACCCCCGAGATGCGGGACCGCCAGGCCCGCGGCAAGGACCCTTACCACTCCGGTGACGCTTCTGACGGTAGCGACGACTTCAGCGAGCGGGAGACGGCCAAGATGAGGCTCGGGAGCGGAAGGTGAGCCGGCATCCGTCACCTCGATTCATCCATGTACATGCAACCGGGACGTACGCTAACCCTACGTCAACACTAGGACCGAGCAGGAGCCATTCGACAAGATTGAGCGCCGTGACTGGGCCATAGCCGTGTTGGCGAGCCCCGAGCTGGTCATGATGTACGCACAGAGTCGAGGCGATGTGAGTGAAAACCACCCGTGCTCCCCCAAGTGGTGATTGTCACTCGAATGACACCACGAACCCCCGTTCTCACCCCTCTCATGCAAGACTAACAACCAATGGCTCCATAAGAGTATCCCGGCCACCCGCTTGTGGCTAATGAGAGTCATGTGCGGCTACGAGGACGACATCCTGGACAACAGCTTCCGCAAGCGTGCCTCGGGCCCACGGCTCGACAGCAGCAGCAAGAAGAAGGGCGGCGGCCGGACGTCGCGATGAGTTTGGGCGCAAGTGGATCCAATGTGTTTTCGCCGAGGACGTCCACTGCAGTGAAGGAAGGGGAAATCGTTTGATACTGGCCACCCACCCGCCTCCGTGTGTCCTTCATCTTCAACCTCCGCCGCTTCCGAGTTGACAGACTCGATTTCCGCGGCGCGCATCATCATCATCATCGTCATCATCATCATCAGCGCAGTTCCAGGCAAGCGTGAGTATTTCTACAGCCTGTGAGTTTCAAGACTCGATCCGAAGCATCTTAGTCTACAGCAAGCAAAGTAGTATGTCCTTTAGAGCATACGGGTCTCTGGACTCGACACAGCGATGGGACGAGCGGACGGGCTATCATGAGCTCGGCACCGCAGGGTAATGGATGACAATCATGGCCGCTACTATGTCGCCAGGGGAGCATCCGCATCAGATTGGACGGGGTTCCAAGTGTGCAAGAGCGTCACGCTACGAGATGAAGAAGGTCGTGTTGTAGTAGGGTTATTATTTCTATGCCGATCCAGTAGCATTAGACAATACCTACGGTAATCAATGCGACCCAATACCCCATCCTTTAAACCCAACCCGGTGTTTTAAAACAACAAATATGACATGGCACCACCAACGCCAGCTATGCTAATGGAGTGCTGCCGCACTCAAAAGATTTCCCATGATATCCCCATGCCCCGTCATCAGTTATGCATATCTGGTGCTCATGCTCCGCATCGGAGGCCACGGCCGTCCATCGTCGTGTCCGTACGGCGGCGCCGGACCGCGACCACCGCTCGCGACCGGCGGCGGAGCCATGATGGGCCCGCGGCCGGCGTTCCAACCGCCTCCGACCCATTGGGCAGGGGGTGGCTTGGGCGCATTCCTACGGCGCCTCCTCCTGTACGAGGTCCAACAGCAGCTCACGATGGCGAGGATCACCAGCCCACCCACGACGGACACCACTGGGATGAAGATAGGCTTGTTGTGGGTGATCCAGTACCCGATCTCATTGCCCAGATTCCCGCCTTGACAGTCGCCGTTCCGGCACTTCCCTCCGCCCTGGCATGACGTGCCGTCCAAGAAGTTCTGCATCATGGTGAAGCAGGTGTTTGCTCCGAACTCGGGTGACGCGCAGCTAAGCTGACAGCCCGAAGATGAGCAAGCATAGGTATCATTGCCGGTTGTCAACGACCCCATGAGAGTCTTGCACTGGAGATCGCGTGATGTGCACTGGCCTGATGCACATTTGAGGCCTGCACCGTCATCTCCACAGGATGTTCCATCGTCGGCAGTGGTGTCGGCGGGACAGAGTGGCGATGCGCCCGTGCAAGTCTCCTGAGGGTCACAAGTGCCAGTGCTGGGTCGGCAGACCGTGCCATTCGAGGCGAATTGGCACTGAGCTGTGCAGCACTCTTCGTTGGATGGGTCACAAACGGAGTTGGTCGTGAATTTACACGTGTCAGGGTTGCAGCAGGAGTTGTCGCCACAGCCGTCAGCTCCACCGCAGTCACAGTCCTCATCTTGTTCTACAATGCCATTACCACATTGACTTCCGGTGATGGTGTTGACATTTCTGTTGCTCGTCAAGCAATTCGTTTTCACGCTCTGTCGACCAATAGCCGAGCAGATGTTACCAATGCTGCAGGGAGAGAACTGGGTGATACCGTTTCCCGTAGAAGGGTTCATGATGAAGTCTCCACTAGCATCACAAGAGGAAGAACTGAGAGGGCAACACTGCTGTTTCGTAGCCGTGCCGTCAGAACATGTTGAAGAGGTGCAGTCGTGTACGGCGCCAAAGGTGTGTCCGGTCTCGTGGGCAATGACCTGCCATTCTGTCGAGGTCCTCACAACAACATTCGCCGCCGCGATAGTCTCGTTCTGTCCATTAGAAGTCGAAGACTGAGAGCCCTCCACGCAAACCTGGCCAAGCCAGGCAAGTCCTACGGCCGAATCGGTGTTACAGGTGCTGAGCAGAGTCCAGTAAGCGTTCGTGTCGTTATGTTGGCCTCTCCAAGCGGAAAAGAGGTTGAGACGGTCGGTGATGGTGACGCTGTTGGAGCAGGCTATGTTCCAAGGGGCCGAGGCAGGTGCGGTTGCTGGACACGAAGCCTCGCTGATAGTGAGATTCTGGATGCCCAGAGAGATGTTGAAAGAACTCTCGTAGACCTGGGAAGCAGAGTTGATTTGGTTGATGATGTTCTGGCGCACGGACTCGGTAGAGTTGAACTTCGCTGTGTAAGTGCAATCTGTGGCGATGCCAACCAAGGCTACTTTCCTCGCAGTCGGACATCCCGCTGTCGAGCCGATAGTTGAGCTGAGATTCACACCAGCGCCGTTTCCTCCCGTGGTGCCATCGATCTGCCGTCCCCAGAGACTGTTCGACGCCATCGACCGCCAGAACCCGTCCGGCTCGCTCCTCGTATCGAGCGACCGATAGACCGGATGATTATCATCTCGATTGAAGAGTAGCTTGTCAGACGTGCAGGTTTGGCGATTTCCTAGATCGCGCTTCAACTCATCATGAGCATGGTCATGAGGATTAGCCCCAATGATATCCGAATCCCTCCATACAACCATGAAGTCATCGTCTGCCGGCGCGACCTCAGGATCTTTCTCCAATCGGGTCTGTCTATAATTCGAGTCGGTCTGAATGTGGTGATTGTCGCCATCTATCCTGAATGCTCCCTCGAAAACCGGATGATCCCCGTCTCTGTGGACGCTGACTCTCGCCCATCCGGCATGCGTCCAGTCTGATCCACGCTGTACGAAGGCCTCGCCCTTGTACACCCGGTGATCTAATCTATCAATGGGCTCCGATGACCGTATCGTCCCATCTGCCCCCAATATATGGACTGCTGCATTCTCGGCAAGGATGTCGTGGTTGGGCTCTAGCGACAGCCTTATCCGTTGTGACCGGTCGTGGATGGCGAATGTGAGGTCGAATGATGACAATGCATGTATGCGATGCGATGGGTTGTGTGCATTCAGAGCAGGCTCTTCGATCTGCGTAACATAGCGTAGTGGATTACGTTCGGTCGAGTCCGCTTCACGTATGGCGTTGTGGTCAGCAACTGTGGCTCTTCACATGATGTGTCTGTCCTGCTGCGGACTCCCGTGCAAGGTTGGACAGTTTGAGATGTGTAGCAGAAGCTACCGAAGAAATAGAGCCTCAGACTTCTCCCTAGGGAGGATTGAACGGCTCCTCCTGTGCAACGAGACAAAGATCTTGCCAGACAGCAGCCAGGCAAGTTTATCCGAGACAGCGCGTTGGTGTTCTGGGGGATTTGCATACCTGTTGCTAATGGAAGTAACAGCCCAACGGCCGCAAGAGCGCCTGCGAGGGGCCGTAGGAGGTACATTGTTGGCGGGAAAGCCCCGCGAGGGGACGAAAAGGGGACAATCTCAGAACAGAATCTAGCGATGTCTTATCGAGTCCATGGGAGAGACCAAACGTTTCCTTCAGAGATCGGTATCGTCGGATGGGCGTAGGAACGAGAAACGAGGCTGTTCGCAAACAGGCGACGGCAGAAGCGAATGTATGTGTATGTGTGTGTGAGTGTGTGTGTATTTGCAGGAGACGGGGACTCTGGGCCTAGCGGGCTGCTTCGAAAGGGTGGCGGCAGGGGAATGGCTTTCTTTTCTTGACTGGTTCAGACTCTTCAGAGGCCAACGGCCGCTGGAGCCGGTACTGGGTCAGCCAGCCATCTCGGACACAGTGTGTGAGAGCCAAGCCACTACAGCTCTTGACCACTGTTCTCAACGTAACCTTACCAAGCAAGCTTACCTCTTTAAACCTCTCTAAACCTGCACCTCTCTGCTGGCACGGGGCACAACCAAGCCTTGTGAAACTCGTTTCGCTCACTGTGAAAGGGCAAGGTTCCTCAACGATGAAGGTTATGACCCTGTCTTGAAAGCGAAGATTATGTTTACTACTGCGTTTATCACCTCGCTTACTGTTGCCTTTATCGCCATGTTTACTTCACTATAGACATGTTTAACGAAATAGCAATTCTTGTTGAGAATGTTATGAGCCGTTTCGCGGAGGACGATGGATGCATCAGCGGATCAACTTGGGGAATTGGAGCATGATTGGATGTTTCGTCAAAGATCGATCAGGTAAACAACAGCCGCGCTGCGCTGCGCTGTCCCATAGCATTCCCAAACAACCGCTCGGCTTATATGTCTTCCTTCTTCTCTGCCCTTCCTCATCCTCTTACACAGCAGTTGCTCGGCGCCTAAATGCGACAAAGCGTAGAGCATAGTAAGACCACGGCCATTGTTGGCTGCACCTGAAACCCGTTGAAGGATCCGATCCCGCCGGTTGGAGAAAGGGTTTCCCGCGCAGAGACGCCTCGGCAGATGGGTCTACTCCGCAGAATGCTGGCAGCGGTGACAGCAACAAGGCTGTATGAGATGCGCAAGTTCAGTACGGAGTCACGGACACATCTACACATCTCAGCGCAGCGAGGGCCAGTTATTGTGCCCCTTCAGGGCCTTCACTATCGGATCGGCCTGAGCCTCTTCCTGCGAGACGGAGACGGGGGCGGGCAGGGCAGAGCAGGGCGGAGAGGCCCAGCACTTGGCCTGTTTTGGAGTCGGCTCTTGGAGTCCCTAGGGAAACCTCGAGCAGCTGGGCGGCGGGAACCGCATTGAAAGCGCCGGCTTTCTCACCTAAGCTGGCCCGCCTGGCGGCTTACTTACAGCAGGTTAGAAGAAGATTCTTGTTCGGTGAAGGCGCAGTACTGTAGTTGACAAAGTACAGTTGGAGGTTGTCGAAGTGAAGTACGGCGTTGACTTGCCCTGATTCAAAGCCGTGTGCTGAGACACTGCATCGTGACACAAGACAATGGAAATGAAATGAAAGGAAAGGGAACAATAGAAGGGATCTCAGCGTGTAGACACTCTCCACTGTGTGAAACAACACAATGCCCTCGATGAATCGGGATGATTCCACCGTCTTTTGCGAGCCTTTCTTACCCTGGCGGACGAGGACGGCGGCGCAGGGAGTGCCGAGTTGCCGCAAGCCCATTATTACGAAGCAAGTAGCTGGGGCCGCCGCACCTGGGCACTCCCCACCCTCGTAAACAGCCTCCTCTCCGCCCTATTAGAAATGGCCGATGTCTATTTTTGTAGTGCGACACCTGCAACTTGGGACGAACTGGGACGTTGACACACTGTGTCACTGTTAGACGGCAACGCCCAGAGCCCCGTGAGATCGAACACTAAAAGAGACCCAGTTTGACCGCGCAATACCCTTGTCTTGGCACCTGTCAGACTTCACATCTGCACGTCTAGTCTAGCACACTGAGATGGCTGATGGGCTTATGGCCCCGGCGGGTCCGACCCTCTGGATCCCTCCGGGTCCGGTTGTCGAAGATAATGTTAGTTGACTTAGGTCTATCCTATCCTCGAGATCGTTCCGGGTGGCAGTGAAGCCGCTCTCACTCCTCATCTCATGTCCCAAGAGGCTCCCTTTGCCTTTGGTTCCGGCTTGGGCAACTGTTCGGGTCACCGACTCGGCCAGACAAAAGCCTCCTCGTCCACACACACCACACGCTGGACGTCCCAAGCAGCCAACCCAAGCCATAAATCGGGCGATGGCCAAGACTCCAGATGACGACGCCCGCAGCCACAGCCTTTTCTCCTCTCTCTCTCTCTCTCTCTCTCTCTCTCTCTGTGTGTGTGTGTGTGTGTGTCCACATTGTTGTCCATCATACTACACACTTGACCTGCTGGCCTGTCCATCAGTACAAGGCCATAAATGGTTATTACCGGGTACTACAACATTTTGAAACCCCAAGAGCGATGCTCCATTCATACGCATCATGGTTACCACCGTTTAACTACAGCATTGAGCCCTAAGAGCGATACTGACTCAAACTCTGGCAACTGACTGACCTCCACACTTCCAAAACATCATGGCAAGTCACGCATTTGAGGCTGTGCACAGTAGTTTCTTGACTTTCCAAGATATCGATCACATTTTTTTGAGACAGTTAACCTAGAGCTCGGCCTTCTCTTGCTTCATTGTTATGTCCGACAAATAGCCCCTCTTCAAGATTTTCCCTGACGTGCTATGCCTTCATCGTCTCCCTCCTCCTTCTTGGAGTCTGGCTTGGATTATGCTTTCATCGTCTGCCAAGTCTCATTCATGACTCGTTGCAGCGTGGGTTTCCAACCCGCCAATAGAACAACTAAATCAAAGGTGGTATAAGTTAAACAGGAGAAACGCCCATCCCTTATTTCTTCTTTGCGTCATGGACGACGGTGATGATCTTATCAACAATCGTCGGGTCCGATAGCTGCGGCACCAGAGGTCAGCAGGGTGAAGCCAGCGAAGCAGTCGACCAAGCAAGAAACTTACAGTTGTGGTATCGCCGAGCTGATCTTCCTCACCAGCCAGGATCTTCCTCAAAATACGGCGCATGATCTTTCCGCTGCGGGTCTTGGGCAGATCAGGCACGATGTAGACGGCCTTGGGAGCGGCAAAGGGACCAATGCTCTTGCGGACTTGGAGGATGAACTCCTTGCGAAGGGCATCGCTGGCCTCATTGCCATCCTTGATGGCGACAAAGGCGTTGACTGCCTGGCCAGTCAGTTCGTCAGCAACACCGACGACGGCAGCCTCGGCAATGGCGTGGTGCTCAATCAGGGCAGCCTCGATCTCAGCTGTCGACAGACGGTGACCGGATACGTTGACGACGTCGTCGACACGTCCTCGAATCCAGTAGAAGCCCTCGTGGTCACGGCCAGCACCATCACCAGTGAACTACAGCCCTCAGTTAGTCTGCTGCATTTTGGAGGTAAGTGAGTTGGTGGCTTACGTAGTAGCCCTTGTACACGTTCAGATATGTGTCCATGTATCTCTTGTGCGCACCCCAGACGGTGCGAGCCATGCTAGGCCACGGCTGCTTGAAAGCAAGCACGCCCTCGACATCGTTGCCGTGGATCTCCTCTCCTGATACGGGATCGATGATCGCGGGCTCAATGCCAAAGAAGGGCAGAGAAGCAGATCCGGGCTTCGTCGGAGTGACGCCCGCAAGAGGTGTGATGACGTTGGAGCCAGTCTCTGTTTGCCAGTAGGTCTATTGAACATTAGCATTGCGGAACGCCAAGGGATGAGATCCGTCAGAAGTGACTTACATCGACGATTTGCGCCTCCTCCTTGCCAACAACCTCGAAATACCACTTCCAGACCTCTGCGGCAATTGGCTCACCGACAGAACCGAGGACTCTCAGGTGCTTCATCTCATTCTTCACCCACTGGTCACCAGCACGCTTGAGTAACCGCAGAGCAGTGGGGGCGACATAGAATTGAGTGATCTGGTGCTTCTCAATGATGTCCCAGTAGCGGGAGAAATTGGGGTACGCAGGAGTACCCTCAAAAACGACAGTGGAAACACCGAGGAGGAGCGGCGCATAGACTACATAGGTGTGGCCGGTAATCCAGCCGACATCACCACCACAGAAGTAGCGGTCACCGTCGTGGATGTCGAAGACGTACTTGCCAGTGGCAGCAGCGCCGACCAAGTATCCACCGGTTGTGTGCATCACACCCTTGGGCTTACCAGTCGAGCCGGAGGTGTAGAGGAGGAACAGAGGGTCCTCGGAGTTCATAGGCTCAGGAGCAATGTACGAGGGCCACTTCTCGACCTCCTCGTGCCACCACCAATCCCGGCCCTTGGTCATTGGGACATCAGCACCAGTGCGCTTGTAGACCAAGACGTGCGACACGTCGGGGCACTGCTTCAGAGCATCATCGACGATCTTCTTGGTGCCAATGAGCTTTCCGCCACGCTTGCCCTCGTCAGTGGTGATGACGACCTTGGACTGAGCATCGAGCACTCGATCTCGGAGAGAGTCGGCTGAGAAGCCGGCAAAGACGACTGAGTGGACGGCACCAATTCGGGTGATGGCGAGAAAGGCGATCACGGCCTCGGGAATCATGGGCAGATATATGGCAACGGTGTCGCCCTTCTTGACGCCCATCTGCTTCAGGACATAGGCAGTCTTGCAGACCTCGCGGAGAAGCTCTGCGTAGGTGAGTGTGCGGCCGTCATTCGGCTCGTCGGCCTCGTAGATGATGGCAACCTTGTTGGGGTCCTTGATGGCATGGCGATCAACACAGTTGTATGAAGCATTGAGCTCTCCCTCCAAAAACCAAGCATTATCGCCGCCCTCGAAGCTGCCGGCGTGGACTGTCTGGAAATCCTTGGACCACGACAGGAGTTCACGGGCGGTTCTTCCCCAGAACTTCTCGGGCTCTGTGATGGACTCCTTGTAGAGCTGCTGATAATCCTCCAGGCCTGCAATTGCGTTAGAATTGGGTCAGTGTGCATTTCCAGGGCGGTTTGCGGCTTACTGGCTAGATGAGGCTTGCTGGGATGCTCTGCAGGTGTTCGCGTTAGCAATCCTGGCCCCTCAATTGGATGCGCCCCCTCACGCGACTGGACCAGCGCCAGTGAGTGTGGTAGCCTGCCTTTCGGCCGGATGGAACGTACTAGCCAGCATCTTCTGAGGAGGGTCTGCAGTTTGTTAAGTCTCTGGTCAGCATGATTCCTTCCTTCACTTTTACTCGGGCCTGAAAGAGCATTTTTCACAAAGGCCCGGTAGGCTCTGGTTGGGGGAGCTTACGGAAAGTGTCGACCTCATGGGCCTCTGCGACCACAGGAGCCTTGGGAGCACCTTCAGCCATATTGGCGGGGTGATCTGCGGGGTAGCTTTTTGCTTGCTCGGTACTACTACGTGGGAGGCAGGTAGGTAGTCGTTCACTGTCGCAGACACGTCGTACAACACTGGGAGTGAGGTTCAAACACCTATACAAAGCAGCAGGGGAAGAAAGAGAGAGGAGCTTGAGAAGCGGAGGGGAGGCAACACGGAGGAGAAGTAGGAGAGGCAGAGAGGAGAGAGAGTTTTGGAGACGGAAAGGGAGGAGGAGGTTTTTGTAGTGTAGTGTACGGTAGTGTAGTGGACGGTACCACCTGGTTGCTTGTATGGCAGAATGCAGTAATAACTAACACACCAGGCTTAGGCTGGCGAGCTACCTAAGGTATCCATGTCATTGGCGGTTCGTCAGCGATGCGATGAGGGATGAGGGCCGTTTCCCCAGTTGTCGCATCGCATCGCATCACATCCTGCCTATCCCAGCCCTTGCTATGCCAATCCCGGCCCCCAGCGCCCCCCTCCCATCCCGCCAACACGCTGTCTCCTGCGAAGCTCATCGCACTAGACCAAGACATCCACCGGGCCGGGGTGCAGAACAGTACTTTTGGTGAGTGTCCGTACTGCTACAACGAGGACCTGCATCTGGACAATTTCCTTCCGCCCGACAGACCCCGGACGGATGAAACTCCATCCTGCGCTAGACGTGCCTCATGCTTCTTACACGCATGCTGTGCTGCAGCAGCTAAGTACTGTAGGGAGGCTGTATGTAGCTAGTTGTATGTACCGGTAGTAGATGCGATGCTATGTCCATCGCCATGCCTGTCTATCAATCAATCAATCTGTTCCTGCCCCGTCCGTCCCGTACCATGAATTACCTGCACTACCTTAGGGAGATAGAGATCGTTGCAGTCGGGTCGCACCTGCCTCGTCACTTACTCGGCCACTCGGCCACTCGGCCACTCACCCAGGGAAGGTAGGCGATGCATTCGCTCCTCTGTTCCTTCCTTCTCCTCCTCCCGGATTCCCCCTATCGCTCGGCCAATTGAGCTCAGGCGAATGTAAATCTCCCCATCTCATCGTCTAGTTCTTCAAACTGATTTTTTGACATACCTCACCTTACAAAGCTGACGAGGAAGGCTTCTCGAGTCACGGTACCTTACACAACATATTTCGAGCTTTGGACCCCTGGGGGACAAATAGCTCAGCAAGTAGCTAGCTACCTCAGCTAGTGCCTTGCAACACCTGCTACATGGTCCGATAGCGCAGCTGATGGGGCTGTCTTTGGCGCAAGATGGAGCTCCTGCTGCCTCTTCACATCACGAGATGGTCAGGGCATCTCGTTTCCAACAGCCTGGTTTTCAATGAGCAACAGCCTCACCTATGCCCATCTGAAAGCAGTAGCTTCCCACGAACTGGCCAGGATCGCACAGAGATTTCACAGGCGCACAGTCATTGACCTGCGCCGATGATTGCGTCTTTATCAAGCCCTTGGCTGGAGCTACCGCTACACAAGCCGGCCCCGTCGGCTGTAGTGGAGGCTCTCAACAAGAATGAAAGAGCCCGCTCTTCAGCTTTTTCCGTGGGGCCTGCATCCATCCCATCAAGACCCCAATATCATCGGGCCTATGGCAAATTTGGCATTAAACACCTCTCCCGCTTTCAGCCGCCCCCTCCGACTCCCAAGGAACAGCTTGGCCCAAATGTCCAAATTCATTGCGCAACCCGAGCTTCCAGCCTCGAATCCTTCCCTGCCAGCAGCTGTATAGTTCAATAATGGCATGTCAGCATCTCTCCGGTTCTAGATTGCGCCAACAGATTCATACAGGATTCACGGGACATGAGGAGCAACCTGAAGTGTCTCGCACACCTGTACTGTACTGGCGCACTCTCTGGCCCACCTAAGAGATGTGGTTGAGGACAAGACAGCCTGTGCGCCCGTACACCCTACCGCCAAGAGACGCCCACGCAACGAGAACCCCTCCACTCTGCCCCCCTCACTTACACCCCGCACGCCGGGGTAGTTCTTTCGCCCCTTACCCTTACTGCCTGACATAACTTTACGACCTTCTAACGTAGAGGGGGACAGAGCATCGGTCACCAAGCCTAAAACAGTAGATGCTGATGTACGCCAACGCCCATCTTGCCCGTTTCCCTAGAGCAGTCCTGCACTGGTAATTGGCTCCAGCAACCACACTCCTCCCCGTGGTCTTGTCGCTCCAGAGGTGGTTGCTGGGCATTTAGCGGCATGTCAGAGGCGTTCGGCACTGTTCACAATGGAAACCTCGGATCCTCTTTGTCTCCTCCCTTGTACCGATACATCCGTCGAGACGTTCATGAAGATGCCGTCAGTAGGGTCCTCTCGCCTGGTGAGAAAGTTCACCTCAAGGCACAAGGCAGGGGGTACTTGTGCCCATGGCAGGCCGTACTGCCTGGCCGGTCCAGGTCTGATCCAGTCTCCGCCTGCATTGTATCACCGGTGCACTGCATTGTAGTGGTTTGGCTGGCTTGGACGACATCATTTCTTGAACACAATTCCCTCACAACTCAAGACACCACGATGCTCGTGACTCTTGATGTGTTCGAATGAGAACGCTTCCACCACATCAACCACCCTCTATACAAAGTCTAGTCTTAACAGCCACTGATGCCCAGATCGCCCCCATGTTCTTGTCGCTCTAGTCAACGGCAGGCTTGGCTACCATTCTCATGATGTTGAACGTCGACCAAGGAAGACATGGCCTCGCTTGGTCATGAAGAATGGATCAACGGAATGATTCAACAACCCCAAGTACCTCGGATATACTAGTCTCCCAGGACTACCGCTACCCCGATGACTACCGTGCCCTAAGTCATGATATCGGGATTCTGTATTCCTTAAACTTCCTCGCTAGCCGTAGTTCCGCGGCTAAGCACTTCCCATAACCCTGTTCCCCACGATCGTCCCCGGCTAACAGACCCTCCTCAACCAATGGTATACTGCTGGGGAGCCTCCGCAACCATCAACTTGGCCCTAGAACATGAACAAGAGACCGCCCAGAGCCCTGGGTCCCTTTTCTGGGCACATGAGCATGGTGGTCACCCCATATGTGCGTCTGGCATGGACAAATGGAAGAAATAACCCCGGTTTGGTTCGCTCACTGGTCCCACAATTGCTCCCACTGAACATCCAAGGCGGGGCTATCCGGAGTCGGCCATCGGCTTCAACCATTTGGGCTGATGCTCACGATTTGAAATGCAGTGCCTTGTGTGCATCGATATAAGCGAGAAAGCATTGTCTTAATGTAATCGCTCCTGAATATGACTCTCTACTCGAGTAGCTGCTAAGCTGCTGCGCCGCCCAACAACAGGTGAGGCAAGGTAAATGGACAATAAACCAAGACACATGTACATATTGCTTACCTTGGCAGGCAAGCAATGCGCCGGTTCTTAAACCCTTTGCTTCCGGTGGGGGAGCAAATCAGCCTCGTGTTTCTAGATTACTTCTACCCCCAAGCCCCTGTTGCCCTGTCCCCTACGTTCTATTTGGCTGCTCACGGAGGCTAAGTCACCCAGATGGCATGGTAGGCCTCCGCCAGGATGAATCTGTTAGTACGCCAAGGATAATGATACTGAATAATAAGTATCATGGTAGTCTTTTAAATCTGAAGACTCTGTTTATTGCTATAGGTTCACCAACTTCTAGGGTGGTAATTGGTCGCTGAGGTTATGATACCCCTGGCGAACTAATGGTTCTTAACCCTAGCAGAGGAAAACAGGACAAGGCTTGGAATGAAGAGTGACTTTACACGATTGCATTTGAACTGCTGCAGTGCGACAACATGCCGTCCTGTAGCCCTGTCCCTATGCCACGAGGCACCCTTGAACAGGCGCCTGTTCTTTTATCCAGGACTTATAGATCGTGAGGACGGGCCATGTCACTGCGTCACGGGCGTAGAACTGGGTCCACTGATGCATGCCTGCAGATTAATGGGGTTTTCTCATTAAGCGTGATCCGTCATCATGAGCTAAGGTGAAGCACCGTTTGTTGACGCCTTTTCCTTCCAGGATGTAATTGTGACATATTTGCTCCCATGCCACTCCCTGTCTCTTCATGTGCAAAGCTACTCGTGACATTTTTCTCACAAAAGCTATAACATACCATCCATAGTCTATTTGTTTAGACTCCCGTTCTATATGTCCATACTCATCAGGTACATCTCCAGTATCCGCATGAACTTGGCCACGAACGCCTCGAGGTGGAATATCACCTTTGTCCCTGTCTTGATGCGGTGCTCGTAGAAGGCCGACCACTTGATGACGTCCGCCTTGAGAGCGTCGTCAATCATCGGTATCAGCTTGAAGGTGAGTGTGCGCAGGATCGTGGTCGGCGGTATGCAGTGTGTCAGAAGATCGTAGAGCTTCGCCCGCACTTGCAGAATGCGCGCCGGTGTGTGCTCGTCCATCATCTCGCGGGCGACCTGCCCGATGAGTGCCTCCCAGTCGGGTGGGGGGATGGGCGTTGTGTCTGTGACTTTCTCGCTTTGTGGTAGTCAGTAGCTGCACAACATGGTCACGACCGGGATTGATGTTTACTTCTGTGCATGGACGGCCTCATACATCAGCAGAGCTCGTCGCAGATTCCTCCCGCTCTCCTCTGCTATGCGCTTGTGTAGGCCCTTGACGGTAGGCCAGCCCTCCTTCTTCGCCGACGCGGCCAGCACGTCGCAGATCTCCTCGTGGCTCGGGGCTGCCACCCGGACCAGCAGCGTTCGCGAACGGATAGGGGCGATGATGTTTGCAGTCGAGTTCGCGAGCAGGATCAATCTCAGGTTCGGACTGTACTTCTCCATCGTTCGACGCAGCGCGGCCTGGGCGTCTCGCGTCAGGTGGTCCGCCTCGTTGATGACGACGACCTTGAAGCGCTGGCGCGCCGACTGGTCGACCTGCTGCGTCTGGGCAACCTCCTTGAGCAGGTCTTGCACCACCACCCGGTCATAGTTGCCTACGTCGGAAGGCGTTATCTCCAAGTGGTACACTGAGGCTACTATGTTGAACTCGAGCTTGCGGTTGCTGGAGGTCTGGAACACCCGTGCATCGATCTTGATTTTCTCCACACCGGGACCATAGAGCTCTTTGAGTGTTGCTACGATACGGGTCTTCTTGCCAGCACCGGAGGGTCCGTACACTAGAAGATGGGGAAAGTCGCCGCTTTGGGCCTGTAGAAGAGGTCAATTATCCAGTGTTTGGAGGGGTTAGGGATTGCAAGATCGTACCAGAGCTCGCAGACGCTCAGACAGCTCATGGTGATATGTGAGCGTGTCCAGAGACCTCGGCCTGTGTTTGTCTACTATCAACGCCATTGTGAGCTTGATACAGGTTGTGACGATGAGATAGACTGGCACTGCTGCTACGGACGAATTTCTTTGGAGACAGACGCGTCGCGTAAGGCAGGTACTTTAGCTTGGTACCTCAATCAGAGGTTCAATTAACGCGGTGGCCCAAGCTCCATTGGTCCGTGCGTCTGCCCTTCTTCTAGGTAGAAGAAGGCCTCCCAGCTAAAGTACTCTACTGCCAGGCTAATAAACGTTGATTTCTAAAGGGTGAAAATACTCAATGTTGGGAATTGTAATGCTCCTCAAGCTCTCGAATATTCTATGTATTACTATGGGCCTGTCAACCTCTATAAAGGTAGCGACCTCTTGCTGAGGAGGTAATGATACCCTTACTGTACTAATGTTTATTACCACGGCGGAGGAGTAATACCCCCAAAACATGAAATTCCTCCAATACACAGTTACGGTCAGCAGAGCACATCATGTGAGGCACGGAATGGCTGATCCCTTTGAAAACTTGGTTTTATCGGACATTCGATGAATTAAAATATATTCGAAATACATTATGAGTTTCACTTGCTTGACGTGCTGCCCAACAGCTGTCGTAAAAGCAACTAGATTGATGCTCGAAGCCCAATGTCGAAAACATGAAGGTAAACACCATTAAAATGGGATATTGGACTGGCGAAAGCCCTGCGCCTTCTCTCTCTTCCATCTTTCACAGCCAAGTGACTTCATTTATGAGATATGAGAAGCCTCAATCTTCGCCGAGCCAATGGTGGCCGCCTTCTGCAAGCTATCGATATTCTAGCCGTCTTTATCTGGTCTGCCTCGCAGAGTGCGGCTGAGAAGGCGTTCTTGGAGCCTTGTATATAACCCCCCAGCCCCAACCCACTACGGCCTCGCACCAGTGTATGTCAGCCTTTTTCCAATTCGTTTTTCAAGATGTTCGTGATACCTAAGTGGAATTGCTGGATTAACGAGAGGAATCTATCCGGTTCAAGCCCGTTTCTCACCCCTCGTTCTATCAAGTCAAGCAATATTCGAAGAACGCTTGAGGCTGTTTATGATCGTGACTCGAGGCTGGGAAAACCCGTGATTCTGTAGGTGGACTCTGATGTTCACGTACAGTCTGTCGCGTGGAACTCACCATGACATAGGGTTGTAGACATCGAACCTGAAAGTGACGACTTCAGAAATCGCTTCTCTCGTGACTTCCCGGGCTTTCCTTCCTATCTTCTGCGAGATTTATCCAGCGCGAAGTACTTCGGGAGAGGCACGGCTTCTCTGCCATATCGCGCTCAAGATGGAAGTCAGTAATGTTGTTAAATGTGGCAGCCATTCTAAATAGTGGACTAACAAGTTTCAAGCGCTGAGCTTCCTCACTACATATCCATATCTGGAGAGCGTGGCTCCGAATGCCTCTACAACTCCTGAGCTGGAACATCTCCCTGTTGCTGTCTGCGTGCACCCTGACCCGAGCCCGTCGTACTTCAACCGGTCTTCTGCTGCCCCAAGAGTACCATTCATAGTCATTGTCTCTTTCGACGCCCGTGTCGGGCTCCGGCTGAACGCGCATCTTACGGGGAGTCCACACCGGCACCAGAGGCTGGCAGAGTCTCCTGAATGGATATACATGGAGGTCAACACGGCGCTCTCTCCCTGGCATGAACTGTGGAATCCGGCGCGTCTGGAGCTCGCAAGGCGCACATCTGAGCTCTATTCCGGTCTACAGGCACAAGACATCCTGAAGATTACGAGAGACCTCCATCAAAATACCGCCAGCGTCATTGCGTTACGAGAGGACCTAAGGCTTCACATCAGTGCAGCTGAGCGCTACCAGCAGATTGTTCAGGGAATACGGCCGCGCATCTTGGATACATCACCTTTGCGACAGACTTATCAAACCCTTGAGGAGAGGGTTGCACAAACTCTTCAAAGTATGACATATCAGCAGGAGACCTCTCAGGTGATACTAAGGCAATTCGAAAACCTACTGAGTCTAGTGAGTTCAGACGCTTCCCATAATCTCAACGCGTGTAGCTTACTGTTCAACCCGAGGCTTTCAACACCGAAACGGTCAGTCAAGGCCAGATGGTGGCAAGACTGAATGTGCTAGCGACCATATTCCTGCCTATATCTTTCGTTGCGGTAGGTCCCCATTACCCCTGAATTAAGTGGTCGCCCAGCTACTGAACCTTCCTCCACTCCCACAGACCCTCTTTGGAATGACCGAGTTCACGATCAAGCCCGTCTGGTACCCGCTGGGAGCGTTTATAGGGCTGGCCATTGCCGTTCTTGTAGTGCTCCTACTCGGCCGCTCGAGCGCTCTATTCAGCCTTCTCGCCTTCACTGGTATTGGTCCGGCACCGCCAAAACGACCGATCCCGCCCGCAGCCAAGAGTCCGGTCCAGTATATAAGCGAAGAGCCGCTCCATCCAGCTGCTGCCCCCATTGGACCAAGTTATCAAGGGGCTGACCAGACGCCATTACCCGTGCCTATGTACGGCGGTGCTCCCTATATACCCCAGGGGACCTAGATATCAAGGCTTTACTACAATGGTGCTCTGTGTGTTTATCATGTATTTACCTCAAAGAATAGTACACGTTGAGTCTCTGAAAGCTTCATACCTTAGTAAAAAACCCGTGACAAATCACCTTGATAATTGGGAAAGTGACTTGTTAAGAAGCCATGGCAGACATGCCTGGGAATCTTTTTGTCGAGGGACACTATAGCCTCACTAAACATACAAAATGAAAGTAATTCCTCGATACTTGCAAGTCGATTCGTACCTGGGACAACCTAAACTCCGAGATTGATGTCTTTTTCCTCCAAGGCATCTGGTATCATGTGAATATTGGAAACAGTATGGAACGAACCCCCCTGAAAGGCGCGTCTAGCCAGACTGCGTTGCGACCACTCGACTTTCCTTCCAACCCATATTAAGAAATGAAACCAAAACGCCAATCCCATCTAAACGCCAAGCAGAAAAGCCGTCTCTGCCTGCCTATTTTAACGGCAGTGTCCTGAAGTAATACATAAAGTGAACGAAATGAACGGGTTTCTAACTCGTTCCAGAGCTTGAGCTCTCAACCGGAGAATGGGGTCGGTCTTGTTCATCCTCGATCAATGTTGTCGGGCTTTCCGCAACATCTTTGCCATTGTCCTGACTGTCAAGACGGAGACGCAATTTTTGATCGAGCATGGAGACCAGCCTCTCAGAGTACTGGTCAAGTAAGCCACTCAGCATGGTCTCACTGACAGCTTGTTTCGTTCGGGCAGCTCGATCCGTAAGAGCTGCAACTGTGAGGCGGAGTTCAGTATCTAGCTCAGCGAGAGTATCGCTAGTAATAGGATCTGATGAAGCTAGTTTCTTCCGATAAGCTCGGAGTTGACGACATGTTTGTTCGGTAGCCATGTTGAGACTACCGAAGCCATACGAAGAGCGCAGATTGATCGCACTCTTCTTCCGAACCGCAGTTGCCGTCGGGGGAGTCGTGTTCAGTGCAGGAAGAGAGGGTCTTCTAGTCACTCTCGCCTTGGGGCTCACTGGTGGTGGGCTTCCAGGACGGCTACCCGAAGAAGCTCGACGCGATGGTGTTTCCTCGTGTACGGTACTAGCAGGACTAGCTTGTGAAGCAGCGGTAGGAGTTCTTGTTGCTGCCGAGAGATTGAACCTAGACGTTCGTCTCTGCAGCGTTCTAGGCGGCGAGCGACGTCCAGGGGTTGGTGATGGCCGCTGAAATTCGGCCAACTCGGCCTTGGAAAGCACACGTCGTAATGGTGGGCGGTTTGCAGTTGAGAATGCTTCTTTGGCTGGCGATGGATCTCTACTCCTCGATCCAGCGGCAAAATCTTGCAAATCCAAAGCCCAAATCATCACGGTGCCATCCGAGCCCACACTCACAACTTTTCTGCCAGTGTCCTCGGCCTCGACGAGGATGACACCATTGATTGCCTCTGTGTGTCCCCATTCACGATCCAGAAACGAGCCTGTCTGGGAGTCGTATAGTCTCACCGACTTGTCGGTGTTCGATATACCTAGCAGAAACCCGGACTCAGCAGTCTGGGTTTGACCAAAGATGAGAGAATCTAGGACGGCTGCCTCCATACCACCTTCATCGGTGCATTTGAACAGGTTCAGGTGCCGCCCAGTTGCAAGTTCGTATTGGCAGATGGATCGATCTAATGAAGATACAAACACCGACTTGTTATCAGGTGAGAGAACCATCGAAGTCGGCGAGGCTTTCAATGAGATGATACGCGAAGAAACCGCAGCGATGGTGTCCGGCTCCCCCTCTTTCGATAGTAAGTCATGCAGCTGTAGAGTGCGATCGAACGAGCAGGTGATGATCTTGTCTTCTGGAGAGACGAGGACCGAGACTACCTTGGCAGCGAATTCCAGCGTTTGAAATAGCTCAAAGTTGCCACCGGAAGTTCTTTGGAACAGCTGTGTTGTTCGATCTCGACCACAGGACGCGACAATGAATTTAGACTTGTCTTCATGGATGGTGATGACTTGGCATTCTGTTGAATGAGCTTTGGTCTCCATCATGCACTCCTTCGATGCGAAGTCTATGATCCGCAAAACACCTTGTCTATCGCCAGCAACGAGATACTTCCCGTCTTTGCTGACCTTCACGACACACAACTGGTTGACAGTATCGAGGTCACTGCCAAAATAATCCTGTTCGATTGGGATGTCAAACGACGATTTGATGTTACCATCCAGATCCCATAGTTGAACCCTACCTGCCCCGGACCAAGTATAGAACGCCCCATCAATGTTATCTGGAAGCAGTTGGATGCCTAAGATCGGGTCACCGTGGCCGGGGATCTGAATGTGTCGTAAATCAGGGGTAGAGTCACCGGGTGTGTAATTTGCACTCCAGATAGCAATAGAACGTTTCGAATCGATCGTGACAAGGTTGTCACGCAAATAGCCCATGGCAACAAGTCCTGCAGAAGCCGGATTCGATTTGAGGACAACCTCTTGTCGACACTCCAGGACGGCGTCAATATCGAGGCCGGCATATTGGCCAGCTTTGCCACCAATATGAGCAATGCGTCCCCTGATAGAGATGCAACTTACGGGGAAACCAAGGTTGATGACCCGTGTAAGTTTCATTTGGGAGCTGGTATCATCCAGCAAGCAAATATCGCCCGCTTCTGTGCAAACCACTGCGTGGGTGTCATCGATTGCGTGGCCGCAACAGAAAGCAGCTTCAAGAAGTGACCCAAGGAGAATATTTCGACCAGGAAGGGTCTTTTGCGCAGATGGTGTAGATGGAGTGCTGTCTCCAGAGAATAGCTTTTTGACCGGAGATGTAGAGAATCCTTCTTCTACTCTCCACACCTTGACATGTCGAACGCCAAACGTGATCAAGCTGTTCCCTAGCCACATCATGCCATGGACAAACGAAGTGCATCGATTTTGCTGGAAGAGCTTTGCTGCCCCTGTTCGGGAGTCTATCCTCCACAAATACAAGAATCCATCATTGGCAGCGCCAAGCGAAGCCAGATAACGATTATCAGGAGACCATGCTACGGCTTTGACGCCAAAGGTGTGCTCACTTATCGACACCAAGGGAATATCAGACGAGTTATCTTGGAGACTGAATATCAGAACGCGCGGATTGTATCCTGTTTCTCCAACAGCGAGAAATCTCGAATCGCGACTGAGAGATAGACAGGTCGCGGCCTTGATCCTCTCCCGGCTCGTCCAAGTTTTCGGCGTAGGAGACTCAGACCAGTCAGGGGTCCCGTAAAAAGAGTCACGGGAGCTAGCAGCCACTCTATTTCTGCTATCGTTCGCTTTTGGTGTGGCATTGGGAGTGGACGGGGCGTGAGGGATCGGAGAGACGGCATAGATAGGAATGGCAGTCGGCCGAGCACGATAGAAGCGTTGTGAGTAGTTGCTCCCTTCGACGTCGACAACAACGACCGCTCCGCCGGCAATGTAGGCGAAGCAGGAATCGGCGGTATCAAAGCCGGTGGGTGTAGCGCAGGTGGTGCCAACCACCCGCGTCAAAGACAATCGGGAATCGTAGAGAGCGCGGGCCCGAATAGGTGACCTAGAGGGGCGTGGGAGAAATGGAGAGTTTGACGGCGTCAGTTTCAGCCGATTAGAAGGAGTGGACGCCATCTTCCTGCCGTAAACTGCTCTTCAGCAGAGCAGGAGATAGATAGATGGCTTTGCAGAAGTTGACCGTTCAGATGCTTTGTGGGAGCATTTCGGCGAAGCCACAAGATCGGTCGAAGGACAATAGGGTCCTTTCTTTCAAGAGGACACAAACAACTGGCCCAAAACGCTGTTGGCGGTCAATTGAAAGCTCTCCGCAGACTAGAGCTAGGGCCATGGGAGAAGCGCGTCTTAAGAACTTACAGTGACGGGAAAGCTGGTGTTCGAGACGCAATTCAATTGCCTCTCATGGGCATCAATGCATTGGATGCGTCGTGGGTGAGGGGACGCGATACGGCGCTCAATGCAATATCATGCACGACACAGCCGTTTGACTGCCCTTGCAAGCAGAGGAAGAATATGCTTAGGACAAAATAGATGCAGGAGGAGAGAAAGACCGGACAAGGTCAGTCCAACGTAGCGGAGACCGGCTGGTGCTCACCGTCTTTGGACCAGGGCACAGAGCACAGGCACAGACACAGACACAGAGCAGGGGCAGGGCAAGACTGGACAAGACTGGCTGGGACCGTGTAAGTGACATGGGGCCTTCTCTGTTATTGTGTTTTCTTTTCGGCAGGGTTGCAGGGGTGACGGACAGGGCCAACAGGCCTAAAGCGCAGTAGCTTGCACTGGCTGGCCGGTGAACCGGGATTTGGGTGACCCTGCCCTGGCCTGAGCGTGGTCTTTGCGGCAGGTGCGGCCCCTTTCTGGGCGGCACTTGCCCGCATTCTGTTGACCCGGACCTCTCGCCTTGCTTGGGTCACCAATCATCAGCTGCGGCAGTGCCTTAACAATGGTTGCTTAATGTTGATCGCAGCTTCTTCACTTATTTCTTAGGCAGTCGACGTCGACAATCAAGTCAACACGAGGAGCCTATGTATTGCTCACCTCAACTTTGGCCATGGGTGAAACCTTGTCGTTGAGACAACTTGTCATCAGTCAATTGATACTTCAGTTTTCAATTATCCCTTCCAACAGTGACCAACGACCATAGGCGTCATCGGATACAGTCCGTTCGCGACTTTTAACTCTGCAAAGAGATTGCATTAGCGTGGCAGCGCCTGCATGGACGAAATGAGGTTCACAGTCTACCCTGCTCATGGCAGCTTTTCCTATTGGCAGTCACAACGCCCTCGTTTCACTGACCCCGAGCGCATTCATACCGATAAGGACATCCCAATCTTCGGCACTCACCTTGCAGGCAAATCTCTGAATCTCAATGCCTGCAGGCAAGCCTAGATAGAGTGAAATGTCCAGATCGCCTTTGCATGATCTGAACTCCACCGACGCCTTATGGGAGGGGCCTCACGATCTCCTTCAAGGAGTAATCACAGTAGGTTCTCGAGCCTGTCAGGCATGTCAGTCCCAGTCCTGGGAGAGCTTTAAATACCACCCGTCCCGGCCTGCTTCAGAAGCTGGTACAGCTGATGCTCACTTCATGCGATGCGGCTGTGTCACTTCACCCCTGAGCATATCTCTCCTATCCAGATGGCTATGAACACTCCTTTCCTCTTCACAAGCATTCTACTACTATTACATAGTAACCAATGCTCACGAGGGAAGTGACTGCAGAGTGTATTATTTCTTTGAAATTAGATCTAAAGAGGAGGGTATATATGATATGTTGGCTGTGAAAACTCCTTCATGCATATGTAGTGGCATAGTGGCGAGGACCTCCGACTGTTTATCAGAACCCCTGAGTGTGGTTATGGTGGTGCAATACTGCTACATCAGATTCTTCGCCAGCTTGCTTCGCGCGATCAGCCGGTTATTGCCCGTCTCACTAAGGCCACCATCATCTTCCTCCTCGTATTGTGCCCGCCTCCGATAAGGCTTCCGCTCAATGCCTTCGTCTCTCCATCGTGTAGGAGGTTTCTTCCCCAGCTCCGCCCATCGAGACCAAACCTGCTTGCCTCGGTTGAACCATCTCTCCTGGCGCCGCTCTTCTTCCTCTGGAGACGGTTCCCACTTGCTTCGGAGGATTCGCCGGATCGCCTCCGGGGACACTTCAAACTTGTTCGCGAGCACTTCCGTTGTATAGTCCTCAGGAAACTGCTCGTGCAGCGCTCTGATCCCTGCGAGCGCGTCCGGAGACAGCTTCTTTCTCGGCTGCCAGCCATCCGGAAACTTCTCTTTCAGCGCCGCTTTCTGAATCTTCCAGTCCTCCTTCTTTTGGGTTGGTTGCCCCTCCACATTGTCCTCAATTGATTTATATCGTGATTGTACCGGCCGCATTGGACGTTCTCTGGGCTTCTTCGCATATGCTTCCGAGTACGGAGATCGCTCCCTCCTGCCCGTCTGCGCCATACGCCCATTTGGCATTCGAGTTGATGACGGTCTGGAGTGTCTAGAGGCATCGGCTGCTTGAATCTCTGCAGCGAGATTGTCGATAGCTTCGAGCGACAACTCCGTAAATGAGGGCTTCGCTTGCGGCGATGCGGCCGCTTCTGGCCGGCCCTCTGTTCTATCGTTTTCAGATAAAAGGGCCGCCTCCTGCGACTGGTTGTAGTTACGTATCGACGTGTGGAAAGATCGCGGCCAAGATATTGCTGCAGGAGTGTTGGGGAGGTTTCCCTCCCGGGCAATGAGACACCTCCGAGACAGCCATGCTGTACTGCTTGCGTTGGCCTCGGGGAAGTGTATTTGAGCAATGCTTCTCACAAATGCCCGTAGTGTCGACGAGCGACAGGAGCAAGTCATGATCTAGAGCAAGCGTCGCCCAAGAGTGCAGACGCCGACGCTCCGAATATGAGCTTAGTTCTGAGACTGGAGTTTTGAGGTTCAGAAAATTTCCCAGGGAGTCGCGGTTTACCATGGCACACTAACGGCACGCGCCTAAAAGCGGATCCCGAAGCCCACTTACCTAACTCTACTGCTCTACTGTATCAGGGGAATAGGTAAGTAACACACTGCGGAGAGTTAGAAGGTAGTCAACACTAATCTCGTATTGATTGATCCTGAGGCTCAACCAAAGGTTGAGCCAATTGGAGAGACATCATGATGGAGATTATCCAACCCGAATACATACATCGATTACTGGTCTACCTTGCAGATTAAAAGCTGAGAAATTCTGGAAGATTTACATACCCATATGTCACAAAAGACGACACAACTCATTCTCTAACCCACCAAATGTACGATGTGGTCATTATACTACACACTACTAGTAGCCTCAATTCGAAGGATTGAAAACACTTGACAAATGCTCTTCATCTTTCATCCCCAACATAGGTATTTGCCTGATCTATTGTCACATCATTGCTCTCAGCCTCTACAGGTGAAGCGGTTTCTCTATTCTAGCATAGATCAAATTCCATATCACAATGGCGTTAACTAGCAGTGTCTCGCATGCACGCATCATGAAGCTGTCGACGAAGAGGGGTCACTAGGCTCAAGTCCCTAGGGAGCCGCGGCTTGTCCAGATCACCAGCGCTAATCCATACAACTCGAACCCGTTTCACGTGAAGAGCCATGACGAGTATATTTCCTCAATTTGAGGTGAAGAAGAATTCCATATTAGCTAAAGAGACTACAAACTTACTATGTAGCACTCAATGCTTTGTTCCATCTTGCTGTCAGAAAGCGCATGTAGATAGATTTTTGCACTTAATGTCTCTTGATTGTCTGTTAGCAACTCGATGATTGATCAAGTTGAGACTTGGTTGCTGTTCCCCATACTAGGAGATCAACAGATATTGTTTCTGAGCTCCCGATATGATTTTTACAAAGCGCGACCGTCGAACAGTGTGGGGACACAACTTCGACTGGACTACTGAACATAGGGGGTCAGACGATATGCGGCCTCTAATCTTCACCTATGATGTTCTAGGTACAGATTGCCTTGACCGTATAGATGATCTCGGTTTGTCGACATCAGATTCATCAACTCAACCAAGTGACGGAAGAGAGCAAGGTTCTAACGGGACACAAGAAAGGAGTCATCGAGACTTGTACGCTCTCCTAAAGGACAACCACGAAAGCGATGCCAAGTTGCGGGAGCTCTGGAAACAAGTCAACACGATTCCAGAATGGGTCGACTGGGAGGAGATCGAGAGGGGCCAGAAGGTATTCTACCGCTACGGTGGTCCCATAATCGTGGGCCTCACATTTCAGTCCCTACTCGGAGGCATGGGGGGCCGAAGAGTGGTGGAAACTCTTTCGCGAACAGGAGGCTTCGGAGTTAAAGTTGCAAGGCGAAGACTCATGGAAACCTTCCAGCACCTACTCCAAGTAACTTCAGACATTAACTCAATCAAACCTAGCGGAGCCGGTTTTGCCTCATCCATCCGTGTGCGCTTCCTCCACGCCGCTGTTCGCCGTCGGATCCTCACTCTCGCAAAGGACCATCCGAACTACTATTCTGTCGAAGAGTACGGCATCCCTGTCAATGACCTAGACAGCATAGGCACTATTTCCACCTTCAGCTCCACACTGATCTGGATATCCCTCCCTCGACAGGGTATTTGGCTGCGGCAGCAAGAGATTGAGGACTATCTTGCGCTTTGGCGATGGATAGCCTACCTTCTCGGCACCCCTGATGAGCCTTTCGCAACTCCCCAGAAAGCCAAGGCCATGATGGAGAACCTTCTGCTCGCCGAGCTGCAGCCGACGGAGACGGGACGCATCTTGGCAAACAACATCATTACGGGGCTATGCAGCCAGCCTCCGGCATGGGCGTCTCGCGAGTTCCTGTGTGCGGAGGCGCATTGGCTTAACGGTCGAGCGCTCGCGGACGAGCTGGCTGTTCAGAGACCTAGGTTGTACCATACCGCGCTTGTGGTCGGACAGTGCATATTCTTCATGTTTATGTGCTATATTTATCGCAGCGTGCCGTCATGGGATGACAAGAAGAACGAGGTGTGTTACGTCCACGATATACAACGCCTCTCTCCTATCCCCACCTGTAAGTAATCAACCGTAACTAATGTTGTATACCACAGCGCCTCCGCAAGATCTTGTTCAATCTCACTATACACAACACTAATATGGGAGGCCTTGGCAAGGAATCAAGCTTCGAGTTCAAGTACATCCCAAATCTGGACTTGACTACTGAGCTTGGGAGACAAGAGGACTCTGGCCTCGGCCATTCAGGGGTGGAATGGCGGAACCTTAAGGCGCTATTCGTAGCCAGCATGTTAATTGGGTTACTATCATGGTTGATGACGAAAGGTGCTTCAGTCATAGTGGCAAAGCTATCATAGAGTTGAAAATCTAAGATCTGGATCGGAGATGGATTTTCATATTGCGTCGTATTGTGGGTATATGTATATATCTATCAGTAAGGACTGTCATCACGGGTCATAAACTAGTGTCTTCAAACCGGTAAGGTATACAAGAAGTAGAAAGCATTTCCAATGAACGTAAGTTAGTGGTCATAGGAACAGCTTTGCGGATGGAATGAACAAAGACGCCACCGTCAACACCGTGGAAACCAGACCTCCCCAGCATACAGCAAAGAACACCACGCGATCTTGCATAAGTTGAATCTGGTGATTCCCAACCTTGGTCGTGCCATCGAAGATTTTGTACAGAAGCGAACCGTCAGCGTAGTGCTTCACCCATGGCTCGCCGTGGAAGTCATTGCTCGGCCCAAATGACTGCATGCTTGCCTTACGTAGCGGATCGACCCGGCTGAAGGTGCTAGCATTGCGGGAATGTCCGTAATTGGCTCCCTTCTCTGAAGATATAGATTTCCTGGGTTCTGCGTTGTAGTCGCCGTTGTCTTCGCTAATATGCTCCAGGTCTCCAAACTGCTCCCATGGCCGGAGGTTGCGCAAGTTTCTGAGGTGCAAAAAGATACAGATGCCTTGGATTGCTGCTATGAAGACAGAGAATCCAGGCCACCAGATAGCTAGGCATATGATCCGATAGAAGTGACTCAACCGAGACAATGTGAAGAAAATATCTAGGCCGAAGCCCAGGAGGACCGCTAGGAACCCAATGCTCTGAGTATATTTGAGTCGTATGCCGGTTGCGTTACGCCTGCACCATCGTATAAATTTTGGGTGTGATTCGCTCCTCAATTGTGCCTCGGCAGCAGTGAAAGCCGGTAGTAATGCAGACGGGTGAGTTGTTATTTGAGCTGCCGCGAGGCACGTCGTACGGTCGATATGAGAGAGGTTGAGTTGACGAGGTGCCGAGTCGGCGATGTAGTGGCGGACCACTCTTGACATCTCATCTCGAAACGGTTGGATAGTGACTGAAACATTGATCGGTAAGGTGTGCTAATACGGAACTCACGTCAGAAGACTTACATGGTTGCCAACCTTCGCTCCCAGCAATACTTGCTGTTTCTGATCCCGGCGTTCTGGGCAATGAGAAATTCGTGGTAGTCGAGTTGCTTCTCCTGCTTCTCCTCTCAGGCATCTCAGAACTATTCTTGTTGGCTGACGCTACTTCCATGATATTCAGTATGCGAGCCAGCTTCTCACTCTGTGTTCGCTTGTGGCTGTGCACCGAGATTGACGACCTTGAGGATGTGTCCGATTCCTGGTTCCACGGTGGTGATAACGCCTTCTGCCGTGGCAAGAGCCTGCTCCAACGCTCAATATAGTCGATGTACCAAAGGAAAAACTGCAGGGCCTCCGCATTCTGTTCTTCATAAACAAGGTAGTCCATGAAGTCATTGAGTGAGCACGGCTGTTCGCTCATGTTAGTCAACCCAGCATGCTCCTCGTTTGTTCAACACTCACTGGTGATGTGTGGTTCTTGACTATCTCTTCGAAAGATAACCTGGGTGGTATCTTTGTCTTAGAACCATGCTCCTGCTCAAGGTTGAGCGCGCACTCTGGCTCGGACAACATCGTCTAGGTCGTGTAGGTCTGAATAACAATAGACTCGAGCAACGAAAGTGAACAGCAGCCTAACCGCAATATCTTATTCCACAATGGGGCGAATCGAGAAGGCCATCATCTGATATCGTGGGTGAGATGCGAGAACAAGTCTAAATATGAAGCTTGCTGGTCAGGAGCCTGGTTTAGAAGCTCACTGCTGGTTCCGTGTCCGTATTTGACGACAATCTCCAAACGTGAAGGATGATCATATCGCCATGAGATAAACTCAGGTGGGACGCCAGGGCAGCCAGACTGAGAAAACATGCGAGAGAAGGCAGGCCGCGTCCACCTCAGATAAATAACGGAACGCCATGACAAGCTATAGGCCACCAATCGGCCCCTTAAGTAAGACATGCTATAAGATCTTGAAGCATCGGGGGGAGCAGATACCGAGCAGACCCCAGAAGCAACGACAAGCTTCGAGCAGACCAGGGGCCGGAGAGGCGGCTCAAAGATGTGGGCCTGGGGCGTGGTGCAGGATCCTCGTTGCACGGACGAGACATGGCGATCTTGCAGCTGGGATCTTGGAGCTGCAGGTACAGCAATACGAGCATAGGGCCAAGGCGAGGGTCGCATCCCGCCAATGTCGACGCGTGGTGGGCTGGTGGATGACAGTTCCCAGGTTTGTTCCCTTTCTTTCTGACCGCTGGTTCCGCATGTTTGAGCCTGGGTTGCCTGGTCTCTATGCATCAACGTGTTGTGGATGGGTGGTAAGTCACGGCCATGCAACAAGGATAGTCAACGAGAAGAGCGTGCCGTGTCCTCGAGTTAGGCCGCTCTGGTAGGAAATCCGGGGAGTGAGTGGCCACGCCTCGCCACTCATCGGCAAGCCGGTTGCTCTGGTCGTGGGAGGTATCTCACTCCAAGATCTGTGGGAAGAAGCGTTTCAGATCATTACCAGGACTTCCGAATGCGCCACTCGGCGTATTATTCTCCCACACAACACATTCTCGACACATGAACAGTCCCGCTGAAAATCAAGATCATGGCAAAAGGGTTCATGTGCGTGCATTAAAAGTCATCATCTGACTGACAGCTGACAGAATCTAAATGTAATGCGAAACGCTGTCACGCAGAAAGAACTGGCTCTAGTAACTTGAAGAACGAGGTTGCTAATATTCAATGTTGCACTTGGGTGCAGATCTCTCTAGTTGCGCTTCAGTGGCCCATGTTGCAAATCCGGGCATCGTGACTGATCGCCCTGATGGATTATGTTGCTGTTTCTTTTTTTTCTTCGAAAAGCTGAACGTAGTTATTCTCGGGCAACGCTCTCCGTCAAAGTTATCGGACCATGTGCATGCATGATCGCCATCACTGCCCACCTCCACCCAAAACGAGCGTTCACAACTCCCTCCCTTCCGAAAAGCTCTATTTGACATGGACAGGGCTTACACATTGTGAAACCCCCTCTCATGTATGCCGCGTCGAGCTTTCGGAAAGTCTAAACTATATCGGAACTCACTTAAGGTCCCAATTGGGGAGGCTGACTTCTTGACGGCCGAATCGCAAGCTGAAATGGTGAAGAGTCTCTAGCGGGTTGTAACTGTTTCAGATCGACCCCGAAAATATCACGCGGAACTTAGGATAAGCAGGTTCTCTAAGACGGCACGACCAAAATGTCACGTATGATCCACCGTTCTTACCGGATTTTTCGTCTGTAGTTGCGGAAGATGCTTCTGATTTCCTGGAAGCTTTCAATTGAGCCGGAGCAATGGTCCGACGCGGTGACTCGCCCGTTTACTACTTCGGCATAACTAAGAAGACATGCTAGTAAATCGTGTAGTCAACGCAAAATAAGTCAGGTAGTCAACAAGGTAGGTATCCAACAAGGTAATCAACACGAAGTAAGTAGGCTTTGTTCGTGATACCCATGGCAGAAGAGTATCTGAGAGGGATCCTTGAAAGTCTAGCCTACTGCACAATCATGTTGCGAATTTGTAATTGCTGGAGTGAAACCTCTCTCTATAGCATTAGGGCTTCTCATGGCAATCTAATGCAGACGCACGTCGACGACACTTGCATGATCCCGATAGAGAAACAGAGCCACTCAAGATCTGCTCTGGAATAGACCTCTGGACTGACATAGCAACCGCCCATTGAGCTCTGCATCATCGAACATGCACAAGTGAGCAGCTCGTTTCAGTGATCCTGCAGATAGAAACAGACTCGTGAAGACCGTCACGTCGAAGGCAGTCGTGTCGAAGGGCCGCCGACTCCTTCTCGCCTCATTGATACCGGTAATGCAGAAGCGTTGCCCTCATGCTCGCGGTTCCCTTCGACTGCGATACTTCTCTTTAACTCCTCGCTTGCGGCCCTCTTTCTTCCCGCCACGAGCTCTAGACGCTCGTCGGTTTCTTCCAGCCTTGGTCCGTAGTCGATGCCAGAGCATCCGCACCTTGTTATACACAACAAGGACACGATAGACCATCCTCGGGTGGTGCGAGGCGAAGACGCCCACGCGCTGCGCGACTCGCTCAGATCGTCGCCTGGGAGGCATGGCTGCAGTCTGACAGCAGTTTCCCCCGTAGCGATATCTGGGGAAAGCGGGATGGGACGTATGGAGAACCCATGTCAACCCATCATGCGTAAGGGATTGAACGGTATTAGAATTAGAGCATAGCGATGCTGGGTAACGTTTTAGGCGATGAACGCGTGAAGCGGATGAAGGATGGTTGGGAAACGCCCGGAGTCAAGCTTGCGCGTCCAGACCTGCAAGAGTCTGGATGGGCTTTGCTAGAAACGCAACTGCCTAAGCAATTGCTGCATCTGGGTAAACGACGTATCCTGGGCGGAAGGGGCGATCAGAACCCACCAGTATCATCCATGTCACACTGAGTACTTGGGAGTAATAAGCAGTTGATGGGCAATAAGTCTATCAATTCTTGTGAAACTTGAGATTTCTCCCGTTGATCCACATTGGTCAGTTCGACCATGATGCTATGTTCTGCGAATCCTCTATCTAGAGGGTTTATTAACGATTACACCAACCAAACCATGCTCGAAGGCACAAAAAGGCCTTTGTCTAGTGGTGATGCGAATGTTCGTGCCTCTGAAACGTCTGCTCGTGAAGTTTTCCAAGTCTCGTCGTTGCGAGGTGAAGAGGCGAGTGCCAGGTCCAACGAAGGACACTGCAAACCCTGATCGCCTTACAACCAAACAAATCCTCCCCTCTCATGTATCAAAACCATATGTGGTCATATTCAATGCCGGTGGACAGACAAGTGTCCGAAGGTGATCCAAACCAAGACAAAACGCCGTATACAATGCCTTGCCTGCCGCTCTCTTTCAAGAAACAACCACCTGTGCCATTTCGGGGTATGATGGAAGCGAATAAAAGCACAATGCATGCCATAAGCTCCATTTCGTCAAACATTAACCAGCCATTCGTAGAATATGTTCCCGAAGCTCGGCTCGGGTTGAAGAGAATCAAAAGTCTGTAAGGTGTTTTGCATTATAGCCAGAAAGTGAAGACAAGCATGACGCCAACGAGGCCGGCGCCCATTCCTGTGATTTCCTTGTTTGGAGATGCAGGGTTCTCAGTCGAGGAAGCTGAAGCAGACGCTCCGGTGGCCGTGCTGACGGTAGCAGGATCGACCGTGGGGGTTGAGGTGTAGCTCCCCTTGAAGGTCTCGCCGAGGGTGGGCAAGGCGACGTTGCCATCCACGAGCCAGCCACTAGGAGTAGACGTGGGGCAAGCGCGCGTTGACAGGCTGGGTGTATAGTCGGACTTGATGACACCGGTGGGGGAAATGGTTGCCCATTGTGACTTCAGGTTGTTGAAGTCCGGGGAAATAGGTGTCGGGGTACCCTTACGCGAATATCCGCCCTCGATATCGGAACCAGTAGCCGTGGCAGCTACTGAGGGGCCGTACGAAATCAGACCATAGTCATTCGCTTCTTGAATCCACTCGTAGATCAGAGAGCCACTCCAGTCGTCGACCATTTCCTTGCCGAAAATAGCGGCTTGGTCGGCAAAAGTTCGCGGCTTCGGGGTGTTGCAACCGGTCTCGGAGAAGAAGATGGGGACCGGGAAGTCGACGGCCATATTTTGTAGATTCACGTAGCCGGATGTCTCATACGTAACCTCGCCGCACCATTCGTACGAGTTGAGCGCGAAGAAGTCGATGTTCTCGCTGGAGTTGCCGCCGCAAGTGAGGTAGTCCTGAAGCATAGGCCGAAGCTCAGCAATGTCGGCCGCGGAGTAGCCCACCGGGATATCGCGGTAGCCCTTGGACTTTCGGTAGGCTTTCATATCGCGAGCAGCAGACTTGATGAATGGAGCTGCCATAGATTGATTGTTGATAGCGATAATCTCATTTCCGACGAAGAAGCCCAGAGTGTTGTCATAGCCAGCAAAGGCATCCATGACTGCAGCATAATGGTCATACTGAGTCTGATTCCACCACGGATCATTCTGAGATTCAAGCATCAGTCGCGAGAGATTTTTTTTTTTTTTGGTAAAACAAACGCGCACTCACCGGTAGAATATAGGTATCAAACGTGTCAAGGTCGATGAGGGTGTAGATACCAGCATCTGCGAAGGCGCTCATGCAGCCATCATGGTCACCCTTGGCATCCACGTGGTAGATGCGGATGGAATTCGCACCAAGCGTCTTCATAAGCGAGGCATCCCGGGTGCATTGCTCAGTGTCAATGAGCGGGTCATCTGCAGGCGCAGTTAATATAACAGTCCGATATCGTAGCCATTGAGGCAGGAAAACAAACCTGGAGTGAGCTGGTAAGCAATGCCCTTCATAAAGAACTGCTTGCCGTCGTCGTCCGTGAAGAACTTGTTGCCCTTGACTGAAACAGTGGAGATAGCCTTGGCTGCGGTGGCGCCAAGGAAGGCGGAGGCGATTGTTGACAGCCTCATCTTCAAGAGCCTCTGAACTGGAGCCGCTGAAGTGAGAAGATAGTTGTCAATTTGCGAAACTCAGGACAATTGAAAGAGCCCGAATTGACGACTCAGCCCAAGGGTGAAGAGTGGTCAAACGGCGAGAGAGCTCGGGTTGCTCTCTGTTTTGTCCAGGTGGGTCGATGTTTTGTAGATTGTAGCGACAGAGCTGGAGCTTGCGACGCCAGGGGGTCTAAGCCAAGAGCTGAAGGGCTGGTCGCTGCGCAAGAAGCTCTGATGGGCGCGACGTAAACGAAAGTCGGCAAGAGCCTCGTGGGGAATCTGAGATTGACAGCGAGCGGAGGGAGTAGCGATTGTACACACGGCGTTCCAAGCCGATCTCGTGCTTTTTTCCTTTTCTTTCTCTCGAAGTCTCAGACTTACACGCGTTGGACAATGCAACGAATGTGATGGGGCTGCGATAAGCAACAACCAGATCGGACAGACAGACAGTCAACAGTCGGATGGCCAAGCGAATGGAGACCGAACACTGAACACAGACAAACGGGCGACTCTTCCCTTCTCTCGAGACTGCCTTTTTTTCGCCTTCTTGCCTTTGCGATAGTCCTTTTGTACAGACAGACCTGAGGAGGAGGTAGAATGGGAAAGTGGGCGGACTCGGGAAAGACGAAGATAAATAAAACGGGTAGCTAGAGCTAGCTTGGTTGGCTAGCTGGGCTAGCTGGGCTAGCTCTGCCCAGTGAGGGAGGCACGAATTACTTGTTTTTCCCCTTGTTCTCCTTGCAACGTTCTCCAACAGCACGCGAGAAACGACGAGCTAGGATCCTAGTGGTGTGCAGGGGGGGAAACATTGGAACACATTGGAAAGACTGCAGCAGCCACAGGGGGGCTCGTGGGGCCCACAGGTACCACCTGGGCCTATGCAAAGTACCTAGGTGCACTCGGTGCACTACCTCACACCCTACCTGCCTACCTACGCTAATAAATGTGAAAGGCCGGCGCCAGGAGAGGGAGGCGGCGATCGCTACGCGTACCACACGATTTGCACTCTAGCATACAAAAGTCTGCAGCTGAGCTAGAGTTCGAGGCGACGGAAACGTCGATGGTCTCGCGTTAGGCCCGGTACTCGGGAGTGCTAGTGCTGAGCAGTGCTGAGCCGTGTGCCTCACACGCGCTGGCCTAACAAAAGCGGGACCACCCTCAGGTGAGTGCCGCACCATTTTCCGGCGATGCTGCTGCTAAAAGGAGCGAATGTCCGACCGGACAAGCTGTGGGGGCAAAAAGAGCATCATTCAACGGTGCTCGTACAGGATTCATTCTGAAGACCTTACTCGCGGACAACGAGCGTAGGGGGGGGCGCAAAAAGCCATCTCATTGCTACATGCAAATCCCACGACTCTCTCACGTTACAGTCAAGTACCGTCCGTCCAGTCCGGCTGTGGATGGGATCAAGACGACACGGCACAACCAGGAATCAGACTCAGAGTCGAGGGAAGTCGTGCGGCGGCTGGTTGGCTGACATGGCTGCAGCATGGCCCCGCGATTGGCCAACTGGAGGGCCGTGTTGGACGCTGCAAGCCTGGTAAAAAAGACATTTGCTAAAATTGAGCAGAGATTGCATTGTTTCGCCAACGCCAACGCCCATCGACTTTGGCCTCTGATTCTCTGTGCCTTCCTATTCCATCCCGATACCCCGTATTCTAATCTACCGTACCTAATCCAAGGGATTACACAGCACTCTCCTCGCTTCGGCTCGTGTATGGTCTGTGTCCCCCAGAATACAGGAACGTGATCTTCTCTGCTACATGTACAGTACGTGTATTTCCTGGCGACGGGCGGCGGCGTGTTTCGTTTCATCCAAGCACAGGCCACCCCCAAGAGTTGAATGGCCCAGGACTCCAGGCAAGGCCAGGACACTTCTTCTCAATGCAGACATGGAGGGTTACAGCTTACGAATTATGTGTGTTGTCTTGATGGGTCCATCCTCAGATCATCATTGCCTTGCTGTTGTGACAGAATGACGTGGGCTTGACGGGCCTGCCTGCTGCCCTGCACGCGTCTTCGCCGTTTGACTTGGGTCAATAACGTTATGCATGCTCTCTTCCAAATCAAGACTCAATTCCCCATCCTGAAGAGTCTCGCCGCTTAATGGAGAGCCGCTCGCTGTACGATGCACCACTCCTTATCAGCGGTTACATTACCGTACTAGGCACGCAGTACATGTACAGTAGAAATGCTGCAAACGACGCCACAAGTAATTTCAGGCAGCGTACCGACTTGCCGCCTTCCCGCCATTCGTCTGTGTGCAAGGTCAAGTACGGTGGGGACACCAAAACGGTCAAGTGCTGATATCAATGCTTGGGGCTATCAGACCTCAATCTCGTTTGCACGACCGATATCGAAATTCCCATGCACAGAACTCCCCTCCACCTGTCTAATAACAAAGGGAAGAGACACTCCTGGGGAGAGTGCGTCGGCCAATTGTGTTTGGCTATGACGCAATGCACATCACAGGAGCCAATTTTAAACTGGCGCGACTTTCTCTTGGCCCGTTGCTCGTGTTCCACTTAATGTCAGCATGGATGCTGCAGTAATTGATCATCCTGGTTCTTAGCCAACAATGGCTTATCAGCCCGCTTGATAAGACCGGATCCTGTGCCGTACAAACTGAATGTGCATAGATTGAACGGATATCGCTGCCGTCACACGTCGACCTGCATCAAAAAACTAAAGCTGAAGCTGCCACACATTGGCTTGTGCGGCTCTCAACTGTTTCCACCATTTTGACCAAGTAAGTGTAGACTAGAAAGGGTAGCCTGGCTCGTGCTTCTTTCAGCCTCTTCACAGTACATAGGAAGGTACTGCTCTATCCAGCGTTGAGACTATACAGACAGAAGTGTGCTATAAGCTATATCCTCTGTTCCGTGAATATATTGATAGCCAGAGCTTAGGATAAAATCACCTTTGAACCTAGACCCGGAAAGTAGCCTAGAGATAGGCTTGAGGTTACGATGAGGACCCCTTATGTTTCACAGCGAGCACTCTATCACCACCACGCTCTGGTGCTCTGTAGAGTATTGGTCACAAGAGCTCAATCAACACGCAACGGCACGGCACCAAACATCGAGTTTCAGCAGGCGAGTGTTTCCATTCTGAAGCCGTCTCTTCTGCCGATGTCCTACTACGGCCTCTGGTCCTACATGCAACCAGCCGCCTCCACTGCAGACAGATAACGGGAACCAACAACGCTGATATCAAGTTCAATTTGACACAAGAACTAGTCCTCCCATCCACGGCAATCCAGTGTAGATAGCAATTATAGCGTTCCGTCCAAGCCAGCCTTTCAGAGTCCTCCGCCCAGCCATCCAAATACCGGGGAATAAAGCCATCCTCCAACTCCGGCCGTATATGTCATTCCATCATACACGATGATGCCCTCCGCCCGAGGTAGGTAGGTCCATTAGGGGTAGGCGGGAAGGTTGGGCACATCTCTCGTAGTTCAGCAGTCTAGCCCACGCTCATCTCTGTTATGCGGTGGTTCGCGCCGGTCAGCCTCCATTCTGTCTCAGAGAAACGTGCATTAGTACGGTTGTAGAGAGGAGCCCAGTTACCTGTGTAATTTGAAGGAGCCTGCCACGGCCTCACCTTGTTGACCGGCAAACTTCGTATGGCATCAAAGCCGCTCCCCACGTATCTCTCGCCCCCGCCTGGCCCCGGCGCCGGCGCCCCGCCCCGAGGCGTCTGGGTGCCGCCCGCTCTGGCGACGCCGCTCCCGCCGCTGTTCGTGCGCCTGTGCTCGAGCTGGCTGCGTCCGCTGCTCCGCTTCGTGAGGATCGACATGGTCTCGGCGTTGCTGTCGACGGCGGGGATCTTGGACCCGAGCTTCAGGCTGCCGAGGCCAAAGTCCCAGCCCCCGTACTGGTGCACGCAGTGCGGCTCCGTGATGCCCGCCGCCTCCGTGATGACCTGGTACATGCGGGTCTGGACGTCGTATGCCGAGGGCCGCTCGCCGGGGTGCAGTGCGAGCATCCGCTCGACGACGTGAAGAAGGGGCGCCATGCCCCTGAAGACCTGGTCGTCCTTCTTCGCCGCGTCTTTGGCGAGCCCCGTCATCCAGCTCTCGACCTGTCCCAGGTTCCTGTGGAACGAGGAGTCAAGCACCGCACCACCTCTGCCTGGCGATTTGTGCTTCGCGGATCGATGTGTAGCGAAACTCTTCGTCTGTCGTTTCATGACATAGCTCAATAGTTCTAGAATGACACATCCCAGTGAGAAGATGTCTGCGGCTTGCGGGTTCAGCTGCGGATTCGGTGCGTGCATCATCGCCTGGGGGCTCTGGGGGTTGCTGTCTGAGCCTCCTTTGCTGATGGAGAAGGTTGTATTGTCCGGCGAGGTGGACATCGAGGTGAGGGTTGCTTTGCGTGAGATAGACCCAGAAGAGCCAGACGGTCTAAACCATTGCTCTGGCGCCGCGTAGTCGTAGGATTCCTTGTCGAACGAGCTAGAGCCGCTGCTCGCCAGGATGTCAGGGTTGAGTTGCGTGAAGTCGGAGAAGAAGATGTGGTTGGCATTGGTGAACATGATTGTCGACGGTTTGATATTGCCGTGGGACAGCCCTCGGTTGTGGATGAAGCAGAGTGTGTCGACTAGACAATGAATCCAGTTCATAACGAGTTGCCGCCTCTTCTGCTTATCGATATTCTTCACAGAACTCGGAGTGTTGGCCAAAAAAGACTTGAGGGTGAAGTCACTGGCCGGAGTAAAGAGCACGAAGCCATAGCCTTGGTGCTCGTATGACCCCCAGTATGATACCAGGTGCTCATTCTGCACGTTCTTGATGCTGTTGATCTCGTAGATGAAATCTTCTTGCGGGAGACATCCGTGGCCGGATCCCAAGGGAATCCTTCGGCGGCAGAAAACCTGCCCCGGAGCATTAGGAAGCTCGACCTTGTCTACAGCATGGTTCTGAGTAAGACCAGGACGCTTGTCGACAATGTCGAGCGGGACCACCTCGGCATGCTGGTACACTATGTGCTCGCCCTTCTCAAGGGGCTTCAGCAGGTAGTGAAACTGACGATAGTAGAACTTCCTTTCAGACTTTTCGTCCTTAGACGGTGTCAAGGCAAGGCGTTCCACCTGATCCAGGGCGATAGGGAGGTCCTCATCATCCCAGGAGTCGTCAATGACGCCGAAGATCTGATCCGGAACGCCAATGTCGACGAGGATGAGGAAAATTCGCTTGGCTTTCTCGTCTATCCACTCCCAGTAAGTGCCGTCGGTTAGACCATCGCCAAAGGCCAGAGGTCGGTCCAAGCGCTCGATCTCTTCAGGAAGGAGGTGCGAACAGACAAACTGCCGGGTGACAGCCGCCTCAATATGATCTGTATCCCACCACATGGCTGGCAACACTCGAAGGCTGGACTGTGTTATCTCCTGTCAAGAGTTCCGCATTACGCTCACAGGAGAAAGCATGCCAAGGAGAAGTTTTACACTGGTACGGAAGAGGGAAGCATTCACAACGGAGGCAACGCGTTTCCGTCGAGCCCGGTCTGACAGACAGGGCCTTAGGTGTATATAGACGGAGACTGAGAGATAACGATCCCCACCTAGGCTACGTGTGGCGTGTAACGAGACATTTCCTCGACTGATGGAAGCGCACCGCACCTCGGGCACCTACTAAGCATCAGACCGCCCCTTACTAGGTTCCCCAGGCCGAGAGAGTTCCCAGGAAAAATTCCGCATATCAGAGCCTGTAGTCGGCTCCCCGGGTCCCAGAACCTGCACCGTGCTTTTGATAGTGCAGAAGTGCGAGCTCTGTCATTTTGTTTCGCTTATCCGTTGATAGCAAGGGTTCGAGATGGGGCGGCAGACCCTGGGGTCGCATGGCTGCCTGTCCAATTGGTTACTGTCTTGGGGGCCCAGAGATAAGGAAGTCGGGCTCTGTATGGCTCCCACACAGCGTGTGGCGCTTGACATGATGGGGCCACAAAGCGTGGGATGGGCCCTCCCGAGTGCCAGAGGATAGCTAGGCTCGCTAGCCATTGATACACGCAGACAATGCTGCAGGCTGATGATCTCAGAGGGGCTCCTGAGGGTGTATTCCCAGGGTCTCGTGTGCCGGGAAGCAGCCATGCCATGTATGGTCTCCAGCGTGGAGCAGTCTTGGCACCTGGTTGATGGGTGTGGCCGTCGCAAGAGATGACTGAAACATGTCAAAAGAGTGAAGCCATTAAGGGGCCGATCACTTTATCTCCTGGGATGTTGGCAGGAGGTTGGCCTCGAGAGTTGCGTGGGGCGCCCCCCCACCCCCAACGCAGGTCTTGCTGCCGAGTGCCTCTCCTCCATCCTTCGCTGTCCGAGGCGTCAATGTGCAAGAGATATTAGTCTTGGCACTGCGAGGCTAGACGTTGAGCACTGTCCAGTCGTTCCAGAATCAAGAAAGCAGGCCATTTCGATATGCGCGTCCTGCCATTTGCTTGTTGTTGCAGATACGGGAGCAGACGAGGGTGTCGTCGTCGGCCCCTATCCTAACTATGTGGGACACTAGACATTGATAACCTGGAAGCTGCTAGACAGCTGAACCCGGCTGGGCATGCCAGGACACGCGAGAAGACTGGGACTGGGGACTGGGTACTCGGGAGTGAGCGAGTGAGTGAGCGAGTGAGCTGGCACGGCCCATCGGGGCGGAACGGGCAGCGAGATCCATGGCAGCAGCCTAGCCGTTTGGCGTTTTGGGTCGTGTTCCATCCGCGCTAATGTGCCGCGCTCAAGTCGTACAGTCAACTCCTTGATTAAGCCTTGTACGCATGCGTGGCGCCTCGAAATTCCTAATGCAATGGACTTGACGTCTCGACTTTTGGTATGAAGACACCCGAGGGTAACTCATACACCGGAAAGATAAGTGAAATACATAAGAGAAGCCCTATATGTGACACTACTTCGTGCTTTCTTGTTCGTGTCACGTCGTCGAACATTGTTTTCAGTGAGTTGCTTTGGGACACCGAGCTGTAGTAAGGATAACGTGTTCCCTGTCTTGTCCGCACTGCGGCACATACTTGCCAATGAGACGGTCATGCAAGCCCACCGATGAGCAGCGGGGCGGTTCTGGTAACTACTTCAGATGCGGGCAGTTCCTCGGACAGAAGACGCCCAGCTCGGCTTCTCACACGACTGCCTTGAGAGAGTCTCGGTGATGCCAGAGCAGCATGGGCCATTGATGCTTTGAACATATTCCCTCATCACATGCGTCTCCTCTCCACATCTGCTGGGCAATAGCAGCATTGTTGTTCTCTGATCAACTCAGTCAGCGGCCTGTCTCTCGGCCGCTCGGCGGCTTCAAACGTATTTGCTCATGCTCTAGGCTTATCATGCCTCACTGTCGCTATCATGCATGCAAGTCTCTCTGCATGCATAAGATAGTCTTAGTGTCACTATATCAACTGTCGGTTTAGTGGACCTGGCTAAATCTTTGCTCATCATGTCCTAGTCTAGGTCTACTCTTGCGCCGGTGGCTGTCTCTTCGCTTCTCGGCAATGCACACTCCTCAGCGCAATCTGGTCATAAAGCTTCGAAGGCTGATATAACAGCATCATCTAGGGCATGTCCGCCTTCCCCTGCCAAAGATGACGGAGGCACCGCTACACGGGGAAAACAAGTCGCTGACCGACACTGTCTTGATGAAGAGCATCGTGTCTGAGCAGTAGGTTGCCGTAGAAGGTAGCGTTAGTCAAAACCAATAAACAACTCTCTCCAGGATGGATATCACATCCCCACTCTCTGGCATTAGATAGTGGCGGCGGAATTAAGCGTTGCTTGACCCTGCTTCGGTTGAGCCGTTTTTGTGCGCAGGATTGTTGTTGATGGCAAAGGAAATGTTTGATAAGGATCTATTAGTCTAAGCATGCGAACAACAAGATAGCAGTGACGAGTTACTGCGTATCTATAGCGATCATCACTCATGTTTCCATTTACACCATGGCTGAATAGTGAAGTCGTAGGCAAAGAGGGGACAAGGATTCCCCAGCGTGGGGGACCCGTTGGATAAGCGCCGTCGCTGGGGGAGAGGAGGTTGAACCCCTTTTCGTTTCCCCTGTCACCCTGCAGTTCCTGCATTCGAGATGCTTGGCTTCTTGTCCGTGCCTTCCACATTAAGCTCATTAAGTGCTTGCCTGGGGTTATTACAGCGTTGACTAACTCAAAGACCTGACTTGCCACCGTGATCATATGCGGTATCTTGAAAGCACTGCAAACCCTCTTCTAGCTTAGCTTTTCTTCCAGGTACCATGACTAGTGCCACTTCGGGGAGCCACTCCTATCTTACTCTTCTACATTTGGTGTTCAGATTAGGTATCTTAGATGGTGGCTAGTAGCTATCATACAGAAACATTAACCGACGGGCACGGCAGAACATGTCTCTGAAGCTGCCTATCTATCCGGCCGTCGCATCATCATACGAGCAGGCGCCCGCGCCTTCTCTTGGAAGAAGATCGTCATATCGGACTGCCATTCTTCTCGCTGAGCCTGTTACCTTCACGGCCAATAAACGTTCCCATCGCTGCATCAACACCTGCAATGCGTCTGGCTATTTGCTGTAGACCGACCGGTAGGACATTGTACCAGTCCATCATCCGGGAGTACAGCGGCATAGCAATGTGCTCGGCCTTGCCGTTGTCGATCGCATTGATAATCTCCTTGGCCACCTCGACCGGCTCCACCACAGGTGCAAGGAAAGAGTTGGGTGTCTGCACCCCGTAGAAGAGCGGCGTGCTCAGCTGGCCAGGGGTTACGAGGATGGTCCTGACCTCCGGATTGGATTGCTTCAGCTCGGCAGTAAGGGACTTGTGTAGGGCAATGAGGCCCGCCTTCGCAGCGGCATAGTCCGTAAGTTGAGCAGCTCCGACTTGGCCAATGACGCTGGAAATCGTGACGACCGTGCCTCCCTGCCCTCCGCGAATAATCGCCGGGAGGAAAGTCTTTAGGGTATAGAAACAAGACAGCAGATTCGTTGTGAGGCTTGTCTCGATTTCTTCGATTTCCATGTCCAGCAGCTTCTTCCCAATAACAATCGCGGCATTGTTGATTAACACGGTAGGTGCTCCGAGCTGTAGCCTTCGTTAGTTTCACACTGGTCATATGTGAAGTGCGAGGGCGGAACTCACATCTTTCTCGATCTCGACTGCAACTTTGGCCACCTGGGCCTTGTCTGTGACATCGCACTTGTAGAATGTGACGCCTCTGGCTTCTCCATTCTCCATCTCTTTGACGTCCAGCACAGCGACATTTGCGCCACGCATGCCGTAGACCTCCGCAATCAGTAGGCCCAGGCCACTCGCACCTCCCGTGATGACAATCACCTCTTCGCTTAGGTCTACATCCCGCGGCAATCCAAAAGCCATTCGCCTATTTATGAGACCGAGGAACCATATACCGGTGATCACCCAGGCGTATGCTATGGACACCCGCAGGGGGATCTTGTCGTAGTCCATATGCTCGGCACGGAAGCATAGCGGAATCATCCAAGCCACAAAGGGGTGGAAGAATGTGACATTGAGAACCTTGAGGAAAAGGTCGATCGAGAATGGTGCGAACCATGAGTCTCGCTGGTATGGCTGGTTGAAGCCTCCGACAGAAGCCATCGTGAAAGATCGTTTTCGTGGGTTGGCGGGTAACGAAGGTAAGAGTCTGGTGATTGGTATGCGCTCAACGCTTGCAAGTCGAATTGGTAATTAAATAGGATGGACTCGTAATTGTGTTGTCGAAAGAACAGAACCGTACCCTAAGAAACAAGAATCACAGCCAGTACAGAAGCTTCAATCGTGGTAGACAGGCAAAGAGCGGGAACAATCAGGAGCTTTTATCGCAACGTCGCAAAGCTTCGTGGTCTTCGAAACACAATGGCCCAAGCGCCAGGGGGTCCTAGTTTGTTTCAATCAGCTCTCCACTTAACCCCTGGGAAAGCCATGTGCGGCTGGGAATCAACTTCCCCCACTACAGTTTAAGCAGTGAAATCCCCAGCTAACAATAATGACAACTGAGAATATCAACTCGATAGATATGTGTGAAATTTAAGTCGTGAATGGCTCGGTGAAAACCGTCAAATGCATCTCGATAATTTTTGACAGGCAGGTCCGGGATTTGAAGCATCCAGTTCTTGTCTTTTCAACAGTGATATCTGGCTATGTGAAGTAACTCCATCTGTAGGTATCGTCCAGTTTTCCTTCCTTAACGCCAAGCAATGCAACTGGCAAGACTCATAGCCCAATCTGCCCTCAGGGTTATATCCTTTCTAAAAGAACAAACTATTACTTTTCGCGAGCTAGAACCATCTTCTCGCGTTCGCTCTTTCGCTTTTCGAACTTCTTCTTCGAGTGCTTTCGTTCGTTCTCTTCCCTCCTCTTGATAGCCTTCAGTTCTTCGGCCTTGATCTCACCGGCCTTCTTCACAATCTGTGGTATGTGCCTATGACGCTTGATTCGCCTGACTTCGGGCATGTGTTCAAACCGTTCCACTAGCCTTTCATTATACTCCTCAGCCTGCCGTTGCCGTGCAGTCTTGATACCCTCTCTCTTCGAGGCATTGGCACGCCACAGACGAATATTACCTTGAGAGAGATTAGCAATGAAACGCAGAGCTGGAGAAGCATTTTCTTACCATCATCAGAGCCCGATAGGATGTATTTAGAGTCTGGAGTCCACGTTGTAGAGAACACTCGTTGCATTCTCTTGAGATGATAGATATCCCGGGAATGTCCCTTGTCTCTTTGGAAGAGACGTATCGTTCGGTCATAACTGCCCGTAACAAGTTCCTCGCCAGTTGGAGAGAACTCGACACTCATGACAGCTGCCACATGGCCCTTCAATATGTTCAGAGCCCGGTCAAATTTGCGCACGTCGAATATATACGCGTTATGGTCCTCGTTCGCGATAGCGCTAAATTTTTATGAGCCATCATATAACTTAAATGCCGGACACATTGCACTCACATGTTAAATGCTTCCATGGGATTCCAGGCTATGGCATTTGATGCAAAGTTGAGAACAGTCTTCGTTACGGGGCTCGATGTCCTGAGGTCATCTATACAGTCGAGTTAGTCAACAAAGAACTTCATATGTGTATTTGAAGGACGGCAATGAGGTGTGCCGTGATGCTAGTACTTGTCTGGCGTTCAAAGGAAACCCCAACTGCATCGCAACTGCCTTTATGGTACTTACATAACACTATTGATCGGTCAGAAGAAACCGAGGCCAGAACGCTTTGCTCTATCTGGTTGAATGAGACAGCGGTGATGGTATCCGTCGATGTCGGCCATTGTAAGACCTCCGGAGCCGCTGAGTGTCTATCGAGGTCATAGATATTGATAACACTTCCCGACGATGCTGCGAATGCGTTCTTTGATCTATGGTGTGACAGGCTAGTGAAGCCGTTGTTTCCCAGCCATGTCGAGATTGGCGGCGCTTCAGCGGGAGTGTGGTACGGATCGAAAAGTTGAACCTTGCGATCACTTCCACAGGTAAGGAGTTTTTGATCTCTCGTCCACGACATTCCCTTCACTATATTTGTGTGGGCTGCGGCGTGCCATGTTTGCTCCCGGCTCGATAGGTCCCAAACTTTGATGATGCCATCACCGGAACCACTGGCAAGATGGTTCAAAGAATTCGGATCCTTCGCCAATTGGTATACTCCATCGACGTGGCCGTTGCCTAACTGGCAGAGGAAAGGGGCTGCAAACATTCGTTCGAGCTTGACAGCGTTGAGAGCTCGAGTCTGGCAAACGTTAGGTTTGTATGAAGGCAGTTCAGTCAAGCCTACAACTTACATATTCTCGAGCCCGTTCGAAAGGATGATGTGCCGGAGCAAGATTCTTCGGTTGCTTTGGAGCATTTGAGCCCGGAGGCTGATGCGCCTCCAGGCTCCTGCTCAAAGCCTTGATCTTCATGATTGCCGCAAGTCACAAAGTGTAACTTTTCAATGTTCAAGCATCGAGATGCCGCTACTAACATATGCAGGCGGCAGAAAAACCACTTTTTGGCGGGGTGGACGAATAGGCGTGGGAGTTAATCCGGCGCCGTCCGGCAGGCTTCCTAGCTGGCGTCGTCGCGCAGGTGCAACCTGGAGCTCCGACCTGCTGCTGCTAATGTGGAGAGGCTGGAGCATTACCAACAACTCAAACTATCAGCAACAAACGAACACAAGATCATCAGCCACAGGAAATTCATTCACCTCTTCTCCCTTGACCTCGCCCTTCCTGCCTCTGTAATCCTCGACAAGCGAGTCCAATGGCGCAGGGAAACTCAGAGAGAGTGCGCGAGGCGCAAAGCATCGCTTCCTCTGACCCCAATAAAGCAGCTCAGATCTACCAAGAAATCATCTCGAAACCGCCGTCTGTGACGTCCGATGCTGCCGTTCGTGAGTATGAGACGGCTCTCATCAGCCTGGGAGAGCTCTACCGGGACCAGAAGTATGTCCAGTCGGTTCAACGAGTCTTTCCAGCACCGTTACTAATAACCTACAACCGCAGGAACTCGCAGGAGCTGGTCGATCTCGTTACCAAGAGCCGCACAGTCCTATCATCCTTTGCGAAGGCAAAGACGGCAAAGCTAGGTAGGTGGAGACATGGTTTGAGCTATATGAAACCACTTGTTAATGATGAAAACTTCAGTTCGCCAGCTACTCGACCTCTTCGAAGACATCCCGAACTCCACAGACATTCAAATCGCCGTCACGAAATCATGTATAGAGTGGGCGACCTCCGAGCGTCGCGGCTTCCTTCGGCAGAATCTCGAGACACGCCTTGTCACCCTTTACATGGCAAAGCAGTCCTACTATGATGCGCTTACTCTGATCAACGGCCTCCTCCGGGAGCTGAAGCGACTTGACGATAAGCTTGTGTTGGTGGAAGTGCAATTACTTGAGTCGCGGGTATACCACGCTCTCGGGAACATTGCTAAGGCTCGTGCCGCCTTGACCAGCGCAAGGACGAGCGCTGCATCTGTGTACACGCCTCCCCTGCTTCAGGCAAACCTGGATATGCAATCGGGTATGCTCCATGCGGAGGACAAGGACTTCAACACAGCATACAGTTACTTCATCGAGGCGCTAGACGGTTACCACACGCAAGACGAGGCACAGAAGGCGACCGCGGCGCTGCAGTACATGCTGCTGTGCAAGGTCATGCTAAACCAGGTCGACGACGTGAACAACCTGATGAGCTCCAAACAGGCACAGAAGTATGCAGGACAGTCTCTGGAGGCGATGAAGGCGATTGCTCGCGCTCACTCCAATCGATCTCTTGAAGAGTATGAAAGAGCTTTGGCGTCATATAAGTACGAGCTGGGCAGTGATGCGTTCATCCGCAACCATCTGCGACGCTTGTACGATGCTATGTTGGAGCAGAACTTGATCAAGGTGATCGAGCCATTCTCACGTGTTGAGATCGACCATATCGCCAAGATGGTCGGACTAGACACCCAGCAGGTCGAGCGCAAGCTTTCCCAAATGATTCTGGACAAGGTCATCATCGGCGTTCTTGACCAAGGCGCTGGCTGTCTGATCATCTATGACGAGACGCAGCGGGACGAGGCGTATGATTCCGCGTTGGCAACGATTGACAAGCTGAGCAATGTGGTAGATGTTCTGTACACGAACCAGGCTTCTATGCTGGAATAGAGAAAGGGCTCATGCATGCAGAGCGTATCGGAACTGTAACACTAGACTAGATATCACGGGGCGTTGAGAATGGAAAGAGGATAGCATTGGTTAATCCTACAACGTGATTGGTATACCGTTCCCGACGCCCTGAAAGACTGACAAAAACTGTACAGCCTTGACTAAGCCTGATGACATGTACAATGAGTACCGAATATGTGATCCTGGCAGTAATGCTGCTGAAGCAAAACCATGTACAAAAAAACGCCTGAAAGTGCAGATTCCATCATCTTCTCTTCGGCACTAGTCCAAGCCGACGTCTCTCCTCGCCAACCATAACAGCAAACAGTCTCTTTGCAAGCTCATTCTCGTCCCAGCCCCCTACTTCTTTCTTGAAGGCATCAACAATGTCAAGATGCCACTGCTCCAGAAGCATAGTCTCGCCTTGTGAGGTCACCTGTTTACCAAGTAGTACGCTCGACTTCCGTTTCTGTGGCGTAACACCACCATACTTAAGCTGAAACTCGAGCGGTGCCCGTCTGTACTGCTGTAGAAGCTCATCAAGGCGAACCCAGTGCTTCTTGGTCCATTGAGATTGAGAGAGTGGTGAGTTGACCTGCTTCTGTTGCAGATGTCTATGCTTCGGGGTTGCCAGGATTGAGAAGCTTAGACCAGGCCGCGGATTTTCTTTCTCAGCCACAGGTGCTGATGTACCTTGAGCCGCCATGATCGAGGAACCTAGGGAAACTTGATTCTGTCTCTCAGCCCGAGCTTGGGCTTGTGCCAATGGCGAGAGTACGCTGCTTGTAAACTCGACCACTCTGCCAGGCGTTTTTGGCTTTAGGGGTGACCTTAAGCAAGATTTGGTTGGTGATGCGGCTCTGTCCGGCAATGGCTTGAGGACGGGTGGCTCAAAGTCTGATTCATGGGTCATCCTCGACGACTCGTGCATTTCTTCATCGGAATCCTCCTCCATTGGCGAGTCTTGAGGCTCGAGCGCAACAGCTGGACTCGGAGCAAACAGTGAAGACCGACTTTGTCCAAGAAGAGGTGTGAAGTTTCTCTTTTGCGGAACGTGTGCTAGAGTTGGTCGCTCAGGGGTTGCAGGTGATACAGAGTGAGAGACAAAATCCTCACTGCCTGGCTGGTCCTGGCGATCGACTGAGACGGTCCTGGCTCTGGTCTCACGGCCTGAGGTAACCTCCCCCTGGATCACCGAACGCAAGCCAGAAGTTAGCGCTCCGGATCCATGCACGCTACTCTCGAGCTGACCACCATTCTTGGGCACTTGAGACATGCTTGCCTGTGACTCCGTTCTTCCAAAACGTGCTGTGAAAGCCGGAGATGATGAGAAGAATGCCGATAGATCTACACGCCGGGATTTTGCTGGCTCCTGCTTTCCTGGCTCCTCAATCTTGTCCGCGGGTTGGTTGCCTCTGAGACCTGACAGTGATAAAAGTGAATATTCTTCTTGAAGCCGGACAGGCGATTCAGAGGGCTGGCGATCGATTTCTGCAGAAAGGTTCTCACGACCAGAATTGCTTGGAAAGGATATGCGACTTGTGGCACCCCATAGATTCGAAAGGAGTCCCTTCTTTGGTGAACTCAGGGGCTGCTCTTGGAAATCTGATTCTTGTCTCAGTGCCGGGGTTCGTCGCTGGGCTTCAACTGCCCATATATCGTCATCATTATCGTGAACAGCATCTTGCACCGGTACATTGTCGGTTTGTATCATATGACTTTGTCGACTGACCGATTGCTCCTTGTCAAGCAAACTTGAGTTGCCGGAGTGAGACAAGGACTTGGTTGTGATGAACGGATTGCTATCAGCTACCCAGCTCATTTCATCTTCGCTTCTCAGGTCAACACGAGTAGTGCTCCTGATACTGATCTCATGATCCAGCTCATCATCAATGGTCGTATCCTGCTGGGCAACACCAATGACTTCGCTGGCCCCGGTTTGCTCTAATTTTGATGAAGATGGGCCGAAAGGGTCGTCGAGCATTTGAGAATTCTGAGCAAGAGGAGAGAAAGACTGCGCTCCCTGAGCAACAAGGTTCTTCAGCTGGCTAAAAGGGGCAAACATTTTTGACCATGATCGCTCAGGATTTCCACTCATAGGGGCAGGTTGAGGAGTGACAGTCTTATTTGCAGTGGGAGACAGCTCTTCCGTGACTATCGGGCTGGATATGCGCTGCGATCCTTGAAATGGACTTCCTAGAACGCTGCCTCTTGCGGAGGGTGACGGGGGGTCGGACAATATGCTCTGAAGAGTTCGGCCGGCACGAACAATTGGTGATAAAGCTGGGCGAGAGCCGCTTGACGGAGGAGCAAGTCCAATATCATGTGGAAGAAGAACTTGATTCGATGCCGATGCAAGGGATGACGGTATTGCTTTCGGTGTTTCCGTGGAACTTTGTCTGGAATGATGAGATCGTGGGCCAAGGTGCTGTGGTTGTGATATGTTGAAAACAGGGGGTGAAGACCGCGGTTCAGATGTTGCAATCCTGGATGTTGCCTGCTTCTCGCCTTTCTCAGAAGAGTCATCGGTCGGTGATGGCGTCTCATCTGGCGTCAAAAGTCGACTGGACTCGGCCTGAGAGGTAACGGAATGAGAGGTCATCGGACGATCTTCTTGCTCATATTGGACCTCTTCCTCGTATTGATCCTGTTGGGCCTCATGTAGAGCTTCAAGCTCTTCAGTTGTCTCGGCTTCGAACTCGACAGAGGGTCCCTGAAGGCGCCGAGGGGTGGCAGCCTCAAGTACTGCTTCTGGGATTTCCGAAAAGGAGTCTTCGTACATGGTCACATCGTCTATATTCGCTCGACGAGGGCTAGTATTGGATCGGCTGAGTTCTTCGGTTTGGAATTGGTCATCCTTTTGCAAGGATTTCAACGCCAACTGCCGGCCAAGAGGCTGCGCTCGGCTTCTTCGAGGACTCCTTCGAGGACTCCCGACCCGTGAGAGAGGTGATCCGCTTGTTGATACTGCTAAACTATTTGCGCGCGGGGTATCATTTTGGATGCTCATTGTCGACTTCGCCGGAGAAACAGCAGTTGGCGTTTTCTCGCCCTCGGGCTGATCGGGCTCCTCATCTTCGAGGACAACACTTTGTCTTAGAGACTCTAGAGTCTTATTGATGATTAGACTTGTTGTCTCTCCCATTTCCGGAAGATCAGAACTAGGCAAATGAAGTTGCGCCTGAAGTGAAGGTACCGAATCCATTGATATCATTGTGAAGTTTTCACCGTCAACAATGGTATCTTGATCGGGTCGATGTGTTGATGATTTCTCGCTCATATTCGACTCCACGTCGCTGTGGTCATCGATTTGCATTAGGTCATTGGCCTCTGCGTCATCAAAATCCACATCAATCACTTCATGAGAGATAGCATCTGGCTCTTCCTGGAGCGGTGCCTGCGTCACAGTTGTATCTTGTTGTCTCCGCGAACGTGTTCGGCGCATTGACCTCTGGGAGTCCTCGAGGCTTGTTATCCAGATGTCATCGTCCGTTCTAGCATCTCCATTCATGTCTATTGACCCAAGGACCCCTGCTTCGGATGCCGTGTCCATATCTGGCTGCATAGAATTGCTCCTCATTGATGAAGCATCTGCGTCGCTAGTATGATCCTCTAGAATAACAACGTCTTCTGGCGCAATCGCCTGGCGACGTTTGCGACCTCTCCTCTTTGGCGGAGCCGCATCATCTATCTGCTCGTCATCCGTTGTCAGCGTAGCAGTCTTGCGCTTAACTGTCCTTCGTGATCTGGCGGAAGCTTGCGGTGTCGCCTGATCGGTAGCTACACTGATCTCGGAACCAAGGAGCTCGTCGGTTGTACTGCGTGCGCGGCGTGGTCGACCTGGCGTCAGACGGGGTTTGGCAGGAGTCTTTTTTCTAGTTTGTGTAGATGGAGTGCCATTCTTTGGCGGTCTCCCCCTTCGCCTTGGAGTCGCAGCCGTGTCCCTCCATCCAGACTCATCATCTGTCAGTCCCTTTAGAGGTACCGTGATAGTCGTTGCTTTCTCTGTACGGCGGACAGACCGCTTCGGAGTCGGTGTACCAAAAAGCCGGCGACTAACGTTTTCCTTGTCCGTCTCCTCCGCCTCGACAGTCACGAGTATCTTCTGAGGCGAATTGGCATTTCCAACGTCCAACTCAAAAGTCTGTTTCCTGGGAGAGCTGCCGGCCATGGACGCATAGCGGGATGAAGTCTGGCTTCTCGTCACGCGACGGGAATAGGATGGTGTTATTGCGCTCTCGATAGAGGCATTCAAGGGGTCGGGCGACGACAGCAAGTCCATTGTGACGCCGACGTGTATGCGACTGCACCGAACTCGAGGCAAGGCGCAAATGTGTTGTTAAGCGCTGTCGCGACACAAAGTGGTGTATCTATCACTACAAAAACAGAAATTGAGTAATGTAATGTTGTGATGTGGGCTCATAGAGAACGTTGTGTTTACTTTGTTCCCTATTAGGCATGGTTCGCCTGGGACACCCGAGACAGGGTTGGCTAGCGTCATCACCGCAAGCTCCGCTTTCTCCACAGGATTGGGAGAATGGATTTTCCCCAGTGAACGAAGACTTACTTAAGCAACTTTTGTATAGGTAATCTGCCACTTACACAGCGGCCGTAGATATCCGACGGTGGTATGGCACGTCATTCGCTTGTCTTCGGATTCATTGAGGTTCGAAGCCTAGCTCCCAAGCTGCAGACCCTTTGCGGGGAAAAAGTCTACCACCAATGGCCGTGCCTACAGCACCTATGTATGAGGCGCGCCCTTCTAATCATCCAAGAAATCCGTTACAAGTACACAAGTCGGGCTACTTCGGAGTGTTTTTAATCAGCCCAACGGCTTTTTGTATTACTAACTAGGCCAGTTTCAGGGCTGTACAGTGGGCAGGGCGAAGCTTGAGGAAGCCTCTAGCCTTCGACTTCTCCAATAACATTCTGACTTCCGGAATGACGTGATTCAGTCGTTCCGGGATGACTTCAAGATCCCCTCTCAATATGTCTGCTTAAGATGGAAATTCCCTTTGCTTTGAAATGCATGCGACTTGTCTGCATGGTATGTTGAGGTGTAATATATATATATATGTCGTCCCAAGGCGCCTTAATAAAGCTATTTTCCTTATCATCACCATCATCATCTGCATCAAAGTAACTCCAATCAGCCAGCACCACTTCAAATAATCTTGTATATCAATCAGAGTTATAGGCGATCGCTACCCAGCAAAGACCACTAAGACGGAAACCATAGTACCACGCGCTACAACCTCCGGGATCACGAAACTACTGCCAGTGTTCTCTTCGAGGATTTTGAATTATACACCAATACGTCAAGCCCAGTCAGCAAGATCACTTCATAGCATGGCCATCGCAGCAATTCCCCGTGGGCCAGTAACGGCCAAGCTCAATTTCTATAAGCCGCCAGCTGACGGCGCAAAGCCATTCAACTACGTCGAGACGCCTCCTGAGGGAGAGCCGCAAAGGAATTATTCTGATGAGACAGCCGAGGTCACAATCAACGATGTTCGCGGTCGCGAGGACCAGTACACCCTCGACAAGGATGCCTTTGCCATAGTGAAAGATGTGCCGCCTTCCAAGGAGCAAGACTTCGCTGACGACAAGTCTATTGAGGCAAACTACTACCCCGAGCTGGAGGAACTGCTCTTGAAGCATGTTCCTGGAGCTTACAAGGTCGTCTTCTTCGACCATACCATCCGCCGAGCGGACCCCAACGCCCACCGAAATCCAGTGAATCGTACACATATAGATCAGACCAGTACCTCGGCCGTACTACGTGTCAAACGTCACTTAGGAGACGATGCCGAGAAACTTCTGGCCGGCCGATACAGAATCATCAACGTCTGGCGACCCCTAAATAAAAACCCTGTCGAGTCCTTCCCTCTTGCATTCGCATCATCAAACACAGTTGAGGATAGCGATATCATTCCCATCGAGCATCGTTATAACAATGGTTACACTGGTGAGACAGCAGGTATAAGGTATAATCCTGGTCAAAAATGGAACTACCTGAGCGGTATGACGGGCAATGAGCGACTTCTCCTGGAATGCTTCGACAGCGAAGGGTTGAAGAAGGGTTCTGGTGTCGAAGGCGGTAGGCTGGCACATACAGCTTTCGAGGATCCGCGTACTCGTCCCGATGCGGAGGGTCGTGAAAGCATTGAGGTCCGGACTCTTGTCTTTGGGCCTTGAACAATCAAGGAGAGATAATTGAAGGGGTGTTGTTGAAGAGATCAGGAAGATCATGTCAGGAGGCGTACTTTACTCTTAGCCTTTATCTATATAATAGGAAGCGGGAATTTGATTTCATGATATGTATCTCTCGTGTTGAGGAAATGAACTGGGTATAAAAATATGAGCTGCATGATTTCATGCCTATCTGCCCTTTGCAGTGATGACCAAGTGCATCCGGTAGCACCACCAAAAAACGCCATCCTTTTCAGGAATCATGCCTATGACTCGGCATATAGCAAAAATGTACCGTGGAAAACGCTCCGTTTCTCGTGAAACGAGGTAAAGTAAAAACAATTATGATCCATATCTTCCCTCTTTCTTTGATCTGATTAGATTCCCCCAATCAACCTCCTCGGCGACGCGCACCTCTGGTGCTGCCACCAGTGCCTTGGCGGCTCATGGCCACCCCTCCGAGAGAGCTCTGTCGGCTCATAGGGGACGCACCGATTCCTCCATGCACACTAGTTGGACCAGCAGTAAGACCACTGCCGCCGGAAAGTCTCAGCTCATTACGAAGATCTTCCATGGATGGCCGATCGCCTTGAATGAGAGCAACATATTTGCTGTCGCGTGGGGTAGAAGATACAGCCTCAAGCACCTTTCGGCCGCCATTTGATGTGTCAAGGTTAGAGCCGACTCCGTGTGCAGTTTCATATTGCCGCAGGACTGAAATAGCCATCATGTCCGCGCTGACGTCGTCTTGTGCTAAAGCCGGTGGGCCATTAGCCTCACTCATTGGCTTAGCTTTGTTATACGGGGCTGGCACAAGCGGTGGCAATTTGGGATCTTGGGCATCGAGTCGGCTCAAATTCTCGGGTAGCTCAAAGTTAGCCAGTGCTTCCAGGCCTAGGAGCTTATTGTCGAGGAAGTTGGCAGTATGTGTGCCTCCTCGGGTACTTCTCGTGGCATGCGAAACCTGTCGCTCCATGACGGGAGCAGAAGGGATGGATTCCGCATCATCGCCATCCTCTCGCTCATCACCAGACCCTTCCTCTGAGGGTGAAGAGACGACACCATTGCCATTGACCTTTGACTTATGACGGAGCAAGTACTTGTGCGATGCAAGTGCTGCGGTGTTGTAGTTCATTGACAATTCCTTATCCGTGAACAGTTTGTCAATGCTATAGACTGGACCAGTTGATTTTCCCATGCGGAGTCGGTCCACTTGCCAAACTGGAGTGGTGTTACTGGTATCAAGGGCTCTGCGTTGCGGGGCAGGGGACCCGTCGTCCTCATTCCCGTTTCTCTTTCGCTTCTTGCTATCGGAGAAACCTGGCATCTCCTCCATCTCTCTTCTCAATCTAGTGGCTCTCTTGCCATGTGTACCACCAGGACTGGCGGGATTGGTAATGCTGAATTGGTTCGGGTGAAGGAGTAGGGCGGTGGCATCGGAAATCTCTAGAGCTTCCTTCTCCTTGCTAAGACGGAATTTCTTGGTTGATATGGTGTTGATGAGGCGGTCGCGGACCGTGTTTGAGAGGGAGTCGTGCTCGCGCTTGGCTAGCATCACCTTGTATGCATGAACATTTCGGTGCTCCTTGATTTTTCTCTCGTACTCCAGCTAATTAGACCAGTTAGCTGTTGACTCATGAATCGAAATAATGTGTCGGATCGGCTTACCTTTTGCTTGCTGATCTCGAAATCCCGCTCTTCAACCAGGTCCTCAATCTTGTGAACCCAATCCTGGAACTTAGGACCCGCCATGTCAAGTAAGGTCCGCGCGGTAGCTGGATCGGTACTCTGACCCATCGCTAGTTGTACTTGTTGGCCGTCAAGGGTATCAAGGGGTCGCTCAGAATAGGGATCAACACGCATGACTAGATTGGTGTCTAGCTGGATCTTCTGGAGCTGCTCGCGGTAGGCGCTGTCTCGACTTCTTGTGAAATTGTCAGACATCTGCTGGAGGCGCTCGGTGAGGAGTTGGCGCTTCCTCTCCCGCTTTGATTCATGGCGAGCAGGGACCGCCGCGGGCGGCGAGGGAGCGGTAGAGGCATTCGCAGCCATCTCGTAGACTGGAAGCTGATTTGATGATCAAGAGAATGAAATATCCCAATATTTGAAGAAGAAGAAGAGTGCGGTGAAGGTCTTAATATGTGTGAAGGACACTGGGTGGAGAGAAGCGGGCTGCGGAGACTAAATAGCAGCAGAAGGTGGAAAAGTTGGCAGGAAGAGGATGACGAGGAGGCAGAATAATCGTTTAAGTAGTAGAAAATTGACTCCTGTTTTCCAACAATAGGGACAATAAGGTTGATGAGGGCGTTGCTTGCTCTATTGTTCGTTGAACAAGTTCTGTGAATAGATCGTGGAATTGGCGCGAACTGGGTGAGGAGGAACAATACCGGCAGTAGGAGCTGATTGATGCTATTGTTGCGATTATGCCAGATCACACCGCCTTCCTGAGGCGGACCGTAGTGATGGCTGGGACGGAGCACATATAATTCCGCAATCGAGCCATGTGCCCCACCAAAGCTTTCTACTGCAGCCGACCTGCCAGTCCGCAATTGACCCTGGCGTGCCTTTCCAGTCTCGTCATCCACCTCGAACGCCGCCCTGGACAACGTCAATGATACTTGTCCAATAGCGCGCTGCCAAAAGTGAAGCCCGCCGAGCAAAGACTGCCATAGTATCTCGATGGACTGGACGAAGAAGCGATCTAATTCGAAACACCAGCCCGTTTTCATGAGATAATGGAGAATTTATCCATCAACGAAGCCCCTTCGCAGGGGGGCGGCGGTGTTCCTCCTGCCCTGGGAAGAGCACCACCACAGCAACAGCAGCAACAGCAATTGCCTGCTCAAATGTTCACGACAGCAGCTCAACTTCTTGATCTAACGGACAGTATGCCTGCCTCACCTCAGCCTTGCCTTCTACTCGGGAGCGCCCACTGACAAAAGATTCAGAGAAGCTTATGGTGGCTCTACGTGATGGACGGAAGTTGATTGGTATACTGCGAAGTTGGGACCAATTCGGTATGCAATTCTCTCTCTCTCTCTCTCTCTCTCTCGCGAAACCGGATAGGAATTAAGTGTTGGTAGCAAACTTGGTTCTCCAGTCTACAGTCGAGCGGATATTTGTCCCGCCTGGAGCTAATCCGCCTATGGGATCTGGCGAGTCACAGAAGCGTGGACTTTACGCAGACATCCCTCGAGGAATGTTCCTGGTCAGAGGCGAGAATGTCCTTCTGTTAGGAGAGATTGATCTGGACAGGGATGATGACCCGCCTCCGGGCTACGACAAGGCTGATGCCGAGCTAGTCGAGTCTCTAGCAAAACAGAAAAAGGCAGAAGATAAAATCAAGGAAAAGTCGCGACTAAGAAAGCTGAGCACACTCGGTTTTGAAGGGGAGAACATGGGTGAGATAATGCTATGAGAGCATGATAGCCGGAACGGCATGGTGGTCGACTTACACCTAGGTGACCACCTAGAGGATTGGAGAGCAGAATATTGTGAAATGCTGATCCAATCCATTCGCGATCACTCTTCAGTGACCGCCATATACCAGCCTAGATACCTTGATTGGTATCTTACAAATCAACTTGGCATATAGTTGATAATGAAACACGATACTGTGCCTTCGTTCACCTGATGCAATACTGCATATTATGAAGTGCCTGTGGGATGGTGCCCCAGGAAAGCAGCGCTGTTCTTCAACTTTTTCATTTAGCTGGCTGTTTGAAAGAGTCACAATCTCGGAACTGGCACGTGTTATGACTTCCACTACAGTGATCAAGAATTTAGTAACGCAGGGTTGAGGCAATCGCTATGTTGACAGAAATTTGTTCGCTCCTCGCGATACTTACATCAATCAAATAACGATGACTGGTGTTTGCGCCGGATAAATTAATCCCAACTATGCGACGAAAGAAGGTAGCAGCCGTCTTCTAGGCCTATGGAATCGAAGCAATTGGTATAAGAAGAGCAAAAGCTAAATATTCCGCTAATATGGGTTTGGCCATTCTGGACAGTTTGACAATTGCTTTCATCCGAGTCCCCCGGCATGTCGATGGATAGCTCTATGCAAGTCCGCCCTGTAAGTCCTCGTGAAAGGTCAATCTGAGCAAAATAGGTATTGAAGGGCCGATAACGTCGCTTCTCGGGGAGGACCCTTGGTTTGCTAGTAACACAATCGGCATGTCATTATTCAATTCTCAAGATACATCGTAATGACGCACCAATGCTATCGTAGATGAGAGGGGAAAGAACCCTTGAAACCATACCGCCTTTCTAAATTTGGACACTCTTCGGCGTGGCGAAGCAATCGGATGTGCAATGGAAGACGCTCAGCTGCCAGGGGCATTTAAACAAGCTCAGACGGGGTCATGCAGTCTCCACGAGCTAATCAATGTGTGGGGGCGGCGCCGTTGCTTACTGTGTACAGCAGTCAGTCTAGTCTTCATAACGGTACTTTTAGCTTCCAAGATGAAGCTCAAATAGAGTTGCCGAAGCCACCACGGACAACTACCCTGGAACCATGGCTTTCCCCAGGGGATGTGCTTCCATAACTGCATACCGTCAGAACTCCAATTTCAGCCGGTTAATCGTGGGCGATCTACTGGATCGAAATTCTCATGATGCTGACAACAGGAGATTATTCACAAGGTCGTACGAACTATCGTGCTGACAGAGGCTGAAAACTCCACACGTTTTGCAAATAGGAAGCTGAATCACAAGGGCACAAACTGCGTGTGATCGTGTGATAGCCGAGTGAGAGCCATCAGGCTTGAATACCTTAGGCTCATGAGACGTTGCACGAGTTGTCTGCATGTACATTAGCTAGTGCTTATCGATGTTCACAACCCTTGCCGCGGCGTCTCTTCACAAATCTTTACTATCCCGGTTACTCGATGCCGTAAAGCTTCAGGGTCTAGGATAAAATAGTGGTTATATAAGGGCTATGGGATCATTTAAGTTTTCCAAGGCTACGGACCAGTCTTCGTCATCAGATTTGCCTTAGCTTTTCCCTTCAAGATGAAGTCAATTTTTTGTATATTCTCTTTGATCACTTATATTGTTGCTTTTCCAGCAAAAGACTCTCTTCAAAGTCTCGAGAGCCTTGAGAGCAGGCAGAGCTGCTCTCTGAACCCGACAAATCCATCCACTTACTGGTATGAAACCATCACTCACAATGGAATCTCGCCTTTTATCCCCTCAGGGTCTTCCTGGCCTGTATTCCGCAACGTGAAGTCATCAACCTATGGCGCCAAGGGTGATGGCTCGACCGATGACTCTGCTGCCATCCAGAAGGCCATCAATGCGGGCAATAGCTTCGCTGACAGGACCACCAACTCCCTAGGCACTACCGGCCAGCCAGCCGTTGTGTATCTGCCTGCCGGAACATATCTCTTCACAAAACCTATCCAGCTTTACGTCGGTACTGTTCTGATGGGCGATCCTATCAATCCTCCTACCATCAAAGTCAGTTCGGGGTTCAGCGGTAGCTTTGTGATTTATGGAAAAGATCCTCATCAGGACGCCACCACCAACTTTTACATCGGCATTAAAAACATCATCATTGATTCTACGGCTTTCAACAAAGATACCAGCCTCACGCTTTTGGACTGGAGTATATCCCAGGCTGTACAGCTGAGCAATGTGGTATTCCAGATGCCTTATGATTCCAAGGGGCACACTGGACTGTCAATGCCTGAAGGTGGCTCTCCTATCATTATCAATGATTGCACTTTCCATGGGGGTGTTGTTGGCATCAACATGAGCACACAGCAATATCACCTTGTCAGGCTAACATTCAATGGTTGTACTACCGGAATCAAGGTCAATGGCGTTAAGGACTTGGTGGTGCAGGGCGCTTACTTCACCCTTTGTGGTGTAGCAATTGATACCACGGAATATAACGACATTGGTTTTGTTGCTGTAATAGATTCGAAGGTGGACAACACCGGGGCTCTTATCAGTACCACCTCTTCTTCCACAGGTCAGGATTCTATTGTGTTAGAGAACGTACAGGTTGATAGTACAGTGTCATCGGTATGGAGCGCCTCATACTATGATCAGGGATAAGCTAACATCACCAGACTGTCACCGCAAGTGGAAATACGATCCTCACGGGCAGTGTTCCCGCTAATCAAGCCTGGGTCTACGGTAACTCGTACACAGTTGGAGGGCCCAGCACGGGTGCCCACCAGTCGGGGACAAAGTATTCCACCGTTCGATCCAGCGCCTTGATAGATGGCTCCGGCAATTTCCGCAGTGTGAAGCCCCCAACCTATAAGGAGTACGATGTCAGCCAATTCGTGAATGTTAAAAGCGTATCGGGATTCCCTGTTGCTGGAGACGGCAGCACCGATGATACGGCCAACCTGCAACACATTATCACCGCGAATGCGGGCTGCAAGATCTTGTTCTTCCCACAAGGAACCTATCGAGTGACCGACACTCTCTTCTTCCCTGTTGGTAGTCGAGTCTTTGGTGAAGGCTGGTCCGCCATCAGCGCATACGGATCGAAGTTCTGGGATCCTACAAAGCCCATCCCGATGGTCAAGGTCGGCAACGCGGGTGATGTTGGCATTGCTCAATTCTCAGATATGCTGCTTACGGTTGGAGACGTGCTTCAAGGCTGTACGCTGCTGGAAGTAAACATGGCTGGAGCCAATCCTGGAGACGTTGGATTTTGGAACGTTCATCATCGGGTCGGAGGAGCTGCGGGCTCTCTTGTACAGACAAATTGCGGTGGAAGCGGAGGAGGAGGTACTCCTCCTCAGTGTAAAGCTGCTTTCATGATGACCCATCTGACGTCGACATCTTCTGCCTATATCGAAAACATGTGGCAATGGACTGCAGACCACGATTTAGATGTAAGTTGGGTTCTTTTTCTGCCGCCTTATCAATATAGCATCTTGCTAACAAGCGTCACAGGGTGGAAATGGCCAAGTCATTTCTGTTGGTCGAGGCATGCTCGTTGAGGCAACAAAGGGAACATGGCTACTAGGAATAGGTTCAGGTATATGATGCGACATCCAACCCATCTTACTTCTGAAACTGACATATCTGCAGAACACAACACCCTGTATCAAGCCAACTTCCAAAGCGCGCAGAATGTATTCCTTGGTTTCCAACAAAGCGAAACTGCTTACTGGCAAGGTACCGGGCAGTCAAGCATAACTCCGGCGCCATGGAGTCCACTTGCACTCTCCAGCGATCCAGACTTCAGTTGGTGTGGCGGTGGAGACGCCCAGGTAAGTGAAAGCATTATACTTGTACAAGTGAGCTATGCTGATCAAGACGTTACACAGTGTCGAATGGGCTTATACCAGCGCATCAGCGGATCATCAGCGCTCAGTTTCTACGGCGCCGGCTTCTGGACCTTCTTCAATAACGGCAATGGCTGCAGTGGCGATTGTCAGACAAACGGTATTTTGATTGACAACACTCATGGCCTGTATTACTTCGGGATCAACACGCATCTGGTCAGCACCATGGTTCGGAATAATGGTGTCGCCCTAGTTCAGAAGAGCAACAATCCTGGCGGCTGGGGCGGTGGTGTTGCTGCGTTCCTTACTGGTTCTCAGTGAACCTAACAAAATATCTGTTAGTGGTCAATATGAATTAGAAGTTTAATGTACATATTCAAGAAACCCAGCTCGAAGTCCTAAGTACATAGCTGTGAATGATGAAGCGGTGTGATATATTACTCTATTGTGACACAGATTACTTGAAGCCTATATTGCTGGCACAAAGCCTTCGACTTTGACATCCCAGCCTTTCGGAAAATGGGCTCCTGGTGACTCCTGCCAACCGCCTCCCATCATAGCGACTGCTAACAAGAAAGATGCTCCATTGGGAAAGTAGGGTGTCGGAACCCGAGTTCCACCCACGGGATAACCAGCATCATCGAATTGGAAGATTGGGTGTAGCAAATAGGCTAGGGCTTGATCTGTATCTCCTAGCCGAAGCGAGTTCATTGCCAGCATGGAGAAGTCCCAACCATACGAGTCTTCTAGGGCCCAGTACTTCAAGATATGGTCTGCGGTGTTTTGAACAATCGTCATGTTCAGAGGCGGCCCGCTCATTGGGGGAGGGAGCCATCCATATATGCCCGACATGGCGGGATGATCGTCGGTTGTGCTATTATCTGTCCACATGTTGGGTATTCCCTCGTAGACAGGATAAGTGTTGTCGACAACAGGCAATGGGGCAAGGTTATCCCTAATAGTTATCCATTCCTCCGGCACAGGTAGCCCCTGCCTTTCCTTCCATTTCTTGGCGATATCCAAACCGAACCGCCAATAAGCTAGTTCGAATGTCGGGTTGATGGTGACGTTCGGATTCGTATTTTCTGAGACTGGATACATGGGAGGGCCGAGATCGTAGACACCGGTCGACTCGTTAAAGAATGCATATGAGGCCATGAAGTCGGCTGAAGCCGTCAGGATCTCGTCCCAGTTCTCCAGGGTGGTCTCATTGGGGAACGACCGATATTCGGTTTCCGCAAAGTACATTGGATGAGGCTGCTGCCAGATGAGAAGTGAGTTGATTTCTCCGGGCGCACTACGGCCGGTTGGATCCGTCATTTTCCCCCAGCGTGCGCCCTTATAGCCCTGCAGAGTCGCCCTGTCATATGAAGAAGGTAGGTATTCCTGATACATCCTAGGCAAGCTGCGCCACAACAGATCGAAGTGATTCCAGCGAGCAAAGTGGATGAGATGCCAAAAGACCATCTCAAGATGAAATTTCCCGTACCAGCCGTTGTTCACAAGGCCAGATTCCTGAGGAGGGTAAGACGACGCGGAGTTCACTGCCATTAGATATTGAGACAAGATGATGCGCCTCTGAAGCTCAGTTGCGTCTACCGAGTCTACAGCTGATAGATCGACAAAGGCACCCTTGCTCCAATAAGTCTGCCACCACGTCTTGGATGCTGTCGTCACGGACTGAAGGCTGGGCGCATTGTAATTACCCTGTGGCGAGAAAGAGACCACTAAATTCAACTTGTTTGAACCAGACGGACTTAAAAAGTAGCGATGACTATTGTTTCCAGGCCCGGACACAGTTGCCTTCCCTTCCCACTGTGCTCTGAAATAGTATTCGTTCTCATCCAAAGTATGATGTATCGTCGCTTGATTCATAGATGTCTCGAGGGTAGTTGTGTGATTTTGTGTTGCATTCCACACACCAACAAAGGGGGCATCGAATTTGTTGCGATCTGAGTATGGAAAATCGAAGAACAACTCAAGTTCACCATGACTCAAAAGTTCTGAGACGACGCTGATGCCCACGATGTCGGAGTCAGGGGCTGCCCAGGTCTCGACCTCGACCTTCTTGCCCTTATAGACGAACGATGATGAAATCTTTCCGCTCCACAAATCAAGCACCTGGTCCTTGTGTTCCAGCTGGCTCTCGTCAACTTGAGCAGCTTTGAAGGAGAAGCCGATATTTCCCAGGTTGATCCGCTGAGGGTTCTGGATCAACCAGTTGGAGATTTCTGGCTCCGCTGGGTTCGGTTGGTCGTAGTTCACCAGTCTCCCATGTGTCCACCAGTCCAGGCCCGTGAAATCTTGAAGAGCATTAGCTACGGGAGGGGTGTTCAGAACCGCAAGGGAACACTTACCATCCACCGAAGTTTGGTTTGGAGTGGTTGGCAGGCTGAAGTTATGCCAACCCCATGTTGACATAGTATTGAAAGGACTGAATGTTTGCAAGCCAGTCACATCCACACCAAATGCAAAGTTACCATTGCCAACTTGCAATGGGGTCGTGCTTGAGCTAGCATTCCGCCGGACGTTGAATGCCTGTACAACTTTGCGTCTGTGTATACATGACTTCGCCTCGACGGAGGCGCAGCCCATATACAAGGCTAAGAGAGAGAGACGCATCTCGAAATGAGATCGCAAACAATATTTGAGTGGAGGATCCCTCCCATATGAGGGGTGACACTGGCTCTAACCTTCCATTATATCAACAGAGCTGCTTAGCCCTCGGCCGAAGGAAAGTCGCAGACTCAGTCAAATAACACTAATTTTCCGTGGCCCGTCAGCCTGGTACCCATGATAGAAATATAGGCCATCCCAATTGAAGGGCAGATCTCCCAATTTAGCCTGCGGGGGCATGTTGGGGATTGGGTCTATTCGGGTTTCACTGACCCGACACGCTGTCAAGCGTCCTTGTGGACTGGGCTCACTTGGGGGCGGTGCGGGGATGACAGTGAATCTGGGGAGAGGCCGGCCAAGGCCAGCATCACTGTCTACCTTTCCCCACACCGTCAATTGAGGCTATTCAGACATCTGCCGGAAAGAGAAACCAACCCCTCATCCAGTGCAAGGGAATCAGACTATTGGAAAACGTCTGAGGATGATGGTTGCACCAGCTCATTGTAGAAGAGGACGTCTAATCAGCTAGTGTCTTGACATAATTATTGACATATCCAGTTGCATACCCTTCGGTCCAGTGTGTGTCGAGCAGTACATATCCTCCTCTGCCAGGGTATAAATGTTAGTTCGGCAAGGGTATTATTCCCTCCTCAACAAGAGATTACTATCTTTATAGAAGTTGAAAGACCAATAGTAATAAATAGAAACTTTTCTGTCTTGCTAAGTATTATGACTCTCAATATTGAGTAGGTATCTTCATTCTTCATGAACCACGTTTGTTACCTTGGCGGACGAGTAAGAGGAGGAGCCGTACCAGTGGACCTGCGTGGACTGGCAACAGGGATCCAGGTGCTCCAATTCCAGACTGGCCCGTAGCGTATTTATGGCGCCACACTTGCCAACAGCCACACCCCGCCATGAGGCGCCAAATGCTCTACGCAGCAAGGGATCCCTCCACTACAGCAACCGTCATTGTTTTGTTTTGTCCCATTCACATGTGCCCTTACTTGAAACCTAACGTTTACTGTGAGCGTGCCACGACGCAATCACTTGCCAAAGAGGCCTTGGAAAGGAACCACTAAGAAGGTATAGGAAGCCATCCGAAGACAATTTCACCAATTCGAAGACACTTTGGTTTGTTTACAATCATTCTCCTGCTAACTGTTGGGTGGTTTACACAGGGCGACCACATCATTGAATATCCAACATAGCCTTTCAAGCTCGGCGCAGATCTCACCATGAGCTCTTTTATTACCACAGTGTGCGTATTCTCTCTCCAATCGCAGTATACCGATTTTTTTCTCGCTCTTCCCTAGATCAGCCAGCATCATCAACCCATGACTGCGATGGAGGATACTGCAAGCCCAGCCAAGCAAGATCGGGAACGGATGGCTACCGTTATGATCAAATATGAATTCGAAGACATTGAGCAGAGCAAAAGCTTACAGATTGAGGAAAATAGCAACCAGCGCACGCGCAATCAATTCCGCCCCCGACCTGGCGGCAAACAGGGTACCACCAGCTACCAGCTGCGACAGTATGCCGAAGCGACTCTGGGAGGTGGAAGTCTACGAAAGATTGTGAAGCTGCCAGAGGGAGAGGATGAGAATGAATGGCTAGCGGTTAACAGTAGGTATTATGAATGCCTGCACAAGCTAGACATGAGGCTAATGAGGTAAATAGTGGTGGATTTTTACAACCAGATCAACCTCCTGTACGGCGCCATCACTGAGTTCTGCTCCCCCCAGTCTTGCCCGGAGATGAAGGCAACAGACGAGTAAGTTAGAAGAGAAACGATGGTCGATCTTGCTGTTGCTGATATGAAGTGCAGGTTCGAGTATCTGTGGCAGGATAATGAGAACTACAAGCGTCCAACCAAGATGGCTGCACCTGCCTACATCGAGCAGTTGATGACCTGGGTGCAAGGCAATATCGACAATGAAGCTGTTCTTCCCAGTCGAATTGGTAGGGTTCTTACTAATTCTGACCGCATGTAACTCATGTACTAAACCACTACAGGTGTGCCTTTCCCAAAGACTTTCCCTTCTTTGGTTCGACAGATATTCAAGCGCATGTACCGTGTCTACGCACACATCTACTGCCACCACTACCCTGTCATCCGTGAGCTTGGCCTGGAACCTCATCTGAACACCAGCTTCAAGCAGTATGTGCTGTTCATCGACGAGCATAATCTGGCAAGCGGCAAGGACTTCTGGGGTCCCCTTGGTGATTTGGTCGACAGCATGTTGCGGAGCGACTAGGTATTTGTACTATAAGCTCACGAGGCATTTGCAGCTTTGGCTCTCATGTTTGGCGTTCAGGGTGGATTGTATGGAGTGATGACATGCACACAGGATGGACTAATGAAACGGTCGACGCGTTGATGAGTTTTTGCAGCATTAAGGACTTTCACGTAGCGAGGGATAGCTAAGTGAAATACTGTACTACTATGGAGAATTCCTTTGCATTATCTCTGCGTTGAGGAAACTCTATTTCATATTCATGTGTTGCACCGAAATCTCGAAACGTGGATTAACTTGAAAGACTCCAGACAATATCGTAAGTAAATATGCATTGTGCTTGCACAACAGTAGCTCCGTGCATAAAATCAATTGTGCAAGCTTATTGCTGCGTTAGGCGGGTTTCGGGACTAACGGCTAGAGCCTCAGGCACCGACTTTCCAATTTGCCGAATTCTAACCTTTGGCTCAACACCAAGGCCGGAAGCTCGACCTTCACGAAATTCGAAGCCTCTCCCCCCAATCGACCCCTCCTGCCAATTCCACAGTCATCATGTTGGCGAGACAAGCACTCCTTCGCTCCGCCCGGACGGCTGCTCCCACCCGGGTGCTTGCCTCGCAGGTCCGCTTCTACGCCGCCCCGGCTGCGAACGAGACCGTCAAGCCTCCCGTCGCCCTCTTCGGCCTCGATGGCACCTATGCCACCGCTCTGGTACGTTCAGGATCTCGAATCGAACGTCGATAGGTCATCTGGAGATGCATCAGCCGACCAATTGATGCCTTGATCAACACTCAATTGACGGTGTTGGAACCACGAACGAGCATGCTAACTCCTGCGTCATTTTCACAGTACACCGCGGCCGTCAAGACCTCCTCCCTCGAGCCCACCGCCAAGACCCTCACCAGCCTCGACAGCCTGCTGAAGAAGGACCCCAAGCTGGCGACCATCCTGGCCGCGCCGACGCTGTCCCCCTCCGACAAGAGCGCCATCGTCGCCGAGCTCGAGAAGGCCGCCGGCGTGCAGGGCGAGACCGTCAAGAACTTCCTGCAGACGCTGGCCGAGAACAACCGCCTGAGCATCCTGCCCGGCGTGTGCGAGAAGTTCGGCGAGCTGATAAGTGCGGCGCACGGCGAGGTCGAGATGACGGTCACCAGCGCTACGGTATGCAGAGACTCCCTACTTCTGATGCATGGCGAGAGATTCAGGCGAGAGATGATGATGCTAACTAGGATGAACTATAGCAACTGGAGCCTAAGCTGCTGTCCCGCCTCGAGACTGCCGTCTCCAAGTCATCCTACGTCGGCCAGGGCAAGAAGCTGAAGGTGACCAACAAGGTCAACCCGGACATCGTTGGAGGGCTGGTTGTCGAGATTGGCGACAGGACCATCGACCTGAGCGTCTCTGGCAAGCTGGCAAAGATGAACAAGCTCCTCACCGACACCCTGTAAAAGTACTTTTTCCCATTTGTTCTGATCGCGATAGGAGCATAGAGGAGGAGGCGAGACTGGAGCGGTAGCTCGAGGACGAGTCTTTGAAAAGACGCCTGTGTATAGGAGCTCAAATAAAACTTGTCTCTACCATTTACAACATCATTATCTGGACTTTTCCAGCGTTTATGATGATCTCATGCCGAGCGTTGACAGCTGAGCTGTGAAGAACGTACACTGCTGGATAGAATTACAGTCCTTGAACTGTCAACTGAACTACCTTCACGCACGCGAGTTCTGTGCTTGTTGCAGATCTTTCTTTCCATAGGTATGCCAACAATTCATCGTGTATTCATGTGCTGTCCTAGTAATGCTCTACCGATGTCGAAAGTTTCCATCCCCTGAGTATGTATAGGAAAGCGCCAAACCAATTCCATTACCAATTCATGTCTATACAGTCTATGCCTGTTTCCGAAAATTGAGCGCAGAGCCTGCACCAGCCTGCTTTCTCAGTCTACTCTATGGTGTAGCTTCGAACTCATCGCCTTTCTCATAGGCATCAGCGACTTGTTCGCTCTTCACACGCTGAAGTTGCTCAGCGATGTAGTTGTGCATATGAGCGTCTGCCTCAGCCTTCTCACGTTGACGTTCCGGATCGTCTCCATTGACAGATCCTGTGACGGAGTGCCCGTCCTCTTCGTACCCGTTAGGCTCGCTTCCCCAGTCGCTACGCGCACCTATGGAGCGAGCTGTTGAAGAGCGGCGGATACGAGGCATGGAAGGCGACCGTGCCTGGGGGCGGCTGAGAACGTCATCAAAGTAATGGGCCATGCCCACAGATGGTGTGCGCGGCGTCTGCGGCAAGCGACAGCTGACTCTGCAAGCGGTGTTAGCAAACTGTGAAAAATATGTCAGAATCGGACTCCTTACCCAGTGTCATGAATCAATCGAGCGATCAAGCCTGTCCATCCACACTGGTGAGTTGCACCGAGGCCGCGACCACTGTCACCGTCGAAAAATTCGTAGAACCACAGATTGTCCTTCCACAAGGGGTCAAAGTCCAGCAAGTCACTGCCCCCGTTTATACTACGGCGACCATCATCGCCTCGAGCGAAGAGATGTTGCAGTCTGTGCTGAAGCTCCTCAGACACATGGCCCAAGTGCATGTAGTCTCCCGAGCCGACGGGACACTCTACCTGAAGACCTTGACCGAAGAATAGATAGAATCGCTGTAAGGATTCAATCAGGAGGAAGTTCACACAGAGCCAAATCGGACCACGCCAATTACTGTTGCCTCCAAACAGGCCGCTGTCCGAGTCACCAGGGACATAGCCAACCTGAAACTCCTGGCCGTTGACGTTCATTGAATAGGGATGCTCCTTGTGATACTTGGACAGCGAGCGGATGCCATGAGGGCTCAAGAACTCGTCCTCGTCAAGCATGCGCTCCAACAACCGAACGAGACGGTCTTTGCTGACAATTGAAAGGAGGATACGATCGCCTTTACCGCGTCGGCGGATGCTGGCCATGTTGCGCTCCGCAACGTCGCATCGGTTCTTCATGAACCACTCGACACGCTTCTTGAACGATGGTAGCTTATTGATGAGTTCCGGCTCTAGCGTCAATGTCGCGTAGAGAGGAATCAGTCCAACAAGAGATCGGACAGGAAGCTGTTGAATCCAGGGGCCACCCCATGAAATGGCATCATAGTAGAAACCATCCTCGTCATTCCATAATGATGCCTCGTCTTTCTGGCCCATTCTGAAAGTCATGGCATCGCTGATGAGAATGAAATGCTCGAAGAATTTCGAGGCAATGTCTTCGTATGTACGGCGATGCTTGGCAAGCTCAAGACTAATATTGAGCATGTTGAGGCAGTAAAAGGCCATCCATCCAGTGCTGTCGGCTTGCTCAAGGCTGCCTCCAGTAGGAAGCGGCTCAGATCGGTTGAATAGACCAATGTTGTCGAGGCCGAGGAAGCCACCTTCAAAGACGTTCTTCCCTTCTACGTCTTTGCGGTTGACCCACCATGTGAAGTTCAATAGGAGCTTTTGGAAGACTCTCTCCAAGAAGTCAAGATCTTGCCTGCCATACAACTTGCGCTCAATTTTGAAGACACGGAATGTCGCCCATGCGTGAACTGGAGGGTTCACGTCGCCAAAGTTCCACTCATACCTGTGCAGATTCAGCGTCAGCAAACGATCAGATCCTAACCCTGTTATTGTAGGGAAAAACTTACGCTGGAAGTTGTCCATTTGGATGACAATACCATTCTCGAGTGAACAGATCTAACTGCTTCTTCGCAAAGTCCGGATCAATCATTGCCAAGGTGATACAATGAAAGCTGGTGTCCCAAGCAGCGAAGAAGGGATACTCCCATGAGTCTGGCATGGACAGGATATCATCGCAGTGCATGTGTTTCCATTGAGAATTTCTGATAGCCTTTCTCCCTGGAGGAGGGGGTGGTTGGGTCGGGTCGCCATTAGCCCACTGATCCCATATGAAGAGATAATGTTGCTTGCACCACATCATGCCTGCAAAGGCTTGACGCTGGATATTGCGCAAATCGTCAGACATGGGAAGAGGGCTTATTCTGTAGTAGAAATCATCTGCCTCTTCCCGCTTCCGTTCAATGATCTCATCAAACTCTTCCTCGTCTAGGTATGTCTCATTTCTCTTTGAGAAGCGGAAACGAATCACTGAGGAGGTTAGACGTCTTAGAAATGTCAAAAGGGGGCTTTTGCAGCTTACCAGCGCATTCACCAGGCGCAACGCCACCCCCTTCGTTGAACGGGAACCATGCAGCAGCCTTTGTACCGACCTGCCGGGGGTTTACTGCCTTCTTCTCACCATCTACAATATATCTGTGGAATGCATCCTTAACATAGGGCTGCTCGTTCTCGCCATCGTACAGGAGCTCAAAATTGGTGTCGTTCTCTGTGAACATGAGCTCTGGCTGGACATCCTCCCCGCTGTTGCCGACACCGGGAGAAGGCGACAGCAAGACGTAGCGGTCTCCAAGGGAATGATGCTTAGACTTGAGGACATTCTCTGCGTGTACACCCATTGAGGGCTTGTCCTCTTCGGGCTCGCGGCCCCAAGCCCAGGTATTTCGGAACCAGACGTGAGGGATGATGTGGATCGGAGCAGGCTCTGGACCCCTGTTCCAAGCAGTGACTCGGAAGAGTAGTTCATCAGGGTTATCGTCTTCCTTCGCGGTCTCGATAATGATATCCCAGTACCGATCCTCTTCAAATATGCCGGTGTCAATGATCTGGTATTCCTTATCCTGCTTGCCTCTCCTAGCATTCTCGTCCCGGAGATCGTCGTATGGGAATGCCCGCTGTGGATACTTATATAGGTATTTCATGTAGGAATGCTGCCTCTATGTTAGTCGCGTTTGCGTTTGGTGGATGTGATGAGAGATCTTACGGTCTGGACAACATGTTAGCGGACTGTATACTGGTGATAGTGCTTGGACCCAACTTACAGGTGTGTTGTCGAGGTGGAAATGTGCCTCTTTGATACTCTCACCATGATTGCCCTGAGGATTGGAGAGACCAAACAGACGTTCTTTTAGGAAAGGACTAGATAGTTGCTGTCAGCACTTGAGCTGGCCGAGAATCCAATTTCAGGAATGAACACACTCTTGTTCGTTCCAAAAGGCGAACGCAATGTTCTGCAAGCCATGTGTATCGCAGACGCCAGCGATGCCATCCTCCCCCCATCTGTAAGTCCGCGAACGGGCGTGGTCGTGGGGGAAATCTAGTATCGGGGAAACAAGCTATCAGTGGTCTGTTCTGAAGTGTCTTTGGCGGGGTGCATTGTAGCAAGACTCACGACTCCAGGCGTCGCCATCAGGGCTGTAGTCCTCTCTCACTGCAAATGGCCAGTTAGTCAATCGATGAAGCTCGACAGAGGATGACAGAGAGCGATTGAGACTTACCTGTGGCCCATTGTCGCTCTGCGACGTAGGGACCCCACTTCTTCCAGTACTTGGTGCGGTGACGGTCTTCCTTCAAGCGCTTCTCCTCCGCAGTCAGGTACTCGTGGTTGTCGAAAACGACCATGGTCTCAGCAGGCAGCAATAAGAACAATAGGGTACAGAGTGAAGACAAGCTATTCAGGAACAGAATTGGCTGCTGGAGACAAGAGTAGAGGGGCAGGTTTGTAATGTGTAGATGAGTTGAGGAAGATCGTCGGTTGGTGGTGGTGGTGGTGGAGGTAGAGGGAGGTAGTTACCTACTTAGGTAGTTCGGGTAGCTTAGCTCCCACTGTGGCGGTCTGGATTTTTTTTCGCAGTATTACACCTTTACTGTTCCTCTGACGGCGGGTTACCTCCTTGGGGAAACACCATTGGCTGAGACCAATACCAGCAGGTCGCACAGCAGCCAGGTACCTGACTTCTACAGGTAGGACGGTGTGCAGCGAGAGGGAATTACCGTGCGAATGTGCCTTAATAAGATCCCCAAAATACCAGCAAGCTAAGTACCGGTACCACTATCGAAACTACTTAACCTACCTAGGTAGATACCTAGGTACTTGGCAAGGAGGAGACGACTGTCCGGTCGGCACAGGCACTGCCCTGTGTCTGCTGTCCTTCAAGCTTTCCATGTGCCTGACGAGCTCGACAAGCTACCTGACAACAGGTTAGCTTGCGCCTAGAGTTGCTACATTAGCATGTTAGGTGCTTTAGGTACCGGTATGTCACCATGCCGCCGCCGCCAATGCTACTGTTGTCAGGGGAGGGGCATCTGGTTTCCCGTCAATTCTCGCATGGGAAAAATAGCTCTCTCAGGCACTACGTCATACCCGTGCTCTAGCACTCCGAGTCCTGCTAACCTAGCACACTACCCGATAAAAGGTGTCATAGATAAAAGGTGTCATACAGTGCACGTGACCCGACTTGATCTCACATGCGTGGTAGCCTTCAAATACTGCAGCGCATCACCAACATCTGCATGGATACCTAGGTAGTGACAGGCAGAAGAGACTCTGTAGGTGGAAGGCTTGTGTAAGGTGGTGAAGAACATGAGTTCGAGAAAAGGGATTCAATTGCTGCCATCAATGTGTCTTCTCTAAGATAACTGCCAATAGCGACGCCTACGCAGTATCATGCCAACAGTCCTTTGTAGAGAATGAGAAGATTCAAAGCGAACTCCGGCTTGCCGACCTGTCATCCTATTTTCTGTCTCCTTTGCAAACATCGATTCAGAACGCCGTGCTCTCTCGCAGACGAAATTACTCATACATAGAAAAATAAAAGTCGTTTCTTGCTAGAAATGCCGGGCCATCTGTGTTCAAGCATTGGCGGTATCACAGCTTGGCCTTGATGGGCTTCGGCGGGGCAGTCGCATCCTTATTAACCACAACCTCGCCTGTCTTATCGCCGTGACCGAAGAAGATGACTTGAACAGTCAAGTCGTCCCTGTTCAGGAGTCAGCATTTGCATTTGTAGGCAACGAGCGGATAACTCACCGGTATCTTCTCGAATACGGAGATGGCAAAGTGAGCAGGGCCGTCACTTGCTCCTCGTTCTTTCCACCAAGGGCATTTCGGATGAGATGAGTAGCAACATTGTTGTCTTGTACAACAAAGCGGTCTGTGTCAGGAGAAACCCCCCATTGCCTCAGCCTGATAGGTGTCTTCTGGCCGTCATCTTCGGATGCAATCTTGCCCGGCTCAACGGGAAGGCCCTTTTGGCCTCCGAAGATCTTGGACCAGACGGAGTCGAACTGTGAGTTGGCGGACGCAGCAGCTTGGTTCTCAATCCACTTGCCGACGAGACCAACTACCTCCTCGCTTGTTAACATCTCCCATAGTCCATCAGTAGCCATGACCAAAAAGTCGCCCTTTTCGGGCTGGATCTTAGTGGTTGTGACAACTGGCTCGGCTGTCACATAGGGAGGAGTCTTCAACAGCGGAGACACGCTCCGTCCGAAAAAGGACTGTCGTAGACGATCTGAAATGTCTCGACTCCATTTGTAACTTGCGTCACCAAAAGCACGGGTTGGCTCAAGTCCGCCAAGAACACGTCCATTTCGAATGACATGCTCTTCTCCCGGGTGAAGCTTTCTCATTCTCGCCGCTTCATTGGGGTTGCTGCCTGTCTGATCCTCCGACAACTGGGTAGCAGTCCATTTGCCAGACTCGCTCCGACGGCCCAGAACCGCTCGAGAGTCACCAGTGCAAGCGACACGGAGCAAATTAGATTTGCTGTCGTAAAATGACAACAAGGCACAGGACCCTGACAAGGCTGGTGCAAGTAGCTCTGCGGCGACAGCTTTGTTGTTTGACTTCAGAACCTGCTGCACGCTTTGATGGACAATCTCATCGTCCAAACGGGTAAAGCCCGTTTTGATTGCGGCTTCAACTGCATCCGGATCGGGGTTCACGCTGCCGGTTTGGTATGTCTCGTTGAGCTCTCTGGCAACATAGTTGATCAAAGTTTGTCGCAACTTGGCAGATGTTGTCCAACCGGAATGGCCATCAAACACACCCCAGAACATCCAGTCGCTGTTGGCGCTTGGCTCAGCCGCCTCAGCTTTTCCCGGAATCTCAACAATCTTCTCAGCATGGTCATCCTCAATCGGATCATTGCTAGGAAGTTGAACTAGGTCATATCGCACGACTCCCTGGCCTCGGTTCACGAAGTATGACTGCTCATTCTTCCTCAATTTCTGCGTCGCCTGGTCGCTTGTAAGCATCTCCAGGACCTTGCGACCCTCGTCGTCAGTTGTCTTGGAGATGGGTCCGTCGCCGACAATAGTCCCCGTGTGCAGCTCGTTCGCGCCTATAACCAAGACCGAGCGTGTCGGAAGGGCATCGTCTGCTGGTCTCCCGTTCGAGTAGCTACGAGTGATAGCCTGGGTAGGATCGGTGCCGTTGCCCTTGTACGTGTACCAGGCGCCGTATCCAACGAGAGTCGACACCAGCGCAGCGGAGAAACGGCGGATATACATCGAAGATTTGAGAGGTTCTCCTATCGCATACTCGGGACGTGGGCGGTAGGTCGATGAGAGTCTTGCACTGGGGGCGAAGGCTGGATTCTGAATCAAGAAGCTACGCCGGCTAGCCTTCGAGAGCCCTCGGACAGTACATTGACAAGTTGTCCGAAATGCCCTCACAGCTGCGCGACGCATTGGAACTACTCTGGTGGTCTCTCTGAGAGAACCAACGCCTTCATCAAGATGCGTCGAGGCTGTTGGATTAAGGTGTAGAAGGGAAGCTGTACCGGACTCGAGGCTGGAGTGCCGATCGGATTCTGGCCAAGGTGCTAGATCGGTGTGGCTGTTACAGCGGACATCTGACTGAATTAGGTGGACGGGACACTTCCCAAAAACACCTGAAGGCACTGTTGTTGCACGTGAGATAACGACTTTACGTCAGTGTTGTCAAATCTCTAAGCCTTACATTCTTTTTGACTTCTGACTTATCTATTATAAGCCTTTTTAAAGAAAGTATTTGTATATTTCAAGCAAAATTCTTTATATAACCTCATTGAAGTAAGACAAGCTGTCTCGAGATATGTCCAGCACAGAATTGTCGGCAATCAGTTGGCAACTCCATGACCCCTGTGGCTTGTGTTCATTGGCGTCGGGAGGGGTTTCAGTGGTGAAAGGCAGGAGCTCTTCCGGTATTTAGCCGCTTATCGGCCGATAAAGCTCCCCTTTCGTCCTGCCCCTCCATCCCGTGTCTTCATACCTCATCCCGAGCTCAGTCAAATTATTTCCCGGAACAAATCTCATCGACAGCCATTCTTGCGCAAAGGAAGGCAAAAAGATGGCGACAGACCAGAACACAGCTGGTTGTGTTCTGACTGACGATGACTACCAGGCCTTTCATGATGTCCCCTGGAACCGAGCCTCTGACTTCCTGGTAAGCTCAACTCTTGATCTCTCAGATGTCGAATCACCGATTTAACTTGGCTCCCACCTTATAGAACGGTGTCATGTACGCCTGTGGCGGTCCGAAGAAGCTGGAGCGTACTGGTTCGCAGGCCGAAATTATTCTGCACAGCAGAATCTTCTATTACCAATCGACTACCGGTATTGCCATTCCGTTGATCGGCTACAAGCGTTGGTTGCGCGCCCAGAGCTACGAGAGAGTGAAGCCCTGGGAGTGGACAATCCTGGACATGCTGTGCCAGAAGCGCGATGAGAGTCTGGCCAAGAGATTCGGGAACCGGGCTGACAGCCAGGTCGCAGTCCAAGACACGGCAAAGGCCCAACACGAGAAAGATGTTTGGATTCACGAGCTGTACAACGGCGACCTCTACGACCCGGCCCCGCATGAGATCCAGGCGAAGGAGAAGATGGACGGTAACGATGCCTTGCAATCCGAGCCCGAACACGACCCCTCGATGTCCGCCCCGAGCTGGCAAACCGCTGCCCCGAAAGGTGAACTATATGTGGATAGGAGATCGAGTGCTAATGAGGAGAGTGGCAAAGGTCAAACAGGAGATGCACCGTACCCCGTCCGCTTTGCCCAGATCATTGAGGCCATCCAGACGGGCAAGCCCGTTGAGGGAATTCAAGAGATTCCTGACACCGTCGCGCGCAATCCTGTAGGCCCTATACGCCAAGCCTTCTCATTAATATGGCATTGCTAATTGCGTACAAGGATACTCGCCCATTCGGCACCATGACTGCCCCTAAGAAGCCCTGGGAGAAGAACGTGAAGGCGGCCGAGAAACTTGAGGAGCCAGGCTACGCCGTCATCGAGAAGGACTTTCCCGACGACGGCAAGAGCGATACCTATGACTAGGACTCCTGGGTAGACGTCAAGAAGCAGTCTGAGCAAAAGTAATTCCCTACCGACTCCACACAAATTTGCCTACAAATGATCAAATCAGAACCTCATACGGTAAGTTTCGAACCAAATTGAGCTGTCGAATCTTGCTGACAAGCATCTGCCTCCAGACTTACAATAAGCTGAGACATGTGTGTACTCGATCTGAGGTTGGAAACAAGCTCATCTTGTGATATCGAGGGTCGTTACAGCTGGACATACGTTTGCTTAGCATCTCATTTTGATAGGCCTCGGCCACGTTCAGATACCCGCTTGTAGTCATACGACACAGCACCTACCCATGATGACAATGAAAATTACGAATTCATGAATGAATCTCAAACCTGACTTATCCTGTTGCTTGACTACTCTGCCATGAATGACACAACTTCTCTCAATACTAAGAGCCCATATATGCTTCACGTTTGTGGTCCACCGCCCTCGCACTCAACAAATGACCACGGTAGGTTGATTGAACAATTTATTTTCATCATACCTCCCTACTCCATATATGTACAAAACCACGCAGGAGAGACCACAAATGGAAAGGAGTCTCGAGGAAGGTATCGACTTTACTATCTTTACACCAACGGCTTAAGCACCGTAAGCAACCTGGCCCATGGGCCTGTCCTCCTCCATACCTGGAGCCATAAAGTTCGTCCTCGGGTCACCGGTTGCCTTTGCAGCAGAGCAACGGGCCATTGTGGGTGAACTATTCGTACAATTAGTTGAGCTGTAGCGCACCATTGGCTGCGATCACATGAAACATACCTTCTTGAAATGACATCAGTGAAGTAGAAATTGTCGATAACCTTCTTCAAAGGTGCTCCCGAGGGCTTTGAGCCCTTGTTCTGGTCTACAAGCTGAACCTTGCTCAACTGCTTAAGGGCGACCGGCTCAACAACATCATAGGCAGCTAGAGCAGGGCTGATCTCGACCATCCTGTCACGGACAGCGGCAACATCATCATACGGTAGCGGCGCTCCAAGGAACTCGCTGACTGCTCGGATAATCTTCCAGTCGGTCCGTGCCGCGCCGGGCAGGCCAGTGGCCGCCCTGGTCATCTGAACGCGACCTTCAGTGTTGACATACGTACCGGCCTTCTCCGTGTAGGCGGCTCCGGGAAGAATGATATCAGCGATCTGAGCACCCTTGTCACCGTGGTGGCCCTGGTAGACAATGAAAGCATCCTTGGGAATATCAGCCTCATTGATCTCATCGGCACCGAGCAGCCAAACGAATTTGGCTCGCGTTTGTGCAACCTCCGCTGATGGTGTCACGAAGCCAACCTCGAAAGCACCGGCTCTTGAAGCAGCTCTTTGTAGAACATTGTAGCCGTTCCACTCTTCCGTGAGGAAGTTGGCAGCATTCTTGTCGACAAAGCCACCGACCAGCTCATAGAAAGCCTTGGCATCAGCGTGGTCAGTAACGCCGGACCCGACGATAATCATAGGCTTCTTAGCTGCTTGGAGCTTCTTGCCGAAGGGGCCGGCAAGTGCCTTCTTGAGAGCCGCGTAGTCGGTGCCGAGATGCTCAAAGTCGAAGGTTGACTCCCAAGTCTCGCCGACAACACCGATCTCGAGTTCAGAGCGGAGCCATTGCTTCCTGATACGAGCGTTCAGGACAGCGGCCTCGTGTCTCGGGTTGGTGCCAATCAACAGGATGCAGTCCGCATCCTCAATACCCCAGATCTTAGAGTTGAAGAGGTAGTTTGATCGCACATCAACACCGTGGGCAATCGGTTGGCTGCCAGAAGGTGTATCAAGAGCTAGGTTCTCAGAACCAAGCTTGTTGGCAAGATCCTTCATAGCAACTAGAGACTCCACCTCGGTGAGCTCACCGGCCACAACTTTGAACTCGTTGCCCTTCGGAGCCTTGACCTGCCATGCCTGGGCAATCTCGGTCAGAGCTTGCTCCCACGATGCTGGCTCAAATTTGCCCTCACGACGAACGAGAGGAATCGTTAACCGTTGGGTCTTCAAGCCATCACAAGCAAATCGCGTCTTGTCGTTTATCCATTCCTCGTTGACATCGTCATTTAATCTAGGAAGAATGCGCATAACCTCGAGACCCCTTGAGTCCACACGGATGTTGGAGCCCAAGCCGTCAAGGACATCGATAGACTCTGACCGCTTGAGCTCCCAGGGTCGTGCTTTGAAAGCGTATGGTTTTGATGTCAGCGCACCTACCGGGCATAGATCGATGACGTTCGCCGAGAGTTCAGAGTCTAGATTTTGTTCCAGATATGTGCCAATTTGTATGTCGTTGCCTCGGCCGGTAGATCCCATCTCTGAGGCACCAGCAATGTCGTTGGCGAAACGCACACATCGCGTGCAGTGGATGCAACGGTTCATAGAGGTCTTGATCAGAGGTCCGATATTCTTATCCTCCACGGCACGTTTACCACCAATTTCGTGGAAGCGGCCCCTATCAGCACCATATCTCATTGACTGGTCCTGTAGATCGCACTCTCCACCCTGGTCGCAGATGGGGCAGTCGAGCGGGTGGTTTGCCAGCAAGAATTCCATTACACCTTCGCGCGCCTTGTGTGTGAGGGGAGAGTTGGTCTTAACAACCATGCCAGCTTGGACAGGCCACGCGCAGGATGCTACTGGCTTTGGCGCTCTCTCAACTTCAACCAAGCACATTCTGCAGTTTCCGGCAATCATCAATTTCCTGTATGTTTGTCAGCCGCTGGTCCGAAGGTCGAGGTCGGTCAGGGTCGGGATTTTCATACTCGTGGTAGCAATATCTAGACATGGTTAGCATGAAGTTTGAGTCCAGTATAGATGGCGAACAAACCTTGGAACTGTTACGCCTGCCTTCTCGCAAGCCTGAATCAGGGCAGAGCCGGCTATCACACATCAGTCCTCCGTCGTCTCAATTAAAGCCAGAACAGCGTCATACCTTCTATCGACACCTTTTTTCCATCTTTGGAACTGTTAGCATCACAGCTACCATCAATCAATTGTTACCAAAGCAGCTAAACACACCAATTGTGAGCTCAACCTCCGCAGGTCTCTGAGCTGTCGCGGAAAAGGCTCGAGTGGCATTGGCGGCGGCCTGCCTGCCATTCCGCCAAGCCGAACGAGCCAGAGTCTGCCGCAGCATCGTATCGTCCCGACGGATTGAGGAGAGAGGAGATGGTGGTCGGTCGGGCGGTGGCGGCAATTGAGTGCCTTCTCAAGATGTTGACGTCTGAGATGGGAGCAATGTTCGGGAACTGAAGGGTTGGAGGTGGCACTAGCCTTCATCCGAGTGCGCATTAAATTTACAGAGCCTGTGATTGGTCGTTCCTCCAGACGTGGTCAGTGCTGCGCTATAAAGATTTCAAAGCGGATATCGGCTTCCACACGTTCTTCTCTTTTTTCCTCATCAAATTGTACATGAGCACATTTTATTGTAGGTGAGCTTGAGCTCGCCTCTGCATCTGCAGAGTCGTTGTTCGATCGAGTCCACCTCTATCTTGTGCTCTAGAGAAAGCTAGGCGCCGTATATGGAAGTATGTGAGAGCTATTTGTTCAATGTGCATTGCCTCTTACCGCCGGTCGCAACATTCTACCAACATCCCCAAAAATCATTGTGCCTCCTTGTCCTACCATGACAGCCTTGTGAATGGTGTAAGGAACAGCTGGCTTAGAGGGTAGTGTATCTGATCCATTTACAAACATGTGTTGCTTGACGTCGCACAAAACGATCTTGAAGCGATCTCCATGGCATACACGTGGTTTTTTCAGATAGTGAGGAGCGTGAAACTTGGGAGCCCGCTCTATTACTTGTTTGATACAGGCAATTGGAATTCCAGACTGCGAAAAGACTTTGGTGTGCTCGAGATTACGGCCGCTTCAAAATAATGGCTTCAGGCCTCTTGCTAAACTCCTCATCTCGTGTAATCTCTTTCTGTAAACGATCCTGATAAAAATCCTTCGCAGCCTTCATACGGGTCTTGTAATGCTCCATGCTTCTGCTCGCCTTCTCTACGAGATCTAACAGCTGCCGAGTGGTGTCCTCTCGATGCGAGAAGTTTGGCTGAACGATGTCGTGTCTCGGCAGTTGAATCTCCATCACATTGTAGTCCAGTCCGGGCTCAGGGGCCGCTCTCATGTTCTGGATGAGGATGTCGGTTTCGTCTGGATCAATTCCCAGCTGTGCCTCTGGGGGATAGAACGATTCTTCGACGCGTTTTGCCTCTATGATGATACGCCGCTTTTCACGCTCAACCATCCACAGCGCATTATCCAGGACCTTCTTCTCATGAGTGTCTATATTTTCCAGAATACGTTGCAGTCGCTCTATTCGGTCCTTTGGTGGCTCTAATCGATCAAGGAGATCATCTTCTAGCGGTGTGAACATACTCGGCACAATCGTTGTCATAGTAGGAATATTCTCCGATTCGAGATCAGCCTGCAATGCCGGATCATCTGTAGATGTCGCCATGCTGGCTCACAGTTTTACTGATCGCGAGTGAGGAAGCTTTGCTCGCGCTGTTCAGGTCACCAGCAAGGTACCTAGGTAAGTTGTGTCTCCGTCCTGGAGATCTCGGGATGGTCGCTCCTAAGAAAAGACTCTTGCACAACAAGACTCTGTCATTCTCAAGCTCAACCTTCATCGACATTGATCTCCACATTGACGACTCCCTTCTGGCTAGCTTGGGGCGATGTGCAAGCGAACGCCTACAATTCATTAGCATTGAGCTTATGGTATCAAGCTAGAGTACAAACTTGTTAGACGTGTTTGCCAATTCTTATCACACCGCCTGCTTAGAGATTGTCGCAGTGGTTTCGGATTATTTGTTGAAGGTGTGGAGAGTGTCTGTGCTGGGCAACGGACAGCCTCACAAAAGTGACGAGTAGAAGAAGGGTGAAAGTGTGGCGGTCGGAAAGAAATGGTGTACATATTGAGCAGGGTATGTAAAATGCAGCGGCAAGAATAAAAAGCATGCATGTATGACCAAATTTACATGCGTTGCTCAGCATCACATCAGAGGGATACGTACAGCTAAAGGAATCTAGATAAGTGGGAAAGCCTCTAAAATACTCCTCTGCCAGGGTAATAAACGTTAATTCTTAAAGGGTGCAGATACTCGATGCTGAGAGTCGTAATACTTACGGGCTCTCGAATATTCTGTTTATTACTATAGGGTCTATCAACTTCTAAGAAGGTAGTAATGTCTTGTTGAGGAGGTAGTGATACTCTTGGCAAACTAATATCCATTACCCTAGCAGAGGAGTAGATAGCCTGTAGGCATCACTCAGCTAAAAGCTACCCCTTGTCGCTTTTAACAAAGAGCACTAACGTTCCGAGCATCTGAGATATTCAGCTATCTAATCTGAGTTATGAGGCTGTTAATTCTACATCAGGCCTATATTATATTATGTTGACTGATCATGGGGTATTATACAGACATGTTCTCGTTACTCTAACAGCATTTATGCTCAGATAGATGGTGAATACCCCCTCTTGGCGCATAATATGGTATGTCCTCCGATAAACATCTATCAGGTGTCTGCTGCAGCGTAGTCATCTACGTGATAACCTACGGGCCCCAGACTGTCCCTCGTTGGTATCTTCATTGACCTGGAATAGACCGGCAGACCCATATTTGAAATAGGCCGCTCCATAGGAGAATGTCACTTGAACAAATGATATCATTCAAGTTCGCCGGACGATTACATGCTTTCTGCACAAAGATACGCGGCGTAAAGAAAACTCTGGCGAAAGAGTATAGCTTGGAAAGGATGTTCTCGTCCAGAATCTCGTAGCTAGAGTTACCCCGACGATGTAGCAATGATACCACGGGTTCGACCGGTACCAAGCTTATTGGGGCTGATTCTGACCAACCCTAATGCCGTCCAGACTTTAGGATCGTGTAGCCTCACGTGAGTAGCAGGCTGGGACGCAAACTTGCCGACATGTCGATGATCGCGGCACTCGGAGCCACTCATCTTTGGGGGAGGATTTTCCTAATATATTCCCTGGCGATTCGCAAAGCAGCCCGGACATGGTCTTCGAGACGTCGATCTTTCCTTCGGCGCATCCAGAGTAGAATAATACCCAGTATCACAGCATCCACGAGGAAGTGTTTCATGAACAACCAAGCGAACCATCCGACCCGGGCGCTGAAACTTCGCTCTTTCCGTGCTCTCCATTCGCGTCCTGTGGTGATCTGTTCCCGCAATGCTGCAACTTCTGCTGAGAGTCGTACGATGGCCCGTTCCATCTTCTTCGACCACTTGTCTCCTCTCTTTACGTATTCGTCGTCGTCATCGCCGTCGTTATCGCCCATCCGTCTCTGATAGTCCTGTTCTGCCTCGTCCTCCTCACTCATCGGACTCAGAACCTTCATAGGGCCGTCTGTGCCGCTAAGGGGTTGCGCAAAGCGCCGTGGACTGGTGTCGAGGATGTCAGCATCCTTAGGAGATGAAGCGGATGAGCTTGGACTATTGCTCTTTATTTGATTCCAAACGAATTCGAGTTCCGCTACTAGTTCGACCGCATTACTGTCCCCTTTGAGATTAGTTATGTTGTGCCAATGATCCGAAGGACTAGACAGATGTGAGGCAAGCTTACGGCGTCGTGGCATATTTGTGCATCGTATCTATCAACGCCTCGATATAGCGTCGTTTTGCCTCGGTCCGACTTAGACCTCGCTGTGAATTCCACGCATCCCACTTATCTTGCTCTCGCTGCAATTCCTCAATGGCAATGCCCGAAGCAACAGAGGGCCGCTCCATCACTCCATCTACATCGCCCTCCATAGCTTGCTTATACAAGCCATAGAGCCGCATGCGATCCGAGGGCGGGGGTCGCGTGGCCCCAGTTTTGGGTATCTTCTTGACGGTGTTGAGGGCATGGACGAATACCCGATCTAGAGAAGCAAAACAGTTAGACTATCATTCCGACATACTTGCCCATGGAATTTCAGGACGAGCTTACCGACTGAATCGGCCATCGTTGCAAGCAGTTATCGATCCCCCGTTACCTAACCAGACCGCGAGCGCTCCTAATCAAGGCCGGGGCACGGTGGAGTGAGTCCTCGGGTATCGTGCTCCAGATAGACCGCATGCAGTGCGACGTTTAACTGTGCTTCAGTGGTGAGTTTTGGGAGAAACGCAAGGCCATAAGCGGCCAGTCAGCGGATATACAGATGGCACAATCAAAGGGTAGATCCTATTGCGCTGGCGATAGCCCATCCATCATCGTTCAGCCCTGGATTGGGGGACATGGCACTTGTCGCGTAAACGCCAGGCGGGTCCACTTCGCAGTAAGCCAGCGCTGTGCTGGAAAGTGGTGTCGTGCCTCACTGCCTCGGCGCGGGATGCTGCCCGCCTTCTCGGCACAAGGACCCCTGAAAAGCCCTGCCGAGATCACCGAAGCCTTTTCCGCACACGTGAAACGCGACGCCGGCTTGGGACAGCCGCCTACCACTTACAGTATTGAAAGCAACCGTTGTACAAGACATTTGATCAAATCGAAATGGACCCCTTCTGCCTCTCAAGACAACCTCATAGTCTCGATCCTGTCTTACTCCTTTGGAAGATTTTCAAGCTTACTCAGCACTATCTCGTGGTGCTGAGCGCTGTCACCATAGAGAATGCAATGCGACTTACATTTAAGCATTCGTGTCATTGCACTGTCTTGTCTATTATTACTTTGCTCAACCTTGATCCTTCCAGCTAGGTAGCTGACACCTTGGGTATCGTGCATTGTCTAAGAACGACTCTAGAAACAACCTACATCGCAAATCTTGTTTTGATGATAGCAAGACTCTGGCAGGTCAGGTCATGCTCCTTGGATTTGCTGATTGCCAGCATCTTTTTTGCCTACCGCGGCTTCCCGCTCTGCAAGGAACCGTATCTTTTTCTCGGCTAAGGGTTGGATCAACTTCCTGTTTGCAAGTGCCTGCTTAGCAGCCTTTTGCCCTGCCTCCTTCTTGCTCAGGTCACTGCCCGTCCCGAGCAGCTTCTTTTTCTCGCCCCAGCCGGTGAAGTAGCAGCCAATACCGAAAAGAGGAAGATTAGTCCCCTTGTCTCGCTTCTGCTTTCCCAAATCCATGTCTAAATACTCAACGACGGCGACCTTGCCACATGCAATTTCTCCAGCGAGCCTCACCTTTGGCGCTATCTCAGGGACTTTAGTCGCTGTTGCCGTCTCAATTCTAGTCGTATCAGTCGAAGATCCTAGTGAGGGCACCAAAAAACCCTGTGATTTGGACTGAGGCTTCCGAGATTCCTCTCGGAGCTGGTCTGCGAGTGTGATGCTCCATAGTTCTTTCAGCCAATGCGACGCACGTGCAACTCCATTAGCAGGATCAGACTGAATGACAGCTCCAACATATGCTTCAAACAGATCTCCCAGCGCCTTTATGCGCTCTTTATTAGTCGCCCTATTGCCCCCATTGTTGATATTGTAGAATTCCTTGGGAAAGGAAGCACGTTTGTCCAAGCCGTACTGGCGGGTGTACTCTCCCAAGGTTGAATTGCGTACCAACTGTTCTCGTAGTTGAGAACACCTGCCGGGCGACAGACTGGCAAATGTCTGGTAAATGAAGGCAGAGGCGATCAGGTAGAGATACGCATCCCCGATCCATTCCAGGCGTTCGTAGCTTAGGTCAAAGTTGGAATTGGTTGTTCCGGAATGTGTGAGAGCCACCTTTTCTATAGCCGGATCCAGAATTTCTGGAAGAGGGGGTAAAGATGATGGGATTTTCTTAGCATCCCATTTCGTGAGGATAGTTCCACTGTGGAACAGCTCGTGGTCACGTCCCCCATTGGCCTCCTTCGATGCTTTGCTGCCGCCTACCTCTTGTTGCTGCTTTGTGGCGAAATTAGCCGCTTTCTCAGAGGTGTCAAGTGGAACTTTGTCCGCATCGAGTTGGCATACTTGGTCCTGATCTTTACTGCTCCCGAGCATCGCAAATGCCGGAAGGAGAGTATGACTCAAGGTTGCCAGGTGAGAGTTCCGGTTTGACTTGTGCGAAGCTCTCAAAGACCGGAGGCACTCAACAAGATCATCTGCATGGCGTTCCAGAAGCGATAATGCTGCGGCCGTGTCTTGCAGTCTCGGTCTTTTGGCCCCAGCAGTCTCATCTTGAAGGCCCTCTGTTACAAGCTCACTAGCTGAGCGCTTGCTCATCCTGAAAGCAGGAATTGTCGTTGAATGAAGTGGACGCGCGCAGATTGCCGTGATGCCTATCTGCTGTTAGGGTAGCTGCGTGTTGCTGGAGGTTAATGCGCAAGGGTTGGCTGGAGCACCTTTCGCATGTGAAGGTTGATGCACAGTGGTCCAGTCTGAGAGTCTTGCCAAAACGTACTGCCGCGCTGTTATGATTGCTCAAAACTCTCTCAATAAAAACAAAGCATCTCAAAAGGATGTGCACTAGAGTTAAAAGATAATGGTCGGAGATATAATGTCAAGATGAAGATTGATGCTAGCGGTCGAATGTTCAAACCGTTTCTCATGGCGTAACAACAATAGACCCAATTCTTAGCTAGGTGAGGCCCCCAAAATCTCTCAGCCAATCGGAACGCACCCCCTCCAAATTCAACGCCGCATCTTTTTAGAGCTCTCGACCTTACGACTTCGATTGCGAAAGCAACACTTTGCCCATTCGACGAACTCGCCGCATGATGACAAGATGGCGGTCCCCCGAGCACGGATATTGGACCTTATGAAGGTGATTACGTACTTAAGTACTAAGCGCAAGAATTGGCTAACATTCATGCGCGCAGGTCCGATGTCAAATCTTCTCCACGACGTTCAACCCTGACGGTGTTCGCATGGGCAACAAGATTCTACGACAGAGACTTCGGGGCCCGGCACTAGCAGCCTACTATCCGCGAAAAGTTGTGACGATTAGAGATTTGATGAAGGAATTCGCGCCAGAGCTCGAGACATTTGACGAGGACGAGGACGACCGACTGGAAAACATAGAAGCGTATGTGCTCCAGGCTGGCATGCGGGCTGCACAACTTGACTGACATCACGCAGATTGAAGGCTCGTGGAAAGGGCGCTCCCAAGAAGAAAAAAGGCCCTGGAGGTAAGTACATGTCAAAGTGTCGCAAAGTCGATCGAGACTGACTCTATCGAGTAGATGCCAAGGACAAGAAGAAGAGGTGATAGATGTGTATACTAGGGAGAGGACTGTACAATACTGTGGCCTACATGAGACTTTGATATCCCAATATAACCGATACTTCAACAATAGTGAGTCTCAGGCTCAAGGTTTGAGGAGATGTTGCGACTGTGCTTGTGAGCTACGGACGAAGCCAATTAAGCAGCGCCGCAGGACCCTATGCCTCTTATTTGTTCCTTTGGCACAGCCATTGTTGCACTGCAGAATTTGCTGCTACCAATATTCTCACTACGGGCCTTGTTGCTCAGTTTGACGATGACCTCGAGGCAAAACCTAGGCAGCAAGTTCATCTATTAGTCCGATGTAGGATATTCCTGCTGTCTGGTGAATCACAACTAATTGATGAGCAAACTCTGAATAAGTCATATTGAATTTGGTGCAACGAACCACATCTCAAGCAGCACTTGCAAATCATCCACCTTTGTCAGGAGTTGCTCTTGCTAAATATCTCCTCTCCAAGGCTACTAGCACAAATCTCGAGGTAGGAGTTACATAGGTATAGCCCAATCATCTCTTGTGCTCCCCAACTGTTAGACCGAGCTGAATGAAACTGCCGCTGGTCCTCTTGAAGGCTGATCATTTGTCTTTTCTATCCTTATCTCGAGCGTCTACCTGTTGCACTCGAATTGGAACCTTCCATCCTGAGGCCACAATACCTAGATAGCTCAAATACTGCCGTTCAACAAGTCTGGTAAGCGAGATCTATATCCTGCAAGACTGCAACTTCCGTCTACATCGATCTCAGTAGCTATCAAGGCGGTATTGCAGGATTGGCCCAAGCTACGCGATATCGACGCGCTCTTTCCTTGACAGAAGAAAACTGGACGATACCTGCCAGGCTTCTGAGCTGCAGAGTAATTCGACCTTACCTTAGCTTTACCATTATCCCCCAAATTTCCCTCGCTATTTCACTTACCTACTTTCCTTACTACCTAAGCTTACCAACCTCCATCCCACTTCTTCTCTTCCTCCCACATACATCCCCTCTCCCCTCCACGCAACCTCACGCCGCCTCGTGAGGCACCCTTCTATCCTCCTACCTTTCACTTGGATTTCGATCCCGTCGTACCCAATCGCGTAATATCCTTGGATTCAGACAATCAGGTTCTCAGGTCCAAGCCGCCTCAGAGGATGACGACCACTACTCCGGGTGGCTCGCCGTCCCAACGTCGAGCCATGGCTGCTGCCTTGACACAAGATGAGAACCTGAAGCGTCCAGAGGAGGCTGGCAATCAGCATCAGCAGGTTTGTCAACTTCTCCTATTCAGCCAAGCCTCTTCGCCTCTAGGAGGTTTCAAGTTTATCTTGTCGTCGTATCTCCTAACAATTCTCTCAATCTAGGACGGCAGTCCCAGTACGTCTCTCAAGAAAGGAATCACTGCTTTAAGCACCTCGAAGCTTGCGAACCAGAGCATGCCCAAGGTAAGCCCGTTTTCTGCATAGATTCTGGTTGCGAGCTGAATGTAACAGAAGTTAAAGGTCTTCCACGAACCCATTGCCATACGCGATTCCCATCCAGTGAGCAAGCTATTGGCAAGGCTGCCTGAGAAGCAATCAGGAACGATGCCGCGCAATGAGAATATGAAATCGGATGACGAGTCTCTCTCTGTTCCCGTGCTTGATCACGGATCAGCTTCTAGCTCGCTTCCTATTACTCCCACCACAGAGGGATTCACTACAATTCCGCCAACCGCAAGATCTGCGTCTGCAACTCCGAACGAAGGCCACCCAACTACAGAGGAGGTCCTTCGCTTGAAGCTTGAGCTTGCTCAGGCTCAGAACAAGATTACTCGCCTTGACCAGGAGCTGGCTCAGACTCGCGATATTCAGTTCGGCAGCCGCCGTCCAACACCGACTACATCCCCTGAGCAGAATATTTCCCTAGTCCCTAATGTTGAACAGATCACTGCCAGAGCTCCAGGTGCCCCCGTCACCAATGTACAACCCAGGGCTGCGTTCCCTCGGGACAACTTTTGGCACGCACCTGTTCCTGATGACTGTCGCTCCGAGACTAGCGATGCTCTATCTGCAACAGGGTTCAACCGCAGCCGCGCAATTTGGAACAGTGGCAAACCAAGCTTCCAGAACGCCTTTGTCCCAAATTCCAATGTTGTTCCTGATGCTCCCCAGCCAGTTCCGTGGGGAGGGCTGCGTAATCCGGACTTCATGGACCACAATCCTCACTTTCCCCCGCCAGTCGTCGACGGTTTTCGTAGCGATCGTGTCAGCCCCGAGCAGGACTTCATGATGCGTCCCTCCAGTGCTCGCCGAGGAAATCGCTACGATCACCGGTTTGGACAACCTCAGCCCTTTGCAGGTGGGTTCGGTGGATACAATAATCACTTTGATTCCTCACCTGCATTCCCAGTAGGGGGCCCGGGTGTTATGCCAGGCGAGAGCGGAATGGGTATTGGCATGTATCCTACTTACCCACAACAGGGCACAAGCACTGGCCTCTCTCCACATGCGAGAGAGTTTACTTCTACAGGGTCATCTTCTTGGAAGAACGATGTAAGTTTCATTCGCTATCCTTCTAGCCTTGTTTCATTATCCCTTGCAGCTGACCGCATCGACTTTTATAAGGCAATCGCTACAGAGGGCCAGACATATCTCCCCACGACCGAGCCACTTAATTATCGTCGTCTGTTAGATCGAAATGTCAACTGTAATTGGAAGTATATCGTCGACAAGATTGTGTGTAATAACGATCAACAAGCTTCTATCTTCCTGCAGCAGAAGCTTAAAGTTGGTACCCCTGAACAGAAGTACGAGATCGTTGAAGCAATTGTCGCACAGGCATATCCTCTCATGGTCAACCGATTCGGAAATTTCCTAGTTCAGCGCTGCTTCGAGCATGGCACTCCTGAGCAGGTGATCAAGATTGCTGAGGCTATTCGCGGAAACACTCTGAGTCTCTCAATGGACTCGTTCGGATGCCATGTAGTCCAGAAGGCATTTGACTCTGTTCCTGAGGACTACAAGGCTATCATGGTCCACGAACTCCTTCGACGGATTCCCGAGACCGTCATCCATCGTTACGCATGCCATGTATGGCAGAAGCTTTTCGAGCTTCGATGGACTAAGACTCCACCGCAGATCATGAAGTTTGTGAATGAAGCCTTGCGTGGCATGTGGCATGAGGTTGCCTTGGGCGAGACGGGAAGTCTTGTGGTGCAAAACATCTTCGAGAATTGTCTAGAAGAGGATAAGGTACGCGATTACCTTTCTCTTGCCCCCTTGTCATATCTTCATGTACTGACAGTACATTTAGCGCCCGTGCATTGAGGAAGTCCTTGCCAACATCGATATTGTGGCCCATGGCCAGTTCGGCAATTGGTGCATCCAGCACATCTGTGAGCATGGGGCTCCGGCAGATCGCAGCCGTGCGATCGATCACGTTGTTCGTTATGCTGCCGAGTATTCTATGGACCAGTTTGCCTCTAAGGTGGTTGAGAAATGCTTGAAGATTGGTGGACCGGAGTTTCTCGGCCGATACCTTGACCGTGTCTGTGAGGGTCGTGTGGATCGTCCACGCATCCCCCTCATCGATATTGCCAGCGACCAGTATGGTAATTATCTTATCCAGCACATCCTGATGAATGCCAACCCCCAACACAAAGAGATCGTGGCTGCTCATATTCGCAAGCACATGGTCTCCCTTCGTGGTTCGAAGTTCGGGTCACGAGTCGGCATGCTTTGTACCAATCCAGCAGTGGCAACCCGTCCAGGTCCCGGTCTAGGACCGGTGATGGGCAATCGCATGGCTCCCGGTCCTAGATATGGTGGTGCTTATCGTTAAAGTCTACTGAACGATCTCATCACGGGTTGGCGTTGTCTGATACTCTTTGACTCAAAAAGTCCCCGAATACACTATCCTGTGATCAACCTCCACTCAAGATGGTGCTTGAGGTGTACGCGCACGGATGAATTACTCCTTTTTCTGCTTCTCCTTCAGCACACAATTTCCCAATCGGTTCTCAGATTGAACTTAACCTATGTCATATGACAGTCGACTTAAGAACATTTTCCCGAGCAATTAATTTACACTTCCTCGTCAACCTACGCTCGGGAGGCTACTGCCCAAACGAGTCCTTGGACACATTATTCTTACTGTTTTGCGATACTACAGCAATTGCATGGCTCCGGCTAGTCAACCAAGAAAGGAATTTCCGATAGGAAACCTTGGGCTTGATCTAAACTAGGAGTGATCGATAATTTCTTTACCTCACATAAACCCTGCAAACTGATCTTGAGGTGGACTACTATCTCGGCCGGTATTCAGGGCTAGGAGGAAAGGGGGACAGAGGGCGAACTTGTCCAGACTTTTTGTGCTATCAACAGGGACCGACAGAGATGCATTACGTGGCCACAGGCTTTTGTACACTAGATACACATTACTTAGCTATCATCACCCCTAATAAATGAGACCGCCAGGTGATATCATACACAAATATTTCTATAATGCCAACTATTCTCTATGAACTGCAGCTACACTGCAGAGCCCTCTCTGTCCGTGGGACGTCGTCAATCCAGCGAGCCTCTTCCTCCCCATCGCCGTTGTACTCGACGCCGTCAAACTTTTGACCATCCCATCTGTCCTCAAACGGATGGAGAGCCATGTTGACAATTCTTCTCAGGACATCGCGTTCTCCTTGCTTTTCCACCCGCCGAATCACTTCATCTAGGATCCAACCTCTGGGGATGAAGCTCGGGTTCACCCTTTTCATGGCAAGCATTCTCTCTTGATCTCTCGACTCTGAGATAGTACCGTCTTCAACCTTGCTCTTGCCCTTTCCTTCATCCTCACTCCAGTCTTCCAAGATTCTACGTTGCCACTTTCCGAGCCATTCTCCGACTCGCTTGCGTCCTTCTTCCTCACCACCGATACCAGTGACTCCATCTTTATAGAAAAAGACTTCGGCCTTTTGCTGTCTGGCCTCCTCCGTGCCTAGATCGCTAATCTTGACAGAGCTAAGCCTACGGAAGAAGATGTTGAAATCCAATTCTAATGCCTCCATGGTATCTAAGAGGCTACTGAAGAGCTCGTCGAAGTCCGAGTCCCGGAAATTCCTAAGGCCTAGACGTGCTGTCATAAGTCGCTTGTATTCAGTGAGGAAGACGGCCTTGTATTCTTCGCCTGTCTGGGTGATGATCTTCTCGGCCCGGGCAACAAGAATGTCTGCCTCGTCTTCCTTTACACCTTCCTTTATGAATTTCTCCGAGTCAACCTCTGCACCGGCGCCAAGAAGCTCTCCAAGTGCCTCGCCGAATCGTACCAGATTCCACCAGATTATCGATGGTTGATTTCGATAGCTGTATCTTAACATGTGATCGTCATGATTTGGCGTATAAGAAGGATCGAAGCTGTCCAGGAACGCAAATGGCCCAAAGTCTATAGATAAGCCGTAGATTGAGGTATTGTCGGTGTTGAGGACGCCGTTCATAAAGCCATACGCCTGCCATTTTGCCACCGTCTCTGCATTCCTCCTAACTACCTCGCGATAGAGCCTGGCGAATCTGTTCTCGGCTGCGTCCTCTGGCCCCTGAATCTCCTCCTTTCTCACGCCCTTCTCTGGTGGAGGCGATGTGATCGGCTCTTCGGGATTCTCTACCCTTCCTGGAAGATTCTCCCAACCCCCATAAACTTCCTCCGCCACATATGACGCAAGCTGCCTGATTAGATCCCGATCACCCCTTGCTCTGAGGATGTCAAAGTTGCCTAATCGAATCCAGCTCTGCGCAAACCTCACAACAATGGCACCTGGCTCGATTGTCTCTCTTCTGACTTTACTGTGCGGCAATAGCGTCAAGGCCAATGCTCTCGTCGTAGGAATGCCGAGCGCGTGTAGAGCCTCGGAAACGACAAACTCACGAATGCTGCTCCTCAGCACCGCCTTCCCGTCCGCAAAGCGGCTATACGGCGTCAAGCCTGCGCCCTTGAGCTGGACCTCATATTTGGCTCCCGTGGCCGGATTTGTCGTCTCGAACAGGCTGATCGCCCGCCCGTCCCCGAGCTGGCCGGCCCACTGGCCGAACTGGAAGCCGCCGTAGCACTGCGCCCAGGGATAGCCACCCGTGAGCTTCTCCTCGTTCCAACCCAGTAGGCGGTTGCCCGCGGCCGTCTGCCGGAATTCTTCGGACTTGGCGTCTTCCGGGTCGATGCCGAGGTCACGCAGCGCGGCGGGGCTCACAGCCAGCAGCTCCGGGTCCTTCTGCTCCTCCGGGCGCACCCAGGTGAAGAGGGCGCCGCGGACCTGGCGCGGGAGGATCTGGTCACGGGGCGTCTTGTGCGAGTCTGCCGGGGTGGGGAATAGGGGGTCCGGGACCAGGGAGGAGGTGTACGTCCATGACTTTGGCAGATCGGCTAGTGAGACGCCCTTGGATGCTGCTTGCGCACCATCGCTGCTGCCGGGGCGGGCTGCCGGGTGTTCTGTGGGGGACTGAACGGAGCCATTCGCAACTTGCGCGGCCATCGAGTGAAGTTTTCGAGTTGCAGGAAGAGTCAACGTGGTGATGCGTCGGGCTGAGCGAAGAAGCATTTACAGCAGGTTTGATGTTATCGATTTTGAATGAGCAAGACACCAATCGCGGAGCCTTACTATCTAGATGACGGTAGGTAAGGGGATGGGAATATGATTAGAGAGAAAAAATCGAAGTTGACTGAGCGGCGATATTGGCAGCCGGGATGTATGCGACCGGCGATTCGGCTCTTCTGGGTGGCGGAGATGGAGCCTCCAAGAGGGTGTCAAAGTGATGTCACATAAGTGAGAGGCTCTAAGCAAAACCAGCGATTGAATGGTCGCAATTTGCGTCTTACTGCATGAAGTGGACTGCTTGGCTCTGCATATGTACGGTACTCAGCACCTGTCTCAAGGATCAATAAGCTCATCCACCTCGCAGATTTTGATGTGTTTTGATGCTCTGAGCGGTCCGCCCTGCTGGTCCCGGGCGAAGGTTGCCCCCGCCGACACTCGGACCCGTTTACAAATACATACCAACTTCCTATCATATATCAGACCCGACCTTCTTACTTCGCCAATATGGGTGAGTAGGGGCCCGAGACATGTAGTTGTCCTGTCACTCACCATGTTGAAGGCTAGATCAACGTCGAGCCATCTGATAGATAGATATGTAACTAATTGGGCGGGAACAAAGCTATCTTGACCACTGTCGTCACCAAGCCGCTTCGTGGCGTCACAACCTGGAATTGACTGCCCCGCACCTCAATTCCTCGATAGAGGCGGGGCACCCAGGAAATAAGGGGCGCCATAGCAGCAAAGGTCCAGCAAAGCGATAACTTTGCAGGTGTATGATGTGCTTTTAAGACTATCCAAGACATACTGGGCAATCTAGATTAGCCAAGCTACAGCGCGTGCTTTTTTACAACTCGATGAGACCTGTGACCTTGGGATTCTCAAACACGAAAATCTCCCACTTCCCTATCTCTATCTCTCTGGTTCCACTTAGAGTGCCTGCTTCGGACCGTTCCTATCGTATCGCGCACTGCTTGAAGACAGCTACTCACTCTCTGCAAAGAAACGAAGTTTATTCCATTGGGCGCCGCGACTCCTCTTCCCCCTTGTGCTGTCTGTCTACCTCAAGTCGCAAGATGAACTCCATCACCTCGGCGTTCAAGCCCGATGCTGCGGGCAATGATCCTAAGCAGCTAGAGTATCTGCCTTATCTAAAGCTAAATGATGGCCACGAGATCCCCATGGTATGCCTTATCATTCTTTTGAGTAGACTACATTAACTGACTCAACGGATCAGCTTGGCTATGGTTTGGGAACAGCAAACTCCAAGAAGGGAAGCGGTGGTCTCGATAAGGACATTGTGAAGGTGGCCGTTCAGGCGATCAAGGCAGGATACTTCCATCTCGACGGAGCTGAGTGTAGCGCTATCTTGAATGAATCGTTTCTTATACATTGACTAATTCATCGCTAGCCTATGGTAATGAGCAAGAAATTGCCGCTGCTATTAAAGAAGCCAAGATCCCTCGCGAGAAGCTCTTTGTGACCACCAAGGCCACAGCGAAGGTTGGCAAGTCGCTGGAGGAGAACTTCAGTGATTCACTGAAGAATCTCGGCCTCGACTATGTCGACCTCTACCTGATCCATTCACCCTTCTTCGCAGACGATAACCCGAAGGAGCTGCAGCAGAAGTGGGCGGAGGCAGAAGCCATCAAGGAGTCAGGGCGAGCGAAGTCGATTGGCGTGTCCAATTTCCTCCAGAGCCATCTCGAGACAATCCTGAAGACTGCCAAGATCCCGCCTGCCATCAACCAAATCGAGTTCCACCCCTATCTTCAGCACGGTGATCTTCTCGACTTCCACAGGGAGAAGAAGATCGCCGTCTCTGCTTATGCTGGACTTACAGCCGTCACAAAGGCTGCCCCTGGACCTCTTGACTCGTACTACTCGGCCTTGGCTAAGAAGTACGGCGTGACGGAAGGGGAGGTTGCCTTGCGCTGGATTCTCGATCAGGGCGTTGTTGTAATTACAACAAGCTCTAGCGAGCAGAGACTTAAGAGTTTCTTGTCGAAAATCCCGAGCTTCAAGCTCACGCCGAAGGAGGTCCAGGACATAATCGACCTCGGAAAACAGAAGAATTACCGTGGATTCTGGAACAACAAGTTTGGCGCCGATGACTGGCGGTAGATGATAGATTTAGAGGTAGACATAAATGTTATACAATGAGTATGCGTGTACAGGAGTTACCTCTCCAACTCAGTTGACCATGGCCTATAGCTCATCGTCGGATTCAGTCTCACTGTCTGCGCCCGCCGCGGAATTTGCACTTGGCTTGTTAGCCGCTGGCTTGCCGAGCGCGAATGGCAAACGCCGTGGCGGAGGAGGTGCTTTTTCTTCAGCTTTATGCCTCGTATTTTGACTCGGCGGGGCTTCAAAGTCGTCCTCAGCATCCTTGGCTTGACCTGCTCCATTTTTGTTCCTTTGGCGGGTTGGTGGTGGCGCCTCGTCCTCATCTGTATCGCTGGCCGTCTCCTCTGCTTCCGTAGTCATCTGCTCATCGTCCAGCGGGACGTCCTCCTTCGTGTCCACGTCCATCTTCTCAAAGCCATCCTCAGAGTCTTCGTCCTCACTCGGATCCGCCTTGCGCTTGCCTCTCCGTGATGGTCCAGCAGCACGAGCCGGAGCGGATTTCTTCGTCCCCTTTGCACTCTTTGCTCCCCCCTTCGCTGGCTTTGTGTCAGGCTCCGACTCTGGTTGGGAGGGGGGAGCCTGTTCCGTTGCTACGTTTGCAGATGCAAGAAGACGCTGCTGCTGACGGATCTTGACTTTCTTCTCATTCAAGAGAGCCTGAAAAGCCTCGAGCAATTCTCCCTCGTCACCACCTCGTGCCTTGACCAGGGCTTCCAGCTGGTCCTTCAACTCAGACACGGCGCTCTCGAGCTCAGCTGCTTTGCTATTAGCAGAGGCGAGCTGGGCCTTGAGGTCTTCGCGAGACGCTATGGCATCGTTGCACCAGTCTATGGGCTCGATCCCCTGGGCTGCGTTGAACTTTAGTGTGAGCGTGCCGAGACGTTGCTGTGAGTCGTCGTAAGTCTTCGTCGCTCCCAAAAATTGATATCGACGTAGGACTCACGGAGAACTGCTCGATCTTCTTCTTGAAGGTGATCTCAATCTGAAACCCGGACTGCACTCGGGCAGTGACCTCGATGTCCTCGACTGCCTCGCGGTCTGTGAGCACAGCCGTCAAGATGCGCTGCCACTCATCCTCGGTGCAGGGACCGCTCGTCTCCCGGTACTTCGAGATTCGATCCGATCGCACTGTTAGAGAATTAGACTATGCGAACATATGAATGCATTCAATAAAGCAGGTGCACGTGAGTGGTTGATCATGGCAGAAGCTAAGCAGACGTGGGCATGCTAATGCAAGCACACACTTACATGAGAAGACGAAAGGTTCCGCCCCATCCGTCCCGACCAGGGTGAGATCTAACGGCCGCGAGCCGTTAGACGCGGCCTGGACCAGAACGTACTCGCCTTGCGCGTCGGAGCGGGGAAACCTCAACATGTATGTCGCGGCCATGATTCCGGGGTGGTCCTTATGTCACTGGACTATGGTTTGTAGTGGCGTGGTTGATTGCAATAATGAGATCTAAAAGGCCGCTGACGGCGCGTTGGCTCGGATGAAGGGTGCCGTCCCCAAGGCTGAAACCTTGAGAGAGATTGAAGGAAGGGCGAGGTCCTTAGATTGGGTGATATTGGCTCACGGAAGGGAGCCGTCGCGGAGAGCGTGTGGGATTATCGGAGTGCGTTTAAGGTCGAGACATCTGCGGCCCGGCAGTGTGGGGAAAGGGACGGGCAATCTGAGAATGGCACCGCACTATTTTGGGACTTAGCTTTTAGAGAGCTAGAGCCAAGGTATTGCTGCAATGGTGGCTATTTTGGCTCTCGATATAATCGAGGGAGTTCATGTGTGGGCGTATTTGTACAGCAGACTCGGAAAAGGAGAAGGCGTCCTTCTTCCACAGCTATGTTATAATATGCAACGCCTTTTTATATTGGAGTTGTCAAGCGTCTATAAAACACTCTCTGCTGTTTAGGCAGCAAGCGCGGGTACCAGCTGCGGCTGTAGCTCAACAGCTTTACACGTTTGCCAATAAAATAGTCACCATTTTACCTACCTGCCGACGGATATACCTTACCTTTGGATGCTTGCCTCTCGTAGCTCGTAGGTTCTTAGGCAGCTGAGTTGGTCTTGGGTCCGGAGTTCCACATACTACGGAGAGCGAAAGTCTCCCCAAATACAGCACTACCTAGGTACGGAGGTAGATACCTCAGCGGCCCATCCGTCACCAAGGCACACACACGTAACAGAGATTGAGCAAAATCAAGGCAGATCCCCTGGCTTTATCAAGACGATCTTAGGAGGGGATCACTGGGCAATCCTGGGGTGACTGGGCCGTCTGGGTCCGATCAGACTATTTTAGATAGATTGCTTCCAGAAGGTCCGGGAAACTTGAAACAAAACTCACCGTCGCGTTCAAGACGCGAGGCGCGTCTCTGCCCCGCTCCTGGTTGTCCAATCAGCCACTCACAAACCATCTTAGCGTCAGATGGATGTTGTTTGCGCGAAACTTCCTCTACTAACGTGGTAGCTGGATTGTAGGTAGTTTCCCATCGTTAAGAGATAGCACAATAACATGGCTTGAAAGTGGGGGGTTGAACGGTGAGCAGTGCACGGGCCTTTGCTCCGGGCGAGTGCGACTCCACTTCCAACCTCCCTCACTGCTCTCTCTGCCCTGCCTGAGGTGGGCTATTAGGGTCGTTCCGCTGGCCCTTTTGGTGGCCTGCAGCGAGCTCCCCAGTGCTCCCAGGCCACCAGCAGCACCCGAAAACCCCCCAGCCTGTCCCCATTCCCAGCCTTTTTTTCCTCAACCATCGCATCCCCGACCTCCTTCAGATGCCTTAGCTGGGCTCTGAAGGTCACCACCCGCATCGTCTGCGCACTCTTTTCCTTTCTCACGCACATCACTCGGCCCAAACCGACCAACCGACCGACCGACTTTCCAATCTCCTTTATCCATCTCTTTTTCCTTTCATTCGACAATTTCATCCTGGCCTTCATATCATCGGCCCCAGGCGACTATACATCTGCCATTGTGTGCAGCGCCTATCACTTTTGCACGACTCTCCGCTTTTTTTGTCAGAGACCTGCCCAGTGACAATTTGACCGCTCCCGCCCAGCATATTCCGGGAAAACCTGTGCCTAATCCCTCTCCCCATATCGACGGAAACCACTTCTCCGTATATTCAAAAATATTGCATCGACATTTGCTGGCTGTCTGGTGCCGCGGTGCCACATAATCGGTGTTGCTGGCTTGAGTGGAGGATGCTACGTGGCTGCCATTACGGAAATTGACGACGATGAATCCCTCCAGTTGATTGCTTGTCGCTCTCATCCACTCAATCCGGGCTGCGTCGCAGGCTGCAGCAGCCTTTTTCTTAGACTTGCTAGGATCTTGAGTATCAAGGCACGCGACCTCGTCCATATTGTCACTGTTTCTAAAGCACCAACGCAATGGAGACTCTACGACTAAAGCCTCGCCAACCGGTGGAGGACGAAGTTGAGAACTGGGATGATGACGACTTCATGATCGAGAGCGAGGACCTCACGTTTCGAAGTGCTTCAACATCGACCAATGCGCTTACCAACAGGCGGGATTCTCACTCGTCGCATTTCTCCATCCGATCCGAGCTCGAGTCCATCCATGGCGAGGAGGAAAAGCAGGTTCACCTGCCGGGCGATGACGAGAAGTCCACACTAGATGCCATAGCCGCTGCGGCGAACGCTGGCATCCCGATTCCACAAAACGTACCGTCTTCCGCTCTGATGGGAGGCACAATCAAACGACTAGGCGGAAGGAAAATCAAGAAGATCATTCAGGAAGACTGGGGTGACGACCTCGAACTGCCAGGCCCGGAACAGGCCCTTCGCATCAAGCCTCAGGACAGCTCTAAGTTTCCTGAAGTATTGCGACAGGTCAGCTCGACACAGCCCAGCCCAGCCAAACCGACAAAAGTCTTAACGACCCCGACGCAAAGCGAGGAGAAAGAGACGAAACCTAAGGTGTTGGCCACTCCGATTAACCTAGATCGTTTCCGCGATACGGAGGACGATGATGACTTCTTCGGAGATGGAGCCGCCACCATTAAAGTCTCAAAGACCCGCCAAGCGCCCAAACCCATATCTCTGATAACACCACCTACGCCACAGAAGAAAGATGGCGACGAAGACTTTGAACAGGATCTCGAACTGCCATCCGATGGCAAACTGAAGCTTACAAACCGGAAAGATATTCCCAAGACTCCTTCGCTCAACACCCTGGATGATTTCGACTGGGGCGAGGGAAGTCTCGGCACTAGATTCGGAGGAACTCGACGTGATGGACGCTCCAACCGGAGCTCTTCTATATCAGCTCTTAGTCCCAGTGTATCAAGTTCAATCACAGCCGAGAGCGAAGGGGAGGATGAGGCTCTTGACGGTCTCGTTCTACCTGATGGTCCCTTGAATTTCGGCGAGAGGCTGCAGAGGAGACGAAAGAGTCGATCTCCCGAGCGATCCACAGATCAACGGCCCGCTGAACCGCAACCCCAAGTAGCTAAACGGACTCCAAAGTCGGACCCAGATAGAGACGACTTCTTTACTGGTCTGGATATTGGTGATGGTGCTGTTTTCGACTCGGGAAAGCTCACCCTTCATCGCAACATCAAACTCAAAGAGACCCGACCTGCCAGCCCAGCGCGGCCGAAGGCTGCAGTCTCACTTACTTTCACTAACAAGCCCGTCACCACCACATCTCGCCTACCCCGTCCGCTAGGGAGTCACCATGAACGAACTCATACACAATCCTCGCTTGAGCCAGTCTCCGAGAGCGGTGGTCCAATTCTGCACCGTGGCGGTAGGAGATCTCTATCCCGTCTGGGCCACTCATCCCAGTCATCTGTCTCAAGCTTGCCAACTCCAACAACAACGTCCTCACCAGCTCCGTCTCTGCCGCCCTCTACGCCGCGGAGGAGAGAGATTGGCCAGAAGACATCCAACGTATCACTCCGTAACGAGCCTACCACCACGAGCGCTCAACTACTTAGACTTAAGCGGTCTTTACCGGCCATGAGACCACCTCAGTCTCCGGCACGGCCGATGACATCTCGGGGATACGAACGTCCGCCGTCTAGGACAGACGTGAATAGCCGGCCACAATCATCTATGAGGCCAAAGACCCCGGTCGACCGCATTCGTCCGGCGGTGGAGAGCGCCGCCGCACAAGCCAGGAAGAACCCAGTACCCTTTCTTCCTGCTGGCGCCTCGGCTACTCAGTCACATAATGTGAACGCTAAGAGCTCGCGAATTTTCCGTCGTCATGATTCGGAGAACAGTATTGAATTACGGCCAAGCTCTCGGGCTGTTTCGCGATCGACTATGAGATCACCCAGTCCCCAGAAGCGTTATCGCAATGTGGAGAAAATTGCACATGAAGGGGTATGGCAGCAGCTTAGTCGGCCGCGCCGTCCTAGGCACTTCGGCGATGGCCACGAGCTTGATGGGTTCGATGACCTTCCCACCTCTGCACACACCGAGTCTAAGTTTGTGAAGCAACCTATTGCCTCAGGGAACAAGACACAGCTTCGGAACAAGATCTACCAGAACATTCTGCCCGAGAGAACCACGACTCCCTCACCTCTGACACCCTATTCACCCGCGAAGGTGGACTACCTGCCTCATTTTGCTCGAGACACCACTGCGAGCCGTATAGCCCGCGAGACAAGTCTGGCCCAGCGCGTACCGTCCACTGGCCCCCTAGCACCCTTGACAGCCCAGCGTGTTGCACAGTTGTCAACGAGGAGCAATCTCAATCCTCATCTTCCACAGTCAACGATAAGATCGAAAAAGACTTCTCGGAAGCCCCCTCAGCTGAAGCCTCATCTCATCGCCAATCTCACTGGGGGCAAGGAGTCTAAGAGTAAGTTCACATCGTGTTTTAATATGAAGCAATCGCTAATTATCTCAGTGGTCAACGGCATGTTCTACAACCCAGACACGTTTCGTTGGGAAGGAAATGAGAATGCGCTGAGCGCCTTCGATGCGCCTGCTTCGTCACCTTCAACCGCCTCCATGCCTCCTTTCATGTTCCGAGAAAAAGAGAACGCCACTCCAAGACCTGCACTCATCACCAACATCAGCTCCACCAAGGGTGTTCAGGTGGTCGGTGGAATGGTCTTCGATCCTCAGAACATGTGCTGGCTTAAAATTGGTCCTCAAACCACCAAGACCGAGATCAATGATCCCATGGATGGTTTTAACGCTATCGATGATGACGAGGACGTCTTCAAGGACATTCCTGATCTCGAGGACAACACCGCCGCCTCCACTGAGAGCGGTGGTCACGGACGTGTCAGTGACATTAAGGATGATTGGCTGGTTGGTGAGGAGTTTGATGTCGGTCCGGAATTCGTGCGGCGGCAGCGAGAGGAGGAAGAGAGGTGGAGGAAGAAGTGCGAAAAGTGGCTGGGTGTGCAGCGCAATCAAGAAGCTTGGCGATGGGCAATTCGCGACATTGTCAGGGAGACCGCCGGACGTCGCTGATTACCGTTCGGAGTCCTGGGCATAACCCGTTCACTCTTTTCGTTTTCGCTTCTCTTGGCTATGGTTTTATGGATCTACAGCATTTTAATATGCAGCCTGTCTGTCTGCTATGTTTAGACTAATCCCCGGGTTTGTACAACAAGGCTTGGGGGTTCAAAAGGTGTATGGAACAGCATAGGACTTGACCGGCGGCTCTCAGTCTGGAGAACAGGACCATAACATTGTACGACTGAGAGCACAGACTTGGTCCATGGGAGGTGCACTGGATAAGTATATGTGTGGTACACAGTCTATCCTAGCGAGGGTAGAGCTTGGCTATGTTGCTTCTCATCACAGCAGCATCATAACGACGTTTTATGACCAGGGGGAAGCGTTATTGCAGTGTATACCCAATCTACGGAGAGGGTTCCTGACTGTGTAGAAAAGATATGAGGAGTAGCGGATGATAGCCTCAAGAGAAGTTGTTGATGAATGAGCTGCTGCTGCTTGTTTTTTTGTATGAATGAAGCTGAATGATGCAATGATAGCATGTCACGATACGCATAGCACTGGACAACGGAAAAGACAAACGGGCATGATGAACACGGCGAAAGGGAATGCTTGTTTTTGGACTTTTTGCCATCTGAGGAGACATCCAAGTCTCTTCTGCCTTGAACTCCTAGATTTAATCATAATTCTAATTTGCCTTTTCCGACCCCTTTTGCCCATTCTTCTTGAGCGCCCGCGGATCGAGACCTCTCCTCCTCATCGCATTCCGCTTAGCGCGCTCAATGTACTTCTCGTCCTCATCGTCGTCAAAGCCACCAAAGTCGTCCTTCTCGTCGGTCTCGGCATCGCCCGCGATTGGCGTCTTGTCTATAACCTCGTCGGCAGCCGCGACCTTGCCCACGCCGTTGGAGGGAGCGGCCCTCTTGTCCGCCAGCACGGCGTTTGCCGGCGTGGGGCCCGTCTTCTGGAACTTGGCGACGAAGAAGCCGTCGACGTTGTACGTGTGCGGGTAGTAGCGACGGGTCAGCTTCAGGCTGGCGTCGAACTTCTTGCCCATGTAGCTCGTGAAGCCTTCCTTTCCGAAAGGCAGGCCGGTCTCGACGAGCTTGACGTTGGGTCGCCTTGATAGGGCGTATGCAACAACTTGCTCGTTCTCCTCTACGGTGACGGAGCTGTGTTGCAACGTTAGCGCGCGAGAGGGTGTAATTATAGGAAGATCGCATACCAAGTAGAATAGACTAGATAGCCGCCAGTCTTGCTGGCATGGTTGACAGAGTCAATTGCAGCGAGAAGCAGCTGCTTCTGCGTATGTGGAAGCACCATGAAGTCGCGCTCCGTCTTATTCGTCTTAACGCTCGCATCTTTGGCAATGACACCTGTACCTGAGCAAGGCGCATCAAGCAATACTCGGTCAAAGCCTCCAATGACCCTAGGGAACTCTCGGGCGTCGTAGTTCGCCACGATAACATTTCTTGCACCCAGACGGTGGATGTTACCAATCAGACCCTTCGCTCGCTGCTTGCTCGGATCGTTGGCGAAGATGCAGCCAGTGTTCCTCATCAGCGCTGCCATGTGTGTTGTTTTACCGCCGGGGGCAGCAGCCATATCGAGCACTCGTTCGTGCTCCTGTGGGGCGAGGGCCATTACGGGTAGAAACGAAGAAGCAGCTTGCAGAATGTAGTGACCGGCCAGGTATTCGGGAGTAGCACCAAGTGGCACATTACTCTCGAAGATTTGCAGGCCGACCTTCGACCATTTCCCTACCGGCTCCAGAGTGACACCCCTGTTGATGAGGGCACCAGCCAAATCTCTTCGATTTGTCCTCAAAGTGTTGGTTCTGATGACAACAGGTCTGGCACTTTCGTTAGCCTCGAAGAAGGCGAAGGCCTCCTTAGGACTGAACAGATTGTACAGCTTCTCCGCAAGATACTCAGAGTATCCGTAGTATGTGCAGATGTCCTTCAGCAGCTGGGCTGTATACTCTGCCCTTGACCTGCCTTCCTCTGCAAGCTTGCCAAAGTCGTCCAGTACTCGTACAGTCTCTGTTATCCTGTTCCGTAGTAGTTGCAGGTCTGGAGCCAACAGAGACTTTGTCTTCTTGGCAAGCTCATCACCGTCTTCCTCGTCATCGTCGAGCACATGAGGTTTATCTCCATCAATGTTTGTTTGTAGTGCAGTCTCCTCAAGTTCGGCCTGTGCTTCTGCAGCCTCTTGCGCCAATTGCATGTCCAGCTTCCTCGACAGACCCTCGATATTTGCAGCTGTCAACTTCTCTTCCAGATCAGAATCATCCTCATCCTCAGAGAAGACGAACTCCTGTTTTTGCTGCTCCGCGTCGGAGTCGTAGACAGAGGAGTCGGATCCGAGGAAGTCGTCGCCCAGTTGCATCTCGTCTCCATCCTCCAGATCTGACAAGCCTTCCGCATCCAGATCAGAGCCGCTGAACGCATCCACGTCTAACTCATCGTCAGAAGCAGACTCGGGTTCTGGCACTCGAGCTTTCGATTTCTTGCCATTCGTCGCTGAGGCTTTGGACGTCTTCGTTCCATTCGTCTGTTGCGCAGCAGGTTTTTTCGCTGTGGCGGCCGTCTTACCCTTGGCCTTGACAGGCTCAGGCTTCTTGGCCGTCCTCCGCTTCTTCGCTGGGAGCTCTTCACTTGTATTGTCGACGGGGAGGCCCTTCTTTCGCTTCAGATTGGCAAAATGCTCTTCTGACAGGGGCTCAGGAGGCCCCTGTTTCTTCATGCGACGTCCTGGACCCATTGTGTGAAAAGGCGGTTCACTTCGGTGCCCTGATGCTATACCGATCCCTCAATTGCTTGGGTGTGCTTCAGGAATTTGTCCCGCTGCAAAATACCTGCAAATGAACTTTTTTTTCTCCTTGGGCTTATCGATAAGCCGGGGCATCCTGCCAGTTTGCTGGCATTACCTAAGCCAGAGGTTCTAACGGCGCTGAACTAGGGCCACGTGCTGATGGTGGGGTCGTTTGGGGATGCAAGACATAATAGAAACAGCCTCAAAGACGATCTGCAGCAAGCATTTCGGGTTGTCTCACTAAAGTACGCGGAAACGGGTCAGAATCAATATCACAAGATGACAGAGGTATCCTTCGCCAAGTCGTTCCTTGCGGCGCTTGACAATCGTCCTCAGAAGCTCTCTGCCGACCATGTCGAGGACCCGAAGAGCTATCCACGCCAGACGGCTGTATGTGCCTCCCTGCAAGCACTGCTGTTGAATGTATAGCAAGCTCACAATCACTCTAGTACATCTTGCCGCGGATGCCGAAGCCCATGAGCAAGCGAGTCAAGCTCACGCCTGGTCAAGAGCGAAGCGTCACCGTTCACATCAAGTCGCTTCGCAACCCGCCTCTCGACATCAAGCTTACCTCCCAGCCACTGCACACCTCGATCCTCGATGTCAAGACAGCAGTATCAGAGCAGGCGAAGATTCCCTTGGACAAAATAAAGGTTCTATACAAGAAGAAGCCAACACAAGACAGCAAGGTGTTGAAGGATCTGGTAGAGGAGAGCGAGAGCACTGTTGAATTCTCGGTCATGGTGATGGGTGGTGCGGCGGCTATTAAGGCGGATGAGCCAGAGGTCAAGAGCAGCCCGGCGCAGGGGCTAAGTGGTGAAGCAGTGCTGCAGACGGACGAGTTCTGGACAGATCTGAAGGGCTTTCTCTTACAGAGGGTGCGGGATGAAAAGCTCACTGAGGAGCTGGTTGGCCGATTCCTGTCCAGTTGGGAGTCCAGGTGACAAGAGGAGAGCAGATAAACAAGTGAAATAGGCCATATATCCGATCCTTAGCGAGAATTTTACACGAAGCATTCAACATTTGTCGATGGTAGTTTACTACGATTTGCAATTGCAGCAACACAGCATTGTACCACGTTTGTGAACATAGGTAAAGTATCATGGCTCTGATGCCCAGCGATTCATGGATCGCCGATCCCGCAATGACCGACGCATCAGAAACAATAGGCGAGAAAATGATGGGTGCAACAATAATGTTTCTACATGCCAGCATGATTGCTAATGGTTGAGCCCCGGCTTGGCATCAAAAATCTGGAGATACGTCACACACCAACAAACGATGAGAGAAACCGGCCTAATCCTCCTTCGCGCGGCGGTTTTTCAACCATCCTCCGTAACCTTCGTAATCTGTCGTGACTTTGTGGGTGCTTTTGTCTAATAGGTGATGATAACAACCGACCGAGCGCTTAGCCAGCCATGCCCTTGCTGACCTTGTTCAGCACGGAGTCATATTCGATGTCATCGGTGTCGTTGGCCTGCAGCTCGACGGCGATACCGTTCAGGGCACGCTTTAGGGCATCCTTGGACGAGGCGTACACCATCTTGGCCTATCGATAAAGTTAGCTCTTGTCCGTACGGGGAAGGGTCGAAAGCCGGGACGAACCTTGATGCCGGCATCATCCGGTGACCAGGCAATGAAGGTAAGCTTGTTTCTGCGTCATGTAAGCAACTATGGAGGAGAATCATATTGTTCAGATCAAGCAGGAACATACCGGTCACCCTCGCCAGAAGCCAGGCTGTACTCGAAGTCGTAGACGGCATAACGGGGTCCCTTGCCGGTAGCACCCTATGTGAACAATCAGTCACAGCGCCCTTGCTATCACACAGAAGGCGGGAAGCTATCGTACAGTCTTAGATGTCGTTGTCGCAGTTAGTAGCTTCTCACGGAAGTTCTCCCAGTCCTTATCGGCGCTGGCTTCCTCGACAACGATCTCCTTAAGGTCATCGGACAGCTTGAAGATGATGTACTTGTACTTCTTGGCAAGCTTGAGGTCGTTGTATGCGGACACGCACTCGCCCGAGACGGTTGCTCTGTAGGAGAAGCCGGGTTAGTAAACAGCGCAACGCTGGCAACCGATGCTGCTGGAAGACTCGGTGAGTGGCTCATCGGGTGACGATGCGCCCACAAAGCTCGAATGGCGGGGTAGATCGGGATGGCTATGGAGGTGGAAAAGAGTAATAACTAACCCGGATTGCGACTGTCAAGAACTAATGTGTCAGTAAAGCGAAAAGGAGAAGTAGTTTTTAATGTTGTGGCCTTACCATCTTGTGGTCTGTGATGGACGGTGAGCTCGATGAAGAAGCTAGGAGATTGTGTGATGAGGGGTTGAGCTGTGACGAAGGGTGTCAGCAGGAGCATTAGGCAAATCAAAAGATAGACCCGGTTTTGATAGAAGCAGGATAGGCCGTAGAGCGGAGCGGATAGTTAGTCACCTTTGGTATGTTGCCAGAGACAGATGGATGAAGGTCTCAGGAAGAGGAGAGTTGGCTTGTGGAAGTCAAGGTATGGCGTAGGCGCAGTCGGATGGTTGAAATTGGGCAAAGGAGGGGGGATAAAAACAACGCCAGGCCACTTGGTGGGGTGTGCAGCTCGGCGGGCCCCTGGCGGTTGCTGTTGAAACCTGGAAGGATGGCGGTGCTTCGACACCTAAAATGTGAGGTGTCAATGTCAGCCCCAATCGCAACGCAACGCAACTACGCAGCTTACAAGATTTACCTCCTGGGTTAGTAACATATGAAGGACTTCCGCTTGCGGTGACAGACGTAGGGTGTCAAAATAGCAGATGGCATTGCATGCTCTCATGATCGAGTGAGTATGTATTGAATAGCCTAGCTTCTTCTACGTAGAGCAAATGTCAATTTCGACAAGCAAATAAAAACACTTTGTTAGGCAGGAGACATTTGACAGTTGTCAGGGTATTTTTGCTGCTCGTTCTACTCTATCTCCTTGCGAATGATCTTAGTATACAAGCTTGTGCAGATGAGGCGCCGTTGGGGTAAGTAATATGTATGAACACAGTGAGGAAGGAGGGAGAGAGGAGAGAGAGATGAGAGTACATGGCCGCCTGAGGTCCGTCCAATATAACACCGAAGCCAGAATAAATCCCCATCAATCCAGTCGCTTTTAGTACAAGGAACACATTACATGATGCTATCAGCAGCACTTTACATCATGCCGCCCATGCCGCCCATGCCTCCCATACCTCCCATACCACCCATGGGGCTGGGGCCCTTCTCCTCAGGGGCCTCTACAATGGCAACCTCTGTTGTGCCCAGGAGAGATGCAACACCACTGGCATCGACCAGACCAGTGCGGACCACCTTGAAGGGGTCGAGAATGCCAGCCTGGATCATGTCCACGTACTCGCCCTTGGCGCTGTCGAAGCCCTTGTTGAACTCGCTGCCGAACTCGTCGGTGAGCTTACCGACAATGACAGAGCCCTCCAAACCAGCGTTCTCCACGATAGTCCGGGCCGGTCGGGTGATAGCATTCTTAACGATGCTAACGCCAAGCTGCTGGTCAAAGTTGGCCGGCTTGAGATTGCCCAATGCCTGAGCAGAAGCCTTGAGCAGAGCAGTTCCACCTCCGGGTAGGATACCTTCTTCAACGGCGGCACGGGTAGCATTCAGGGCGTCGACGAAGCGATCCTTCTTCTCGCCGACCTCAACCTCGGAGGAACCGCCGACCTTGATGACGGCGACACCACCGGAAAGCTTGGCAAGACGCTCCTGCAACTTCTCCTTCTCGTAATCAGAGGTAGTGGGGTCGTTCATAACACCACGGATCTGCTCGCATCGCTGAGTGATGCTATCCTTGGTGCCCTCACCATTCAGAATAATTGTATCCTCCTTGGTGATTGTGATTGATCCAGTTGAGCCGAGCATGTCGATAGTGGCCTTCTCGAGCTTGACGTCGAGCTCGTCAGTGAAGACAGTACCGTTGGTAAGAACAGCGATGTCGCCTAGGATGGACTTGCGGTTATCACCGAAGCCGGGAGCCTTGACAGCAGCAACCTGAAGCTGGCCACGTAGCTTGTTCAAGATGCAGACAGCGAGGGCCTCTCCGTCGATATCCTCAGCAATGATGACCAAAGGTCGTCGTTGCTGAGTAGACATCTCGAGGGCGGGAATGATGTCCTGAACGGCGGAGATCTTCTTCTCGGAGAGAAGAATGAGAGGGTTCTCGAACTCGACCTTCTGGGCCTTGGCGTCGGTGATGAAGTAGGGTGAAATGAAGCCGCGGTCGAATCGCATACCCTCGGTAACCTCAAGCTCATCATTCATGGTCTTGCCCTCCTTGACGGTAATAACACCCTCCTTGCCAACCTTCTCCATAGCATTGGCAAGCAGCCTTCCAATGTGCTCGTCGCCGTTGGCGCTGATGGTGGCGACTTGGGCAACCTCCTCACTTGTGGTGATATCTCTCTTGTTCTTCTGCAGAAACTCAACGACCGCTTCGACAGCAGCCTGAATACCACGACGGAGGTCCATGGGATTGCAGCCGGCAGCGACATTCTTAACGGTCTCAGAGAAGATAGCACGGGCGAGGACCGTGGCGGTTGTAGTACCGTCACCGGCAATCTCGTTTGTCTTGGAAGCCACATCTTGAAGTAGCTTGGCACCGAGGTTCTCGAACTTGTCCTTCAGGGAGACGGCTCTGGCGACAGTCACACCATCTACTCTGAAATTAGCCTCGCAAAGCCCTTACGCTGTTGTCAACTAAAAACTTACCCTTGGTGATCTTGGGTGAGCCGAAGCTGGACTCGATGAGGACATTCCGGCCCTTCGGACCGAGGGTAGTGGCAACGGCTTTGGCAAGCGTGTCAACACCAGCCAGCAAGGCAGCGCGACCCTCAACGCCGAACTTGAGCTCCTGTAGTAAAGCGCATCAGCATATTGTCATCACTATTGAAATAATATGCATCGATTGCAGGGTGCGAACCTTGTGGGCAAAACGGAGCTGTTGTGAGAGGCCGGCACCGGGGCGGAACTTTGAAGCTGCAGATTGCGACAGGATGGAAGCCCGCGCTCTGCTCGTCAATGCACGCTGCATTTTGTGGGTATGTGAATATGAAACCGAGCAATTAGGGACAAAGGGGATCTGTCAATCAACCGGATCGATGTTGGCAGAGGGGAAGCAGAAGCCGAGTGGGAGGATAGAGAAGGAAAAGTTCGTGAGGGAGAGGTGAATTTGGGGATGGGAAGAGAAGCTTCAAAAAATTATTGCGCTGTTGCCGGCAAGAGTTGTCAGCCAGAAAGCCGAGCTCATGCGCTAGGCATTTTTGGGGTTGGCGCATGGTGCATGTAGTTCTACTAAGTTCTGTGGAGAAATTCATAGAACCAGAACATCTAAACCTTCACTTAATATCATGGAGTGTCACTCAGGCTAACGCTACCCGAGCATTCAGACTGCTGTGTATTGCATACCTAAGTACCTACATATTGTGCGAGTTCTTCAACAAATGTGCCAAATGATGAAGATAATCGATGCACTAATGAAAACCATCAAAGACGTTTATTACTTTGACCTATTCTAGTAGTCACCTTAATACTCAAGTCATGGAAAAGACCACTGCTTATTACCCAATTAAAGCCACTTCCACTTTCTTCCATCTTCTCACCATTTGCCTTAGTATTTCAGGACAGAAACCCCTTCTTCTGGAGAACATCTACAGTCCAATCCCACAGCTTCCGTGCTAGGAGAGTGTCTTGGGCAGTAGGACTCGGAGTTCCAACCTTGGCATATGGGACAATATAGCAACCCGAATTGGAACGTTCAAAAGCTGAACTCGCAATGGCGAACAAAGATGACCAGGCCCCTTTCGTTTGCTCATCGAGGATCCCAAGACATCTCATGATCGGCGTCAAAGTTCGCAAGACCCCGGATGGGGCCATTCCGGTAGCCTGTTTATTGAGGGCTCTATGACTGCCATGAGAAAACATAGTAAAATGCAGGGAGCCTCGTTTATCTCGATCACTTACGTATCTATGTGGCCTGGGTGTACAGATGCTACCCAAATCTCATCGGGACCAGCTGGTCCGGCCTTTGGTCCGTATCGCTCTTGAAGTTGATTGATATGGAGAATATTGGCCAGCTTAGACTGGCCATATCTTGTCATAGCTGCCTCGGATATGAGATTGATGTCGTCGAACCGGATGCCTTCTTTCGGTGGGTAGCGGCTGTGTCCGTCGGAAGTCACATTGATAATTCTGACGTCTCCGGAGCTTGCATTCTGGGCTGTAGAGGTCAAAAGTGGCAAGAGGAGATATGTCAAAAGCCAATGGGAGAGGTAATTCGTCTGTATATCTGTCAGGGGGTTACTTCTACGGTTTGGCATAACATACTTGAAATTGGGACTCGAAACCATCAGTCGTCACGGCAAACGGAACACCCATTATTCCAGCATTGTTGATAAGGCCATGTAATTTCGGTTCGTTCCTAAGAATGATCAGTCCTGCCCTCTCCCGTTTTACTGAAGTAGAGACATTATATACCGGCAGATTGAGCCTGCAGCAGCCACGACACTCTCGAGACTCGCCAGATCCATGTATAAAAAACGAATATCCGCATCTGGCAGTTCTTTTTGTATGTCTGCAATCGCTGCAAGTGCTTTACTCTCGTTGCGAGCTCCCATATACACGCGGCCACCATGAGCTGCGAGCCCAGCAACTGTTGCTTTTCCACTTCGTCCATATTTAGTGAACTTGTAGGTAAATGGTCTAAGTCTCACTTGCATACATTCCCGTATTGGAACCAGTAACAAGATATACTTTGCCATACAAAGGTGGCAATGTATCTGGATCAAATTTCGAAGAGGGCATTTTGCTCCAATATAACCTGGTAGCTTGCGATACTGTTAGACGGGAATAATAGAATATGATAGAAGGGTAGACGTTTATTGTATCAGATGACCCAGAGCACCATGATGAGAGCGAGATGCCCAACTACTTATACATTTAAGGGCATGAAAATCCTGTACATCCAACCCATGTAACAGCGGCAACTCTCCGCATACTATTGTGCATATCTGAGAAATTCTCAAGCTTCCCTGGTCACTTTGATCGTCTACTTCAGGTTGATCAATCCGCCCTGAATGGTAATTCCCGGATCAGGGACGAATCGAAAGAGAGTGGGGTGCGGCATCGTGCCCGCGCGAAAAGAGCCGCCCCGCATGCGTCCGCTGGAGAGGAACTTCAAATCTTACTCAACACGCATGTAGCATTGATATAATGCATGGGTGGGACTCAGCTGACGGCACGTTTTCTATTGCATAGATCCTAGGGTTGGTTGGGAATGATGCTTGGCCTTGAGACCAATCACAAGTGGAGCTACGCAATGCATGTACAAACGGGAAAACTGGTCAGTACTCCTGCTATTGATGATGAGACGGGCTATGCCGAATTGATTCTCGACTTCCACGGTAATCAACACGGTGATCAACAACGAACTTATCTCATCCCAAGTTGAGTGCCCGAGCGGTTATACTGTGATATACCAATCACAACGCGTTGATTACCTTCGGATAGCCTGGCGGACAATGGCCGATGTTGTACAGGACGTGGCCCGTCAGGCGTGTACAACTTGTCGTAAACAGAAACGCAAATGTACAAGAGATTTGCCATCTTGTGATTTGTGCAAGAAGAACCGACGGCCCTGCGAATATCCATTAGAGGCGTTGCTGGGACTAGGTACTCCATCGTTGACCTCTGGTGCTTTCAACTATGGTGTATGTATCTACGAGCTGAGCATCCAGATTACCCTTTGCAATCGTATATATCGAAACTAATTTAAGTAGGCACAGGCTCAGAACGAGTTCCCCGCGCTCTTCTTTCTTGATTCGTATATTTTTCAACGGCGTGGATGCTCCATTCCCCGAGCCCTTGTTACCTTGCCACGCGAGTACACCGAATTGCTGAGTGTGGACACCGACCTATACAATGACATTGAATGTTACTTTGACTTCGTACATCCCTCCTTCCCAGTTGGTGAGCACCCTCTTTTTTCAAGTCTTTAATCAAGCCTATAACTATTCCCATTTTTGTTGTCCTGTACAGGTTGTCTTATAAGTGTCTCGACCATATTCCGTAAGTTGTTGACTGTTGACTACTTTGAAGTCTCGAGATTAGGATTACTCCAAGACCTGAGAAGTCTACCGAGTTTAGATCCTGATGAAAGTCTCCTTATCATCGCCATTCGTCTTCTTATTTGCGGAATTAAAGGTGCCCTTGACGTAAGAGCCAAGATATATGCTGGAGCAAAGCAATGTTATTGTTATTTAGAATCCAGCGGAGTAATTACCTTCAAAGTCCTCCAAGCCGTTCTTCTTATAACCTACTATGAGGTATCTAATGGAATCTACCCTGCGGCGTATCTTACCATCGGCACTTGTGCTCGGGTTGGTCAAGCTCTTGGTCTTCACGATCGCAGAGAAGCACCACAAATGTATCCTACCACAGGTAAGCATCTAAGTGCAGTAATTTCTCTAACCTTACATTCTATGCAGGCTCCTGGAAGAACCTTGAAGAGATGCGGAGAACTTGGTGGGGTGTCTTGATCTTAGATCGGTAAGCTACCTCCTCGTACCACAAAAAGATGAAATCCTCTCACACGTATATGATATATAGTTATATAAACCTAGGAATAGCGAATCGTCCTTTTGCTTGCGCCGATGCTCGACCAGATGACCTTCTCCCGATGGACGAGGCATCTTGGGAAGCTGGAGTATGTGAAACCCGACATCTCCGAAGAGCTGCCACCCTCTAAACTCGAATAGGAGCCCACTGTAATACCATCTCTGGCCATATCTGCCGACATCAGCACTCCTGCTCCTCCATTCGCGAGGATCTGTCAGGCTGCTCACTTGCTGTCCCGTGTCATCAGGCACACAAATGAGAAAAGCACAAATCCTCAACTATGGTACCAGGAGGCGCTTCAGCTACATTCCGTTCTCGAGGCGTTCACAGCTGCCGTCATGCAGGAATTGCAACACATCAATCAAGATCCAACAGCTTTTGGAGGCTTCTTGAACTTACTCCCCATAATTGGCCTGTGTTATAGTGCGCAACTGAATCTCTATGATGCTCACACTTGTGCTGAGGCAGACAATACCTCCGGTGTGGGGATTCCGGAGCAGCTAGAAATTCAAAGAGTTGCCTTGAATTCAATTAAAAAAGTCTGCTTTTCTGTCTCAGACCTAGCATCCAGGATAAATGGTATTGTCGACTCAGATGAAAGTAAGACACTGAGTCCGTTGGCCACGGACTGCTTATATCAGGCAGGAAAATATATCCTGTGGTATATACAGGAGACAAGCAAGTTGGAGTTGATGACTCTAGTGAAGGAAATAAAAGATGCCTTAGACAAAATCAGTCGATTTTGGACTGTTGCAAGTAAGTGTTTAGCGAGAACAAACAGATAAAAGTCTGACTGACTGACTGCCTAGACGTATACCTCGAGATACTTGGTGGGGATGATCTCCAACCAAGTGAGAGCCACCCGGTCCGGTAGTCGTGAGGCAATATCAGGCCATAACAAGGATCGAACATAAGAAATTTCCCTTCTATTCAAATCCACATACATTCTGTATTCTTTCATCATATCTCTGGTTGGACTCAGTGAAGAATAGCACTTCTTTGATATGAGCAGACATTATCTAATTGAGGATCTCTGTCTTCACTCTCCATACTGGCTCACCTCTACTTAGACATGACCTCCATCATCAGAGCAGGCTAGATACCTCCTTGTTTGAGTTTGAACGAGACTATCTGGCTCTGAGAACCCCGAAAGTCTACGCCAGTCTAGGGGATTCCGCAGCAATCAGTCGTGGGAAAATCCTATTCACGAGAATCAAATTTCAGCTAGCCTTCCTACCTGGGCTTTAAGATCAGGTCCAACCTTACCTCTTGCCTTTCAAAGAATTCAACTAACCAAATTTTGGGAGGAAAAAATGGGAGGCACTGCTGCAGGTCTCCCGTTGCCTCTCCTCATATATGCCGAGCACAGCATCCCTTCCAAGTAAGTTCGCTACGTTGAGTCTACCCTCTATCGATTCCGAGAGTCCAAAGCGGTCAGTATGAGCTCACCTTTTGCTACGAATCCTGATGTTTGATGAACTGACGAGTACATCTTGATAGCTTTCGGGGCCATCAACGTCTCAACTTCCAAAATCAAACTATCACTCTAACGGTAGAAAATCAGTAGTATCTGATTCAAATGACTCGTTAGATATTGCTCACATATTAGCATTCTATCACCGAAGAACGGATTTGACTTCCTCCTTCCAAATACCTTCTCATGCTCATTGCCCCATTCTTCTCGATTACCTACCCCTACGAGTACCCTACTACTATGGATGCAAAATTGCCTTCAGAATATTGCAGTTTGATCATTCGTCTCTATCATCACATGGTGCGATTGATGCCTAGCAGCCATCGTCAGTTTTACCCGCCTTGTGTTGGCAAATTCACCAAGCCTTATCATGATGAGATATCATCCTCAACCCCAAAGCATGTTCGCACCTTCATCACTTCCGAAAATCATATATTCTCGCTGCCATGTCAAACCAACACTTTTTTGCTATTGGGATGTGCTTGTACCGGATCCCGGCCTTGCGCTGCTGCAAAGGCAACGATGGTGGCAACAATGGTCAGGGCCAGGGTCTGGGTCAGGATTAACTCAAGCGCTCACTGAACTCAAGGTTTCTGGACGCCAGCAATACAATCATGGATTCCTTTGGAGAATGACTATGTTTGATAGCTTCTTCTTGAGTCTTCTTGGTGGTACAGGCAAGCTTGATCTGCTGTCGAGAGGGCAGTTTTCGATGCCTATCAACATTCCCCATTCTCTCACAGGGGTTAAACACGAAGTCGCTATCTGGAGACTTCGCAGCTAATCTTTTTCTTAAGAACGAGAAGAACGGTTAATTCAGTAATTGCCTGTCGCAAACTTATCGATAGGGCTACTGGGTCTTACGAAGCTTTGCTGGTTCCGTAGTCGACCTTCTTCGATGCCCCACTCACCTGTCAACACTCTATCCGATTTGAACACTGGGTCCTGGAATGGCTTACACTCAGAGAATTATCATACTGGAGCGCGCGGGCTGTTATATTGGGCTCATTTGCTCGACTCGGGTTCCACATACGAATACAGTCGGAGGTATGGAACGAGTTGTGAGGATCTGTGTGCCACGAAACGTTGAGCTAACATGGTTTCTAGGGTTCAGTGGCAATTTACATCACTTCTCTTGATCCATACTCTTGTGCTATCTCAACATTTACGAAGTCAGCAGCCATATCAGTGCAGACTCCAGTCAAGAGAATGTCTCTTCACCAATGGCAGGACATTTTGTTGCTGAACCACCTGTCAACTATCTTCTTCGCCTCAATGCACACCAAAGTGCCCTTCGGGTGTTGTCAAAAGATCGCCCTGTGGGCCCTTCACATCCGAACATACTCCCCAGGCCAGGCCTTACCCGGTCTATCGATCTCAGGATACCATCGCGGAATCACTGGTCTTGACCGTCTTGCGTCTCATCTGCCGATCTCAAACATGATACTTAGCCTATGTTCAGGCCGGCAGATCAACGTATCCATTGTCTCTATTGAATCACTTCATTTCAAGCCAATCCGCCGGCCTGGTATTCGGGCTAGTCTTGCTGACTACGGCTTCTGATTTCACGCCATCCACATTGATGTGTTAGAAAGTTCGTTTATTCAAGGCTTGTGCCTAGTTATCTATGGGTTATTCAGGAGGTAGCCTGTACACCAAGAGCCAAAGTTCCAAAGATCAAAGACCCTCCTCTGTCCAGCATTCAACCATTAACCACCATGAAGCAAATGTCCGACACCGAACGAAATGAGCAAAGCAACTTTCGTGGAAATTCATCGGGGCGTTGACCAGTATGATCCGATTACCGGGCAAGGAAACGTTTCGGAGATATATCGAGACAGCGATCTGTGTACGTGCTGCCAAATATTCTCTCGTGACAAAGGAAAGATAAACGGGACAATATGATGCTGCAGTGGCCGCAAATACAGCCTTGAATGCTGAGGGTTGCTGCAAAACCTCACGAGCGTTGAGCATAATGCTGGAGCTCTCCTGGGGCCCCGGCAGGCGTTTGCCGCACTAAGCGTCATACGCACGAGGATCCTGGTGCTGTCTGTTAACAAAACTTTCAAGACTGATGGGCAGATATGTTGACTCACTTGACCGCCGTAGTAATCGTCCTCTTCAACCTCCTCGACAACTTCGTCATCTTCGTCATCATAGATGGGGATGCCCTCGGGAGGAATGCCATCATCATCGTAGTTTTCATGGTTCACATTCACAACAGGGATAGGCTGGCGATGAGAGTTGACAGCATTGTGGTATTGGTGGAAGGCGTGCGCATCAGCGTTCACTCCAATGTATCCCGCAGAATGATGGGTTTGAGAAGTTGGGGGCGTCAATGCGCCCTCGTCGTCCTCGGCAATAATCCATCCCTCCTTGGCAACGTCTTCCGGGTTCTGGGAATGCACATGGTGGCGGTGGTACAAAGACGGATCGTTCACGGCAGTCACCATGTTCTGATGGTAGTAGCCATTGATCTGATTCGCGTATCCATTCTGAGGTCGAGTGTGGAAAGTGGCATGAGTGTTGCGCGGAGACTCTGCATGAACAGGTCTTCGCGTATGGATATTACCACGACCGGCAGTAGTCTGAACGGAGCCCTGAGATGGGACCATGCTCTGCCATCTCACAGTTAGCAAGTTGCCAGCACATCGGCTTGAATTACTCCTGGACGAAAGGAGAGAACACGGATCAACTAACCTGGTTATCAACCTCATCATAATCGACCTGCTGTCCCTGGGCCGGCTGGCTACCACCGTTGACATCGTCGTCATCTTTTACTTGGTAGTTCTCCTCGTCCTGGTCTTGGGCATCACCCTCATCGGCGTAGTACTGGGAAGAGTAATCGTTGTCATCGTCGGGAATTGCATAGCTCGCTGGCTTTCTTGCAGCTCGCTGAGACCGACGTGGAGTTGCAACGTCGCGGGCAGCATGGCCGTAGGTTGTCACATCGTAAGTGTCATCCGGGCGCATGGAATCAGGGTCAGGAGATGGCTCCTTCTTGATGACAGGAGTCTTGATGGCAGCAGACTTGCGAGCAGAGCCTCCTCCGCCCATGTTGTCGCGCTTCACTGAAGCAGGAACATCGGGGCGGTCGACAGCATCCGGCAAGTTGAACTTGCGGTCGTCCAAGGGCTCTTGGAATGTGACAGGGCGCGTAGTGACAGTGTCTTCAGTATCTGGGAACCTACGGACATAGCCACGAATGTTTTGGTCGACCACGACGCGGGATCCGGGTTTCTGGCAGATGGGGGGAACCATATGGCCCTCTGCAACTAGGGTACTGCGAAGGCGGTTGAGGTGCTGCATGATCGCTCCACCTGAAGAGCCAGGGTGGAGACGATGGGCAATGGTGTCCCAGGGCAGCTCGATCTTGAAGCGAGAGCACTCGTACTGCATGTGAAGAAGAAGCTTCTCAGCCATGCGAGGACCTAATAACAGCGTGAACAACGAAAAGAGGCGGGACCTGATCAAGGTTACTCACGAGTCCAGGTAATAAGGCTTCGACCCTCATGACGGCCGTTCTTAGAACGATCAGCGGCGGTAGGGGGCGCACTGGTGAACGACCAGCGCTGCGATTGAGGTGTCTTCTTGGCGCGGGAGCTGGGTGTCTTCAGGGGCGGAGTCTGGAACTGCTCGTCCGCGCGACGTTGATGGGCCTTGGCAACAGATTTGCCAGCCTTGGCGGAGGTCTTCTTGGAGGAACCCATTGTCGTTGATGATGGATGGTTGTGAAGATTCTCGTTAAGGACGAAAGGCTGCCTAGAGTGGGATCTTGGGGGAGGGGTAGCTCTTGAGTAACCTCCCGGCACCCAAGCTTCTTGACTAGTATCTCTGGGAGAAATTAGCTTCTTGGTTAGACCTCCATGAGATAAGCCAGTTGCTTGGGTTGGAGTGATCGACTGGAAAGATGCGGCGGCAGGGTACTCGCGGACTGTACGAAAGGCAGAGGAGGATGAAGGAGGTGGGAATCAGATCTGCCAAAAGCGCGATGGGCTGAGTGGATGATGGTCTTTTTGAGAAGCACCGACGGACGAGGAAAAATGAGGCTTTGGAGGTGACTGGTCAGGTGGAAGGAAGTTTGGGAGATGAAGAGTGAAAGGATGTTGTCAGGGGGCGGAGGAGAACCCGGGTGACCTACTAAGTTCGCAGATGCAGCTTGGGATTACTGCAAATGTTGTGGAAAGTCTTGACTGGTTTTTGGTGAAGGTCAATACAAATTTGGGGGTGAAGGTGAAGGTGTGATATGAAGAAGACCTGGAGGAAGAGGAGGAAATACGGTTGCCAGGGATAGGAGAGTTGGCGGGGCAGGGTATGAGAAGCGAGGAAATTGGCGAGTTGTCCGACGGAGGTCTCGAACACAATACTATGATTGTCCGAAGAGACTTTATTTCAGATGGCAAAGCTATTGTGATGTAATAGGGATTGGTGGGTCTTGTTTTCGAGGAAATGGGTTTCAAAGAACAGACCCCCCATGGGGGAATGGCGACAACACGGGGCCGCGGCGTGTCTCATCAATGGTGTCTTGAACTTACTTATCAATGCCCTAGAGAAGATTGGGATTATGATGCCAGGAAGTAGGATGAAGAAGATGTTCTGGGTGCAGATATATGGATGATATCTGGTGGAAAGGAGGTGCGGAAAGGTGTGAAGCTTGCGATCCAGGTATGGAGGAGAGAGCTTGTGCTTGGGTAGACAGATTTTAGGAGCTTCCTTAAAGCGGCAGGGGCAGAATTTGGACAGGAAGGAGCTCTCGAAATTTCTGTGTGTTATGAATTTATCGGGGAGGTAGCCTGGCGCGCAGCCCTTCACGCGACGCGATGTAGTTTAGTCCACAAAGTACCCCTATCTCGCAGAAACAAAGACCTATGTCCCTCCCACATGTCCCATTACCCTCCTTATCAGTGCCCTTGACCAACTAGGATCTTGTAATCACCAATATCTAACTTTAGATCATGCTGGGGATGTAGATATCTGTGTTAATCCCGAGGGACGGCCGTTTCCCCCCATGTAAGTAGCCCCTGAATGCCGAGCCTGGGTGTCTACAGAGCCACAAACAATTCATACTGAAACTAAAATCCTCTATAAGCATGATTGAGGTGTATTTAACATCATCAGACAGTCGTGTACCTGTTTATAGGTCGAGACCACGCGCTGTCCAGCGGAGAAGGGAGAGTCTGGTACGAAAACCACCCCACGGGAAGCAATTCGACGACATAAGCACAGCTACAGGGCTCACAGCTTACAGAACAAAGGTCCCAAGAGGCCAATGGGTCTTCACCTCAGTCTAGAAAGATTCTGTTCTGCTTGAAGCACCGGTTCATCACGGGAAAGGCTCTGGACGCGGCAGTAGAAGGGGGCAGGGTAATTTCCCAGTATGCCTGAGACCAGAGAACGCTCTACACATCTCCAGATGCTATTGAAACGTAATAAGGCATCTCCAGGTAATATTTCCTCTTCCGGGGCAGTATGTTGTGTTCTGAGCCACTGGATGATCCTATCCTGGGCAAGCTAACTACTCATGCCCGATCGCAGTTCGAACGAAACCTCTACAGCATATACACCCTGAATTATACAAGCAAATCCGTTTGAGAAAGCCACCTTGATAAAGAGGTATTCGAACACCGGGAAAGAAAGTTGAGCAGCTATACCCTGCCATTGGAACCCGGAAAAGGCAACGGAGGAGTCGAATGGGCTTTTGAGACGGTTGAAGGCATACAGATGTTTGAGAATGATCGTGAGCTTGCCAGGGACAACTTTTGAGGCAAGAGGAAACTCAATGATTGCCCAGACACTTCTCGGTCTCTTATCAGCAACAGCCAAGACGTGCGTCATGGTCTCTGAACGGGAAGAAACATGGGGCTAATGAGAGCAGGACACTGTGATCAAGCGTCCGAGATGACAACCGCGAGACAGAGTACAGTGTTGCTTGTTTCATCAGCAAACAGTTGTCGAGACTGTGGTATTTGCAATGGGGATCCTTGATCAGACAACCACAACTGCTGCGAGAACGATTTGGCCCAGAAGAAGCTGTGAGACACGAAGTTAATTTGGTATGTTCGGAACATCTTATTTGAGGCCAATGACTGACACATTGGGCTCACTACAGAGCTTGGAAGCTGAAAATAGATCCATCACAAGTTGAAACCACGGCCTAAACACGACGAAGAGCATAAACCATGGAAAAGGTCGTGCGCTTCGAAGATGACCATTGAGGTCATATCGGTGCTTGACAGAAGTCTTATCTACGGAGGCAACGCCTGGGTGGTTCTATGATCGATCGTCTGAGAATGTCTAATACGATGGTTCTTGGACGAACACAACACTCTCAAGGAAGGTCGAGATAACCTCGAAAGGAACACCTATCTTCTAACAAGTCAGCCAGCAATGGAAAACGGCAAACACAGTTATTCGCTCATACCGTCCTCCCGTGACGGATCTCATAGACTACAGTGCCCTTATACACCGGAACAAGTGAACCTAAGTGGCAAGCGATTACGAGATCGTTAAGTTTTTCTAAATGAGAACTCAGGATTCAAAAGACAATCACAAGCGACTGATCTGGCCGAGAATCTGATCTGGCTTAGGGTGGGAGATTTTCCCACATCGCTTCGCCTTCAAGCCTTCAATTACTACCTATCGTATAGGTTTGTGCAGATACTGATTTTGAGATATCCTCACGAGTCAGTGGGTACAATGAGCGAATGCAAGCACATACACTGTCTAGTTTTGTCTCAAGTATGGCACATATCTAGTGTCGGTCGTTCACCTAGGAAAAATTCTACAGATGTGAATTTCGAACCCGGAACAATGTCAACCAGGTCCATGATATACATGAGCATATATTGAAGGATAAGGTATGTGGCGAGTGAATCCATCCCCAGAAGATACCACGAAGCTAGTGCTAACAAGGCGTGAAATTCTAGGAGTCAGCCTGAGGGCTCATAAATTACGGTTTCGAGGATAAACTTTGTTTCAAGGAGAGTGCCATGGCCGACGGTGACAGAAAGGTAAACGTGGACGAATCAATAGTAAGTAAAAGGGACAGACAGTCTATTCATTGACTCAAGTAATGGCCAAGAGCTAATGGATTGCTTTAAGACAAACCCGGCTTACTTTCACATGGCAATCATGAACTCTGAAGAGAGATATCAACAGAGATGCCCAATCCGTGGAAGTGTCTTCATTCCATTAAATATCGAAGGTTTTTCTCCGAAGACAAATCACAGAGAACTTTATGTTGAAGAAGGTTGAACGAAGGATGTCGTGAGGACTATTCCGTATCATCGTCAAAAACATTTAAGGGGCCGACTTAAATTGATTACTGAACATGAATGTCGTCTGGTGATATACCTTAGACACGGGTGAGCACATCAGACACACAATATCAAGCCATGCTCTGGAGAATTCCGTCTTTGCTGATACCTTTCCTTTGCAACAGATCCCGATGGCATGTTGACCATTTCACCAGTCGCTAAGCGGCGAGAAGCGGATTTTGGTTCAAGTTTTAAACACAGTTGAATTTCGGAGGCGACATCGATGGCACGGATTTCATAAACAGATGCCATCGAGGCGAGATCACCAAGATAATTTGACACTAAATCCGTGCTCTGAGCGACTGGAGACAATTTGCATGGAAACATGCATCAATAACACGAAGAAGACATCGCAGCTCCAAGAAAATTTAAGAAACTCCAAAAATGACGGAAGTAATGACACTGAACCTCATGGGGGTCTAGGGAAAGAATATCCGCACTCAGAACCGCAGATGGCAAGGAGACACGGCCTTGGTAGACAGCATGGAATGAAGTCACACACCTGGAGTGGAATACACGTTCATTGGGCGTATCAGGAACCAGCCAAGACGGGGGAGGGAAACGGCTGCAAACAAGAGAGAGAACAAGTTTACAAATGTATCTGCTGAAGCAGGTTAGACGATACTACCTTCTTGAAAGCTGGAAAGATGTCACATCTACAAGATCAAGCTACCAGGGGCCCAGATGCGCACCAATTCTCCAGAAGATTGAACGAGGAGCAACTTACGCACAGTCTCAGGGATTCTTGGTGCGAGCGGCAATGCCGTGCTATTGGTACTCAGCAGATGATCATGAGGGTGGGATTTGTCCAGGTCGGCACAAACGGCTGTATTGAGCCATGAACTCAATGTTTGTGCTTGCTAGCTGCATCCAACCCTACGACGGCACACTTGTGGTGGAAATGGTCTTTGAGTGGACAAGTTACGAGCCTCAAAACCAAGGTTCTTTCCACAAGCCAATGTGTTGCTTGATGCCTATGGACAACTGTGGCCGAAGAAGAGACTATGAACTGTAAGTAAGATCTTATTCCCATCATATGCTTGAAGCTGACTTGAGAAAAGATCAGGAAGATCAACGAGCTCGCGAATCAAGCTTCAGCAACCATATCTAGAAATCGACAACACCGAGCGGAATAAGAACGATCTCGACGACACCCCGGGGTGACGAAGTCGAAATACGACATAGTGTTGGATTCACGATCTCGTTCTAAGAGAAGACTCGATGGAGAGGAGAGGCCTGTACAGTCAATGTAAACCTCACAAAATTGAGGTTGGTTGCGGCCCGCTCATATGCCGGGTTTATTAACTGTCCCTTTTTCAGATGGGAATACGATGCAACATAAACACTCGAACTCTGAAGCATCTGCTGGTATCCAGTATGTTAAGATTTTCTTTTGGACATTCTGATAAGCCCGGCAGACAGGAACCTATCTGAATAATACGAAAAGCTAACAAAGGGAAGCTAGGAAGCGAGACGTTGAGATGGCTCACCTCGCAAAGCACAGCAGTCAAAGTTTTACGTATACCGTCCGATCATATTCCATGCAATGCATTAAGGAATACAGCACTCCCTTGAACTCTGAAACGTACCAGGAAATTGGACTTTGACCAGCGAATCTCGAACTGCCATGGATAGGGCGACAATCCCCAGAAGCTCCTGCAGGCTATAACCGAAGAAAGCAAGAGAGTTGCCCTTTGGAACATGAGCCGATGTTAAAAGAGGAGAGTAGGTAGCTATCCGAGTTGACCTCACGAATTTCAAAGCTTCCCCAATTGAAAGCAAACAACTAATCTCTGTGTTTAACTCAGTATCAATCCTCCCCGCTTAACCCGATATAAGCACGCGGCTATGAACCTCGTTCATTTCAACAGCGATGAATTTATCGAGCTTCTTGCCGGTTTTCCGAGTGATAATGGCATCTCCCATATCACAACCGCTCGAAAAGGTCATCCCATATCTAGGATCTTGCCTTTCGTGTAGCAGCGATTCGAAGGAGCATATCATTGTGGAAACAATTATTAACATATGAAGAAAACAAGCGCTATAGATCTCGAAAAGACCAGCTACCGAGGAATGATTATACTCAAAGCGGGTCAGACAGACCGGGACAAGAAAAGACTATACACGAGATTACTCAGATGTGATCGAGCAAGGCACCAAGTCTTCAGCATTTGTGGTACAATGGAATAGCACAGGATCCCTGCATGCCTTTATCGACCGAATATACTGGGTTGATGACTTTACATATCAGGACTTCCATGCGGAGGTTTTATTGACAAAGCGAACTCCCGGAAGCTAGAGCCACTCGCCTTGGATATGTGGGTTTCATACTTTAGGCTTTGGAATAAATGAAAGGGCCTGATTTGTGTATTTTGCGACCCATGTGTGTCGAGGCCAGGAACTCGAGACTTTGCTAAGCCAGTAATTCAGTCGGAAGTGTCATCTATCTACTCAATTTTGAAGGTCTTCAATGCGGAATCGCTTGTCAAATTTTCTCCATGGCGAATTGCTTCGGATCTTCATCTCATAACCCTTTCTATTTGCGTAATTCATCAAGACCTTCAGAATCTTTTTGATCAAGATCACCCTTTTGCAGTTTTTCAGTCGATATCTATCACGAATGTTGTGTTAAAGTCAGACTACACTGGCTCACTCTTCTTGCTTCACTTGACTTGCGAGGCCTGTTTTAGCGAGCAATGCAATTCACGAAACTTTCCCACGTCACATGTATACAGTGTTGGATGAGAAAATTGTACCCAATAGGCGCCATCGTTCTTCGAATGTAACTCAAACGCGATTTTGGTGACAAAAAGCCGATGGATGCTCGCACATGGAAATGTTGAAGACCTCCCGTCGACCAAGTAATTGTTGGGTTGAAAGAGCTGTGGTTGGATTAAGCTTGAGGCTCGTGTTACTGATTCGGCGCTAGCTTCGTAACCGTACGGGAAGAACCATGGATAGGGGTTGACAGATCCCCGCCACTACCTGGCGGTAGGGCAAGGGCAAGGGATCACAATCATCACAATCAGCATCACAAAAAAGAGAGTTTCTTATTAGTTTCACAATAGAGTATCTGTTCCTGTATCGAAGAAGATTCTCAAATTGATCCCTATGCATGTGAAAGTCCCCACCATTTTATGTTAGGGTCGACCTCAGACCTAACCTCGCCTAGCAAATTCAAGGAAACACAGCAAGCAATGAAAATGGCCAAAATCTTAGGGGAGAAACATCTCATAGGTCCACCAAACGGTACTTTGCCTGAAATATGGGTTAGCGGCTTGGATAGGTTACATGTTGACAAAACGAACCTTAAGCATGATCGAGGTTTTGAGGTACATCCAGCCCAATCATGTCATTCCAGTAGAAGACAGGATCCTGCGGATAAATCCAATTACCATCGAAGCCAGGGTTAAAAGCATTAGACACCTTTGGCTGATGAAAGTCAGCATTGAACTCGTACGGCGGTATCATAGCAAGCTGCGCGGACTGGGCATGGTGAGCCACGTCACTGTGATCGATGATTGAGTGGCCCTCGAGCGGCGGGAATCCCTGATATGAATAGACCTGAGAGGCAGCGGCAGCATCGTGCGTCTTCTCCGTGGCGCATATTAGATAGACCTCGTCGTCGTCGTTCGCCTCGCCCGGCCGAGCGCCCTCAGCCATCGTCACAAGCGTCGCAGCAGCCGCAGACTCGGAGTTGCTCGGGGTGGGGTACGAACCGTTCGCTTGGAGGTATTCCTCGAACTCCGTCTTGATGCCATTCGTAGTCTCTGACTTGATGGCTTCGGCCTTAATCTCAGTTTTGACCTCCTCCTCATCATCAGCATCCTCGGTGGAGTGGATGGTCTTGCGCTTCTTGGCCGATGCGGTCTTGACTGAGGAGGCGGGGGTGGAAGGAGCTGACGGTCCTGGAGTGGCGGTGTTACGACCACTGCCAGAGGCGGAAATGCCGTGAGCCTTCATCAGGCGCTCATATCGCTTCGCTCTGTCCGGTACTTAGTAATGTGGCGCAAAGAAGGAGGGTGGTTGTCATACGCTGCACCCTTGGACACAATTCTAAGCTCATTGGCGACCTTGGTGAAATCGACCTAGTAATGTGAGTATTCTTTGACGAACTCTTCCCATGATACTGGCCATTCGAAGTATAACACGCGAATCTACATACCTTTCCGGCGCTGGAATGCTTGATACAAGCAATCAGAAACTTGAACTGACTCTCGGTATCGTAGACAGGCATCTTGAGTTTACTGGGAGAGATCGCTTGCTTTCTGGGTGATTTTGTTCGCTGCCTGATTGCTCAGCTTGGTGTGAGGGAAGATGACAGAATGGCGCTGTGCCTGGGGATTATAGATGTTAGGTTGCCTAACTCTTTGCTTGACAGTGGCGCGGGCTATGTGGGAGGCAAGAGGATTGCTGAAGTTAGGAAGGGGCAGATGGTCTGACAAGCCTTGACACACTCACCTGGTATCGGAATGGCGGGGAAGGGCTGCTAACCGACTTAAAGGTGGAGGGAAAGACGCCGTCTCAGTTCCCTTGGGCTTCCAGGAGCTTCCGAATATTTTTTGTGATGCCTCGAAATGGTCCGGGATGGATCAACGTCGAGATTTTGGGGGCGTTGAATGTCTGGCCAGAGTATGTGATGGACTGACACTCAACTTGTCAGGTAAGAGATAGGCACGTCTAGTGAAGTCCAAAGGAATTCTGGGATGGATTGACTGAGACCAGAGATTATATGGTTTTAGTACTCAGCAGTGTCTACCTAAAGTCATGAAGACGATTGAGCATCTACAAAGTTCCCTTAATTGATCATTGCCCAATCTGACCTTAGTCAGAATCAGGTGTGCAAAAGGTGCTCAAAGAGTCTGAGACCCAAGCCAGTTAGACCCTTTGGATTCTCCTCTTTCTCCCATATCATGACTGATGAGCTTAGTTCACTGTTGGAAGGTTGCTGGGATCCATGCACAAAGACATCGACAATGACCAAGGTTTCAAAGACGCAGAAGCTACTCGAATCAACAGTTTGTGCATAATCTGCAATATCTCGAATGGTCTCAAAAAGATACACAATGACTACAATAGGCTTATCTTGTTATTAAACATGGTGAAAGAGATGCACTTTGTGAGTCGTCAGGCTGATGATAGGGTGAGTGTACTCTGCGAAAAAGAAAATGGTGGGAAAATAGGGGCGACACACTAGACGAGCAATTCAGCCCTCTTACCGGTTTCCAATATCTGAGTAAAACAGAAAATTCTCCCGCCACGTGAACGAATGGCTGCTCAGTGCCACTAAATTCATTCTCTTCTTGCCCGCTGAGATTTTTCCATCTACCATCCCTCTCGACTTCCTTCCCGAGAGAAGCCAACATCCACCTGCCACCCTCCATTCACATCACAACGCTAGCTACGTACATACAGTAGGTTTACTCACAAAATATCCTTGACTTGAATAGTATTTCTAACTAATCTTGAATGTAGCCCCACCATCCGACCTCACGTCAAGTCTCCGTCTCGCTCCGTACAACGTATTTCACCTCAAAGTGGTATGATCTCTTCCCTCGCTCACCCATATTGCGTGAGATTTTCTGGGACATTCTCTAAATAGTGATCATAGGGAGTAAAGATGGCACCGAGAAAGACCGTTTTCACCGATCCTGGTGACGCCGGTGCTGAGCGAGCTCCTACCGATACCGAGATGAAATTCTTCAAGGCCATGATGGAGAACATGAACACCAAACCCGACGTCAACTGGGAGAACGTTGCTGGTGCCATGGGTCTCAAAGACGCCAAGTGTGCCAGAGAGCGCTATCGCCAGATGTGCGTCAAGCTCGGCTGGAACAAGACTGCCGCTGCGGGCCCTGCTTCTGGTCGCAAGTCCAACACTGCTACCGCCGACCTGACCACCCCGACCAAGACTACTCGAGTCACCAAGCGCACCGGCAAGGTTGGATCAAAGAAGATCCCGATCAGGGAGTCTCACGACGAGGAGGATGGCGATGAGACGTTGGGCGACCTTGAGGATTCCCCCGTCAAGTGCGATGACGGGTCCTTCGAGAACGCGGTCTGAGCAACTCATTTCTGCTCTACTACTATGTTGGCTATGGTGTTTGATAGGAAGCACATTGCTCGCAGACCGAAATCTGCATTTCTTTGGTCATTCAGATCGATGGTAAACTAGATAGTCATCTTGCTTTTCTGGTACGAGAGAAAGCAAAACACAACTAGGTACTCTCCCGCAACTTTCTCAAAAATCCCTAATGTGAAAACTTGACTGTGTCGCCCAAATCCGTGTCTATGAAGCTCTTTCCTATTTGTCGAGGCATGATTCCGATCAGGTTCAAGTCGTTAATATTTAGATAAGGCCTAGCAATATGGTGCTTTCATCGCCTTCGTGTAGTCATCCTTAATCGACGGCAGAGCTAGATTCAGACGATGAGAAGAGAATGAATATGACGCTCGTCATCTGATATCACACTAGAGTTCCCATGAACAACATCAAAACAGACCAGCTAGGTGCGCGTGGAGTGATGGCTACGCGCGCCGGTACGCAGCATACTTTTAGGCTGTCGACGCATGTCACTATCTGTTCAACTTTTGTCACAAAGCAAGCTTGATGTAGAATCTCAAAATTGGGGTTACGCGATCAATTCTGGTGTTTCATGAACTATGTCCTGGTCCGTCATACGAAGCAAGTTATCCATCCACAAAACGACCATCCAGTAAGACTTTCCATCGCAAGCAATGTCCAACATGGACAAGTTTCATCATGACCTCCCACATCCATCGGGGACCACAAGCAAGTGTAGACAGAGTTGACGTTGCAAAAAGATGCCGTTGGCCGTCAAATACGAGGCGATGATCAAGTCTAGACCCTTCATCGCATGTTAGAAGCGACACCATAAGATAGAAAATTTACAGTAGGTACTCACTCGGCCTTGATGTTGTCATCCATGCCATCATCCTTGATCTTCGCCTTCTTAGACGGGGTGTTGATCACCTCATCGTCGTCCTGGAAGTTGGTAGGCGTGGCAGTCGCCTGCGCCTTGCGCTTACCGGTGGAGCGAGAAGCATTGCCGTTGGCGCGCTTGGGGTTCTTGCCGGCGCTGGCGGGAGTCGAAGGCGTGGCTGGAGTAGCCGGAGTAGCGGGAGCAGACGCATCAGCGCCGTCCTTTCCCTCCTTGCGGCGAATCTTCTGCAGGTGCTGCCTGTAGATAAATTATTAGCATTATTCGGTAGGTTTTGGTACGTGAAAAATCAAAGAAACAGCTGGTGTGGAGAGTGAAATCAAAGTGAGGTGAAGGATGGGAAGCGATCAGATCAAAATACATTCGGTGCTGAGCAGCTTTCAAGGTGTATGAGTATCCTCGCGTCAGGACCAACTCATGAGCTCTAGCCAAACCGCCCGGAGGGACGGTCGACACCTCGAGCAAGGCGAGGAGGAGGTCGGCATCAGATTGAGCGTCCCACTTGTGACCAGCCATGGTGATTTCTTAGGTGTTGAGTAGATCAAGACGTCTAAGTTGGGGAAAGGAAGGATAAATGAGAGTTGTGTGAGAGTTGTGATGGAGTGAAACGGGAAATCCTGGCGGGGAAGTTGGGTGGAAGATCGCAAGGAGTTGGGAGAGAAACGGGAAGGAAGGTGGGACGAGGGGTAGCCAGCTCGCATGACGGATATTTGTGATGGTGGCTCCTTACAGTGCAGCACTCTGTGTGTAGTTGTAGCCCTTGGGTTTCAGATGTTTGGTCACGATTCGATCCCACTCGGGCTGGGTGGGAGTGATCTCGGCCAAAACCGCAAGGAGAAGGTCGAGATGAGCCTTCTCCGACCACTCAGTTCTCGGCAAGTTTGCAGACATCGTGAATGATAGGACAGATACAATTTAGTCGAGGTGTGTTCCGGGTGTTTGCTGAAAGAAGCCGGGAAGAAGAAGCTCGATGATGGTGGAATATGTGAGGGAAAAAAAAGGGGACAAGGGGTAAACAAGCACGGGGAAAGCTATTTGTAAACAACGACGACCGCCGACAATGATCCCGTGATTGAAAGCCAAAAGCCAAATTTTGCCAGCGCCCAACTTCATGCCAGCTATCTCACCTGGCGAACACTTGGGCTCCCGAGACCATAGCTTTAGCCACTTCACAGAAGCTGTGAAATAGAGCATATAATTGGTAGCTTAAGCACCACCACTGCATCAAAGGGAATTTTCAAAACGACAAGCAACGCGGAAGAAGAAGAGAAAACATAAATCATGAGCAACTAGATTGACAGAGACACATGATCGTGCTCGAGAATGTGGTAATATGAGAACAGGGCACGAGGGTAAATGAAGGCATACCTGATAGCGATCCAGGTCATATCATGGCCCCGTGCCTTCATAAAATTCACGATGGCGTCTTGCTCATCCTTGTTCAGGGATGGTTTGAGAACCGTATAGACAGCCTCGAAGAGGTCGCCTTTAATGTCATCCCATCTGGGCATGTTGATTATGTGCTGAGGGGCAGTCGGAAATTAAAAGGTAAGTATGATAGAGGGTAAGGTGTTGCAGAGTTTCACTCAGCAGAGAAGAACGTCGGGATGATCGAAGTGAGATAGGTGGAGAAAAGTTGTTTGAGAATGAGAATAGAAGACCATATAGGAGAAGAAGAACCACAGGTGGGCGTTGGAAATCGGCGGGGAAGCTGGATATTTCAACACACCTGATACGATCCCAGTTGATCTCATGACCGTAAGACTCTATCTTATGAACGATGGAATCTTTCTGCTCCTGAGACAGACTGCTGCCCGTCACCGCGAAGAAGGCCTTGGCTAGATCAGCCAGGGCTTTCTCGTCCCAGTTGACCATGTTGGCGTTCTGTGTAGAGAGGTTTGGGGCAAAGATATGTGCTTAATCGAAGGAGACTATGTGTGGTGACAAAGTGAGGAACAGTGAGAGGTTGGGGGAAAAAATACAAGGTAGGAGACAACAAACCAAAAATTGGCAGACTAAACGAGATAAAGACACAAAGAAAAGACAGCTTACCGAATCGCATTCCAGTTGACCTCGTGACCGTTCTCGTTCACTACAGCATTTGGAGTTAGTCTTTGCCCTATTGAGCAGGGCAGAGTACGCAATAGCTTCTGTCTGACTGTTGTCTGAATAACTTGAAACATGCTATATATGTTAATGATGAAGTATGATTTGCTTACTTTGAGCCACGATGGCGTCCTTCTGATCCTGCGATAGATACGGTGGAGCCAAGACCGTGTATATGGCACTGAACAGGTCCGCGACCGCTTTGTCATCCCATTTCACCATCTTGAGAGTTGATGCAGTTCTACACGATAATCCAAGTCTCAGGGCAACAGAGTTAAGTATCGGGATCAGGAGAAGGAGGGAGAGGGAAGGTGTTGCATCCAGGAGATGAAACTATCCTGTGTGAAGGATGAATGACTTGAGAAAATGACGGCTTCGCGATCGAAGTTAGAAGCTGGAGTAAATTTAGGAGGGTAGGCACAGTACAAACAATTAATCAGTCACATGATACCAGCTTCCATCCTTTCAGGAAGGCGAAACTATCACTGCCTCTGGGTTTGCAATCAAGACAAACCCATCTTCAGTGCCCCTGGCTAGTTAACCGTCGGAAACCGGTGCTAAATCATCCATTCTTCTTTTGAAGACATATGCCAGCGCCATGTTAAGATCGTGACGAAACATTTCCGGTCACTACCATAAGCTTGTACGCCCAGATCATGAACACTTCGTACACTAGTAGGTGTTGAGATGCGAAACAAAGCCAACAGGTTGTATATGAGGAAACAAAATCCTTGAATAGCACTTGTCATATCATAAGCGAATTGCAATGCTCGGGGATTTGAAAGAGTTCTAGTATGATTGAAAACATCGTTGCCAACCAATGCCCAGCCATTCCACCACGAGCCATTTCCCAGCGGAAACTGTCAACTCCAAAGCCACAATGAACATATGCAATAGTACACGGTTAACTCAAAGACATGATGTCTCATGAGAAAACCAAAACAGAACGCAGCAAGCATCGCTCAAGACAAACTCCTAATCCATTCTCGGATACCAGTCTCGTTCGGGCCTTGAGTCCTCAAGCGCCTCTGTGAGCCGAGGGTGTTCCTACTGCTGCTATCCTCCCCACTGACGCCATCTACAGACTTTTGCAATCATGCTTCCTAAGCTTCCTAAGCTTCGCCGTAAAATCTAATATTCTGCGTCAGCGCCAGACAGACACGTGCTACCTTATCGGAACTTACTCAGTGCTGTAATGGTCTACAGGGGTAGGGTTGCTGTGAGCCGCAAGTGCGCTCAAGACTGCCTCATCATCAAGGGCGGGGTCTTGGTTCTCCTCGAGTCGTGGTCGCTTTGCGACGTGCTCCGAGTCGTCGCCGTTGGGACCCAGACTCAAATCATCTGGACCTGGTGCCTGGGAGGCGGCCACAGCGCTTGGAGTGACGGGAGACGACACCGATCCTGTAGCATCGAGTTCGTGCTGCGCATCCTGGTCTTGCCCCGGAAGGCCAGGGGCGAGGCCGGCTCCGGACTTGCGCGGCCGGCCGCGACCAGGACCTGGGCGCCTCGTGATGGGGTTAAGAGTGGGATCTACCTTCCTTGGATTGTCACTGGAGTTGCCATTCGACTCAGCCTTCTGCTGAGCTCGGCGAAGGCCTTGGAAATGTTGACTACTCGTTGTTAGTGACCTCGGCTTTCATTTGTATGACTTGGCGCAGAGAAATGGTGTTGCATCATCTCGCAAGGACAACATTGTCCCAAGAACGGGCGTCGCAGCTCTGCTAGACAACATACTGGAGAGGAGGAGCGAGCGGTAACTTCCCATCGACAACATGATCAATGTGATATTGCCTTGGATGGATGCGATCTTATCGCGCGATGACATGCAAGCCAACTTTGGCCCGCAAGGACAAGTCAAGGCAAGAGTGCAGGTGCCAGCACCAGGACGCCGGTCGCACGGGTGAGTGGAGGTGTTTGAGTGTTCAAAGGGGCAGCAAAGGGTCGCTGATGAGCTAAGAGGGATGGAGATGCTAGCAACTCACCGGCAGCCTTCATTGGTGAAGCCGTAGCCCAAGGTTCGCATGTGGTTGCCGATGGTGGTCCATTCGGCACCGCTGATAACGCCGATGTTCTTCACGGACAGGATGGTGAAGAAGAGATCCTTGTCGGCCTTGTCACCCCACGTCTTGCTGGAAGCAGCGTTCATCTTGAAGCACCTCGAGGCGGATGGTTGATGGAGGCTATCTAGCTCTTGAGATGGGCGCGCGCGTTGATGGGGCAATAGTGAGGAACCTCGAGGATGCTAGGGGAGTCGGCTGGTGGGCGAGCTCGATGGAAGAATTCAGGTTGCGACGTGGGCGGCAGGGGCCCGTGCAGATTACGTAAGTAACACTTCTGAGGTACCGACAAAGCAAACTGCAGCAGCCACTTGACAACAGGCGTCTGGAGGCTGTCAGTTACCTATCCCACCTAGATACTCTAGTAGTTTTAATGGCTTCTTCCATTGAATCCAATCCAATCATTCATTCATGCATGCACTGAGGCATGCCCTTGGCTGCCCGAGCTTCATCAACTCCCGCTCTTCACTTATTGTGTGCTATGTGCATCGCGACAATTGCCGACATGGCCAGCTCAATCTATTACGGCGGTGACAGCCACCATCCCGAAATGAGGCTTTGAAGTGTCGTCCGTCATGTTGACGACAACAAGCCTCAGCGATCTAATAAGCTACCTAGATCTAGACTGAGTGAATCATTGATACACGATATTCTATTACCTTCCCTCACCGGTGCAATTCATCCCAACCTTTCATGTGGCCGAGGTAGCTGAGACAACTAGTCCACAGCGAAGGTGTTGCCATTGGCGATGCATCTACTTGAAGTGGCTGGCGGACCTCTTGCGACTCGTCCCGGTCCATTGGGGCTGCCTACCTGCAATGTGTCTCGGCGACGGAGGAGAGAGGCAGACCGGTGAGACCCCTTGAGCGCAGAGTGCAGGGACATCTCTAGGGGGAATCACATGATGGAACATGTGCTTTCGTGTGCGTTTCCTGCAGCTGCTGTGCCTAGACGCGTGGGTGACCCCACCACCCGACCTCCAACCTCCTTCTTTTCGCCTTGCCACCGCCTTCCGGGTCGCTGAGCACTGACATGCCGCGCAACACAGGGCGTGCATCCCATGCGCTGGCACTGATTGGCGATGCTCAGACCCAGACGTACAAAGTATGACTCGCCGTGCCTCTGTCGTTGTAAATGTGTCGTGTAGAGACCGGATTGATGTCGTTGAAATGGCGCGTTGGCACATCTCAGCGCACTGCATCAGTAGCTCAATAGAACTACACTAGACCAGAGTGATATGACTGTCCCGTTTGAGTGGGATCCTATGCAGGGGCTGTTTCAGACCATCCACCCATCCATCATCCAAGTCAAATCGTCATGACATCTCGAGCGACTAGGATGCCGTTATCATTTGGGGGACTCTTGGTGCAGCATCTGCCGCGAACGCCAGCGTAAACGAGCGTTATCGAAGTTTTTCTTCTGCGGATCCCTCACCATCCGGTGGCTTCTAGACCAGCGCCATCTGCCACTGCAAACGCATGCAATGAAACATTCAGGACTTCGACCCGGAATAGCGGGCGCAAAGTCGAAAAAAGTCATGATAATGATGATATCCTGGCGCTGAACCCGCCGTGCCAATCAGGACCGGCCAGGTTCATCAGCCGTCTCCATCCCAACCACCCCAATTCGGAGTAGAGTCGTTTGGTTTTAGCTGGCTGACGGACGGACTCGAGTGAGTGACTCACTCAAATGGTTTCATTCAATCATTTCATTCCATCGACCGACCAAATCCTCCACACCCTCCCTCTTCTGCCTCATGTCTGGCAAATCACGACGCTGCATTCTGTTGAGGCTGCTTTCCCTCCCCCGGATCGGCTTGTCGACTTGCTTGGATCTCGCATGAGCCGGTGTGCCGCATCAACGGGCCTATCCTGGTCCAATACAGAATCCTGTCCTCATCGATACCAAGGCAAGCATGGCCCGTCTGTACCTGCCAGTCGCCGAGCTAGGAGATATCGACAGGGATCAGCAAACCACCAAGCGTCGTTGCTCCGAAACCACTTTACGCGGTCCTTCTACGGCGTCGCGTCCGCCCATGTCTTTCCGCCCCTCCTCCTCACTGGCTTCTACATGGATTGCTCGATAATCCTGCGGGAGCCAGTAGACTGACACCCTTTCCGCCCAGCTACTCCTCCATTTCCCATTAAAAGTTTTTTCCTTCTGCTGGGGCCATTCGGCCGTTGTCCCCTTTGGGGAATTAGGACAACTCATCTGACCAGGCAACCACAAGGCTATCGCATCAGACACGTCTTGCATGTCGACGCTGGTAAAGATCAAGAAGTCTTGAGCAGGATTCCTTTGCTTGTCTTTGCTGTGGCGCTTTATCCTGGCTCCATCCATCAAGGACTTGGCTCACAGAAGCAAACAAACACTCATGCAAGAGTCTCTATTTGGGTTATGGGTCCAGTCTTTCCGATGAACTCCCTGGGTTCTCTTCACCTTCTTTTGTCCTAGACAGACAGACAACCAACAGAGGAGCCATTCCAAGCCAGGCCACACCCGGCTTGCCTTGCCACTTGCCTGGCTGCATCTAGGCAGGCAGCCTGAGGATCTCTCAAGTGCTTGCTCCCGCAGTAGCAGCCTTCCCCACCACCCATCATCATCCAGTCCCTCCAAACAGCAAGTTGCCTCCTCGGGGGTGGTCTGGTAGCCTTATTCCAGTGAAACAGGCATATAATGCGCACCCACCCAGCCTCGCCTCACTGATCTTCACGCTCCCCCCACTACGTGACTCACTCTTCCACTTACACCGAATCTTGTACTATTCAGCCTGTCTGACCCTTGCCTAGCGGGCGAGCTTAGTGCAACAGCCGCTCCGTCTTTGAGGTTCATATTGAATGTGTTGCCCCCTTTCTCACCGTCACAAAGGCCGTTTGGTTGCTTCCTCCCCCCTAGGCTGGCCCTCTCGACCAGTTCCTCTATCCTGCAAGACTCAAGGTCGTCATCATGTCTTCAAACAACGATAATGCCATGACCAGATTCCTGTTCGCGATACTGCGGCAGAAATGTCTGAAAGATGTAAGCTTTCAACTTCAGTACACTCATGGCAAGTGGTAAGAGGAGACGGACACTAATCAGGCAACCAGATCGACTGGAACAAGGTCGCTCATGACCCGATCTTGGCACAAGAGATCACAAACGGACATGCTGCGCGGATGAGATACTCCCGCTTCCGTTCAGCCATGCTTGGACTTGAGCCCCAGCGTCGGAACAGGACAAGCGGGACTAAGTCGAAGGTGACCAAGTCCAAGAAGGAGCCCAAGGCGAAGAGGGAAGAGGCGGCCAAGCCAAATCCGGAGACCGCGTCGACGCAGGACTCGGCACCAAAGACCGAGTCTCCCAAGGTCAAGCAGGAGAGCCTCCCGACCCCTGCAGAGACGCAGTCCATACCGATTTCCATGGCTGCTCCTCTCATTCCCGACACCCAGACGCAACTCCACAACAGACTCCTCACTCCCTGCAGCGACACCGACCTGCTCGCTGCATCTCACGGCTATGCCACAAGCCCGGCGAGCGAGATGCTGCACTCGGAGGCGGGCTACGACTTCACGGGCGCAGCCTCATGCGCCCACGATCATGCCTCGTGGCACCAGAGCCCTGCGTACTCGGCATTTGGCGTACCGTACGAGCTCGATACGTTCACCACTGGCTACTGCGACCATCAGCATACCCATCATCATGGCGGCGACTTCGGCATGCCGACCCCAATGATCGGCATGGACCATAACGTCCCCGTGAAACACGAAGAATGGGACGCACGGTATGAATGAAGGGATCTCAGCAAGCCGTCACCCACCACCAAATAAGGAGGCTCGACAAATGTAGAGCTCTTTGCGAGATTGTTCGCAACTGGGAGGACAGAATGTATTCCCACCATCGGCGTTTGGCCACTCCTCGCTTCCTCTTTCTTGACTCCGAATACGTCATTTGGGAACTTAGATTTCTAGGGCTTGTCAGTCTTTGGGAGGTACTCTCTCTGTTCCGCAACCAAGTAAGGTGTCTCGCCAGATTGGGGCTGATGGATATCATAATACGAGAAATCGTTCTCCAGGTCAGGCATCACTCATGGGCGTTGCAATCTGGCAGTTGAGTTTCAGACTCCACTCTCCTAGCTCGGTGCTGTAGGCCTGGATAGTTGACCATTTCGTTTGTCGTGAGGGTCGTGTTTGGTTCACTTCGTCTGCCGTCCAATGTAATATTAAGGTGTTAGGTAGTCTTGACGCTCCAGGTATCGAGTCTAAGAACTAGATGACTCGGGCACTTCATATTTGTCCGCAGTCAATATCACATCCCTGACAATGCCTTTTCTTGTTATATCAGTGATCTGCAATTGGGTAGGAGCTTCTTTCTCTTCAATCTCTGCCCCTTTTCTTTCCTCGGGCCCCTCTCTGCCTTCGACAACGCAAACCGGCCAGTCGTCCATATGTATCTACCAGTACGAGTTAGAGGATTTTGCTCTCAGTCGAGAACAAGCTCTGAAAACGCGGGCAAGAGCTTTGATTGCACTGCATCATGACAATATGGCATTGCGTCTCCTTTATTTCTTTCTCCGCTCGGAGAGTACAAAAAGCTAGCATGTCAAGCCAGAGGCCGACCTGGGGATATCATAAGTATTATGTACACGACCACGACCAACGCCAGATTCTTCACAGCCTCTACGAAATTGCACCATCATCCCTATCGCGGATTCGCCCCCGTCCACTCCCGGGGGCGGCGGGGTAGATTACCAGACCATGTTGTTCCTTGTTGTTGCCGTCGATTCCGTGAGAACTCCCACCGCCGAGTAGGTGCAAAATATAAAAAAACAGTAGTACATGCAGCATCAAGATTTCATGAGCTCGTGAGTGATTCCACCAACCGTGTCAACCAGATTATGTTTTCCGTACGCCGCCGCATCTTACGTTCCGTTCGCTACGGGGAGAACAATCTCCGCGCGCCACTCGACGCTCTCGCGCTCTACCCACCGGCGTAGGGTGCGCAGAGCCGCGGAGGCAGCTTCGTGGGGCGAACTCCAGGGGCCCAGCTCCACCCTCAAACTCTCGTCCTTAACGGTGGGTAGGATGTCATGGGCTGCCTGCCACGCATCGTGTCGCCGCCTCGATGCCTGGATGAATGAACTGGCTGCCTTAGAGCCCAGCGCTTGGTCCTGGTTCGCGTAGGACAGACAGAGCTCCTCGAGACAGACTGCGTTAAGCTGTAAGGCAAGACTCTGTAGTGCTCTAGCGTGCCGGCTTCTGTGCTTCAGTTCCTGAAGGTGAGGCTGGAGCTGTTCCCAAGGGACAGGATCCCATGGTTTCCGTTCTGTGTGGCGAGCCTGCGAGAGAGACTTAAACGCCACCATGTACGCAAGAACCATTTCCAGTGTGAGCGCAACCACGCGCTTCTCATCAGCCGTCGTCAACTGAACCTGGCCATTGGCGTCAACCTTGGCACCTTCTCTGCGTCCTCGAACGATGTCATCGCGGTCGTGTTTTAGCTTGGTGCCAAGACGGGAGAAGTCGGCGTGTCTTTGTCGAAGAGTAGCAGCCTTCGAGCCGCTGAGGTGGTCACCCCCGTCATGGCTTGTCGATGGCCTCTCAGCGGCACTGGGCGTTAACCTGGTGCTGTCTCCAGGGGTCTGCGCTTGTGACGTGCCTGACGCGGCTCGAGACATCGCTATCGCGGCCTTCGAGGGGGTAGACGGCGCAAGAGGTTTGGAATAAGGGGCTGGATCGGAAGTCCTGACCCGCTTAGACGCGGAAGACTCTGTTGTCACTTCTGGTGCAAGTGGCCGCTTCTTAGCCGGAGGTGCAGCGGGTTCTACGCTGATCGACCGTTCCTTCTTCAATCTCTCCTTCTGAGACGCTGGCTGCAAGGCTAACAGTCTCTCGACCCTCTTTGCGAGCTTCTTCCGGTATTTCAAGACGACAATCTTTCTACGAGGGCCTGTATCTTCTTTCTCCGCCTGTTTTTCTGCTTGAGGACGAGACTTCTTCGCACTGCCCGGAGAATCTTCCTGACTGCCTACTTGGCTGGAGTCTCCCTTGGACGGGGTTAATTGTCTGCGGGCGAGTGCTTCTTCCACAATTGGAGGGAGTGTCGGTGAGAGGAGAGGAGGTATCTTAAGCGGCGACTTCTGCTTCTTTGCTAGAGAGCCCTCTGGCTTTTGCAACCTCGCCGGCGCCTTTCCAAGAGCCGCTCCATCGGCGGGTTTCCTCTTTGGACTCGGTTCGTGCTCATCATCAAGAGCGAGGCGTAGGGGAGATAGTAAGGGCGGAACAGTTTGTTTGGAGGAGCTGTCTGATTTTCGGGGGGTGGAAGTATTGCTTCCAGATAGGTGTGATTTGACACCGTTGACGGTGGGCTTGGGGCTTGATCCACGAATGCTCTCTTTGAGCGCGCTGGCGGAAACTCTTCCGTTCGGGGTGGACTGTGAGGGCACGCCGAGCTTCCCGTCCTTGGAAAAGTCAGGCTTCGGAGGGAGGCTCGCATTTTCAGGTTTCGGACGTTTTTGTGGTCGAGGGCTATCTTCTGCATCCGTGGCTCTCTTTTTGCTGTCGGTCAACGGACTTGCTGTGGGCTTCGAGTCTGTCTTTGATATTGGATTTCTTGGCCTGTGAATATAAAATAGCTTGCGTTAGCATCCCGCCAGACGATGTGAGTATGGAGGTTACCACTGCCGTACCTGTCCAAATCTTCTTGTTTCCGTGTTTCTTGGGTTCTGGCATCGAGGCTCCTCTCAGTGTCTCGAGACTGGGCATCACCTCGCCTTGCTCCATCCTTCCCTGCCTTTGTGCCAAGAGGTTGGCTTGCCTTCATATCCGCCTTGCTGGAGATACCGTTCTCCGAAGGCGATAGGGGGATCTTCTTTTGGTTCTTGTAGTCCTTGAAGGACATCTTTGTGAGGGGTTTCTTGAGGTCTGTCCGAGGTGTCGCATGGGCAGAGTTGACGGCAGCGGTTTCAGGTTCCTCCCGTATATCATAGTACGCGCGCGTCAACAAAACGCCACGATCGGCGTCCGACAAGAAGGTCGAGTATTGCAGACGGGAGTGGTGTTGCCAAAAGTCGTTTGGCACTGGGTAACGTCGAGTCGGCGAGAGAGACAGATGGTGCGGTCGATCTGGCAGAATGCGCTGAGCAACTAGATTGACTTTCTTCGCCGCACCATCCATCTTTCAGCAGATCATGTGTGTGCGGCAGCCGTCTTGCAGTCGGTGAAAGGTAAATTGCGCAATGGCTGAAGATCCAGTTGGAGTTTTCTCGGGACAAATGACAGGCGGCGGGTAGTTGCCGGTACGTTCGAGGTTCAGGCGCGCAGGAGAAGAGCAGGCTGCTCTTTCTCCAGAAGCCTAATTGTCTTCCTTTGCTGCAATGCGGGCTCCCCTGCCGAAGAATGGGTATGAGAGTGGTGTGGTCGATATATCGAAGTTCGCGATCGAGGTGCCGGAGGATAACGAATCCTGCGACAATTGCGTTGACGCGCACCTGCGCGAAACACAAAGAGAAAGTCCAATTCAGTCAATGGCAACGAAGAGATCGTGCAGTTAGAGACAATGACCACACTGCGCGCCGGATTGCGGTCTGTAGCTGGGGGTGGACGACCGCGTATGGATGAAGCTGTCAAGGCGGCGGCTGTCCGCGGTCCACGGTCCACGATCCACGGTCCACAATGCTCGATGCACCCTGCTGCACCCTTGATTTGGCCTAACTACCGTAGGCGTGTCGTGATGCACCCTCCAAACAGCAGCCGGCGTGGCGATGGACAAGAGAAATAGCGCATCGCCCGGGGTCGGCAGCGGCAATGAAGTGCGTGGACGGCGATGTCGAGTTCATGCGATGCGCTGGAGCGGTGGGCGGGCGATGGACGGACGGGGGTGGATGCGATAATGTTGCCCGGGCCAAGGTCGTGTTGCGTTATGGGCTGCAGTCAGTGCAGTCAAGTAGGCAGGGTGAGTAGCCCAGGTACATCAGATAACAAGAATACCTCGCGTTCCTACCAGAGAACCCAGTAGCCCGCTGGTGGGTGTCCCGTAGGCGTGGACGGATGTGAATGTGGCTGGCTCCACTGCCCCCTGCCCCCTGCCCCGAAGGGTTTGTGGATGCAGATGCTCTGTAAATGGACTCCCTCCCACTCCCAGCTGCTTCAAGGTGTGGCTTGTGTACCTACTGTAGGTACCCAGGTACCTCGGATTGAGGCGTGATGGCGCTGATACATGTAGACAACGTTAGGTACCTTAGGTAGAGAGCCCTGGAGGGACCGGTGCCGTGCAAGGGCCAACATGTCTCGTCCCACAACCTTGCTGCAAGCTCACCACTGGGGCAATACGGCATCACTTACCTTACAGCATCTACCGTACTGTTCTGTAGCGTATCTAAAATATTGTAAAGCTCCTCGTCTTTCTTCGTATTGCGACTTAAACAACAAAGCAGGCCTGGAGGTGCCCCAATGTGGCTGAACACTTATGTTCCTGGTTGGTGCTGGCGAAGACAAAGAAAAGAACCCCAATGCAGACGCAACCTGAGGATGGCCAACAAGCTGGGCCAAACAGGTGACACCAACAACAGCAACAAAAGCAGCAGCAGCAATGCCTAAGGTATCTACATCGCCTCACCGTAACAGCATCGCAATTGCCGCTCAACGTGATAGGCTCTCTTGTTTAGCCTGTCCGCTGACGGGAATTTTACCTGACGACTACGGGATCGCCAACATGATTGGAAGAGCTATCCTGGCCATCTGAGGTAGCGCCAGGAACGCCATGAAGCGTTGGCGGCATATTATAAGCGTAAGCGAGCCAGATTCTGGGTGGCCCCTAGCACGTGCTATTGTCAAGTGTAAGGATATCCATCTCAAACCGACAGCTTTGTTCCAGCAAGCACAGTCTGGTCCATCCCACTCTGAAACATTCTGCAGTAGTGCGTGTCTTCGGTTTCAAAGTACAGTACAGTATTATCTCTAGATACGTGGTAGGCTGGCAATAAGGCCTAGTGAGTCCTATGACTTAAGTAGCCTGGCTATGTCTCAGTTGAATAGCAAACATCTCTCCCTTAACATGAAACAGCTGAAATAGACAGCACGAGGGTATCGTTAACAATATTCTCCACAATCGCCGAAGCATGTGTATAACGCCTTTCCATCCCTCCCCTTAAAAGCCTTACCAGAGCATCTCGCCCTATTCCACCCGAGGGATAGTGAGTCCCACAGCGAATACCATACACGGCCTGGAGCCATAGATGAAGCATTTCAGCGCAGCGGAGACCCCATCGAAAGTTGGATGGCTAAGAACGATGTCGTCCATTCTCGACTGGATGATGGCCATTAGCCGACTCCATCCTCGGCCTCTTGGACGGCCTGCTGTCTTCCACGTAAGATCGTCCTAGTCCTTCCCTCGCGATCATATCGCCCAAGTCTCGGAAGAGTTCGACTAATTTGACTTCATTTCCTCCCATTCTCTCCTCCACCCCGCCCAGCCGTGACCTGGACTCTGACATTTGTGATTTGAGAAACTCCAGGTCTTGTGACAATTGTCTCGTGTTCGGATACAGAGTCTCCATCACACCGGCAATGCGGTTGGCGAGTTCCATCGTGTTGATGTTGTCGTACTGCGACTGCATCGAGGTAATTATATGCATCAAAGAATCATACCGCTTTTCGTTGACCTCCTTCAAGTCATCGACCTCGCTTTTTATAAGCCCTAACTCGGCTTTGATGCTTGCGCTGGGGGAATCCTCGTTGGGGACCGCGGGAACTACGGGAGTTTGCGCTGGAATTGCTACCTTCTCCAAATCATCCTCCAGTGCTTTGAATCGAGTGGAATTCGACTTGCTCTCTTTTGCCAACGCGTCCAAGGATGACTTCTGGGCGTCGAGTTCTCCACCCAGCAGAGAGATCATCTGATCTTGGGCTGATTTCAGTTTGTTGAACTCTGTTTTGAAGTCTATCTTCATCGACTTCAGAGGTTCCATTTCACCCTTCAATGACTTAATTTCAGCCGTGTGAGTGGCGGCTGCATCTTTCAGAGCTGGAAACTCGAGAGCCCAGCCTTCTGCGATTTGATCCAGGTTGTCAAAATCCACCTGAGCGATATGATGTTCATGATCATGGAGCATGGCGCCATGACGTCCGATATTCCCTTCAACTGTCTGGAGTGAAGAACGAAGTTGTTCGATGCTTTCCGAGGCATCATGCAGCTTCTGATTTAGTTCACTAACTTGCTGTGTCGCGTCCTGCTTCTGGGCAGACAACTTATTCTCAAGGTTCTCATTCGCTTGCATCAGCACTTCAATCTCCCCATTCCGCGGTTGCGTATGACTTTCTTGGAAAGATGATGCCAACTTCTTTTCCAAAGCTCTATATCTCTCGTCTTGTAAGGCCTCTTGTTGCTGTATGAGGACTTTGAAACGCTCCTCCTGCCTTGCTTCCTGGCTCTTCAATAGATCGAGAAATCGTGCTTCTTGCTCCTCTTGTTGGATTTTTAAGGCCGCTTTGAGGAGTTCCTCGTACTTGGCATCTTGTTCCGTCGACAGCGTCTTTAGCTTGGCCCCTTCCTCCTTCAGCAATGTCTCTAGTTGCGATACACGTCCCTGCAGAGCGATGAGCTTAGCACCTTGAACAGGATCATGCTCGAACTTGAATGAATCCTCCCGTGCCTTACTCTGGACGCCTCCAGGTGAAGGAGGTCGTATCAAAGCTATTATAGCGTTAACGGTCCCAGTGTACGCAACCTTCGCCTTCTCCAAGTTCCGATTGACTGCTTCAATATCTTTTTTATGGCGTTCCTCGACCTTCTTATAGTAGTCTCCTATTGGGTAGTCACCATGGCTTGGACGACTGCTATTGAAATCTTTGGTCTTTTGGTCTAAAGACTTTTCGATTGTTTTCAACTTGTTCTTCCATTCGTTCTCATCATACAAGATGTTATCTTTCTTTCGAAAGAGCTCGGCCAGCTTTTGATTGGCATCTACTTTGTTCTTGGTTCCTGAAGACGCCGGATTAGAGGCTAGAATCATTAGCCAAGTCTTGTTAAAAGGTTTGGGCACAGCTTTGGAGGAGAACCATTGTTTCAAAGATTATAGGGGAGTATGATAGCTTGCAGCAAAGCACGTACCTGATGGCGCGCCCTGTTCTTGTCGGATGCGGGTTGTGTTCGTCTCCTGTCTCGATTGTGTTGTTGCGGGCTGGTTACCGCGTGGCTTCTCAACTGATCCGTCTCTGTCGACCTCGCGCTGTCGATCTCTGGGCGGTAGGTCTCTAGGTCGATCTAGTTCGCTAGGCCTCTCATAAGTTTGAAACCCGCTGCCATTTCTCCGCCGATCACGACTATCCGTGCTCGCCTTAGAGCTGTACGGTCCCGGCCTGTAAGAAGACATGGTGGGCCATGAAGCAGATAGATGGGATTCAAGATTGTACAACGAAACCGTCCTTTTTCCAAAGCTTTCACAATATGGCGGGGGATTGTGTATTCCGACGCATGGATTGGGGCAATGAGCAGGCCTTGCGTAAAGATATAATCACAGAAACCGTAGATTCTCGGTAGCGGTGGGAGTTCGACGAGGAACTGCCGCCGCTGCTAACGCAGCGGAGCTGCGATGCGGGTATTCGATTGGCCAAGTCCAGACCGGAAGGACAAAGAGAAATTTCTTTGTTGTGTTTAGGCGGGCAAGAATCTCCCCGTTTCCGGATTTTGACTATGCAGGGGGACAGGTATGTGTCGCAGGCAGTGCCGGGGGTGAACGATCGAATGGTTTGTTTGGTACGGTCAAGTCGACTCGGGATTGCCAGACGCGCAGTGCGTGTCGTGTGCTGGGCCAGCCCAAAGTCGAAGGTGGGACAGTAGGTAGGCACCTAGGGAAATAAAGTAGATGTAAGGTATTGCGACTCTGCACGACTATTTGGGCCTCCAAGAGGGCACAGAGCTGCAGTGAAGATCGGCAAATAGGAGGCGAAGCTGATCTTTATGACTTTAGAAACGAGGGGAGGAGGGCGGTGGTTTCTTTTGAAGTTGCGGTGGAGGAGGGCACCTGGAAACCGGGGTCGTGCATCACGTCCCCTGCAACTGGATGCTTGTGGTGGATTTGGGTGGTCCCCTGTCCTACCGCCTACCTAATTTTGTCTTTCGATAGTGGATTAGCTTCCGCGTGTGACACGGCAAGCGGGATCCAGATGCGCTAGAAGCTACCTAGTATCTATGTAGAAGCTGGACCTCCACCTCGATTACTCAGATGAGCATGTACGCCTCATAACTCTGTTTGTCTAAAATGCAAGATTCCCCAAACAGCGCATCTCCAAAACGTAAGTTTCCGGTGGGAGATCTCGTGCGCGAACTTAGGTAAAACGCATCAATATACCTACCTTCTGTCATGCGTAGTGTTCTTGCTTACAATGAACCTACCTAATAGATACCTCCGACGAACAAATCCGATATCTCTGACTTGCGCCAATGATACGCATACCTGCCGTTAAGTGCCTGAGCACAGTTAGACCTCATGGCTTGTCTAGCTGCTGCAGCTAAAATTGTGGCTTATATTGATAGTTTTGAGCTGTTTCATCATCAAGCAGGGTTTTTTTCCCTTTATTTCATTCAGCTGGCAGTAAAGGGGGTGCTCTGAAGAGCTTACATGGCTTGGTAGGGTTCCCACGAGAAGCGAGCGCCACTTGTAAAAGCATGGATACCTCCCCAGGTGCTTCCTGACCTGCCTTTAATGCATACAAGACACACCCGATAATCATGGATGTGCTGGAGCATATAGGTCGGCTTTCCAGGTCCAGGTGCCTCAACGGTACATATGCCTCCTAGTATAAGTCGACGAGACTGCCTAGGTAGGTCGTTGAGGAGGGATCCGTCAGCCTTGCAGTCCGTAGCCCCACATCCCACAGTAAATTTCCCCGTCCGTTTCGCGCATCAGCCACACCAATACTTTTGCTTGCGCCTCTCAACGTAACTAAATCGCTGGTCCGTTTTCTCGTCGAGGCGTTCCCATTTTTTGAGCTTGTCGCCCATCTCGTCGCGAAACGTCCGTCTCCCTCCCCCGAATTCATCTCAGTGTGCGCTCCCCTCCGACCCATTAAGCCCTCGACACAGGCCATCTTCGAGTTTGGGCACAATGGCTGCTGTGAGTTTGACGTGTCTCCCTTGTCCTTGGATCTTGCACGAGGTCTAACATCTAATGCGTGCAGCCTGTTGTGACCGTGTCCGAGAGCAAAGAGCTCCGTGGGCTCAACCTCATCGCAGCTCACTCACATATCCGTGGCCTAGGCGTCGATGCCGATACCCTCGAGCCGCGCGCTGCTTCGCAGGGCCTTGTCGGCCAGGCGAAGGCGCGCAAAGCTGCCGCAGTGATTCTCGAGATGATCAAACAAGGGAAGATAGCTGGGCGGGCTGTATTGATTGCTGGGCCCCCAAGGTAAGATTCAGCGCAATCAGTCATGTCTATCATTATGCTCATCATGTTTTTCTTGGCATTTAGCACCGGAAAGACCGCTATCGCAATGGGCATGGCTCAGTCTCTCGGCCCCGACGTTCCCTTCACCTCCCTTGCCTCGTCCGAGATCTACTCGCTAGAAATGTCCAAGACAGAAGCCTTGACGCAGGCATTCCGGAAATCCATCGGTGTGCGCATTAAGGAGGAGAGCGAGATCATGGAAGGAGAGGTCGTCGAGATTCAGATTGACCGCAGTGTCACGGGTGGCGCAAAGCAGGGAAAGCTCACAATCAAAACCACCGATATGGAGGCCATCTACGACATGGGTAGCAAGATGATTGACGCCATGACAAAGGAGAGAGTAATGGCCGGCGACATCATCTCTATTGACAAGTCGTCAGGCAAGATCACAAAACTGGGTCGGTCATATGCAAGATCTCGCGACTACGATGCCATGGGTGTCGACACCAAGTTCTTGCAGTGTCCTGACGGCGAGCTTCAGAAGCGGAAAGAGGTCGTCCACACAGTTACCCTACATGAGATCGATGTCATCAACTCAAGAACACAGGGGTTCCTCGCGCTTTTCTCTGGCGACACCGGCGAGATCCGTAGTGAAATTCGGGACCAGATCAACACCAAGGTTGGTGAGTGGAAGGAGGAAGGCAAGGCCGAGATCGTTCCGGGTGTTCTGTTCATCGATGAGGTTCACATGTTGGATATTGAGTGCTTCTCATACATCAACAGAGCACTCGAAGATGACCTGGCTCCCATTGTCATTATGGCCAGCAACCGTGGCCAGTCACGTATTCGAGGCACCGATTACAAGAGCCCTCATGGTCTGCCTCTAGACTTCCTTGATCGCATTTCCATCATCACTACGCAAGCGTATGGACAAGATGAGATCCAGCAGATTCTGTCCATTCGGGCACAAGAAGAGGAAGTTGACTTGTCTCCCGATGCCCTTGCCCTCTTGACCAAAATTGGACAGGAGACTGGTCTTCGGTATGCAAGCAACCTGATCACTACTTCACAGCTTGTGTCAGCGAAACGACGCGTCAAGCAAGTCGGTGTTGAGGACGTTCAACGCAGCTTCAAGCTGTTTTACGATCCGTCCCGGAGTGTCAGCTTCGTTGCAGCTTCTGAGAAGCGTCTCATCGGCAACGATGGAGCCGTAGACTTCGCAGTGACCAATGGTCAGAACGGAGACAAGATGGATGTAAGCTAATCGACTGTTTATTGGGGCGTTTTTGGCAAGAAAACATGCGGTGATGACGGGATGGCAAAATAGATACTGTAAAAATAGTGCACCATAGGGGATAACCATTTAATCCCTGTGGGGCAGGTTCTCTAGAGAAGGTCTTGCTCGATCAAGACGCTCATAGGTGTTGGTATCTGAAGTATTACATTTATATGGATTACACAAAGTCTGCAACCCTCGTCCAGCCCGCTTCATCGCCAGCTGGCCGAAACTCGACGCCCTCCGTGAAATAGCCTGCTTTCTGCCATGCATCCATTGTTGGACCATCGTAGGGTCCTTGCAGTGCAGCGTCGTCTCGGCCATCTATCCAACGGAATTCCCACATTTTGGCCGCTGGGGTGGCGTCAATAGGGACCTCAGACTTGGGAGGCTCTACCCAACGCTCCCCGGTTTCGTTTTGATGCTCCCGTATGAGCAATTCCCTTTCGGTATCGTATATTTCCGGGTAGTCTCGTCCAAGCAGTTTATCTGCCGCCTCTGTGATTGCATTGATGGCCTCCTTGATTCTGACCTGCTCAGGGTCTTCTGTCTCTTTCTCCTTATCCACATCCATGGCATCGGCACCATTCTTTTGCTTTTTCAGCTTCCATTTTGGAACCTTTTTGGGCTTTGTTTGGCCTTTTCCAAGTCTGGCTAGGGCTTCGAGGGCGGTCTCGCCCTTTTCAAGCCGTAGTACTAATGCTTTCAATAGGTCTGCTGTAATGATGCTGTCGTCTTCTTTCCGTTGTTGTCTCAACTCTGCCTCGCGCTTCTCATGGGCGGCGGCAGCCTTCCTCATCTCCTTTTTGCTGACGCCCTCGAGCCACCTGTCGTGGACGGCGTCTGGATCGACAGCTTTTCTGATGAAGTTTCCTGCCTCATCAAACCCACCCTCTTCTTGCTCCTGTTTCATATTGAAGGCGTCTATCTTCGGTGCATTACGCTTGAGGCCGCCTGCACCGATTTCCTCGTCCAGCCCTTCTTCTTGTATGGCAAGTTCCACGTCCTCTTCGTCATCGCTGCTAACCTCGTCGTTGATGTGGACATGACCGCCGCCCTTGCTGTTTGCTTCCTGACCCTCAATGTCATCAGCATCCATGAAGTGCACTTCTTTTCCTTTCTTCCCTCTTGAGGTGGTGTCCGGCGCGGCAGGGTCTCCGTTCTCAGCCTCGGCATCGTGCGGATCGGCGAACATGTCATCGTCTTCGTCTTCTGCCACTGCCACTGCCGCACCATTCTGTCCGCCTGACTTGAGGTTCTTATCGTAATTGTCTAATTGTTCGGCGAGATCAACATTCACATCCTCATCGCCCCCGGCCTTACCCTTCTTCCCTTGGCCCTTGCGCGCCTCCGCGCGCGCGTAGAATGCCTCGTTGTCGGAGTCGCTGTCATAGCCATCGATGTTGACGGCACCGCGCTTGGTCGCTGCGCCGCTCCCTACGCCAATCACGTCTGCGTCTAGCACGTCGTCATCCTCGCGGGCATCGGGGGCGAGCGCGGAAGGGTTGCGCACGTCGAACTTGACTTTTTTGGAAGACGGCCCACCATCGGCTTCTTCTCGCTCGCCATGATGGGTACGGGCGAATGCCTCGCCAGCGCGCTTCGGGCGCGCGGCAGAGAACCTAGATGACATTGGGTATCCGTGATTATGGGAAGGAGCGTTGAGGTGGGTGCTAAGATGTTTCCGTATGGTTAGTTGAATTGACGCCACGATCGACTTCTGAGCCGAATGAGTTCCGCAAGGCTACCAATAAGTTTTGACGTCAGCCAAAGGCTTGGTCACTAAGGCAAGGTACCACTGCTGGTGAGTGGGGAAATTATCCAGCGAGCGAGCGAGCGCTGGCGGCCTGTCCTTCCTGATCTACCGCTGACCAGGCTACTGTTCGTGTAAGTGCTAAGATTCCCGAATGTAAGGACAACACTCCGTAGAAGCATGTGCCTGTCTGAATACGCCTGAAAGATCTATAGCGATGCCGACGGAGTTCTTTTATGGCAAGGTCAACTCAGACCTAGAAGGTGCACTTAGATATCCATGGGAGCTTGCACCTAAACCGCTACATACCTCTTTAGGTGTCAACCACCCGATTCTAGTACGAGTCTGCGAGTCCGGCTGCCGAATATCGCTTGAGGTATATGATTCAGCCTTTTACTCTTCATTAGACGGCGGCATCTCAAAGGCTTCCAGATTAGGTTCATGAGTGAATCGAGATAGCTATACGTCCTTTTCATGTTAAGGCAATGTACCTAGCTTCGATTACCCCAGGCCTTATCTTCGGTGCTTATCAACGAAAGTTCATATACTTTAGTGGGGGCAATAGGTGGCACTAGGCTGTAGAGGTGTCGTCCTAATGCCGACCACTCCAGCAGTTAGGCTGTCGTCATTCAGTTTGCCTGCCCGAAACTCTACCTTTCCAGAACAACTACCACCTCCCATAAAGTGGTGATCACGACGCCTATATCCACCCTTTCAACAGTAAAGAGCCTCAATCCTCATTTACTACTGAATCGCACAGTCTCACCTTACCACGAGAAATCGGAATCTGCCAAGATGGTAAGCTAGCTATCATGCCATCGTCTTCATCTGGATCGCCGCTAACCTCCTGCTCCCAGTATGCGTACGGTGGCGGGTTCGACCCGAACAACCCCGAGCATCTATACAACATGGCTCGATCCGGGATGATGCGCAGACCTGCCGTGCAGCGCTTCGACGAATACTACCGGTGCTACCCCATCGTAATGGCACCTGGTCCCGACCGCCCCGAACTCAACTACGGATCCAAGATCTTCTTGCCGCCTTCCGCCCTCGACAAGGTGTCGAAGTTGCATGTCCAGTGGCCGCTACAGCTGGAGCTCATAAACGGCGAGAAGGGCAAGCATACACACTCGGGTGTCTTGGAGTTCTTGGCTGAGGAGGGCAGGGCCTATCTGCCCCAATGGGTATGTCGCGATCCTGCTTCAATGCACTGGTCGTCCGGAGGTGCTGACGAGTTCAGATGATGCAAACACTCCAGCTCGATGTTGGAGATATGATTCAGATCAAGACGACCTCCTTGGAGCTGGCAAAGATGGTGAAGCTGCAGCCACAGTCAGTCAACTTCCTGGATATAAGTGATCCCAGGGCTGTCTTGGAGCGTGCTTTCCGAAACTTCGCCGCCTTGACCAAGGGTGACGTCTTCAGCTTCGAGTACAACGACACCGTGTTTGATGTTGCAGTGCTAGAGGTCAAGCCCGAGACAGACAAGATGGGCGTGAGTATGATAGAGACAGATGTGTCAGTCGAGTTCGCGCCGCCTGTTGGCTACGTCGAGCCGAAGAAGCCCACCGGGAGCGGAACCAGCACACCAAGAAGCACGCGCGGCGGTGTTCCCGCTGGCGGCATGCTGCATAGTCAAGGCACCATGGCGCAGGCAATCAACTACGATTCTATCGCCCCTTCAGCTGCTGGCGCAGCGGCGTCAAACTTCATGGGGCTGGGACAGAAGATTGGCTCTAAGAAGGGAAGCAAAGCTCCCACTCCAAAGCCGGCTACTCCAGTTGCTGGAACTTCGACAAACAACGATCCCTCTGCCACCCTACGGAGAAGTAATGGCCCCATGCCGCTCCGCCTTCCCCCGAACAAATTGTTCCTAGGTTATGAGATCATCCCCGTCAAGACCAAAGAGCAAAAGGAGCAGGAGAATGAAGACGCTCAGAGACCTCATTTTGCCGGTCAGGGCCAGACCCTCCGAGGAGCTGTCAAGAGAAAGGGCGACGTTGGCGAGCAGCCAAAAGCCCCCGAGAAAAAGACTTACGAGGCCCGTAGATTGGACGGTAAGAAGGCTTGATCAGGATCAATCCATCATGAGGTTACTGGCGTTTAGGTTTTGGCTCGCTTAGGGTCTCTGGAACGAGGCAAGTTGGCTTCATTGAGGGATTATCATGACTGCGGGGAATGCATCAAGATGAGAGATTCACGTGGCTCTCAGCTTGCTTAGATTTGAGCTTGTGCAAATTGTCACGTACAAATCAGAGAATAATCAAATTCAATTTTCGTATAGCAATGACCATTGGGTTGCATTCCACGACGAGTAGCCTACAATCAACTGGTCTAACGTTATCGAGAACCCCTGACGACAATGAAGGTCCATTCCTTCGTACCCTTTCCGATTGCAAGCAAAGTGAACTGCCGAGCTACACTTTCCACCATCCAGTCATGGGTCATGACAGGTTGAAGACCGTGTGAAGGATTACTTCTTCGGCTTAGCGGAGACGTCACTACTCGGAATCATCAGTTGCCGACCGACATTGGAGTCGGCAGAGAATACTTACACATCGCCAGCATCGGCGGTAGTCTTGGCCTTAGCCTTGATGGTAGCGGCACCTGCGCGACGCTTCTTAGGCTCTCTCTCCTCGTCGACGTCTGTGGTAGCCTTGCGAGACTTCTTCGGCTTCTTCTCACCATGGTCAGCAGAGGCTTTGCCGGTCTTCTCGGCCTTCTCGGCCTTCTCGACGTGGTCAGTAGAAGAAGCATTGCCAGCCTTCTTAGCCGTCTTCTCGCCGTGGGCAACAGTAGCCTTGGCAGGCTTCTTAGACTTCTCCTCGTCGTGGTCAGAGTCGTTAGTGACCTCATCCTCTCCAGACTGCTTGAGCGCAAGGGCTATGGCCAGGCGCTTTTTGATATCGGAGTGGATTGTGTGAGACCAGCGCAACCTGCAAAATCGTCAGCGAATGCAAGCAGAAGAAGATCACAAGTAGCGACGCAGGGTAGGTGATTTCAAAGTGATTCTCTTATGATGGGAGAGATCTTTCTCAGTTTTTGCCACTTACTGCAAGGCCGAAATGGTGAAACTGTGACCCAAGGTCTTCATGGTCTCGTGGATCTGTGCGTAATTCGAAATCTTGATCCCATTCTTCCGGTACTGAGACACGATGATCGAGAGAAGGAAGTCAAGGTCGGCATCGGGTGTCCACTTCTCCATCTTCTTCTTCTGGCCCTCCTCGGAATCCTCCTCAGAAGCCTTCTTGGAGACCTTGTTGGGAGCCTTCTCGGCGGCCGTTTCGGAAGTACGCTTAGAGGGCATGATGTCTGGTTGGATGATGTTGACGACGGGTATGTTGGTACGATATCTCGATGATGTGGTGTTGGAGAGTTGATCCTCTGGCAGATCAGGAAATGTGAGGTCAGGGAAAGTTTGTGGGAAGGAGATGAAAATGAAAGACGTAAATAAACAGCTGCCAGGGTATTTATGTGGATCCTGGTATGTGTCTTGTTCGTTGCGGCTGTGTACTGCGGCTGGGGTTGGGGAGATGCGGCTGAGTGAAGCCATCTCGAACTCGTAGGCCGGCGGGCAGGTGTTGTTGCCCCTGAGTTTGAACCTGGCCTTTGCAATTGCAAGACAAGAAATGCTCACTTTGGGTGCTACTAAACACCAGTTTGTCGTGGCTTGTTCACCTATTCGCATTATACTTGCCTCAAAGTATCATACAAAGGAATTGCAAGAAAAGGGGGTTGTTGAAGGAAAGGAGTGTGAAGACTTGGTGGAATAACACGCCAAGAGTAGCCAACTGGACACCGCCACGAAACTGTCTGGCGAGGGAAATGAACCACAAACGAATGCCATTATATGAACTAGACGAGTACGGTGTGAACGCAGGATAATTTAACGTCGTCAATTTGCAGCCCATATGGGGCGGGGATGTGTTCCGAGTATCAAGAGAGCTATCGTGTTCTTCGTCTTTCGCCATAAAACCAGATCCAGTGACCATGTTCTGCCCTAAACTCGCAGCAAAAGAAGCAAATCATAATTCATCAAGCGATCTTTCAGATCATAATCATGTCAATCTGGAGCCAGACTCGTGCTCCCTGAGTGGACGACAAGGCTAGACATCATGGTCCTCATTGGCCCTGAAGGTATAGTTGTTGTAGTTCAGGGGAGAAGAGCGATAGCCCTCAGGTCGAAAGGGAGCGATTGCCGGTAGACCATGAATGCCGTGCATGGAACTGCGCTCCTGTTTGATATGACCGCCGTCAAGCATCGCAAAACCGTGCATTGGATCGGGCTCCTGTTTGACGGGAGCGTCCTCTGTATTCGGGTAACCCGGTGTAGAAAACATATTCTCAGACATGTCGCCCATGTCATCTCCGACGTTATCCATGGCAGACTCATTGTGAGCGGCGGACTGATTCTGAATTTGAGACAGAGCCTCCGCCTCCGCCTCCGCCTCCGCCTCCGCCTGAGCCTGAGCCTGGGCTTGGGCCTGGACCTTAGACTTAGCAGGGGCGCGCTTTCGTGGAGTTTTCTTCTCGACCTTGGCACCCGAATTGTTGGGACCTAAGACATCATCGCCCGGGTTGGCAGCTTTGCCCGCTTTCTTGGAGGAGCCTCTGACGGGAGATTTGGTGGCTGCTCCAGACTCCAAGCCGAGCTTCTTCTTGACTTGGCCAAAGCGGACCTAGGAGCTCGAGTCAGTACATGAGGTACGATAGAAAGCAAATGGGAGATACCTTGGCCACATCAGCGTTCTTGAAACCAGAGGCCTCAGCCACAGCGGTCCAGTCGATTTCAGGCTTGCTCTTCTGATGTTTCAGAATGTTAAAGAAGAAGTGTGCCTCCTGAGGTGTGGGCTCTGGGAACGTCTTGCCCTCTTGGCCCGAAGTTGTGTCTCCGTTGCTCTTGCCGTCCGTCATCTTGGCTGATAAACAAAAGTGACTAGGAAGTGGTGAAGGAAAATGGAGCGAGTCTCGGACCCTTCCCTTTACTGGGGATACGATCAAGAGAGACTGGTAGGTGGTGCACGCTCCCAAGTAATGAGTGCGAGGATAGTAAGTGAAAGTTCGGATAAGATGGTGATCTTTGGCTAGATCGGTTTAGCTGGGGTTTGAAAGTTGAGTGGTTTTGGTTGTGGCGGGCAATCCAAAGGAGGCTTGTAGGCAACGAGAAGGTGTGGCTCGTCTGGCTGGAGGGGAATTTGTGACGGACGGGGAAAGACCCTTCACCGGGGCGGTATCTAGACAGTTGGTGCAATGAAATGTGTGTATGTAAGTCAATATCAAAGTGAGTCCTGGAACGACGCAAGGAGAGAAGGGCAGCTTTGTGAGAATTGGCTAAGCTGGAAAGATGAGAAATAGCGGTGGAAATCATCCATGGGCACGACGCGATGGCTTCCTCTTTTTTCTGCGGCGCGGAATACGTCCACTATAGTCAATGTTGTATTGTTGACCCAAAATGGAAAGAACGGACAGGTATCTAGTCGACCAGAGCATCGCAAAAAGGAAATCTCCAGATCCAGGGAGGCGCCCATTCACACGTTGGATCGCATACCACAACCAAGTCCAAAACACACCGCCGAACCAGCAGAAGATCAGGAGTATTTCATGCGTATGATCATTGTTGATTACCAGGTATCATAGAGTCGTCTAAACGTATGTCCGTTACCAAACCTTGACCATGAGTCCAGCGCAAAAAGCGCATCCATTCCACATGTACAAGTCCATCAAAGTGTCCGTATGCCCCTCGAACAAGTGTAGTTAAGCAAACAGCCCCAACTCCCTTCATGATAGCTTACCAAGCATAGTCTTCGTCCTCAGAGAAATCTGAAACCCACTCCTCGTTATCGTAATTATTCACTTCATCATCCTCTGCATACCCATCAAGGAAATCCTCCATTCCATACTGGTGCTCGGTCGGTTTTTGGTTGTCGATTAGGACGTCAACGACATCACACATGCCCTGGACAGATGGTAGACTCGTTACAGCATCCTCAGACATAGGCGGTCCATTCTCTGACTCGAGCTCCCGCTCAGACTCCGAAGTCGAGTCATCGGCGTCGGTGTCAGGATCTCTGTATGAGCTGGGTTGTGTCCGATTGCGTAGATCTCTTGAGACGCCGTTGCGCTGCGAGGGAGAATCACTGCCGTGGACAGCTGCATTACGGGTGCTGCGGCGTGTGGGAGTCACAGTACCGCGGCGATTTCGTCGGGGCGTCTCCTGTCCTCGCTGTCGAGGCACAACACTTGACGAGCCAGCCGAAGCAGGCATCTCCATCTTACGCGCGAATAGTTCATTCAACTTGGCTACCCAGTGGTCTCTGAATTCGCACCGCTCACGCCAAGGTATATCCAGTGTTGCCTTGATCACCAGACGTCTCAGATTGACCAGCAAAGGCGCGTTGTCGGCGAGGCTCTGGAAGAAGTTCTTCGCTGCTGACAGCATCCATTCTCCAAGATTTTGCAACTCAATAACCTGGAGGGATCGGGGCCAAGTAGGAATCTCGTTATCTTCTAGAATAAAGTCGTAATAAGGCTGACAATCGTTGTAGAACTCATGTATACTGAAGAATCTGAAATCCATGCGCAGGGCCCGAAGATTTGGACAGTGTTCACTCAAGTCGGGTAAGAAGCTCAGACTCAGGGACTGGTTGTGCTTCAGTGTGAGTTCCTCAAGTTGTCCACCGTGAGATGATAGATAGGCCGAAAAATCCTCAGCCGTGACCTCCCAGCAATTGATGAGCTCAAGATGCTGAATTGTGGTAGGGAGCAGGGACAGTAGACGACCATCGACAATTGTAGATGACTCCATCACAAGATGTTTCAGTTTAGGCAAAACAGAAATTGAATCAGCGATTTGGAAGATGTAGTCCCCATCCTCGTGGGCCATAGCGTTATTGTCGCGCCGTTTAGAAGAGTGCAAAGACGGTGTTTGGAAATTGACAAAGCTGAGTTTCTGGAGGCCGTGGAAGCTTGGTTTGAGATGCGCATCGCGCAGGTTGGGCATCAGTTTCGGGTCGATCATTCTCTTACTCCACCACCAACTCTTCAGTCTAGTCGGAGCAGCTTCGTCACCTGTGATACCCAGAGCCTGGGTCAGGTCGGAGGGGTACGTCCATCTAAGACTCTCATCCAGCATACGATACGGCTTCCCGTCCTTGTAGTGATATAGCCTGAAGTGGGCAAGACGCGGAAGAGACCAGACGAGTCTGCCAAGGAGGCTTCTGGCCGCACCGAACGCACACACACCAACATCAATGACGAGGATTTCAACCTTTTGACGGTAGTTGCACCATGTGTGGGGAGAGCCGTCCGATACGTGAGCCACAAATTTCTGCAGAATATTTACGCCGCAAATAATGGGGTACTTGTGCAGCGCTGTCAAGGCAGGCTCAGCGAAGGCCTTGCAGGTCGTGGCCGCGCTGAGGAGGAATCGATTCGTATGATCTCTTTCCATTGGATCATGGAGGTAGTCGAAGATCTGAACCAAGATGGAGTATTCCAGTGACTCCCATGCTGGCTGAATCGGCTTCTTGAGCTTGGAGACCTGCTGCTTGCGATGACCCATTACGTCCTCGCTGGGTCCTACCGTGAGGTATGTATTCTCTGCGCCGCTCAGGTTCTCGTCACTTTGCGCGACAGGATTGTCGAGCTTACGTCGCGATTTTGGCGACGGCTGAGAGTCTTGGTCGTGCGTGTGGGCTCGCTTCAAAGCGTTGTCGGAGACGCTGAGCTGGCGGGGAGGGTCGCTCACGTTGTCGTTACCGTTGTGATCGCCGCTGTGGTTTGCCCACAGTCGGCGGGATCTTCGCCTACCGACTTGGATTCGACCGATCATGCTGGCTGTTGGCAACAGATGACTCGTAGATTGATTCTTGCTGGCAGCGCGACGTCGAGAACTGCGACGCAATGGATTATCCGCGGAAGCAGAGGTAGAGGTCAGGTACGCAAGCGAGATACGGATACATCCGACTGTTGTCGCGTTGTGGTGGTCTGAATGAAGCAGAACGGTGAGGTGGAAGAAAAAGAAGAGGCCTGCAAAGGTGGTTAGGCCCGACGGAGGTAGGATGGAATGTGGAGGAAGAAGGAAGGTACGAAGAAAGAAGGGCAGGGCGACGAAGGTGAGTCGAAGATTTTGTGTCGTCTGCGTGCAGATGTCAAAGGTCAGTCGAGGTACCTGGACCGTCCCAAAAAGTAAAGTTTATGATGTAAGGCGGGTGGTGTCGGTAGAGATGCTGCAGGTGGCTACCTGGGTAATGTGGGGGTTTAGCGGGGCTGCTACCTATCTGCTGCGCATCGTAACAGTTGCTTAAAATTCCGCGACCTGCAGCACCTCGGGAGCTTGGCCCGTGCTTTGCGTGCCAACGGCGGGTTGCACGCTAGTAAACCCCTGCTCCTCCTCCCTTTGCCAATTATGAGATATGGGAGCACGTGGGGAGGAACTTGGTATGCAAAGGATGGGAGTGCAAGTTGTCAAAATTCAACCCGTGATCGATTTGCAAGATGTCAAATTGAGAAATAGGAAAGGCCATACAATACAACTTCGAAGGCCAAACATACATACTTACGATATATTGCAGTATCGTGCTCGCAAGTATTATCCCCAGAAATCTTATAGTTCCGCTTGATACAAGAAAGATGAATAAAATATTCCGTTAGATCACGGGAACTTGTCGACCTTGCAATTTGATATTTTAATAATTACCTAGGTACAGACAGTAACCACCCCGGGCTGTTCTTATCTTCTCAAGGCTCATCTGATTATCAAATGCGGCCTGCCTTGGGGAATAGCCTTTTGTATACATAAGTTTACCATTCTATATGATAGGTTGGCTCTCTATATCCTATCTTATACTCTGCCCAGTTAGTCTTCAAAAGGTGTCAAGGCCTTAGGCCTAGGTAGGTGTTATGGTTGAAGTTGATCGATATTCCTTGTCTCCCGTAACCTTTAGTAATTGCGACTTCGGTTTGGTTTGGTTTGGTTTGACTGGAGCAAACCATTTAAGGATCTTCTGAGAAAAGTCGGGGCCAGCTTGGATGGAGTCGGTAGGAGGTGGGGGCCGTTCTTGATTGGTTGGCCAATGAGTTAAGGCACGCCCGCGCCCACACGCGGCTAGCTTACTAGCGACCAGGGAAGTCGCGATTTCTCTCCCCTGCTCGCTGGGAAAACCGCTCCATACGCGTCTCTCTCGACACACTGCACTGTCAAGCTCCAATCTGGCTGGGCAGTGTTGACTGAAGTGACAGGACTGGACTGCCTCCCTGCCTGCAACTGCACCTGCACCTACACATGCGCCTGCGCCTGCATCTGCATCCGCAGACAGAGAGCGCCTCACGTCTAAACACAGACACGCACATACGCACAGATAGACGCCCGCTCCATGTCACGGCCATGATGGTGATGGAGTCGCACCGTCTGTAGGATAGCCGGCGTCGAGCGAGTGAACTGCGCATAGATACCCATCGCTCAAGACACGCACATCCATCCATCCATCTATCCTTCACCTTCTCTATCAGTCTCTCAGCCGGTCATCTCAAACGCCATCCATCACACTTCACTTACTGGGCACCTCTTCTTTTGACAAGAGCCTTCTTTTCTTGTCTAACACGTCCAGGGCTTCGCACCCCTCAAATCGCGTGCATCATCCCGCGCTCTGTCATCAGGCCCGCAGATCGCGCATGAGACCTGCTGCCCCGGACTCATCAACTTTGACGGCCTCTGGCTGCAACATGCTGTGTTCAGCTTTGCAACAGCTGCCAATTACTACCCTTCGCCGTTGCTCAATCCTCACGTGTCTTCACTGACGACGCTGCTGGCCCCTCTATGCTTTCTGGCTCTCATGTCTTCCTCCAACTATGACCAGCATAAATCGGCGTCAGCGCAACCTTCCCTTCCTCCACCGGAACTGGATCACTGCTGTCAATCACTGGCAAGCCATGGGGAACAAACTTTCCCGGTCCAGCGATGCCAGCGACAAATTTGGCGACAGAGACGATGACCACTATTCACGTCCCGCAAAGCGTCGCCGCTACGAGGAGAACTCTCCGGACTCGGGCCTTGGTCCAGACATCAATGGCTTGCTCCTACCCGAGGAGCCCGAGGAGCTCCAGAGGTCCTTGCGCATCGAGGTTCTCAAGATTCTTCATAAGGAATCATCTCGCGTAAGATTTAACGGCATCTTTAACGGTATCGCTGCGCCTGCCGTCAAAGACGTCGCCAACACAAGAGCCCGTTGCCGCATTACTATCAGCTACCAACGGAATGGCGAATCTCACATCTTGCATTGTGACAGCCAGATCTGCACTATCAAGACCTTTAAGAACCCAGTTGGGCCCTCGCGCATGGCCAGGGTCCAATTACGGCCGTTTCACGTCCCGGAAGATAAGATTTTGATCGAGAGGGATGATGATTCGGTATTTGACTTGGCCGACTCGTATGAAGTGATGGTGGAACTCGAGTCTGCAGGAGATCCGAATTGGCCGCCACTGAATCTGATCACAGCAGATCACGACGAGGACATCTTCCTCGGTCGATTTTCTGAGCCTCGGCATTGGGTATTGAGAACACACGTCTCGGATCTGTTTAGTCGTCACTGTGCATCAAGTACGCTTATGCTGAGCAAGGCGCCTCTCAGCGATCTGCCGACCGATTACGTGGTAGAGTCTGATGTCAGGTGGATCACTGGCTTTTCTCAGAATGTCAAGAAACTGGCCAAGGATGTCTTGCCCTCTATCACAGTCTTTGATCCCAACGAAGAGTCGTTCCCAGATCTTCTTGGCCAGCTGAACGGGCAACACATAACCGAACACCTAATGAATGGCTATGCCAATGGCACGCCAGAAGATATGGACGATGAATTAGAAGGCGAAACTACTCCAAGCAGGTCTCTTCGTCACAGGGAAAATAAGAATTACAATCTCAAGGTTCTAAGCCAGAAATCACAAGGCAAAGAACCTCGAAAAAGACGCAAGCTGGACAAGTTGACCGATGCCCGGATCTTCTACCATTTACCGGCAGAAGTCATCTCTGTCAATGGCTTCTCATGCTGTATTTGCCAGGCTCCAAATCAGTCACTACCTCAGCTCAGGATACATGTGCTTAGCCATCCTGAGTACAACTTCGCGTTTGACTTCAAACCTGCTAGAGGTGGCTGCCAGATTGTCATTTCACATCGAGAGGATGTCCATGGCTCTCCAATTCGTCCGCAGGTGTATCAGCTCGGGCGACCACTCAAAGCACTTGACTTGGAAAAGCTTTTAGATGGTGATGACTCTTGGATCACGTCTAGATATGGACCCGACAATGATATATCACCGCAATTTGCAACAATCAAGGTGCCACAGGTCAGTATCTTATCCATACAACTCCTGTGTTGGGCAGTCGTTGCTAATGTAATCACAGAAGCTTACTAGTCGTCGCAAGGACAAGAAAGTCGTCGTGCCTAATACCAAACAACCCTTGTTCGACCCCTTGAGCAAGGCAATCCTGCAACCCGGCACTGAGATCCAGCAACCAGTCGCAGATGATACATGGTTAATCCAGAAACATCGGGATACAGTACAAGACTTCTTTGATGTAGACGAGGCAGAGAAAGAGTACATCAAAGAATGGGATGCTTACCTCATCAAGAAACAAATCAACTCTGATGCATTCCTTCCACGGGCCTTTTTGGCTTTTGTTAAGGAGAAAGCGGCATGGCTGGTGGCTTCGCAGGCTCGTGTTGAGGAGTTTGGAAAACATCTCTCAGTCCTAGTTGGCAGAGGCTCACTTGACGATCAGACCATCAATGACGCGATTGCTCGTATCGCTGAGGCTAGGACACAAAAGGTGCCCCAAGCGCTGCCCAAGGAGTCTCCCAAATCGTCACAGTATAGAAGCTCCAAGGGTTGCACCGTTTGTGGACGCCCAGTCCGGGGACCAACGTTGCTACTTTGTGGGAATAAGGTAAGATATACGATCATGCACCTCGTCAATTCTAGCTGCTTACTGATGCGTTCTTAGAATTGTAAGAAACCCTTGTATCATGATGATTGCATTAGGGAAACGGCGTTGATGCCTGTGGATAAGCCCCACTGGCGCTGTAATGATTGCCACCTACATTAAAAGGAAAGGCATGTATAGATAGCAGAGGTGACACGCGGTCGCGTGCGCTCTTAAGGGATGAGCAGATGAGAAGAAAAACTATATGCCCCACAACCACAGTGTTGGTTGTGAGGTTTATTGCTGCTGGGAATTATTGGAAAGGCACGGCGCATATCAAACGGCCTCTAAGCTAGGACATAGTCACAAGAGGATAAGCCGTGACTAAGCTTAGTTCATCATCAGGAGCAAACCAAAATCTACTTTAACAAAACAATTCCAAACCTTCTAAACATAAATAGTCAGCGCTGCTTTCTCACTACAGACAATAGCTCTAATCGATTACTTGATTCTTACAGAGCCGCAACTCTTTAGATAAAGACAGTAGTTTACACAGTAAGTATTATGACTGTTGTCTTTTCGGCCACTTCAACCTGTGTAACATAGTTGAATACTCTCAAACGAGTCTTCAGTCTGATAACCGCTGAACTGTCGACCGGAAGCGTATATGCCACTGACATTCTAAAGGCCACACAGCCTTCAAGATAATTTGTTGCACACGCAACTGTGAGTAGGAGAAGGACGGCTTCTTGTACAAACAAAGACATGAAGAAGCGTTAGGAGAACGAAGCAATTGTTGGTTAATGACTTCTATCTCTCCCGATTGCCTGGCAATAATTACACATGTAACTCCTGACCTATCTAGCCATTCATCTTCAAATTAATACAAGCAAGAATGAGGCAAGTCGCAAGATGGCGAAGTCTCTGGGAACTAACGACTAAGATCAACCATTAAAACCGATACTTGCTCTCTTTCTTCTTCTCGCCCTTGCGCTCCTCGTCACGCTTTACTCTCTTGCGGCTCTCTTGTGCAATCATCTCGCTCAGGTCGTCATCATACTGCCATTTTGCTCCAACACCATCCTCTCGCCGGCCCTCATCAAACTTGCGACGCAGCTCGTCTTTGCTGATACCGTCATGGCTAGCAAGTGCTTCCGGATCAAGGGCGACATCCACGTCGCCTGGCTTCTTCCGTTTTCGACTTTCGTCGTCCTGACCAAGAATAGGCACGCTGCCTTTGCTCTTGGACAAATCGTACACCCTGTCACTTCCAAAAAAGCCCTCAGCCCGGGCTTGACGCTCAGGAATAACCGTGTAAGCTGAACGTGGTCCTGCAATGCTCTCTTCTGTTTCATAGCCACGGCGCTGTTTCCGGAGGTCGAACTCTCCAGCCATGCTGCTCTCTACACCTGGACCATGGCTGGGGTAGTCGGTCGGTACAGAGCTGACATAACCTCCAGGGGTCTCCAGACCACTAGGAGTCTGCAGGCCGCCAGGAACATCGGCGTCCTCGTCCTCCTCTTCTTCGTCCTCGTCCTCGTCTTCCTCCTCCTCCTCGGATTCTTCTTCAGGAGGCTGCAGCTCTCCCCATAGTGTCCTATCAACGCGCTCGACTTCAGGGGCTTGCATTCCTACCGCCTGATTGGGTGCCCCGGGACCGCCGGACACAACACCGAAAATGTCTCCACCATAGATAGGTCGGTTGTACTCATCCACAGGTGGTTTGCCCCACTGACCGGGACCGAAACCCCATGACGCACCAGCAGGGAGAGGTGCATTGAGTCCGGGAACTTTAAGAGTCGGGTATGAGGGTGGAGGGCCAACGCGTTGCTGCTGGAGAAGCCAAGGAGGAGGGAAACCAGGTTGCATACCGAGGGCTTCCCGTAGTGAATCGCTGATCTCACCAGGTTTGAAATATCTATAATCGGCCTCCCATTCCTTGCCTTCGTGGTAAACATCCCCGAAGCGCGTGAGATCTGGCTTGGTCTGGAAGCGGAAGAAGGCATCGTATAGTCTCTGATAATCGATATCAAGTTTTCCCATCTTGGGCTGCACTCGCTCTCGTTGCTTCTGCTTGAGCGTTTGCTCCGCCTGCTTCTCGAGCACAGCATCCCGCATTTCGGTGATTCCGGTCTCGGCGATGAACTTTGGTAGCCTGAAGGGAGGCTTTTCGATTCCTCTCTTGCTCGAGAGATATTCTCTCTTGAGAGACCAATGTGTAGGAACGGGCACGATATTCCTCTGTGCCTTGATTTGAACAAGCAATCGCGGATCTGTAGAGGAGACGTCATGCCATTCGACAACCTCGGGGTTTCTAACCAAAGCCTTCAGCTCGGCGATAGACAGCTTATTTAACTTCTTGCGCTTCTTTTTGGAGAGTTTTGTCTGTGCCGCCTCGTCGTCTTCATCTGGGATCTCGTCATCCTGGTCAAAGAAGACCTCGCCCTTGTTTCCAGCATTGGCCTCTCTTGTGATCTCGTCATCTTCCAAGCTTGGCCCAAACTTCCTCAGGATATCTTTGTAGACGGCATATGCAGGATCGTCGTCTTCGAACTTGATGTCGATAGGGCCATCGACAGGGGCTGATTCTGCGATATCAGGATCTTGCTTAACCTCGAGATCTGAGGCTTTGGTAGAGGCGCCATCTATCGCAGAGTCGTCTGTTGTCTTGTTCTGTGCTCCGCCATCGCTTGACTGCAGAAGGTTAGCTGGATTTTCCAACGTAGATATATCAAGCATGCAACGAACCTCAACCTGCGCCTTCTTCTGCTCCTTCTTCTTGGCCCGTCGCATCTGGTTTTTGGTCATCTTTGGGGCCGCCATCTTGCCGAGATAGAAGGCTGCCTGCCAGCTCTAAAGAGCTCGCTGGTGATCGTATTAGTAGTGGTCTCTCTGATAAGATGAATGCCGAACTTCCGCAGTCATCAAAGTGTTCCAAATACGACAAACTGCTTAAGCCGGGGTAGAATGGTTATCGAGGTCGTGTGCTTGCGATGCGATGGGGCGCGCAACAAGCCTGGTGCTTTCTTTACCTTACTTTTCTGAGGTGTGGATGTGTGGCTGGTGCAAATCTGCTAGCCCATCCCACGGGTGCTAAGAATACTTGCACGCCTAAGTTAGTACGGTACCTAGGTAGATGTGGCGGTGGTCACTTTGGTCCCGTCCAGTAAGCGTCCAGCACATGCAGGCATGCGTAACTGAGTGCTAGACTAAATAATTCGGCGATCAAGTCACCCAGGACAAGGAAACGAATGCCTTTAGCATCTCCACGATCTGAAAGTCTCCCTGATCCATTCTGTGATCCAATGCAGCTCTCCAGGCCATCTCCAGCTTGATGCAACGGACTCGAAAGGAGGCAATGATCAGGTAAACTGCACTCCAGTTCATCTGTCAATTGACTCTGTACACTCGTTTGACCCTCCTCTCCCTCCCCGCCTCCCTAGACATTTCACGACGCGATGCCTCACTCAACCCGATCCCGCTCGAACTCAAGAGCCCCGTCTCAAAACCGGACTTCGAACCTCAGAAGCATCAACGAGGGAAATGGCGAGATCAGTGAAGGGACAGAGAAATTCCCCGACTTTGACACAAGTTCCATGGGTAGCGTAGTGCGGTCGCAAAGTCCGCGTAAGCCCAATGGGTACACAAATGGTTATGCCCCTGCCGGCGATCGCTGGCTTCCACGAAGAGAATCTCAGTCGCGAGGCGTTAGATGGGGTGCCCCAGGTGCCTCGGGCCCTGCCCATGGCCATAGCCGCCAGAAGAGTATCAGTGATGCATTTCACAATATTCGAGCTCGCGGTGGCAGTATGAGCCACAATGCGCATGAGATAGCAGACGCTCTAAGGGCGCCTGTCTCAGCTAAACTGATAGTATGCATTACTTGACCGTCGTCTAGACAATTCAAACGTATATGCTGACCTCTGTCTTCTCATAGGTTCTCTGCGTGATGTGGTATGCCTCGTCTGCTTTGACCAACACCTCTTCAAAGTCCATTCTCATGGCGTTCGACAAACCCGCAACACTCACGCTCGTACAATTCGCTTTCGTATCGACCTTCTGCCTGCTGTTTTCTTGGCTGGCTGCTACTTTTCCGAGGCTGAGAACGACCGTCCCAGCGCTAAAGCATGGCATTCGGTATCCGACTATGGAAGTAATCCGACCAACACTACCTCTAGCGGCGTTCCAGATCGTAGGGCATCTGCTGAGCTCCAGCGCGACATCAAAAATTCCGGTATCTCTGGTTCACACAATCAAAGGACTGTCTCCGCTATTCACAGTCTTCGCCTACCGTTTCATATTTGATATCAAATACCCTTCAGCAACATATTTGTCACTGGTGCCTCTGACAATGGGTGTCATGCTTGCTTGCTCTGGAAACCACTCCTTTGGGGGCGAGCTGCTTGGAATATTCTATGCTTTCTTGGCGACAATCATCTTTGTCACCCAAAATATTTTCTCGAAGCGACTATTTAACGAAGCTGCCAGAGCAGAGGCTGAAGGCATGACGGCGCAGTCCCGCAAGCTAGACAAGCTCAACTTACTTTGCTACTCATCTGGTCTTGCTTTTCTAGCGACAGCGCCGATCTGGTTCTGGAGTGAAGGCATTGGTATCTTGGGGGACTTCCTGTATGATGGATCTGTGGATCTGGAACAACACCCCGAGTCATTTGGACACGGCAGATTGTTCCTTGAATTTGTCTTCAATGGCATATTCCACTTTGGGCAAAACATCATGGCATTCGTGCTCCTGTCCCTCGTTTCGCCAGTCACTTACTCAGTGGCGAGTCTCATCAAAAGAGTCTTTGTTATAGTCGTCGCGATTCTGTGGTTTCGCAACCCCACGACAAACATCCAGGCAGTTGGTATTGCCCTGACATTTTTCGGCTTGTACCTTTATGATCGGAGCAGTGAGAGCAACAAGGCTGATCGCCGAGCACGAATGATGACGGAAACGAAGAAGTCGGAACCCCTTCTGCCGCTCAATACCGCTGGTGCAGCGCTTTCAAGTCAGAACGCGCCGGTGTTTGAGAGCCCTCAGTCGGTCGGATCCGCATTGCAAGCCTACGCTTCGTATCCTAATGGCGATGATATTAAGAAATCAGATGACGCCAAGGTTGGACGAACCAGAGGGTCAAGCAATGCTACATCCTGGCTGCCACCAGGAACTCGACAAGAAGACACTTGGAGGTCTGGAGATAAGGTCGCCGGGGTGTCTTGATTATTCGAAATTATTCGCCTTACGAAACCGAATGGAGCTTCCAGCCTCGGCTTTCCTTGTCGAGAGCTTGTAAAGCGTGGTAGATGAATCTACTTATGTTGTTTGGGCAAATTTGTATGCATTATGTTCATGAATATCCACGTCGGTGATTACCGGCAAAGCAGCACTGGACCTCCGGTACTTGTGCACATAGAGTTGGGATAGGGCATGAAGGACACATGGATCGGCGTTTGGCTACGACTGGCCTCAATTCGAAAGCAAATTCGGCCACTTGGGCAATTGATGTTGACGAGATTTATATTCGATATAAGATAGAACACATTAGATATCACTGAGATGTGAAAAGCAAATGGAGCATGAGTCTTCCGTACCTGGCAGGGCTCGAGTTCTACTGCTCAAGTGACTGAACGTTTCACAGTAGTAATATCTCAGCTTCACACGTGCTATGAGTTGCAATGTGGCTGAACGGATAGGTAAAGAATGTATCGAGTCCTCACTACGGCAAGTCAAGACCACCATGAGGTTCGCTGGTGTGGGCAGGTCTAGCTAGAACGGCACCGGTATTCTCATTTGGGAGCTCCGGCCGACAGGAAAGGCTTTCTTATGACGGGTTCATTTCGCGGACATACCATCTAACAAAATTGTGCTACAACCCAATTCTTTGGGCAAGAAACATTCACGGCTTCGATACCATTGATGGGGATCTAAAAGAAGGCTCATCCACTTTACTATGTCTCAAGCGTTTTGGGGAGTCAATTCTCATGAAATGGAAGCTTTGACAGGTTACGGACGGTTGCTTTCTTAATGTCGGTTGTAGCCCAAATTTCTGGGATTACCCTCCGCGCGAGGTGATCCACTTTTTCACCTTGTTGCGGTAAATATCCTCCAATCAAGTGCATCACGTGACACAACTAACCGAGCTTTCCCGGCGACAACTTCTTTCAACCTTTTGAAGTAAAAGTTCCTTCCTCATACCCCAACTCGTCTTCCTCCCTCCTCCCACCGCCATCAGAAGTCGTTCTTTCTCATCGTTCACGATGTTCAAGAGGTCAGTAGCTGCTTGTTGATATGCGAATTGGACATCCTCGCCGCCAATTGCGATGAATTGAGCTGACCGAAGTTTTCTGCAGCGGCATTTCTCGTACCTTTGCGAGAGCAGCTGCTCGCCCATCCTTCGTCGCCGCGGCTCCCCGTCGCGCCATCCGACCGGCGGCCCTCAGATTCCCTCTCGGCAGCCGATTTGCCAGCACTGCAGGTGTCGGTGATGGCAAGATCTACCAGGTGAGGAACTTTCTGCCGGTGCCGCAAAGTCGCTCAATCTTGGTTCGGGAGCTAACAGCCGCTGTTCTAGGTTATTGGTGCCGTCGTTGACGGTCAGTCACCACCTCATGGAGCTTCCAATAAGCTCGATGTAGCTTCAATGAGCATATGTTGACTTGTTTTGGTAGTAAAATTCGATGGCGCCAAGCTTCCTCCCATTCTCAACGCTCTCGAGACCCAGAACAACGGCCAGAAGCTCGTCCTCGAGGTCGCCGTATGTCAACCTTACCGTCCCCTATCTATCGTACTTCAAGCTAACATTACCCTCCCTATAGCAACATCTCGGTGAGAATGTCGTCCGCTGCATTGCTATGGACGGTGAGTAAATTAGCACACTTCAGCTCCGAGCATCTCGCTGACAACAAGCTAGGTACCGAGGGTCTCGTCCGAGGCGCCAAGGCTGCTGATACCGGTGCTCCCATCACCATTCCCGTTGGCCCTGCCACTCTTGGTCGTATCATGAACGTCACTGGTGACCCGATCGACGAGCGTGGCCCCATCAAGACCGACAAGAGACTACCTATTCACGCCGAGGCTCCCGAGTTCATCGACCAGTCCACCACTGCTGAGATTCTGGTTACTGGTATCAAGGTCGTCGATCTCCTGGCTCCCTACGCCCGTGGTGGAAAGATTGGTCTGTTCGGTGGTGCTGGTGTCGGCAAGACTGTCTTCATTCAGGAGCTGATCAACAACATCGCTAAGGCTCACGGTGGTTACTCCGTGTTCACTGGTGTCGGTGAGCGTACCCGTGAGGGTAACGATCTGTACCACGAAATGCAGGAGACCTCCGTCATTCAGCTTGATGGCGAATCTAAGGTCGCCCTGGTGTTCGGTCAGATGAACGAGCCCCCCGGAGCCCGTGCCCGTGTCGCTCTTACTGGTCTGACCGTCGCCGAGTACTTCCGTGACGAGGAGGGTCAAGACGGTAAGTTGTTGTCGCATCCTCTACATACTCTTTACACTGCTGACTCTCGCTTTAGTGCTTCTCTTCATTGACAACATCTTCCGGTTCACTCAAGCTGGTTCTGAGGTGTCTGCCCTGCTGGGTCGTATCCCCTCTGCCGTCGGTTACCAACCCACTCTCGCCGTCGACATGGGTGGTATGCAAGAGCGTATCACCACCACCAAGAAGGGTTCCATTACTTCCGTCCAGGCCGTCTACGTCCCTGCTGACGATTTGACTGATCCTGCCCCGGCCACCACCTTCGCCCATTTGGACGCCACCACTGTGCTGTCCCGTGGTATTTCTGAGTTGGGTATCTACCCCGCTGTCGACCCTCTCGACTCCAAGTCTCGTATGTTGGACCCCCGTATTGTCGGACAGGAGCACTACGACATTGCCAGCCGCGTACAACAGATTCTTCAGGAGTACAAGTCTCTCCAGGATATCATTGCCATTCTGGGTATGGACGAACTTTCAGAAGCTGATAAGCTTACCGTCGAGCGTGCCCGTAAGATCCAGCGTTTCCTGAGCCAGCCTTTCACTGTCGCCCAGGTTTTCACTGGTATCGAGGGCAAGCTGGTTGACCTGAAGGACACCATCAACTCCTTCAAGGCCATCCTCAACGGTGAGGGTGATGATCTTCCCGAGGGTGCGTTCTACATGGTTGGCGACTTCGCATCGGCACGTGAGAAGGGTGAGAAGATTCTGGCTGAGCTTGAGAAGAGCACTTAAAGGTGTTTGGATCAGGGTTGGTGTTAAAAGTAGCTGCATGGGAGAACGGTGGGCCTGTGTATAGTGAAGAGGAAAGCGCTCGCGGGGAGGTTTCTTAGCTCAATCCCAAGTTCTCCTTTGTGAGCTGTGTATCAAGAAATCAAGCAATTTTTTCCTCTTGTAATCTGTACATTGTCTATCTACTTGAAAACACCCGTGGATCTTGAGAGTCTCGACACTGACTTGGGCCAGTAAACATGATGTTTGTGGCATAACGAATGTGATATGTGAAGGATGCTTGTCCCCGGCTTTTGCGGCAGCTCATACCAATTTCCTTGTGGTTCATATGCATTTCAATCTATAGGAGCTCCTCGATCTTCAAGCACTGCCCAATCGGAGCGTAACAAGGAGCGAACAGTAGTTTGATGTTTATCCAATGTGCTCTTTAGCCTGTTAGAGCTCTTTCGAGGTTTCCAGACTGCCCATTCTCGCACCGGCAATCGAGTGTACATCAGTTGTTATATTAACCCACGTTATTCTGCTTCCGAGCCGGCGACAGCTCTCATCATGCGGGGAAGCGACGTAGGGTACCGGCTCATTCTTCCCCGTGGTTTCTTTATATCTCCGAGTCTTGGCTGCCGGTGCGAGATTACGATGGCCGACCTCCTCTTGTCCTTCGCGTCGATTCAACACACGTTCAGGCATTATCTTCTTTTACGCAAGGCGGATAAATTTCAAGATGTTGTTGACTCCTGTATTTACAGGTCTCATGGCCTCAGCAGTCATGGGAGCTCAACTAACCAAGGTCAACTACCCTAACAATGCCAATTCAAAGGTGGATATGTAAGCATCTTGAAATAAATGGCCATGTGGAGTGATGAAGCTGAACTTGTGAAGGTACATTTACATTCCTGACAAAGTGGTGTCAAACCCACCCCTTGTCGTAGTCATTCATAGCTGCCAGTCGACCGCACAGAGCTACTCCCAGAACTCGAAGATTCCATGGAAGCAGGGCTCTGACAAGAAGGGCTACATTACGGTCTGGCCAAGTAGCCCACACAGTGGCACCTGCTGGGACGTGTCCAGCAAAGCTTCCCTGACACACAACGGGGGCGGTGATTCCCAGGCAATCGCCAACATGATCACCTATGCTATCCAGCAGTACAAAGTCGATGCAACGAAGGTTTTCGTGACCGGTGGCAGCTCAGGGGCCATGATGAGCAACGTCCTTGCAGCGACGTACCCGGATCTCATCCAAGCTGTGTCTCTATACAGCGGCGTTGCGGCTGGCTGCTTCGTCTCTTCCTCGGGAGGCGTTGATCAGTGGAACAACACGTGCTCCGGAGGGCAGTCCAAGGCAGCGCCGGAGGCTTGGGGTAATGTGGTCCGCAATATGTATCCTGGCTACAATGGAACCCGGCCCAGGATGCAGATATGGCACGGGAGCGCGGACAGCACGCTGGCGCCGCAAAATTACCAGGAGGAAATCAAGCAGTGGACCAATGTCTTCGGTGTTAGCCAAACTCCAACCTCATCCGTGAAGAACTACCCACAGGCCAACTATCAGACGGACAACTATGGTCCCGATGTCCAGGGCATATATGCCACTGGAGTCGGCCATTCAGTCCCGGCCAACTTGACGGCAAGCGAGCAGTGGTTTGGACTTTGAGGCCGGTGACACTGTGACACGGGACTTTGTCAGCTTCTGGCGGATATGTGACAAAATGAGGCAACAACATTCTCATCCAAGAATCGTAAATATGTGACGGGGTATCTGGCTTGTATATAGATAGAACCGAACATCTCCAGACTCAAATATAGGTCATTGAGATAATAAATGCTTACCTGTATGGCGCCGTTCGCGATTGTCATGCATGTTCTAGTTCGACTCTGAAAAGTTTGCCTGAAGGCGAACCAGCCTAGACCATTAAAAGCGTTCTTCAAGCCCGTCTTGAGGTTTTACGTCTTCACATCCATATCTATTCGTGTCTGGAAGACGGACGATGTCAGCATTCCAATGAGCTGGCTGCCTTGCTGTCAGTCGCGTAACCCATCTTTGGCCGGGTGGTGCATCTGAGCGCCAATCGACCTCGCGGCCAGCATCATCTACCATGGACAGAGTTCTGGTTTCGTGATCGCGCTCTATTTTCCACTCTTCAATCTTTGTTGGCTCCCAATTGTCATTCTCCATGATCAGCTTAGCAAGGTCCGCTTTGTTGTCAACGGACAGAGCCATTATTGGAACTCGTAAGAGAGGTTGCCACTCCTCACCAAGAATATCGTAGATGCTGATAACTTCGCGGTCGCTGATATTTCGCATCCACCAAACTCCGTTCCTCATCAATCGGACAAAGGTCAGGTAGTAGGCGAGTATCACTAGAGTACGGGGACGCTTCTGTCTTGCAAGCTCCACGAACTCTTTTGGTAGGAATGTGAAGAAGACTATGATGCGCAAATCTAGAATAGGGCTGAAACCTTTTGACAGCTCGAAGTAGAGAGAGCCAAGGTATTTGAGGGTGTCGTAGTACGTTTGAACATGAGGGAAGTCAGGATCGCCGTCCTTGATCGACGTAACCATGAAGAGGAGATTATTGGGTATATTGAGAGCCGACTGATCGAGATCAATGGGAGGCCTGTGGAAGAGAACTGCCATCCCGGATTTGAACATTGCTTCTGGTGTGATGAGATCGATTATGAGTCCGATACCTCGCCAGACTATCATCCAATCAATGATGTAGAGTTTCTTGGCGTCGGGCTCGCGAAATGTCTGGGATGACAGGGCACAGAGCAGCAGGGAACAGGCGAGCAGAGCAGGATAGTCGTCTGGACTGCCCTTTTCAATAGCTTTCCGATAGCCTTCAAAAGCTCTTGCCCGGTAGGCTAGGGCTCTAGAAGCAGGAATACTTTGGTCATAGTATTGGAGGTGAAGCGCGGACAGGCCGAGAAGGCAATCCATCAGGAATGGGCTTTGAAAGGCATGCCGGACGACCTGGACTTTGAGTATGTCATCTATGACAGGTTCTCGTCCAGCCTCAAGAGCGAAGGAGCCAAAAGTCTCGGTGGTATAGAACCACAAGAGTCTCATGTCAATGTCGTCGGAACCCGGAGACTTGAATAGGGGCTCGCCCACCACCACGATCCCCGCACCCTCCTCATCTGAGCTCGTGGATGGCGAGGGGCGGCTTGAGAGATCCAAAGCGTTGCTCTCGGTAGAATGATGGGACGGAGCAGGAGACGAAGGAGGCGCTGGATATCTGCACTCCTCTTTGCGCAAGGTGCATGCGCGGCAAGACGGTCTGGCCTCGTCGCACTTGACTTTGCGGGTCTTGCAGTTTTTACATCCGAGCCGCGACTTTCGGTGTGGTCTCTTGGAATGATAAGGCTTGTCCGACGGCGGCGTTGTTGGCTCGCCATGCCTCTCTTCTTCAACAAGTCTCATGGTGGGCAGGGCAAGGCTATTCTGTGTGACTGAGTAGCCCGACCCCTCATGAATGCGACAGTTGAGGAGAACGATTTCTTGGTGGACGCTATCTGCTGACCACCTAATTACGGCGCAGGGCTGGCGTTTGACTGCGATGACTTATTAGGACGATCATACATCCCGGCAAATCGATATCGACAGTGGCGGTAAGTGATGGAAGCTGTTTTGAAGGTTGAATGATAAACGCAAGGCAATGCGCTTGATGTTCCTTTGAGATTGAGATAGGTACCTAGTAGTGCAGACAGGCTAGTCAGGAGGATTCCATTCGCTGACGCTGACTACGAACGGCACCAACACAACTGCGCCGTTGGAGTGTGGTAGCACGAGTCAAGTCAAGTTAAGGTCAGGTAGCGCATGCACCTCAACCCAACTGACTTTAGTCTTCTGGTCAACGTACCGGTAGTAGGTAAGGGAGTTTAGGATTCGAAACTCTCTTGAAGGGATAAAAAACCACCAGCCAAGCTACTTAGTCAATAGACCGCACAGGTCAGACAAGAAGAGAGGGAAAGATGCCTGATACTGATAATAAGGCAGGTTGATGCGAGAAAGATAGAGACCCTGATGGTGACGAATCCCCGGGTCTGGTGGTGACGCTGACAATCCAGAAGAGAAGCGCTAAAAGTGTCACTGAGTGACTGCCTGCCAGTCAAGTCAAAGAGAAGCCCGGGGGCTTCTGGGCAAAATCCTTCCGATGCTTTCCCGGACCATACTACGGTACGTGATTCCCTACCTTCCGAGGTACTAAAGGGATGTCTGGCTGCCTACTGTATTTACTCTTCAGGACCCCTTAGCACTGGCTACAGGCTTGCTCGCCGGTAATTAAGAAAACGACAAGCAGCTTAGCGTCTTCCGTTTCAATCAGCCTATTATCAGACGGAATTTAAGTAGGTACCAAGCGTATCGCAGACTACATTTCGGCTGCCCATGGGTCCATTGTTAAATAAGGTAAAGGAACGTGGGGGCGGGAGGCGACCCGTGGGAGCGGCATAGCCATCGTTCTGGAGGGCTAGCAGCATCTTAGATAAGCACCCAGGTGTCTTTACAGCGGGCACAGCGCATCCAAACGCGTCTTGCAGTACGTAGGGACCGCGTACGCGCTAAGATATCCTCATTATCAATGAGGTAGGTATCCAGGAGTTGACTTCTTCGGACATCCATATCCTCTTCCTGGCCTAACATAACGCACCACGGGAGGATGGCTTCCATGTATCAACTTCCTGACGAGCTTCTGCTGTCCGTTCTCACGCAACAGTTTCCCTGTCGAGAGCAGCAGATCCGAGCTCTGGCAACTTTGTTAGATGTGAGCAGCACCATCTCCAGCCTTTGACACAGCAGACAACTCACTCCTCCTGAAGCGAAATTCAGCACCATGCCGCAATCTTGTGCTTTACGGCACGGAAGCCACCGGAAAGACCGCCGTCGTTTCAGCGCTACTTGAGCACCTGGAAAGAGCTCAGGATGAGGATCAGCGCGAGGCGCCGGTCAAGCATGCTCTCGTCAACTCGGTAGAGTGCATTACTGCGCGCCATCTTTTCGAGAGGACCATCGGCAAGATTGCGAATGCTCTAGAATGGCAAAACCCACCCGGCCGTTGCGAGAATCTATCTCAATTGACATACGAGCTATCGAAGATGCTAAAGTATGCACCGAGACCTGACGACTGGCGCTTCGTGCTCGTTTTCGATGCCATTGATCGCCAGAGAGAGGCTCCCTCGACGCTGCTTCCAGCTCTTGCACGGCTATCAGAGATAGTGTGTCATACACTCAGCTCCTAAATACCATGTATGATGCTGACTTGCTGTGTCTTTTAGATCCCTTGTCTCACTACCGTTTTCATCGTAACATCACCGCCGCCAAACTTTCTGCGGACATCCTTCGTTCCTCACATCCACTTCCCCAACTATACCAATGCCGAGTTCGTAAAGATCCTCTCAACAACACCTCCCGAGGCTATACTGGTTGGTGGAGAGCAGGAGACGGCGGAGCTATGGGCGCGCTTCTGTAGTGCAGTCCATGATTCTCTCACGAAAGCAGCTTCTCGGACTCTGCCCGCTTTTCAGCACGCTTGCCATGCGCTCTGGCCCCGATTCATAGCGCCTATAAAAGCCGGCACACACACGGCGCGCGAGTTCTCGAAGTTGCTAGTCGCCTCGCGGGTCCACTTTCAGGACGAGGGTCTGCTCGATCCTGGTGTCATTGCGACCCGACCCAAGTCTGGTCCAAATATGGCGAATGGCGCTTCTCGAAACGACCAGAAAGCACTGGCGAAGAGCACTGGAGCCAATTTGTCCATACTTTTACCTACTGTTGCACGAATGCTTCTTCTGTCTGCCTACCTTGCCTCACACAATGCGGCGCGACACGATCTGACGCTTTTCTCGACATATCACCATGGAAAGCGAAAGCGGCGGGGCGGTGGCCTCTCGGTTGCTGGAGCAGGAACAGGGCGGATGGGTCCACGCAGCAAGCACCGCAAGATCGCCAGAAAGCTTCTGGGCCCTCATGCTTTCGTCATGGAGCGCATGATGGCTGTCTTCACGGCGGTGCGGACCGAGTGGGGCTTGACTGCTGCCACGGCTAACGGCATGGATGCGGACGTGGGTATGGCTATAGCTACCCTCTCGAGTCTCCGGCTGCTCGTCCGCGTTGGAGGAGGCGGAGACCCCATGGATCGGGGAGGTAAGTGGAGAGTCAATGTTGGATGGGAGGTGGTCAGGGGCCTGGGCAGGAGTATCGGCGTGGAAGTCGAAGAGTGGCTGATCGGCTGATGGACCGCTCACATTACTCGGTCCTTTTTGACGCTCTGTTTAGATCACCATCCAAGTTCTGAGTTTATAACGGCTCTTAGTTAGGGACGAAAAGGACATGGTGATGGGGATATTAAAATGCTACGTCAATTGTGTTTACCAGGCATCAGTCTACCCGTCATCCAGTCTATGGAAACCAACAATTCGTCTCAGATCATTCTTTTGTCGGAGGAAATAACCTATCAGTAGCTGATCTCAGCTCTCAACTCATGAGCCCCCAGCGTCTGCCTACTCCAGACCCAGGCCAAAAGGAGTCAACCAGCCAAACAGACCTTTTCCTGCTCTCAACCTAAGACAATGTAGATTCCAGAGCCAATATCTGAGAGGATAATTAGTATTAAGTATGCGGGTTCTTGATCGGGTTGCTCACCATTGCTGTCCGCGATGGGATGTACACATGAGTGCAATTGGCTCTATTGTTCCAGGGCAATGCCTCCGTGAAGAAGCGAGTGTTCTCATCAATTGAGTTGAATCCTCCCACTTCCTTGCCATCTGTGCTGAGAACGATTCTATAGGTTCCAGGGACCTCAATGCCAATACGGTAGTCGGTGAAGCTGGACGAAGGATGGAAGTTGAAGATAAACACTACACCACCACGCTCAAACACGATGACCTTATCACCTTCGTGTTTCAATGAAATGTACGCTTGTGATGCGTGCAGCCAGCCATATTTGGCCTCGCATTGATTCATCAGCCGGTCGAAGTGGTCGAGGTACTGGTATCTCAAAAGATGATCATCGGTCAGGTTCAACTGACGTCTCGCATACCAGAAGGAGTTATTGTTGCCTTCTCGGGGGAAGTCGAGCCACTCAGGATGACCAAACTCATTTCCTTCGAAGTTAAGATAGCCCTCGCCACCTAGGCTATGTGTGAGAAGGCGAATCATCTTGTGCAGAGCCATGCCCCGAGCAATAGTTGGGGTAAGTGGTGTCAAGTTAGACATGTTAGTATACATCTCTGCATCACAGAGATGCATCATGAGCGTCTTGTCACCGACAAGCCTATGCTAGTCTCAGTATATGCGCAATGATAGGGAAAAGTATTCACTTACGCTTGATCATGACTCTCACAGTACGCAATCGTCTTTTCACCGTGACGTCTGTTCGTCAGGGTGAAGCATATGTTTCCGATATCCCACTCCTCGTCCTTCTTTTCTTTGAGAATCTTGATCCACATGTCAGGAACTGCCATGGCCAATCTGTAGTCGAATCCAACTCCTCCAAGAGAGAGTGGCAGGCACAGAGCGGGCATTCCTGACACGTCTTCAGCTACCGTGATGCAGTCAGGGTAGACTTGATGCAGAAACTCGTTGGCCAGCATCAGATATACTACGGCCTCCTCGTCTACATCGGCTCCGAAATACTCATGGTAGCCTCCTGAGAATCCCCTAAAGATCTGTCAGCAAGCATCGGAAGCAGAAAGTCCAAATCCAACATACGTTCCAATTCCGTGATGTAGATATAGCATACTCGTAACACCGTCAAAGCGGAAACCATCGAAGCCATACTCATCCATCCAGAAGCGGAGGTTACTGAGAAGGAATCTCAAGACTTCATGATGTCCGTAATTAAATAGTCTGCTGTCCCACAGCTCATGTCGACCTCTGGCGCCCGCGTGAAAGTACTGGTGGTCGGTACCATCAAATTCGTTCAAACCGTCCAGGACATTCTTGGATGCGTGGCTGTGAACGACATCCAGTAGGACGACTATGCCCATACTGTGAGCTGTATCCACAAGCTCTTTGAGATCTTCTGGTGGACCATAGCGGCTGCTTGCAGCAAAGAAATTGTTGACCTGATATCCGAAGCTCGCATAATAAGCATGTTCCATGACTGCCATGAGCTGGATGACATTGTAACCAAGGCTCTTGATTCGCGGGAGCATATTCTTCGTGAATTCCTTGTATGTCGCGACCCTCAGCTCAGGAGAGGAAATACCAACGTGGGCTTCGTAAACTCGAGCGCTCAAAGGCTTCTTGGGCCGCGAATGTTTAAACTCGTACTTCTCTCCGGGTGGCGGATTCCAAAATCGGGCATCATACGCGGGCGAGACAGAGAGATCCTGCGTTACATACTTGATCCAAGCAGGCAAACGATCGATTCTCTCTCCACTGGGCAGAACCAGAGATATCTGGAAACAAAATTAGCGATTGGGGATATAATTTGCGAAATGCTGTAAAACCCGCCTTGATCTTGGAGTTGTGAGGTATTGCCGGCTGCCCATTAACCTTAGGAGGCACGATAATTTCGAAGACACCAAAGTCGCCTTTCTTCATAGGGTGCGAGTCGCGGTTCCAGTTATCTAAGGAAGTCAGGAAGGGCCATAACCATGGGCGTGACAGATACATACTGAAGTCTCCAATGAGGAACGCTTGCTGGGCATTTGGTGCCCATTCTCTGTAGACGATTGTGTTGTCCTTACTAACATTGAAGCCAAAAATCTCGGTGCCCTGTCCACGGAAAAATCAGTATTGCGTTGACGAACAGTAGCAAGAGTTTGGGTTGACAGACTCTGGTGAACTTCTCCATGCCACCTTCTGTGTCGTTAATCGTCTTGGTCCATTCCTGCGCCTTGGCGAAACGGCGCTTCAGAGACTCCTTGAAAGGCGATAGCCATGGGTCGAGCTGGACGACGCCTGTCAAAGTATCAGTTTATCTCGTCAAGACGAAAAGTCACTGTATCATCGTCAGGAAGGCTCGTACCTGTGCCATCTGGAGCCACGCCATTCGGTGCGGCGCTGCCGTTCACGCCCAGCGTGTTGGCGGAATTGGCGACGTCGGTCATAGTTTCGGTCCTGTCGCAGTGACGGAGTACGCTCACAACGTAACCGGGGTTGAATGCTGTTGGGAGACCTTTAGAGCTACTTTGACGCGAGATAGCTCTGGTGACAGTAGATACAGCTGCGTAGAGTCAAGTAATTGAGCACCTGTAGTTGTGTCTTGAAGAGGATAGATCAATTAGCTCCCGCTGTGATGTCGTAGGTATGAAGAACGAGAAAATTGGATGTTGACAGCCGTGATACGTGAGGGTGGTCGAGATTTTCCCTGCAATTTTCACAATGATCACAGGCAGATGAGCTGTTGAGACTTTGGAGAGCGAGTGGTGGGAGTATCAGATGCTAATATGACGTCGTGCAGCTGGAATGTGCTATGCCTGATAACGTTTAACGCTGGGATGGTCAACAGATTCAACGAGAATTATCGCTCTAACAACCTGGAACCGACAATCCCAGTGCCGACTATGCAGAGGTGCCCGGGCCTTGCTAGGTTCTGTTAGAAGCTTGTGAAAGCTACCAAGGATGCTACAGTACCTTAGGTATTGGACCGCCAGTTCGCCACAAGCCCAGGAGGACACCAACATTTCGCTGTTATCATGGCCACTCAAGTCTCACTCTGCGTAGCGCAAAACGTCGAAAGATACCTGCCTAGGTAGCTCGAGGATGGGCGAGTTAGCGCATCCAAGGTTGGATGGGGCGACAGTCCATGCTGCTCGGAAGTACCCCTCAACAAGGGATCATAAGGGACATGTACCTGTAGGTACCTAGCTCCCTAGTTGTGGGAATGCGGGCCTTACCCGACAGAGATACCTACCTAGATAGAGTGACAGGTAGTGGCCCACAGAGAGACTGGTGCCGATGCCGCCGGAGCTGTTATCAAGTACCAGACCAGACATCGGCCTGGCTGAGGCAACTCAACGAGATTTATGAACTTCTCCCATCGGGTTTACCAGGCCCAGGGAGCCAGGTTGATGATCTCGTTCATATTCTCGCCAGTATCATGAACTCGGAATATCAAGGTCCAATTTTCTAGCTACCTAGGTACTGTCCGCAAGTTCTCACTACGCCTACCTAGGTACCTAGTCAGGGCATCAAGCTCTCTTCAGCTCCCCTCACCGCGGCGCCGTAGCTTACCTCATATGGAGCTGGCCTTTACTGTGACTTGGGTAGTCAAGCCCCCGCATTGCACCATACTGATTGTATCCCACCTCAAGCCAGGCCAATCTCCATCAATCCTCAATCTATCAGCCAGTGGCCATTCTTCACGTAAATGAAGTCTTGTCAGCTTCCTGGACGGTTAATGAAGAGCTGAAACTCTAGTATCTCTTCGGGTGGACTGCGCACGATAGCCACAGCAGCCGAGCTGCTTCCCGCCTCCCCGCCGAGTGTATGGCTTCGAGCATGACACTGCCAGACCGACCATAAGCGATGTCGGTCTCCGCCAGCCCACGATGTTCCAACCTGGTTGTCTTGCCCAAGACCCGGTATAGGACTCGGGCGACACAGTGCAGGGCATTCTCTGTCTCTTTTGCCGCCCGTACCGCACCCAGAAGAACCCAAGACTTCACCTCTGGGTTTGCAAGCAGCTATGACCCGACACTGGACAATGGAAGAGGGCCCATGTTCAACAAGGCCAAATACGGAGTCCCTCAGTTTTACCCACGCGATCTGAAGAAGCGAGTCGACGAATATGTGGTGGGACAGGACCGTGCAAAGAAGACTATATGTTCTGTCATCTTCAACCATTACCAGAGTCTGCGACGGCGGACACAAGAGGAGGACCAAGATCGAAGGTTGCAAGAGAAGCTACAGCGCCAGAAGTTTACACGTGATAAAGATATCCATGATAGCCATGGCGAACCTCATCCTGCCGAAGGTTGGTCTTACAACTGCCCCAATTGTTGCCAATATACTGATGGAATTCCTGAAGACGAATGGCCCGGCCACAGGGAGTCAGTACAACAGAGTCTCACCGATATGAGCAAAGCGCTCGACCAGTCCTTCATATCCGAAGACAATCATATGCCACATCATGTGAAAATAGACAAAAGCAATCTCCTGCTGATAGGACCGACTGGAGTCGGCAAGACGTATATATTGGAGTAATACCGTTCCCCCATTCCATGCACCAGGGCATCACTGACATCATCTAGAACTCTGAGCAAGCAACTAAACGTACCGTTCACGATAAGCGACTGCAACTCCTTCACACAAGCCGGCTATATCGGTCAAGACGTCGAGGCTTGTATCGAAAGGCTATTAATCGAAGCAAACTATGATATTAAGGCGACCGAGCATGGTATCGTAGTGCTGGATGAATTCGACAAAATTGCGAAGCGAGAAACAATGAATGGTCGTGACGTGGGTGGAGAAGGTGTCCAGCAAGCATTACTGAAGCTGGTAGAGGGAACAAAGGTCACAGTCAATGTCAAGGACAATAGATCCTCTCGCTCAGCGAGTCCGCTCACCAGCAATTTTGGTCCTTCAGGCTCGACGACAACACCTCAGGCAACTCCTCCCGCTGGGAAGGTCGATCAATACACCATCGACACAAGCAATATTCTCTTTGTGTTCTGTGGAGCTTTTGTTGGCCTGGATAAGCTAATTTTACGGAGGGTTTCTAAGCCATCCCTAGGCTTCGGCTCAGAAATACGCAGCAGAAACTCCTCTTCGATGTCGGGCAACAAAGAAGTTCTACCTCCAGAGATGTACGCTCATCTCCCACATCAGCCGGCTCGAACAGAGCTATCACGAGGTGGCCCCAGAGCGAGCGGCTTCACCCCCCTCGACCTCACAACGCCTGTGGACTTGCAGGGGTTTGGTTTCATTCCAGAGCTAATAGGAAGGGTGCATAATATCTCTGCTCTCTCGCCATTATCTTTAGATGAGCTTTATCGAATCCTTACCGAGCCGCGAAACAGCTTGGTTGCACAGTATACAGCCTTATTTGAGACATACCCAAGCCGTCTCTACTTCACTCAAAAGTCTCTATATGCAATTGCCGAAAGAGCAGCGAAGAATGAGACCGGCGCAAGAGGCTTGAAAATGGAGATGGAAAGGGTGCTAGCCGAACCTATCTTTGATTCCCCTATGCCATACGTTCTGATAACCGAAGGCTGCGTAAAGGGGACAGAGAAAGCAGGATATTGGGGCAAAGATGGTCGCTTGGAGCTGGAGCGCCGGTTGCATGATGAGGACGCCAGTGACCAAGGGCAATCGAATGACGGCGTCACTTCTTTCGAGCAATACCGTGTAGCCGGACAGAGCGGCGGATAGGCACCCTCTACGCAACTAGTCAGTCCGATTGTGAGATGAGTGCTTTCTTGGAAACCAGGGGAGCAAGGAGTTTGGATCATCTACATGTTGGGTGCTATTTCCCACAGCACCTGAGTCTTGGTTTACCTTGATCGCGACACTACCGAAACGTTCAGAGTAGGATCCCAGAAAACTTAAGTGATTGAGATATTTTAGAGTCATAGAAGGACTCATGAATACGGTGACATGCTGATGAATAAGGGGATTTATTGTCTCATACAAGCTGTCACTCCAGTCACTCCACCCAACGACTTGCTCCTCGACTAACTTGGCAAACGAATCCACCATCTGCATATCGTTTTGTACATGTGCAAGCAGTCGTGAAGTATTGATTAATTTCTTCTACTGACAAATGAGAGAATGCTTTTAAGGCTTCGCAGGTGGGGATTGAACCATGCCCTTGCCGGCATAGCCCTCGGAAGAATAGCCTGTGAACGGCTCGGATCCTTGGCCCTGTAGCGAGAGAGTTAGTGACTATTATTAGGCAATGTATGATGGAAGCAATACGGACCTTGAGGTACTCGTTGGATGCCTCCTGCCATTCCTTGGTCATGGTGTGAGGAGAAGGTCCGGCGAACATGCGCATCGCGGTGAAGATGGCCAGACTGATACCAACGCCGAGAACGGTGTAGAGGGCGACCTTCTTGCCCTCACCCGGAGGGGGAAGAGCTCGAGGACCGTGAGGACCAAACGCGATCCAGTAGGCTGTATAGAACCATTGTCTTAGCTACCGTTTCCAAGAGACGGGTGTGTTCGAGAAAGGGGTGGTGTGTCCATGGTTGGCTCGAGGCATTGTCTACCCAATTGACGGGAGAGCTCGCCTTAGAAGCACCGACGCGAGAATTTATACTGGGAGGATTGTTGTCGAATGCTCAATGCCACTTACCAGCCTTCTTTTCCTGGAGGGTCAACTCCTTCCAGTTCTCCTTCATACGGTCCCGGAGGGCCATCCATAGCTCAGCCTGCTCCTGCAGCGGCAGGCCTTCCCATCTCTTCTCGATGTTGGCCAGAGTCGGGTTGGAGATTGCGTGGGTGGAGGCGGCAGCGCGGCAGACCAGCGAGGTGGTCGCGGACTGGCGGCTGGCACGGACGATGCTGCTACGCAGGGCCGTTGAAGTCGGAACTCGCAGCATTGTGGTGCTTGTTTTGGTGTTTTCGCGCCTACGAGGGCAGAGAGGGGGAATTGGCGTGTATCGCTGGTGTAAAGGAGTGGAGATGGGCCTCAATGGCAAGCTACGAACTAAATCGTCGCTGTTTTGACGAGGCTTCGAGGGAGAAGTGATGAATTGAAGTCGTCGGAAGAGGGTTTTTAGGACCATCGTATGATAGCTGTCTAGCTTCCTTACCGAAAATGACCGAGATGACTAAGGAAAGTCGCGTGCATAGTCACGTGGATGTCACAAACATTGACGAGGTCCTAATTGGCCATCTTCCTAAGTAGAGGTCCACAGGGATCGGGGAAAGGGATATGGAGCCGGGCGAACCATTAGATACGCCGTGCAATGCTGTTTCACCTTGAAATCGACAATATTGCTTCCGCTGACTTTACTTCGTTAGGATTTCTGAAGCTAGGTAGTGCTATAAGCCGACATGGAGGCGGCGTGATTTGGCACTGTCGTGAGCAGCTTTCACGGTGAGACACTCAACATATGTTCTCTTACTGGTTTCTCTATAAACAATCTACGTGCGATCTATACTTGATAGCATTCCTATCGCAACTCCTCAAGACCTTGCTTGTATTCAAAGTCAAGGGCTGATTTCAAGCTTAAACCAGGTCAGATTTCTGACAATTTCAGCAATATTGTTTGTCTCACCAGAGCATGCCGTCTTGTCATCCGTGCCTTTTTTATGGAATAAGAAGTCAAAGAGAAGGCTCCTTTCCTGCAGTCCTCTTGAATCGAGTTCTTGTCATCGCCGTCCCATCGGCGGCTCAAACCGCATCAGGCATTAGTCTATTCTCACAGCGTAAATATCAATGATCTGATATCACGTTGCCGAATGAAAATAGACTCGACATAGCTCGATACAGTCCAAGATGATCCTGAAGACGGTGCAGTGGCGTGCGTCGATGCTATCGTTTCATGGTACTAACAACCAAGAATCGGAAAGTTTATCTCACTGAGACATGATTGCACTATGATTCATCTGCTTTTGCTGGTGAGGATGGCACTTTCGGAGCTGTGCCGGTGACATTTGCGTCGTTTTCAAGTAGGTCGCTGATACAATGTGAGCAGTGTGATAGAGTTAGATTGAAATGAGCTAGATATACTTCAGCGGCCGATGCTCACGACGAGCTTGCTCTTCCTTGAGGGAAGGATTGAATGCATAGTATCCTGACATATCAAATTAGAGGACGCTGCTAAATGCATTTCGATTTCGAATTGATTGTGATGAGAGAAGACATCACACACCATTCAATACGCCGAAGGTGACAGCTAATCCGATCGGAATGAGTTGCCGACCCCAGCTCATTGCTATTGAGAATCCTCGATGATGTTCTGCGATAGTGGTATTGGCTGAAGCTTCGGAGGAAGTTTAGGTTTCTGGAAATGCTGTGTGAACGAAAGTGAGGTAGGTGAAGACGACAGTGTAGCTTGGCCTAAGCTAAAAAATGTTGGAAGCTTGGGCCACCCCCACTAACATGTTAAATCCTGGCGCGTCTCCTACTCCACAGACGCGTCTGAGGTATCGGCGGCCCGTTGAGGACCTTCAAAGTCATCAAGCGCAACCTGTAAAAATGAATTCAGGCCAACCAAGCGAACCTTATGGATTTCGATGATGAATACTCGTGGTCATGAGGAACTGGAAGGAATTGGGAGAAGTCCCAGATTCGGACGAGGAAGACTTCGAGACTCAAGAATCATTGGAGCAGCAGGATCATGATGTCTTTACCGACTCTCTACCAAGTAATCTGTCCAAAGATGCGAGGAATGATGTTTGGGTGGTTCCAGACTCCTCTCAAGAAATTGTTGGCCAGTTGGATAAACCGAAAGCCAAGAATGGCACAAGCAGCTCACAAATCTTGTCAACGGCGACATCCACCGGGGCGAAGCGACCGGAAAACGAGCCCTCGGAGGAGTTTGTCAACCATGGCAGCAACGAGACGAAACATTCACCTATCGGAACTGGAAGCCCGTTTCATACCATTGATACGCCGGCCAGCCTTCACCAGAGCCCCGTCCCATCCCTGAAAAGCCACTCCGAGCAACCAACGACCAACCACACGTTTACCGGACAGAATCGTATCAACATACCCACGGTGACGGTCTCTCAGGATCCGGAAATACTGTCAGACAATGAGCAAACATCTCCAACTACAAGCTTACGGCTATCACGGTCTTTGAGGCCACGAAAACCAATTCAGCAGCATCCGTATTTGGTGGAGAGTGCCCAGTATAACAAGTTTATGAAGTCTCATGGCATGAAACCTCTGAGGGTAAGGGATGACCCTATGAGCACGTCGGGGCAGAGGGAAATTGGCGAATCTCAAGATCAAGACTTCACAGCAGAGGATAGCCAAATCTCATCGGGCAATGGTGGTGTGGACACATCGGAGGGGAGCCAACCGCTAATTTTCGACGACCCGCTGCGCGACATCGACGAATTGGCATTGTCACCGTCGCTAGGGAATTCTTCACCACGCCGACGATTGATGATGAGCAGTCAGCCAAGCAACGATGATCAAACGGACAGGACAAGTGTCGCGGGAGACGAGGACTTTCCCAGCCTTGAGGAGCTGGGCACTTGGAAGGCAACCGGTTCTGCCAGAATACAGAAGCGGCAAGCTTCACCAAAAATTCTGTCCACGAGAAAGCGCCGCAGAGCAGGAAATGCGTCACCTCTTAAGTCCGCTTCTGCGGTCCCACTTGGTGACAGGGACGTATGGGATATGTCTCCGAGCCCTCCTGTGTTCAGACTTCCGAGGGGGACTATCGAGCTCCCCCAAAACACTCTGAGAATGAGTGCTGCGGAAGCGTCAGGATCACCCGCTAAGGCGTCTTCGGAACGAGACACACTCAGCCGTTCGGTCTCTTCTCGTCAAGCTCCTGAGGTGATGCTACTTGGATCCGACGAAAGTTCACACAGCTCTGGTGCATCCGACAGTGAATCTGAAGCAGTTCGATACATGGTGCGCAAAATACGTGGGGTCTTACCCGCTTCGTGGCTGCGTCTTGATCAGAAGACAGGTCGAGACAAGGCAGTGAGACCTGTTCAGGGGAGACACCATGATCAATCACCTGATCGTGCTGCCAGGCGAGGCGTTGCACAGCCAAGACAGAGAAGCAGCCCACGAGAGAAGTCTGCATCAAGCATGCCGCTTGGTGGCTTTCTTTTCGATGATGACGATGACGATGATGACGAAAATAACGAAGTTGAGAACATTACGACCTCACGACCCACCGACCATGTCTCAGATCTTGAGCTTGTAGATACTCGAAATGATGATGATAAACAAGGCGAAGCAGAGGAAGAAGACTTTGTTGACATGATGCTGCCCAGCCAGAAAAGAAGAAGCGAGACTTTGACAGGATATCGCAAGTCCAAACGAAGGAAGAGCCAGCAACATCTTTCGCGCGAGCATTCTGTTCGAAACCATCGGCAACAGAAGATGTCCTTTATCTTATCTGTACAAGACAGTAGCGCCACAGAGTCACCGGCAATGACAGGCATTAGAACCAAGCGCAAAAGGACTGGTGTTCATATAAGCTCGAAGTCGATCCTACACACACGCCCGACGCGAGCCGCCACACCACCGCGACTCAGTATTTTAGATGTTGCTGAATCAAATGCGCCCCGTTTTATCAAGATTGCGGCAAGGACAGCCCGAAGACGGCCAGCACTGGGCAAGTCGAGCCCATCTCGGAAACACATCAACCTCGGGAATCGAACTGACAATATCGATGCCCTCTCGGTTCTCCAGGACTGGAAAGCTGGCAAGATTAAGCCGAGTTCTGCACGGCCTGGCAATTCTCATGTAAGATCCACGACGCTCAGAGAGCCATTACGACAACTCCACTTGAATGGTACGGCAAGTCAATTTACCCGACAGAAACAGCCTCATCCCCGTCGATCAACATCCCCTAAGCAGGTATCTCTAAACAATTTTGTCACTTGCAATGATATCGCAGCATCTCAAACAACGCCTCAAACTTCAAGCAATCAGCGTCGCCTGAAGATTGTAAGTCGCGCTCGGAAACGTAACCCTGGACCGAGACCTGCCCAGCTTGAGACTGTTGAAGAAAACCGGTCGGGTAAACCTGGCTTCACGGCCAGGAAGAGGCACCTTGATGCGTTGTATCGAAGAAGTCATGCAAGGTCTGATCCATCTATCATCAAGCAGCCAGAGCAACAAGCCCAGCATGAACCGCAAGCGTCTGTCCGAAATCTCCAGCATCTGAGCAATAATGAAGAGTCCTCTTCGTTGAGAAGTAATTCGCCTCAGCAGAAAACTCGCTTTCGCAAACAATTTATCCCTCGCCGTCGAAACCTTGATGCACCGCAATATGTTCACGCCAATGATCCCGTGGATTCGTCCGGCTGTATGCCTGTAACAGAAATCATCCATGAGAATGAAGAGAAACTGGTTGGGTTGAATCCGTTCGGCATTCATTACACTCACCACTTTGATATATTTCCTCTGGACCCAGGCGTGTTCTTCCACGAGACTACGCTCATCGGACAAGGGATCTTTGAACAAGTTGTCTCAATCGATGATTTTATCAATCGTCTATCAAACGAACGGGAGAGTTTGTCAACAGACTTCGGAGGCCGTATCATTCAATGGGGACCCTGGAATGAAGCGGCTTCGTCAGAGATTGGTATTCTTTTTGACTTAGTTGCGGAGCGATTTACGAGTGAACAACAGGCTCCGTTGCAATGGCAAGACTGGGACGAAGCAAGAGCTGCTGATTTCATATTACGGTATACGCTTCAGTCAGTCAGTTTCACAGAAGAGATGGGGATAGATTCATTTCTAAACAGGCTCTCTGAGCTTTTCAGTTGTCTCCTTGATACACTAGAGACTGCACATTTTCGACACATGGTTGAAAACACACAAGAGAGCAATGGCCGCGCTCAAATCCTATCTTCCCTTCTCATTGTCGCGTTGCTGCTGCTGCGAGTATGCCAATCGTCTGCCTCATACTATGCGGCAAGTCTTCAAAGTGAGCAGATTCTGCTGCGTCTGGCTAGACTCACCATCCGCGATCTTCTTCAGGAAGGCTTCGACAATGTCGAGAAGACTTACGAAGACATGCAGAGGCTCGCTGCTAGGCAGCGTGGAATACGACGCGGAGATGTAATGATCCATAGTTGGGTTGTGGTTATCAAATGCTTGGAAAACGCGCAGATTCCACGCAGCGGGTTCTGGGACGTTCTCTACGCAACTATGGGCATGGCTCAAGTAAATACTTGTTCTGATGCGCAGCATCTCGAGACATTGTGGAGAAAAATATTCGTCCTCCTACCACTTGGAGAATTTGATAACGCGGGAGTGCTCATTCCAGGCCTCAGGCACTCAGTCCCTTTCCAAGGATGGGCTTTGCCGCAACAGCTCGTGAAGCGTGTTTTTCAACTTTATCGAGCAAATCCGAGACAGTCCCCCAGCTTCAACGAGTATTGTCGAGCACTCGTGAGCCGCTGCTACTACTTAATCCAGCAATGGGGGTGGTTAAAGTGCAGCGGCATCATTGGTGCAATATTTGACTTCTTCGGTTCTCAGAATCTCGAACACTTGAGAAACGAGGAAGTATATAAATCTCCACAGTTTCTTGAGGACCTTGCGTGCAAGCCATCACTTTCGATATCGCCAGAAGATCGATGTTTTCATATCTTCCTAAAGATGCTCGCATTAGTTATCCAATATCTCTCACGCCATGGCCTCATCAATGACGTTAAGAATTTGGTAGCTCGTACACTTCCCAATCATAACCGCCAGTACTCCAAGGAGCAGACCATTCACCAGCATGAACTTGCTGCCCTTCGAAATCATCATGACCTTCTATGCACCCTATTTTGGTCGGCGCCGCCAGACCTGCGACCGCCTCCTCAGCTCATAGAGAAGTTGGTTGCTCCTGGCAGCTCGCATAAGGAAGCATGTCTCATTAATTTGCGCGCATGGAATCAACTAGCACGATTTGTCGTGTCTTCTGACGAGGAGACCAGCTCTTACCGACCGTTTGCGTCATGGCAGAGCAATGTTTTCCAACAGATTTTGGAACAGTATCTTTCCGCTGAAGGAGATATTCAGCAGCAATACTTGGCCCTCTCAGAAGACGTCAGTAGAGACATTGGGCAACACGTTCTAAAGAGTATGGTCTCACAGAACAGGGCAGCCGCCATGGAGATCCTTCATTTTTCTGTGATGGCATTCCTCGATGTTTTAAGACATTCGCCTTCATTGGCAACAGCTGTTTATTGTTTCAACTCAAGTATGTCATAAATTCTCATGTCTTGTTCAAAACTTACATGAATTAGTCCCTCTTGAGAAGATCTTCACCAAACTTGACTTGAACCGTGATGAATCATGTTGGAGCGTCGTAGGAGCAGGCCTCGATATAGTCGACCATTTCATGTCACTACTCGAGAAGACCTTAGACGAGCAGTATTCCTTTGAGTCAAATAGCTTCGGGGATGCAGCGCAAACAGAAGAAGCCTTATTGGTATGTCATGACTTTCAATACTGGCCGGCCCGTGTCTCACAGTCCTCGCAGTTACTAGATCAGAGAGTTGCCAGCAGTCTCGTCAGCATTACTCGTACTGTCATGGCGTCACCTCAGGACAGTACAATTTTTAACAATAGAGGCCGAAATGCCCTTCAAGAGAAGGCTGTGCTCTTGTGTGGAAGGATGGCCAGCCGATTCATTCATGCTGGCATTGCTGTAAGAACAAATCTATTCTTGAACCCGTACTGCATGCTAATGACACAAAGCGTTTGTCCAATTATTTCAAACCTGGAAAACACGCGTTGTTTGACGGGCTGCCTCATGAACTCACCGTCCCCCAGAAGAAGCACCTACCTCTTTTTATTGCGACACTCGTACAAAACAACATTTTCGACTTCAGAGATATTGGAGTAACGATATTTGAACTGTGGATTACGTTAATTGTTGTGCCTCTCCCCGATTCGGCTTACGACGACCGTCTCGCTGAGGCATTGAGAAGGCACGACTTTCCGTACATCGAGAAGTCTATCGTGCCATCACGAAACAATCCTCGATATAGCTTGAACCGCGATTATTTCGCATGCTGCATACGTCACATGAGAAACTCCCTGAGGCACGCAGACTCCATTCACCGGAGAAATCTTCGTACCGAATTTGCTGCAATGCTAAGATTAGTGATGCAGCAAATGAGGGATCATTTAAAATCGCTCGAGATGGACTCAGCTGAACATCATCTCTACATCGGCTTTGTCCGCGAAATCATCGCTTTGGTCAAGTCATACGGTGCCGACATTTGCGCAGTCGATGACTACTATTACCAACCAAGCCGAGAGTACACGCCATCCATGGAAGACCCCCAACTCCATACTGCTGGAATTATCGCGTATGGCATTAGATTAGGTGAAGGAGAGACGACCGCTTCCCCTCAGCTATTTTACTATCTTCTTAACAACTTCAAAACTGCCATGGTCAATAACCGACTCAATGAAGAACGCAAAATGCTTGAGAAAGGCATGCAAAATTCTGATGTTCTTATATTCATGGTCAACAGAATGTTGCCCGCCATCATCCAAGCAACAGCTGGAGCGCATGGCGCATGGCCACTCTTGCACGTTTATTGCGGAGCCCTCAAAGACGTATTCACTAGATCATGCATACCGAGAGAGATTCCAGATGACAATGCCGAAGATGTCACGGACCTGCTTAAAGTCATTTTACTTTGGATCGAAAAAGTCCGAGAAAATGGGAACGTATCTGGTCCGCTGGACCCTGTTCAACTTTATAGCTTCATCCAATTAATGAGCATATGCAACATATTGGCACCTTCTTTGGTATGCTGGTCCTGCCAACTATCAACCGCATTAGCCTCCAAACTACATGCACTGATTGCTCAAATCAATTTGATCGCCGCCAATGCAGTCTCCTATCTTGGACGATCACTGAATTCCACAGATACGGATGGATCCACCACGGCAGTATACGCAAGGGATCTACTTGAGGGCGTCGATCTGGAGAGATTCACCATACAAACGCCTCCACAGGTGCAGACTTTTGCACAGCACATAACGGCTGATGTGTTGAAGAATTGGATCTCATCATCAAATACTGTCACCATTAACGTACCTCTGAAAGCTCAAGGATCCTCCGGGACACAGTCCGGTCAAGGTACGACGCACGATCTGTATACAAGGACTGGTCTTGCGAACGAGCTGTACCTTGAATTTCGAATATGGAGTATGAAGATGGCCTTCAACCAGGGAAGAATCGGCAGACAAAGAAGTAGAAAGGTCTTCCAGGGTTCTATGGTCTAAAATTTTATACTAACCAGGTCGCATCTACCAGGTCCATGCGACTGGGTGCATGCACATCAAATCAGGAGAATCACAGAGTATGGTACAATAGGTCTGAATTGCTGTCACATGCAGCGCTTGTGCAACATAGCATGTAGTCACATCGCATAACCATTAAAAAAGATACACATATTGATCCACCTTTCATCCCAATGTTAACAAGATCCCCCTTTTCTATGCAGCGCCGAGGAAAGTGCTATTATACATATGATACAAGATTATTCTCGGTATTGAAGAAGCCAGACTGATCGAGCAGTGTCAGAGGCGCCTGACGCGTGCATCCTCGGAGGTTGACTGGTTGGGAACTACGTCGAACCCCATGAGGTTCCGCTTCTTCTGCCGCCGTCCCGAGTCGCCATATCGCTCATCAAATTTGCGAATTGCCTTGAGCGATTCCATATCTTCGCTAATGCTTGCACTGATGTCGCTGAGGGCCTTCTGGAAATGCCGGTTTGTGAGAACGCGCCTGTCAGCAAACTTGAACTCCTCTGAACCTTGATGGCTGTCCTTCGCTCTCAGCTCCTCTTTCACAGCGTCCATAGCCGCTGCTACGCAGAGGTTCTTCAGATCAGAGCCGGAATATAGCTCAGTCTCTGTAGCTAGTCGATCCAACGAAACGGATGGATCCAGTATCTCGTCGCGAAGAAGAGACTGCATGATGTCCAAGCGGGCTGATCGAAGAGGCAGGTCAACCAAAATTCGGCGAGGCAGTCGCCTTAAGACGGCTTCATCGAGATCAAAAGGCCGATTGGTAGCGACCACGATGAATGTCTTGGAATCATTCAGTGAGGTAGTCAACCCATCCCATTCTCTCAAAAATTGATTAAGAGCCTCGTGAAAGCCGCCTCTGGAGGTTTTAGTACTCCTAGTGCCAAGGAGAGCCTCCGCCTCGTCCAGAAAAATGACCATCGGCGACAGCTTTCGAGCCACGGCGAACAACGCTCGAACGTTCTTTTCACTGTTGCCAACCCACATATCATTGATAGAGGCGGCGCTGACTTCTAGCATGTTTGCTTCACTTTGCTTTGCCAGTGCCTTAGCCATCATTGTTTTACCTGTGCCAGGTGGTCCATACAGCAGACAGCCATGTATCCGTTCTCGAGCAAGAACTCCGTACGAAAACGCCTCGGGACGATGGAGGGAAAGTGAAGTCAAAGTCAGCAGCGACTCGCCAACTTCTGGTGGGGCAACAACATCCTTGAAGGTGACGTTGATATCCTCAGCGTCAACAAGTCCTGAGAGTAGTTTCTTTTCATACTCATCGAAATTTGATGTGTCAATTTGTCTCCGTTGACGCTTCGTTCCGCGGGTTACATTTGCATCCAGATCAGTACCTCCCGGGCTGATAAAAGTAGAGAAGTGGCCATGTTCAGCTGTCGCATGCATTGATGTCCAGTGACCGTCTGATAAAGACATGGTCTGAAAAGCGCCTAGAATCACAGCCTTCTCAAAGCCATGAGGATGGAAGCGCTCCGATCCTAGAATCTGTGTCGCAAAACGGTAAATCCAGTGGATATCGTAGAGTCCTCGGCCTAGGAATTCTTGGAGTTCACGCAATTCGACATCGTCTGTCCTTTCCAAGTCCAAAGAAACCGATTTGCCCGTCATAGCCTCGAGCATCGACGTTATGTTATTGATATTGTCTCTCAGATAATCGCATTGCTCCCAAAGCAGCCTCCTGGCAGCCGAGGCTTGTTGCTCGGCAATATAAAATGGTACAATGTGGCAGTCATCCTTGCGTAAATCATCCAATGTCTCTCGCCACTTGGGAGCAGAGTTGATATGGCTTGAGGTAGAGCCAAGCATAACAATCTTGGCTCCCTTTTGCCATTTTCGATCTATGACTGTCCGAAGCTTGTTTATGATGGAGGCTCCCTCCGGCGTCATCACAAGCTCAACGTAGTCGTGAATATGTACGATCAAAGTTAAATCTGATGATCGGGTGCTCATAGCTGTCTTGACATCAGGAGCGCAAAGAATTTCCTCAAGAATGCGGCTCATCTTGAGCTCTTCCCATCTGTCATCAGCCAGCGCTGGGAAGAGTTTGGTCACACTGATTGTTTGCAGGTCTTGGTCCTGGCCCAGCTCCGTAGACTCCGTCTTAGAAACGAGTCTTCCATTCGCATCCGCAGCAGCATATCCAAGCATGGAAATGCCACCTCTTGAAGAATAAGGACTTTGTCCCAGGTATTGGCCTACAAGTCTACCGATCACGGCAGCGTCTAACCGGACTACCCAAGCTCCAAGTTCCAAAGCAGCGGCATCTACGAGATGAGCTGCAACGCTTGGTCCCCTGTAGTTCAGAACTGACAGCACAGAGACTGGACGCTTCGGCTCCTTGATTGCCTTAGCGGGCAGGGCTTTCGCGCTGAGCTCCGCTCGAAGGGTGGAGAGTAATTCTTGACAGATGAATGCGTCCTTTGACGGTTCTCCGACGACAGCATTTACAGGAGAGATTGAACTGTGATCGCGGGCAATGCCTTGGTCTGTAAGCGAATGCGATAGCTTAGCCTCCAGAGTGTGGTACGAAGTAGCAATTTGCGGCTCTTCCGGAGACACCTGCCGCACATTGCCTGCTGAAGAGGACTCCTTCGACAACGCGGATATATAATACTCTGCCAGCTGAACAATATTGCTGTTTCTCGATTCGATGTCCAGTTCCTTTCGTTGCTCGAGCTGAGACATTGCTTGACGGACTTCCTGCTCGTTCCACTTTGTATCTTCAAAAGCCCTCTCGAGGTGTTCCTGCAATGCTTGGCGACTTTGTATCTTGGAACCTGTCGTGTCTGGAACGAATGTAGGCTTCGTTGTTGACGCATCATCTCGTCTTAGTTCCGCCAAGACCTCATGTTGCGGTGTCTTTAGGTGGCTCGCTCGTCGCAATTTCGGTGAAAGAACGGCGGCATCGATGAACCAGCGTGGCAAAGTCACGGGAGGGAGACCACCTGCTGTTCTGCCACTGCCACCACGGTTGCGGCCATTCGTTGAAGCCCCATTCTTGGTCGCATCTCTGCCAAAGAGGTCGCCTTGAGTTTGGGATACCGGTTCGACAGCGTCGCTATCTCCTTTCTCGTTCACGCCGACGCTCGCAGACTTGTCTGGCGATGAATTATTCTCATTGGCACCATTGGTGTCGTCTGTCCAGAGTCCGTGGCTGGGAGCGCTGCGAAATGATCGTATGCTCGTAGGTTGGAAGCTTCGCAACGCTGCGAGGGTTGGTCGGGTTCTAAAGCTTCGTACCGCGCATGGTAGGAAAGCCCGGGCTCCTACAGCATGCATTCGGAGGTTTGGGTCGAAGGCACCCTTCTACACGGGTCCGAAATGAATGAGACCTCGATATAGAAGGTGTTGGCGTGCAACAAGATGCTGGTCTTCGGCTGGCTTCATTTTCCCGATATTTTATGGTACGCTCGCGCTAAGATAAGCATGCCCATACCTAGGCAGGAAACGTGGGGCATCCACATTTGGTATCTCAGCCTCACAGTGGACAAGAGGGTCTAATCCTTCAACAGGGCCAGGGTAATAAATAGTGAGTTTGGCAAGGTGACATCCTCAAAGTAATGACTACCTTGATAAGATATGATGAACCTATAGTAAAGTACAGAATCCTCGAGGCTTCGATGGATATTACCACTGATATCATTTAGTACCTTAATTCTTGAGGGATTGACATTACCTTGGCGAGGAATGAGTAGTTAGTTCTGCGGACTTGTGTTCTAGTTGTCTTGGAATGGGTTATGTAAGACATAAGGGCATGAACAACATTGTGCTATTAACTATAGCCTTGTGATTGATATCTCGCTACAGCTCATATCGCCTTCCGGCCAGATCTCATGCCTAGCGCTTTCCAGCATGAACTCCAACCGCTATATGGGTATCATCCTTGTTTAAATATTGCAGCCTCATTATCGCCTGCTCCGCTCTTAGTTTACCAAGAATTCTATCAAATTGTGATAGCCTATTCGTGTTCTGTGCTCACAGCAATTCCCTCGGCCGCAAGCGCCGCTTGATACATGTTCTGAGCTACTTTGAGTGCATTCATAGTCGGGCTGAGCAAAGTCAACAAAGCTTTTTTCCCTCCACCAACCGAGTCCGGCTTCCAACGGATCTTGTTGCCTGTCTGCTTAAAATGCGCTCTGATTTGTTCCTTCTTCTGCTCTATGATCCTATGCCTAGCCACCTCTGCTTCGTCTGCAACAGCCTCGATACGCTGTGTAGATTTCCTCAGGGATTCAACATGATACGCCAACTCTTGTGCGCGGTCAGGATCTCCCGACAGAAATGCATTCCAAAACTGCTTGAGAAATTCTGTTGTAGTGGCATTGGTAATGTAAGCTTTCTGGGTAATTTCGGGCGGAACTCCCATGGGTGACGTCTCATCAGAGCTATGCCCATACAGCTCGGCTCTTCGCTGAGCTAAGCCCCCAAGAATCTGGCTTTGAGCAGACTTTCGTGCGGCACGGGAGCCAACATGAGGTGCTTTCTGCAGTTCCTCATCACTGTCGCTGTCATCGTCGACACCAATCCCTGTTCGTAAGTCGATACCTCCCGAGCCATCGTCTTCTAGTGTCTCCAAGTCGGACTGCACATCGAACAAGACTTCGGAGGGGATCTGTTTAGCATAGACTTGTGCATTTGCTGAGGAGGTCGCGGCTTGGTCGGAGAAAAACTGGCTCTGTTCCTTAACATTGAGCATAATACGGTGCTCCTGGGCATCTCCTCGCAGATCTCGAAGGGAAAGCTCCTGGTAGACTTGGTCATCAACACCAGAGACGTCGGTGGGGTCCTGGTCTGATGGCGCAACATTGACCATAAGCTTCTCACTAAGGCTATTCAACGCCTTGACGATTGGGATGTTAGATCTGGGCCTCATCTCGACATCTTTGCGATTTCCACTCTTGAAACCGCCTTGGTTCTCTTCATTGGCCTCCAGATCAATAAATGAGGGGACCTGTTGGGAAGTGATCTTGCTAGTAAAGGCTGTAGTATTCTCCGCCGGGTCATATTTGTCGAATAAAGGGTCCGGGTTGTCGTTATCAGAAACACGCTCTCCCTTTAGTCTCTTTGCGAGTTTACTCAGAAAGAAACGCGACCAAAATTGCTGCTCAGGTACTTTTGGGACATTCTCATTGTAGATTCGCTTTACCAAAGGATGCTGGTTGAAGATCATCTGGACTTCGGCAACATTGATCTTTAGTGTTAGGTTGCCCTCAGCATTCTTCTCGGGCTTGACGGTCGAAAGAACATTGTACGAGCCCTTCTTCTGGTTGATTTCGATGGCATGGGCTCTCAAAACATTGGTCCTTGTAGACCAGAATTGAGAGTTAAAAGCTGCATCCGAGATGTTATCTGGCTTTGTTGCTCGTGCTTCCATATACGTTTGATGCAAGCCTTTATCCTTCTTCATAAGAGACTGCTGCAGCTCGATGTCCATCTTCAGGTGGTTATCATCGAACCAGGGAGCAGGGCCAGACTTTGCATTCACGGTATTTGCGAACGACATGGCTGCAGACGCCCCGGTCCCATTTGTGGCCGTGGAGGTAGCAGCAGCTGGTTTGGGCAATGAAGGATCGCCGGTGCGTACATCCGTGAGAAGTCTCGAGAGTAGGTCCTTGACAGCGTTGGCCTCAGGCCTGGCGTCGGTGGGAGAATTGAAGTGAAAGAGGTAGGACACAGGCTCTCCCTCCGTGTCAGGCAGCTTCTCAAATATCTTCAACATCACCTTTGGTGCGCTGTCTGGTGTCTGCTGAAGGTTTGTGACGTTGGCGACGGCCAGTGACACAACAGGAGGCCCATTGCCCGGCAGAGGAGTCCAGGTGACATGTTTGCGATCCTCTGTCAACGTGAGAATGCCGTCTTTCTTCTTGTACGCAGCTTTGCCTCGAGGCAGCGAAGACATTTTGTGGTGTAGTCAGAACTATCTGTCGAGGCCTTCAAGCTGGCTGTGAGGCTGCTCGCATGCCTAACAACACTTTTTCACCAACTGCCTGCTCCCCCACGCCACGGCAGATGCAAACCCTGAGATGGTGTGCTATTGCATACGGACTTGAGGCTTGACTTCGGACCTTTTCCTGTCTCTGTGATTTATCGGTGATCTTGATTTAGGAGGAGACCAATTTTCTGTGGACAAGGACGTGTCTGATTGTTTTGTGGTTGCTGCTATGAACGTTGCCTTTTCATAGCTAACCTCAAGGCAAGGAGGGTTAGGGAAAGGCTCCCCCAAACCGTTGCCACACTGCCTTGCCTTATTACCTACGTAAGAGACAGCTCGCTGCAGGTGCGGCTAGCGTGACCCAGGAGCCCCAGGCCCCTGGAGGTAGCTGGCCAGTACCCGCAGGTGCGCTAGCTCAGCTGTCTGGCACGGCACTGCTATCTTGGCTGACCTTCCCGGTACTTGCGATTGCTTGCCTCGGGCCTTAGGTAATCCGACGCCTGTAACTCGCCTGCCCGAGCAACCTTTTGGCCCCCCCTGCGCACTTTTTCACGGCAAGAACCGGCAGCTAGGAGTCTACAGCTGTCATAAAGCCGGATTTGCCTCAGCAATTGCCTTCACGATTTTGTTTCCCCGTATTTCCCTTCCCATGAAGGCATCTCCACGCCAGCTCTGAAGACGTTCAACCTCTTCAGCTACCTATCGAGACTTACTCCGCCACTCATTTCTTGTGTCGCTTGTCTTCTTGCTACCGGCACCGGTGGATGGAGACATTGCGCGTTTCTTTCTGAATTGTCCCCGGTCTAAGTCCTTGATCGAGCTTTGCAGCTCGTCCGTCTCCCTTAATATTACTACGCCAAAGCAGAGTCACAGCTCATCATGCTGCGCACGTCGCTGAGCAAAGCTGGCAGCCGGGTGCTGCGCGGAGCCAGTGCCTGCTCTGTCTCCTCCTGCTCCTCCGCATCGAGATGCTTCTCGACTGCCGCTCCCCGGTTCTCTGGAGCTTTCTCTGCGAGTCGCCGTCCTCTATCGATCACGACCCAGAAGAGGTATGCCAGTGCCACCGCCAATGTTCCCGATCCGAACGACAACTTCCTCTCCGGAAATACCGCCAATTACATCGATGAGATGTATATGCAATGGAAGGAGGACCCCAAGAGCGTCCATGTGTCATGGCAGGTCTACTTCAAGAATATCGAAAACGGCGACATGCCCATCTCTCAGGCCTTCACGCCCCCTCCTACCCTTGTGCCTAGCTCTTCGGTCGTCCCCGGACTCGCTGCTGGGTCCGGAGTTGGCCTCGGTGAAGGCTCCGATGTCACAAACCATTTGAAGGTGCAACTACTGGTGCGCGCGTACCAGGCTCGTGGTCATCACAAGGCAAACATCGACCCTCTTGGCATTCGACGCGAATCCAAGGGCTCTGGAAACATTCAGCCCAAGGAACTGAGCCTTGAGTACTATCAGTTTACCGAGAAGGATCTCGATACCGAATACACTCTTGGCCCTGGCATCTTGCCGCGATTCAAGAGGGAGGGAAGAGAGAAGATGACCCTGCGCGAAATCATCAACGCTTGCGAGAAGATCTACTGCGGCTCATATGGTGTTGAATTCATTCATATCCCAGACAGAGAGAAGTGCGATTGGTTGAGAGAGCGTATCGAGGTGCCTCAGCCGTTCAAGTACTCAATTGACGAGAAGAGGAGAATCCTGGATCGGTTGATCTGGAGCTCCAGCTTTGAGTCATTTCTAGCCACGAAGTATCCCAACGACAAGCGATTCGGTCTCGAGGGTTGCGAGACTCTTGTTCCCGGCATGAAGGCACTCATTGACCGTAGTGTTGATTATGGTGTCAAGGATATCGTTATTGGAATGCCCCATCGTGGCCGTCTCAACGTGCTCAGCAACGTTGTCCGAAAGCCGAACGAGTCCATTTTCAGCGAGTTTGCCGGCACATCCGCCGCTGAAGATGAGGGATCCGGCGATGTCAAGTACCATCTGGGAATGAACTTCGAGCGACCCACACCCTCCGGAAAGCGCGTCCAATTATCTCTCGTTGCCAACCCTTCGCATCTAGAGGCCGAGGATCCCGTCGTCTTAGGCAAGACCCGCGCTATCCAGCACTACAATAACGATGAGAAGACGCACCGCACCGCAATGGGCGTTTTGCTCCATGGTGATGCCGCCCTTGCTGCGCAGGGTGTGGTGTATGAATGCCTTGGTTTCCACTCTCTACCAGCTTACTCGACCGGCGGCACCATCCACTTGGTTGTGAACAACCAGATCGGTTTCACCACTGATCCTCGTTTTGCCCGCTCCACTGCGTACTGCACGGATATCGCAAAGGCGATTGATGCTCCCGTCTTTCACGTCAATGCTGATGATGTAGAGGCTGTCAACTTCGTCTGCCAACTTGCCGCCGATTGGCGTGCCGAGTTTCAGCAGGATGTCATCGTTGATCTGGTCTGCTACCGCAAGCATGGTCACAACGAGACGGATCAGCCATCGTTCACTCAACCATTGATGTACAAGCGTATCCAGTCACACGACCCGCAGATTGACATTTATGTGGAGCAGCTTCTCAAGGATGGTACCTTCACCAAGGAGGACATTGAAGAGCACAAGCAATGGGTCTGGGGCATGCTTGAGGACAGCTTCGCCAAATCCAAGGAGTACCAGCCAACGTCAAAGGAGTGGACCACATCCGCGTGGAACGGCTTCAAGTCTCCGAAGGAGCTAGCTACTGAAGTCCTGCCTCACAACCCTACCGGTGTCGATCAGAAGACCTTGGAGCATATCGGTGAGGTTATCGGCTCAGCTCCCGAGGGATTCAACGTTCACCGCAATCTTAAGCGTATTCTTTCGAACAGGACGAAGTCTGTTGTGGAGGGCAAGAACATCGACTGGTCAACTGCGGAAGCTCTGGCATTCGGTACACTGGTTACTGAGGGCCACCACGTGCGTGTCTCTGGCCAGGATGTGGAGCGTGGTACTTTCTCTCAGCGCCACTCTGTCTTCCATGACCAGGAGACTGAAGACACTTACACCCCTCTTCAGCATGTGAGCAAGGACCAGGGCAAGTTTGTCATCTCCAACTCGTCGCTCAGTGAGTTTGGTGCCTTGGGCTTCGAATATGGTTACTCCCTGACCTCCCCGAACGCTCTCGTGATGTGGGAGGCTCAGTTTGGCGACTTTGCCAACAACGCCCAATGTATCATTGATCAGTTCATTGCTTCAGGAGAAATCAAGTGGATGCAGAGAACTGGCCTTGTTATGTCGCTGCCCCATGGTTATGACGGCCAGGGTCCGGAGCACTCGTCCGGTCGTCTTGAGCGCTACCTTCAGCTCTGCAATGAGGACCCGCGCCTCTTCCCTTCAGAGGAGAAGCTCAACCGCCAACACCAAGACTGCAATATGCAGATTGCATACATGACCACTCCAGCCAACCTCTTCCACATTCTTCGTCGCCAGATGAACAGGCAATTCCGAAAACGTGAGTTCCACTGCCTCCCCCCAGAATCTAACGTGTACTGATTATTGGTAGCTTTGGTCATCTTCTTCTCGAAGTCGCTCCTGCGTCACCCTCTTGCTCGGTCGGACATTGAGGAGTTCACTGGCGACTCTCAGTTCCACTGGATCATCCCTGACCCCGCGCATGAGTCTGGTGCGATCAAGTCTCCAGAAGAGATTGACCGTGTCATTCTGTGCTCTGGCCAGGTTTATGCCGCTCTGCACAAGTACCGCGCTGACAACAACATCAACGATGTTGCCATTACCCGTGTCGAGCAACTTCACCCCTTCCCCTGGCAACAACTGAAGGAGAACCTTGACACATACCCTAACGCCAAGACCATCGTCTGGGCCCAGGAGGAGCCGCTCAACGCCGGTGCTTGGAGTTTCACACAGCCTCGTATTGAGACGCTTCTGAATCAGACCCAGTACCACGACCGCAAGCACGTCATGTATGCGGGCCGAAACCCGAGTGCCTCTGTCGCCACAGGTCTGAAGGCATCACATACCAAGGAAGAACAGGAGTTCCTGAAGATGGCTTTCAGCGTCAAGCAGGATAAGCTCAAGGGAGAGTAAGCGCGGCTGATTTGTTACTGCTTGAATGATTTATTCTTTTGGCACTAGACAAGGTAGATAGATGCACACAGGAGCATGACTGAACGGGGTTTTGCGAACTTTTGAGTTGGATTTCTTTGGTTTGTAAAAGTAGTTATTACATGGCAGGACATTGTGTCTGGCAACTCCTGACACAGCAGCTCGAAAGTAGATGAGGCTGCCGTTCGCTGTCTTGCAACATAGCCATGGCTTCTGTACAGTATCGATTCATACCAATGCACACGATGTCAGAACATGATGTCTATCTAACATTCCAAGATGCCTACAATATCGCAATGTTCTTTTTGTCAAGCGCCAAGCATGTCAGGACGATGCTCCGAGTTTGACTTCCCACGGCCGTACAATTCCGTCATCCCCAGTTGTCACCAGCATTTCTTCTGAACCCCTCCTCCCAGCCCCTGGGTCAAACCTCCGGCACCAAGTGATATGATTTATCTCGTACGGACCGTGCCCGTTTTTGAGGGATTTCAACATTCGCCATTTCGTAGAACGAGCCGCAACAGCAGATACTGGCGCATTGGCATCTGGTCCATTGACGTCGGACATCTGAACATCCTCCGCACCATTCGCATCAGGCTGGTCGAGGTCCTCACGATATACAGCAATAACTCCATCGCTACCAGTGCTGGCTATCATGCCAGATGCCGCGCTCCAGTTCGCAGAGTATATGTCGCGCGTATGAGCGGTAGGAAGCACATCTGTGCATTCCCAGTCCTCCCTTATAGAACGGCGCATCGTGTTCGGAAGGCCTCCAAACCCTGAGCTAAAGAGCGGATTGCCCCCGCCTGCGCCTGCGCCTGCTCCATCTTCATCGTCGTCCTCCTCCTCCTTTAGTGACCACAACCGTATTGTCTGGTCCGCCGAGAATGTCATCAAGCGGGGAAAGTTCTCGTTCTTCGGCTCAGGCTCCCACTGCAGGCCCCATACAGTACCGCTGTGGCCCTCCAGCACGGCGACGCACACCCACTCGCCGTCGCCGTCCTCGCGCCATATGCGCACCGTGTTGTCGTAGCTCGCGCTGGCCAGCACATCGGCGCTGTACCGGCCCCTGCCGCTCCGCCCGGGCACGTCCGGGCACCAGGCCACGCACTTGACGTCGCCGTCGTGCTCGTTGAGCACGGCGACCGTCTCCCACTCATCGTCTTCCTCGCTGGCGCCGACGTCCTCCCAGATCCACACCGACTTGTCGCGGCTGCATGTGGCGAGGTACTGACCGGACGGAGAGAAGGCGACGCTCTTGATCTCCGACTCGTGGCCCTCTAGAACCAGGGTGAACTCCCAGTCGTCGTCGCGCTCGGAGTGGTCGTCTGCTGCGGCGGCGGGTGTGCTTCGCTGCTGTAGAGCGGAGCTTGTGATCTCGACTTCGAGCCCGGCAGGATCAGATGAGGGACCGGCGGCAGAGGCGGACTCGAAGGGGACATCGCCGTCCCAGCGCCACAAGCCGGCGGTCGAGTCGAAGCTGCCGGTGACAAGGCATAGCTTGTGCGGAGGTAGGGCTGGGCGCCACGCCGCGGAGCGCACGGAACGCTGGTGTCCGCCGGTGAGGCTGCTGTGGGCGGAGAGGGTAGAGAGGGAGAAGACAGTCACGGACTTTGCATAGCAGGTCGCGATGAGGGGCAGTGTCGGATGTGGTATCGAGGCCCAGGCACGCTCGTAGAGGTCTGGCTTGAAGGGCGGCAGGGGCACGAGATCCAGCTCTGGGGGAGAGTCGGAATCAGCCGTGAGCCCCGGCATGTTCACCGTATGCGGAGGTCGAAGCGAGCGCGTTTGTCAAGGAGGGGTGAAGGTGAAGATGGGATGGTGGAGCTATACTGCGATAAAAGCTGCGCCGAAGACCGCGATAGACAAAGATGAATGTTCTTTGAATGCACGCGATTGAACGTTTATAGGCACCCAATCTTGGTCAATGGACGGTTCCGTTTCATAGAGAGCGCTGAGATTGTTGCTGGCGGTGGACTTTGCAGGTAGCTGAATGAGTCTGTCGTTTTCTGCTGTTCAAAGGTGGTCGCTCTTCGCAAGTCGTCTTTTTCCCCCCCACTGCCTTATGTGATCTCCAAATGACGCACAGCCAGGACTAACTGGAGGTCCCTAGTCGGGACAGCGCGGGGCAGGCATAGGTGCCAACCAGGTAAACTGATGAGCGCCTGACTGGCGAGTTGTATCTCAGGCGAATGCATGCATGCCAAAGAAAAAGAAACGATACTAATATGCATCGTGCAATACCTTGTTTACTCATAAGTATTGTCCAAAGTCGGCGAAAGTCAGCCAAAGGTAATAGTAATAGTCCGGCTGGCTATTCTAAATTGTGACATCTCGAAAATCCAAGCCTGTAGGCGGCTGCTGTGGCTTTCTGGAGCTCTGGGCATTTAGTGCTTCGTGTTGATAGATAGCCGTATCTGAGACGAATCCGATCTCGCTCTCTACTTTTCCCTTCCCTCATGTTTTTCCATCTGTGTGATCATGCATAGCAACACCTTCTCCGGGTTTCCTACGTAAACTCCTGCCTAGGTATCTTATCCCGCCTCCTGAGTAGTAAACCTGCAAGTCTCCAGAAAATCAATGACCTCTTAGACCTTGAGATGCGGGTTTTCCGGATTAACCTGCCCCTGTCCGGGCGGTGCTCATTGGAGGATTATTTTGGCTCCGAGTGCTAACATGTGGGCTGTTGCTCAAGTGCTCAATCGGTGGGGGTAACCACTGGAGCCACTAATGTTATAGGCACCTAGGCGTGCTAGGCACCCTGGCACCTTGAGCCTCGGAGTGCTGCCACCCCACGCTATTGAAGAAATGAATGAATGGCATTTGCTCTCGAGCCTTGAGGTTGAGAGCCCAGGCCCCGGGGGGCCAAGTTGCTGTGCGGGAGAAAGCCGCCCGAAGGCGCGGATTCAACACGCTGAGCAGACAGAAAGACGCCTTCAGAAGACAACACCTGGGGCAGCAAAATCAGGGGGGGTTTTCTCAAAGTCAAGTAGCTACCTACCTAGTGTAGGTCCCCTACCTTCTCTCGTCCCGGCAGACGGACTTCGACCAGATCTGACCCTGAGCTCTTCTCTCTTCTCTCCTCCCTGGTCCATTCTGGGTGATCGTGATCATCTCTCTTGTCACTCGCCATCGCTGTTGGGCTGTCTTTTCCTTTATATTCATGCACCTTTGCTCTCGCCTGCTGCCGTGTCTGTCTGCCAGTCTGTCCATCTCCCGCGACACAGGCCTCGGCGCGTGCTTTCAGCCGATGCGCCTCTAAAGTGCCTTACCCTACCTGCAGGCGCATACATATATTTATTACCTTTACATGCTCTGAGGACCCTCCTCGCCGGAAGCATTGTACCTGGCGCCTCTTTCAGAGCTCCGTGACTGAGCTGCGTTCTTGATTCTCGCCTTCTGAGCGTTGTTCTCACTGTCTTGTTGCTCGAAATTGCTGTTTCGCGGGCTGCGAATTGCTGCCGAAGCTCCATTTCCCTAGCCAGTCGTTGAGTCAGGATCGCCGCGTTGCGCGGTGCTCCATTGCTGCGCTTTTCCGTAAGCCTGAACCTCCCCTCCCATGAAAAGAATATGTATATGGTCTCTCCCGTTTGCTTATCTACTTTTCCGACCCTTGTTTATTTGTCACAGGATCCCAAAAGGCTCGAGAATTGACCAGACTAGCAGGTGTCGTCCCACGCCGGGACCGCCGCCGTCCCTTGTCCCGACCCCCGAACCAATTCCCCCGGTGCACTACTTCTGAAGCAAGACACCCCCTAAGCTCGTCATCGAAGCTGTGTAGTGCAGTCCACCCTCTTCCGACACCCTCGCCATGTCGAAATTCGCTGGGCCTCGCTCAGGGCTCCTGCGCAGGCTTGCCCTGCCGCTGGGGATCAGCGCCGTGGGAGGCGGCCTCCTCTTCTACATGTACCGGCCTCGCAACATCCCCGGCTACGAACCCCCCGCCGTCCCCCCGCCCATCTACGGCGCCGATGGCACCTTCAAGCTGCCCCGGTTCCCCCGCGTCAAGTCTCGCGACGAGCAGATCGCCGAATTGAAGAAGAGCGCCGCCGCCGGCGCGGATGCCGAGGAGTATGACATGCTGGTCATTGGTGCTGGCGCAACTGGAGCCGGAGTCGCATTGGACGCCGCCACACGAGGTTTGAAAGTTGCAGTCGTCGAGCGCGATGATTTCAGCAGCGGTACCAGCAGCAAGAGCACCAAGCTCGTACATGGAGGAGTCAGATATCTCGAGAAGGCTGTCTGGAATCTGGATTACGCCCAGTACCAGCTTGTCAGGGAGGCACTCAAGGAGCGCAAGTATTTCTTGCAGACGGCTCCCCATTTGAGCATGTGGCTGCCCATCATGCTGCCCCTGGACAAGTGGTGGAAGGCTCCATACTACTGGGCCGGCACCAAGTTCTATGACTTCCTTGCCGGAAGCGAAGGTATCGAGAGCTCCTACTTTCTTACCAGGAGTAAGGCCATTGATGCTTTCCCCATGTTAAAGAAGACAGACCTGGTTGGCGCCCTGGTGTACTACGACGGAGCTCACAATGACTCTCGGATGAACGTCTCCATCGCCATGACCGCCGCTCTGTACGGTGCCAATGTCGTCAATCACATGGAGGTGACCGGCTTGAAGAAGGATGCCAATGGCAAGCTCTGCGGTGCAGTCGTCAAGGACTTGGTTCCTGAAAGGAATGGCAAGCAAGCAGACCAGTTTGAGATCAGGGCCAAGTGCATCGTCAACTGCACAGGTCCCTTCACCGACTCAATCCGCAAGCTCGATGATCAAGACTGCAAGGAGATTGTTGCCCCAGCCTCCGGTGTGCATGTCATCCTACCGGGCTATTACAGCCCGGGCAAGATGGGTCTGATTGACCCCTCAACCTCAGATGGCCGTGTGATATTCTTCCTACCGTGGCAAGGCAATACCATTGCTGGTACGACCGATGAGCCAGCCACAGTCACAAAGAGCCCTCTTCCCGATGAGAAGTCCATCCAGTGGATCCTCAACGAGATCAGCCACTACTTATCTCCCGACATCAACGTTCGTCGGGGAGATGTCCTGGCTGCCTGGTCGGGCCTGCGCCCGCTTGTGAAGGATCCCAAGGCTAAGAACACGGAGTCTCTTGTGAGAAATCATCTAATCGATATCTCCGATTCCGGCCTTTTGACCTGCGCGGGAGGTAAGTGGACTACGTATCGACAGATGGCTGAGGAGTGTGTGGATGCTGCAGTTGAGGCGTTTCATCTACAGACTCGCCCGTTCCCCAATGCACCGAGAGTCAGTGGAACTGATGCCGTTGATGATGGCGCTATCCTGGACGGCTCCTGCCAAACACATAAAGTCCGCTTGATCGGTGCCCATGGCTTCAGCCGGACCCTTTTCATTCACCTCATCCAACATTTCGGCATTGAGACCGAGGTTGCGAAGCATCTCACAGAAAGCTATGGTGATCGTGCCTGGACAGTTGCCGCCCTATGTCACCCCACGGATCAGCGCTTCCCTGCCAGGGGCGAGCGCATCTCTCAGCTGTACCCCTTTGTAGATGGCGAGATCAGATATGCCGTCCGCTATGAATACGCACAGACTGCCACAGATGTAGTCGCTCGGAGGACAAGACTAGCGTTCCTCAATGCTCAAGCTACCCTGGAGGCTCTGCCGAAAATTATCGATATCATGGCGCAGGAGCTGAACTGGGATAAGCGAAGGCAAGAGACCGAGTGGAAAGAAAGTAAGTTTATGTTTGAACCCCAGGTCCTTTGCAGACAGATTCTCTAACATTCGGGCAGCTGTCGCTTTCCTCGAGTCCATGGGACTGCCTCAACCCATGCTTTCAACAACACGGAAGCAAATTGAACAGGGCAAGCTAGATTTCAGCACATCGCTCGAGTACAAGATGTACTCACGCCATGATAAACCGATAGAGGAGTAATGGAACATCGTCATCTTGTTGGGGTGGGCATTAAAACGGAGAGCCGGAGTTTACTTTAGACGGAACGGCTGGTAGTTCTGCGTTTCTACATCAAGCGTATGTTGGGTAATCTAGGACTCATTGTGTATACAATCTCGCATAAATAATTACAAAAATAGACCAAAATGGAAACATCTACTCCTCTGAGGCATGAGTCCACTTTCTTTGATGCATGTAGGCACAACTCGTCTGAAATGTGGCAGGCACGACCCGTGAAATATGTGCTACCGGCGGCCTATAAATACCTAGTCCACACCCATCTATATCGCTGTTTGCGGCCTTCACATTCGACATCTTTTGCTGCGATAGCATCACAAGCAGAATTACGCCAGTCTCACGCCCGTTCAAGGCACACGGCGATCGTCATTCGTTTTCATTATCCTTGCTTAACATTCCTGTATCATACAATAGCATACAAATGAGCCTAGATGTCGCCTACCATGTGGACAACAGTCAGTCGCAAGCCTCTCGCGGATGTTGTGAACAAAAAGCGCGAGACATGGCCATGCAAAGATTCGTCGGAAATTACTGCAGTGTCCCTCGTCGATGAAATCGACGAAACAGACGTCTGCCCTGCCACTCTTGTATCCGACGAAGACTCTCAAACAAGCCCGAAGCCGATCACTACGACGGAGCCTTAGGGAGGTCATTCCTTGCATGATATCCTACAACCGCAGTCTGCCAAACCGACAGGCATGACCGGGTCCATTCTTGAGGTCATCGCCCCCCTACAACCAGTGTTTTCGCCTCCGCACCGAGTCACGACCCCTGAAGGCTTGCCGTCTTACACACAACTCGAAGCCGAAGCCCGGCGAGCTCGAGAACAAAGACCACAGGAGCGCCCGTCTCGCCGCCGATCATGCGGTGACGGACCAAGAGTGCGTGTCTTCCGACCACCGCAAAGCCAACACTCCATCGTAAATCATCCATACTTACGCACCGAGCCACCGTCAATCACCAGAAGTAGCTGCCAATGGCCCCGGCATGATTGTGGAGCGGTTGCTCACTCGTCGGCACGTTTGAACGCGACAGATGTACCTCACCATGGCGAGCCAGCGGATGATTCCTGCTTCGGGCTTCATTGGGATAACAGATGGGCTCGGACAGCTCATTGCTCGTCGTGGATGATTAGCTGCCCCTGAGGTTGTACAATGAAATTCGGAGAAGCATCCAGGGTCAACAAAGAACAGCCTCTACCACAGGCCTCTATCACTTGTGTAACACATATTTGTACGCTCAATTATGAGCTACAGATGTAGCCCAAAGTTATTACATGAGCAGAATCGCTCGCAATTCACAAGGCAATATGATCATGCTTCAGAGTTATAACAGCATGTATTGATATAGACATTAATGCTATGATGAGCGCAAAGCTGTTAGGACCTGTGTCCCAGTGCGCGAGCGGCATATCGTCTAAGTCATCAATTCCGTTTCCCATGCGAAACCGCCTCGAAGTGTGATTTTTAGAGTTCCTTGCTGTTTTGAGACATTTGTCTTCGCCTCGTCCCCGAGAAAGCCCTGCGCCATGCAATGCTGTCAAGATGCCATGATTGCCGCCGTCCTTTGCGAGGAGGAAGGAGCCAGGCACCTGACTAATATATAGAGTGATAAAAGAAACCATAAAAAAACCTTTTAAAAAACGCCTCGCCTGCCAACTGAACTAAACGCTCCATCCGTCTATGGGCCTGATGTATGCGCATCCTGTCGTGAGAAGCCAATAGGGAACTGGAAGTGACACTTGGTGAAGAACCAAAATTAACGCCTGAATTGATGATGATTGGGTATCATAGATGCAGTGATTCGTCTCTACGGGAAACAGTTTTGGACAACTGGAGGATAGTTGTCCTCTCAGGAGTCAAGAAGGTTAACATGATTGTGTCTTGAAAACCAACGTTGGACAGCAACGAGCCATCCTGTCGGTAGCAAGCCTGGTTAAATGAGATTCCCTCCCCTCATGGCGAATGATGTTGGTGTTGTCCGTCTCGACTCGGCGGGACGCGGCGGCATCGTTCCTATACTGAGAACACGATGGAGTAGACTTTTCTTGCCGCCGTTGGCCCCCCTGAAATGAAGATCCTCGTATTGGTTGTAATCCGGGCTCTCGCTAGCTGGGTATTCGAGCTGTGACTTGCGGTCGAGCTCAGCGTCCCAGCCGTAGAGATCCGACTCTGGCGACATGTGAGAAAAAGCATCAGAGTCGACAACGGTAATTGAGGCATCATCGCCATCCTCGCCGCCTATGTGAATGCCTAGGTGATTCGAGAAATCCGTTAGGTGGCCTGGTGAAGCAATACTCGATGTCTCGGCTCTAATGGTTGACTGGTCACCATCGGTTCCAGCATCTGTCTCGCAGTCGATGTCGACGCTGAAGGTGCTTGGTGGGCATTCAACATTGGGCGCGCCAATGTGGATGGGGGATATTATATTGCTGTTGAATGTGGTATCCACCACACGCATCAAAGGAGCGCTCCTCATCTGTGGCCCTTCATAGCCTTCTTGGCTAGAAATGGTGAGTGGTTTAGGTATATGAGTCCGTGCTCTCGCACGCACATCTCGCCGACCTTGGCAGGTCCGGCGAATTGCGTCGGAGGTATAATGATGTGGAAAATCGCCTTTTGCGGCCATGGCACCCCTAGTGCAGCCTCCGTCGGTGTGGTCCATACCAGCACCATCTGTTTTACCGTACCGTCCGGCCGAAACATCCAGTGAATAGGATAATTTGTTGCCGGGGTGCGGTTCCTCCCAGCCCATGCCAGGAACAAAATACTGGGCAGGACTGTCATCGCCAACAGACGATGGAGTTGAGGAGGAATCGGAGTCTTCTACTATGGAGGATGCAGGCGGTGACATGACCTGGGATCCTCATAACACATTGTTGTGGCTGCTACCGCTACTGCTGGTAGGATCGCTGCTCTGTAGGTTCACATCTGAGACGCTGGTATTCTTGGCGTTCGATGTGTGCGATCGACGGCTGGAGCGAGACTTTTTGCTAAAACCGAGCTTCGCGCCCATCTTCTTCCAGCCACTGTTGTGAGCACTGATCGCTCTTTGTATTGTCCCGGGAGAGGTACTGGCGAAGGCCCAGTCCGACGTTGGCGGCGTAGTAGGCGGTGTCATCGGTTCTAGAGAAGGGGGTGAGTGCGATCCGCTATCGTCAGTCAATTCTCCCCTGTCAGCAGGCTCGGTTGATGAAGAGGCAGAGTGGCTCAAGCCCTCACTTCGCCGACCAATATTCAGCTGAGGGAGAAATGAAGCCTTCGGAGACCGACTAGAATCTTCACGAGAGCTAGCGAGGTCTCGAGGAATTCGTAGTTTCGACCTCCCCTGTCTTGCATCTTGTGTCCATCCTTCCGCGTAATGATCTGTAGGCGGAGGTGCGAGCGACTCCAGGAAGGACAGGAGAACTGAGTCGTTCATCAGATCGTAGACTATCCTTACTGCTTCGTCCAATTCTGAAGGGTGTGGTGGTAATGAGGAGGCGGAGAGGCTCAATAGGTGGTCTCGCACATGGGCCGGAAGATTGACCTCTCGGACGCCATAGGGTTGAATATAGGCATGAATGAGCTTCTGCCACAGTTCACAGACGTGATCGACCTGATATCCTGTCTGCTCATGCATGACCTGGGAGTAGGCCTGTCGATATCTCTCGGCTTCCATGGTGAATTCTAAGGTTTCAAGACAGTGATTCTGGGATAGATATGCCATGAACGCACTGAGGGTCCATGGTTGCGGCGCAGAGTCTGAGAGTATCTCGTCTAGTGTAGGGAGCCTGATGCTTGATGCTGGATTAACCAAGCTATTTGGCCGTGATGCCGACATGACTGTGTCTCCGTCGGAGTCTATGTGTGTGGCTCGAAGATGGGGCGAAAGTTCCCTCGGGGATGGGCTTAGATATGTCGGAGAACGCCGTCGAAGCTTCGACTTGTTCATACTTCTCTCCCAAGCCCTCAGAAAGAGAGAACTGGAGAGTGAGGCCTGTAGGGATGACAGGCTCTAAGAAGAGTAGTGCGAGGCGTCACGGACAGTCCACCATTCGGCCAGAGAAAATCGTCTGATCGGTCGGGGTCGCTTGCGCTCTAATGCAAGACGGCCCTGATCCAGATGCTCTCGAACGTGTCGTCTCGTAGTGTCGTGCAATGCAAGCACCCTTTGCTTCGCGTCTCACAAGACTGCCGATTTCCGTCAACCAATGAGGAGACGGTCTGCCGTGCTGAAGCTGCGGTAACAGGCAGGTTCCGACGTTGATTTCGGACACTCGGTTGGCTACAGTGTCGTCGGGATCCCGGAAATGGCACGACAAATGCTCAGGAATATGTGTGCAGCCGCTGAAAGGCGTAGGCGTTGCCGACACGAGAGCCCAGCGATCAAAGAATCAGGACAACGGCCGGTTGGTGGCGCTCGTCTCTCTTTGGATCAGTGGCAGCTAGCTGCACGAACCTGTGTGTCAAAAAGACCGACGGGAGAAAGCCAGCGTTTCTGAATAGGCAGGTGATAAGCCAACAACAAGGATCGTCGCGCAGTCGCTTCTCGAAGATCCAGCTTTGTAGGACGAGCAATCTGCAAGTGGTAGCCCGGGAAGAAAATGGGCTAGCCAGAGACGTTGAGAGAAAGGCAGTGAGTGGGAGGACAACGTCAAAGAGAAGGAGGGGCGGGTTCGACTCTTTGACGAGCGACGGTCGGTAGGACAAGTGGGAAGCACAACGTGGGTGTGACTAGACCACCTGCTAGCGTTTCTCGAAGGGCTGTGGAAGAGTCAAGAGGTCCTTTTAAGATGGGACAGCCGAGGACGAGTCTCCACCACGCGTGCTTTGTGGCTTTCGTCCAGTGGTGCTGCACCCACTTCACTTCACTTCAATCACGCACTCATTCACGCACTCAGTCCCTCTCTTCAGTGATAGTCGCCGCCGTCGTCGTGGTTCGGTATGGCGCGGGAACGTCAATAGCGAACAGCCGCGCGCGCA